AATGTTTTACTCAATATAAGCAAAATTGAATTCTAAGCAAAACTGACTGCTGTTTCCCAGTAAAATATTTCTTATCAGAATAAGATTAAGCTTTTTCAAGACTTTTCATGAGACTATGTCTTAAAGCAATGATATCCAATTTCTTACCTTTTGCTTTCATGGCTACATATTCGTTTAAAATTGTTGTCAAGTTTTTTCCAAATAAGGACTGAAAAGCAAAAGACCAAACATTATCTAAACCATACAATTTATCACTCTCAGACAATAAAAGCCAATGAAAGATCTAGACTTTGAAATTCAGTGAGGAAAGGGTAGGGAAGCAGCTCACCAACATCCACAAAAGGTATGTGTAACACACCTGACAAAGAAAATGTCTGCCTGAACTGGGACTACATGAGTTCTTATTATGTAAAAAAAAAAAAACATGGTCATAAAAAGCAGGTTTCAGTCAGGAGGTAGATACTGTTTAAAAACAAAACAATAAAGGCCCTAATAAGGGTCTAATCTGCCTTGGCTAACTTGAAAGCCATGTAAAAATGAACCCTTAAAAATAAGTGTATATAAGCCGGGTGTTGGTGGCGCACACCTTTAATCCCAGCACTTGGGAGGCAGAGGCAGGTGGATCTCTGTGAGTTCGAGGCCAGCCTGGTCTACAAGAGCTAGTTCCAGGACAGCCTCCAAAGCCACAGAGAAACCCTGTCTCGAAAAACCAAAAAAAAAAAAAAAAAAAAAAAAAAAAGTGTATGAGGTGTATATGAGATATCCTTCCTAAGGAGCAATATTTCCCTAGTCTTACTACTACAATGCAAAGGTAGTTTGTTATAATAATATGATCACATACTTGAGATTATAAAGGAACAAGTATTTTAGAACCAAGAGGTCTGACTTCAAACAACTTAATAAATGTGACAAATCCTTTAAATACCTAAAATTACTGTAGACATACTAGTATAAATTTTTTACACTGGGTAATACTGAAGACATATATACCAAGGAAGATGTCTGTCAGACAAGGGCAGTTAGGTCCCCTCTCCCTCTCAACTTTCAGCACTAGGTTTATTTTTTTGGTAACAGGGTTTTACCATAAACCCCAGGCTGGTCTTGGCTTCCTGCATGCTGGGATTAAAGGCGTATGGTATAGTCTTGTCTTTCTAAGTACTTGGGAGGGTAAAGCAGAAGGACTGTCTGTATTCAAGTTCTGTCTGAGCTACAGAGATGGTTCAAGACCAGCTCAGGTGAGTTAGGGAGATTCCAACTCAAAAAAGTAAAAATGAAACTGGTATTAGCTAAAAAGAGAGAGTGCTTAACCACCACAAAACTTGAGAAGGCAGGAGATTTGCCTAATAATCACTCCCCAGTTTTTTTTTTTTTTTTGTTCTTTCTAATAATGAACTGAACTTTCTGCATGCAATTTAACTTTCTGGAGAGATGGTACAGAGGGTATACCACCCTTTCAGAGGTCGAAGTTCAGTTCCCAACACCCATACTAGACAACAACTACCTGTAACTCGAACTCCAGGGGATCCAATGCCCTTTCTGGCCTCTGAGAGTTCCTGCATTCATGCCTGTATGTTCTCACACAGACATACACATAAGTGAAAAAAAAATTAAAAAGCCATTAGACATGGGTGCTGGGTATGAAATGGGGTCTTTTGGAAGAGCAGCAGGTGCTTGATCTATCTCTCCTATTTCTCCAATTCGTTCAAATTTTCAGGATTGTTTGGGGTATTTTAATCCCTTTTCTATGTGAAAATTAGAATACCCCAAACAACTCACTAAGGAGCCATCCTTAACATACAACTACAAGCACCGTGTGAAATCATGTAATTCTAGAATATTCCTTTTATATATATGGGGAGTTACAAGAGGTGACAATAAAATACAAAAAATACTTTTGTTTCTGGATAACGTCTTGCTGTGTAGCCCAGGTAGGCCTAAAAGTAACAACTGTCTTTCATCAGCCTTCCAAAGCCTGCATTATAGATGTATAGCACCTGGCTAAATCTCTGTGCTTCAGTTATGTGAATAGGCAGTGATAAACCATGTAGTTATCTGCCAAAGTTGACTTGGTTGATGAGCGACAAGGGTCTTGCTATGTTGCCTAGGCTGTCCCTAAACGCACAGGTTCAAGTGATTCTGTGATTATTATCCTAAGTTCCCAAGCAGAAGGGAAGACAGACACATAGCACAGTGCCTCACATCATTAATAAGTTCATTTTCAGGCTCTGCTTTACAGTCCTCTGTGTTGGTTAGTAAATGAACATCCTATAAGGAATAAGTGACTCACCAGTAAGCAGGCTGGGATGAAACCTTCATCAGTACAGTGCTCTGCATATTCTTTTAAATTTGAGCTTTCCAAAATAAAGGTCTGGCAAGTAGATGTGAGGTTTTCTTGTTGTAAGTAACCTAAATGAAGAATAGATGTTTCAATACTTCAGTAAATTCTGTACTTTTGATAAGTGGCTTTTTAAAATGTTGGAGCATGGCTGGAGAGATGGCTCAGAGGTTAAAAGCACTGGCCATTCTTCCAGAGGTTCTGAACTCAATTCCTGGCAACCATATGGTGGTTCACAACCATCTGCAATGAGATCTGGTGCCCTCTAGTCTGCAGATATGCATGCATGTAGAACACTATATACATAGTAATAAATAAATCTTTTTTAAAAAATGCTATAGCACATAGAAAAACTGTAAACAGAGCCTCAGGCAAAACATGTTGGTGTTTTACAACCTTTCATTAGGTTGTGCTGCAGTATGTAGCAGGATGACTATAATCAGCAGTTCCTCTACAGGATCCATTCTAGTTAAGCTTCTTAAAAAGATATTTGACAAAGTGTAATTACTGCACAATAAATTTAGAAAAACCCAACAAGGAAATAGTAAGTGCAGTCCACTACTCCATGACTTCCGTAATAACTAGGTGAGGAGATGGCATATATCCACTTCTTGGATTACTGAAAAGCTACATTCTCTCAGTATCACTTGTGTGTTTGACTACCCACTTCATGATTTAACAAAGTGAAGAGCTATCTATGTACATTGTGTTAAAAGTCAGAAGAAAAATCTAACTTTCAATTTATATACAATTGTATATAAATTGTATTAATTTCAACAAGAACATCAACTTTAGCAAGTGAATACTAAGGTTGTTAACCACTTGACTCTATATTAAAGTTATGAAGGAAAGACTAGTCTCTCTCCTTTAAGAAACAGGGTTTCTCTGTGTTGTCCTTGCTCTGCAGACCTCAACTCACAGAGATCTGCCTGCCTCTGCCTTCCAAGTGCTGGGATTAAAGGCATGTGCCACCACTGCCTGGCAAGAACAGTCAGTCTTTTAACTCACTCTGGAACAAATAGATACCTGAGGGGGGAGGGGCTGGTTTCCCAAAAGCCAAAAAACAAAACTTAATTGCAAAGGCTAAGGCTATAAAATATTTAGAAAAACAAAAAACAACAACAAAAAGATAAACTTTTGGCCTTGGATTGAGCAATGATATCCTAGGTAAAACATTTGAAACACAAGCAATCAAAGAAAAAGCTTAGCAGATTATCAACATTTCAATTCCTATGTTATTAAGGACACCATCAGCAAAGTAAAATTAATTTAAAAATGGAAGAAAATATTTGCAAATCATGTATTTGGTAGATACTAGAAAGCAAACTATATAGAGAACTTGAAAGGGACAACAATAAAAAGATAATCTAAGAAATAAGCAACATATGGCTAATACAACAAACTCATGGAAAGGTATTCAACTTTACTAGTCATCAAGAAAATTAAAATGAAAATCTTTATTTCAATTAATATGCACTGGAACAGAAGTCCTTATGACCTGAATCACCCTTGAAACCATGCCAAATGAAGTCAGGCATAAAACTCACAAATATTTCAATTATATGTGATGTCCAGAAACAGCAAATGCATATATTCAAAAAAGTAGGTAACTGGTTGTTGGAGGATGGGGAAGTTGACAGTGCCTGTGATCAGTATGTATTTCCTGTTAGAGATGTGCAAACGTTTTGGAATTAATGGTATTGTTGCTTATTAGGAATATCATAAACCCCCCAATATTTCTATGTTAATTATACACCGCCATGAAAAAACCTAATTGTTAATTCCTAACATACTGTATGAAGCTATACTCATTGCATCCTAATTTCATTTTAACTCTGTCTTACCATTCCATCTCTTCAAACATATTAATCTTATAAAAGTTCCACAAATAACAACACTCTTATTTTAAAGCCAATGTATATTGTACTGTTTGTTTGGGTAGCTTATCTTGCCTGAGCCTAAGCAAATTTCAACTCATTCTTTGGTGTTTAAAATGGTTTTGAATTCCTCAGAAAACAAATAAATATATATATATTTATATGTGTATATGTATACACACACACCATATTCCCTTTGCCTATACTTGTCTTTTGTAATAACTGTACATAATCCCTTATATTATTTACCCTAAGTATATTTATCTCTATGCTGGTAAAATATAGCAATCAAAAAACATTTTTATTAGCTTTAATAAATGATTTCTAAAGTCTCTTCCTATTTTAAAATTTTAAGACTTTCTCCACTTGGAAATGTATATATATTAACAAAACAAACAAAAACAAACCAGGGGCTTGGAGAGGTAGTTCAGAGCATATCCTGCTCTTCCAGAGGACTGCGTTTAGTTCTTCATTTTTATTCCATCTAATATTTATTTTTTTATTTTTTGGTTTTTCGAGACAGGGTTTCTCTGTATTGTTTTTTGGAGGCTGTCCTGGAACTTACTCTGTAGACCAGGCTGGCCTCAAACTCACAGAGATCCGCCTGCCTCTGCCTCCCGAGTGCTGGGATTAAAGGCGTGCGCCACCAACGCCCGACTCCATCTAATATTTATTTATTTTTACTTCATGTACATTGGTGCTTTGCCTGTATGTTTGTGTGAGGGTGTTGGATCCTCTGGAAGTAGAATTACAGACGGTTGTGAGCTGCCATGTGGGTGCTAGGAATTGAATCCGGTAGCCCTGGAAGAACAGCCACCAAGTGCTCTTAACTGCTGTGCTATCTCTTCGGCTCTGGGTTGAATTCTTAGCACCCACACTGTGGCTTTCAACCATCTGTAACTCCAGTTCCCAAATCCTTCTTCTGATCACCTATACTGCAGGAATGTAGTACAGACATATACTAGGCAAATCAGTCAAAAAAACAAAAACAATAAAAAACCTAACCCTTGATGAGATGGCCTACAAAGCCATTACATGTGAGTTCTAAAAAGAGAAGAACAAGGAAAAGGTCATCTCATTTTAGGCACTGCTCTGATTTGGGAATCAAGTCACCATTTTCTTCTTGTATTTAATGAATAGGTTCTCTTCTAACTTACACCTTACACGAAGAAAACATACAAATGTATCTCTTTGGAGCACAAGAAGCATTAAAAAACAAACAAGCAAAAAACTCCAAAAACTAAGCAACTAAAAAACTATTTCAGATATCCCTACTTTAAAATTGCTATCATTGAAGATCAAACTGCAGATGTATAATTACATGAATTAAAACAATAGGTTTGGCCTTTACAGCAGTGACGACCTCCCTACGAGAACATGCCTCTCCCAAAGGATCTTCTTCATCCCTCTGCAGAAGAGGAAAAGAGGAAACACAAGAAAAAGCGCCCGGTGCAGAGCCCCAATTCCTACTTCATGGATGTGAAGTGCCCAGGATGCTATAAAATCACCACGATCTTTAGCCAAGCACAAACAGTAGTCTTGTGTGTTGGCTGCTCCACTGTCCTCTGCCAGCCTATAGGTGGAAAAGCAAGGCTGACAGAAGGATGCTCCTTTAGGAGGAAGCAGCACTGAAAAGTACCTGATTCAAGATGAGTGGGAACCATCTCAATAAACACATTTTGGATATAAAAAAACAATAGGTCTGACCTAACAAAATAGCTCAGCTGTAAAGGAGTATTTGGTTTGAACCATGGGATCCACAGTGGAAGGAGGCAGCTGACTCCTCAAAGTTACTTTTGACCTCTGCACATGTGCACAGCACAGCCTCTCTGCTGTCACATCTTCTGCCTTTATCTCTCTCAAAAAAATCATAAAATTCAACAAAAAAATAAAAAGCTTTTTCCTGTTCGTTAAATATAATCATGGAAAAAAAATACCTCAGCTGGTATTCCCAAAGTATTATTTGTAACAAGTGAGGTGCCACTAGGATTTGTGAATACAAATTTAAAACATGTGGAAACCACTGGAATCACCTTGGAATCAGGGCAGCTGGAACTGTTTCTTCAGGTTTTGGATTTGGATTAGATCCACCAAATAATTTTTTTATAGTAGAGAGTTCTAAAGTCATTAATCACCTAGATGTATTTATTCAGTTACTCAAGACTTGTGATAGGTGGACGTTGTGGAACAGGATTCCTCCAAGATTTTCCTTTCTGGAGAATATATATTCCTAAAAAGCAGAAATTGCTTGAGGGAAATCGGAAAATTTCGTTTTAGGCAATACAAGAGATGTACATCTAATATAAAAAGATGCCCAGTTTATTTGTGAAATTAAAACTATATGTGACAAGGGTGGTTAGAAAAGTTCACAATGACTCCTTACAGGGTATGGCAGTGGAATGTAGGTTGAACAGCAATGCCCTACACAGCAAGAAATGTAGTTAATTTCTTCCACACCAAGAAAGAAATAGGATCAATTATGCTAGCATACCTTGGGGAAAGGATATCAGATATGATAGCTCATGACACATTCATTTTAAGTCAGTACATGCTTACATATCATGTTTGAAAAAAGGCTCTGTGAAAATGCTGTATTACTTCTATTTGTTATAGAAATGTTCAAGATATAGCCACCCAGAAATATCTGCGACACATTATGTTCTACTCTTAAAAAATATGCTTTGATAAAATTTGAGCTTTCATTTTTGGTTAAATTTGGCAAGTTCTGCTTCACTTTGCCTTAAGAGTTCAAAAACAATGTAGGAAATACTTGAAAATATTCAACAATGTCATTGGTTTATATGATTAACTGGCAGGCTACAAAAACGCCCACTCACTATCATTAACCATCTGACCATAACCAATTATCAATCACATGACATATAAAATCTTAACTTTATCAAGGTTGCTTAAATTTTAGAAACAGGAATTCCAAGAGCTTGGCCTTTTTAGGGAAAGATAAAAGGAGCCCAAAGAAAGCAAGAACTAAAACTCCGTTTATGTAAATATCTCCCTCCCTTGATTCCCCAGGAATACTGGTGGCTTAATGTTCATGAAAAAAAAAATATATATATATATAAATTCTTAGAAAGACATCTACAAATATAAAATGTAATACATCTACAAATATAAAATGTATGGCTTCAGACCACAAATTATGATTTACAAGTAGTAAGAAGACAGAATTCACTAGCAGGCATGAAAAAATTATTCAAAGCCTCAAGGTATAGATATGCCCTGATATGGTTGGGAAATCCAAATGCACACACATATATCCATATATATGTATATGGACAATGTATATGTAGGAATTTATTTGGGTATCTTGCCTAGTATGGATGCAGAATAAAAGATAATAATAGTAAGATTTAACAGAAAGACAAAATGGCTAAGAATCATGAAAATCTTGACTGTCTCATCAGGCAAAGGTGTGATTTACTTTTCCAGAGGACCCAAGCTTGATTCCTAGCACCCACTTCACGTGGCTTAAAACTGCCTGCAAATTCAACTTCAAGGGGATCTACTATCTCTGGCCACATACCCAAAATATGGAGTGAGTGAATACAGGTATTATTCAAGATATAAAATGATCACAATTCCATTCTGGTGACTTCTTACTAAATGTCTCTAATACAAAAGTAAATAAAAGCAATGGCTCTTGATCTCTTAAGAATATGTCAGTCCTGGGTCCTGTTTGCTCTCAAACCAATTCTTCATTTTCCAGGACTCTTCATGATAGGAAACCAGACTTCAAACAGGCAAAGCTACCCCGCTCACCTGTCAGCTAACTTCTGGCTAAGTTTGCTAAAATGGCAAGCACTTGTTCAGGTTGGAATTCAAGAGGAAGAAGCCATATTCCCTGATTGTCTCAAGAATCTTTTCTCTGCCTATAGCTCCCTTATCAGACAAGTCTTAGTTTCATCTTCCCAAACAGTAGCCTCTGGGTTGCTTTATATTGCCTTTTCTCCTGGACTAACATGGTTTCCTGCTGTGCTAACTAACCTATAAATTGCCTCTCCAAAGCTGTTCAGCTTCTTAGCTTTTGTATTACTGGTATAACCAATTCCCTTATTAAATCCTACCACATTAAACATACAACTTAGTTTCTGGTTTCTTTTCTGAATGGGTGCCAACTCATAAAGAAAGTAGCCTACTTAAGAAATTCAAGAAAATCTGAACCCTTCAACCAGAAAGTACTTTTACACACAGAACTTTTTATCATTTTGGAGGTTCTTGAAGCTTGACTACAATATAAAAAATATTGAATGAGAAAGTTTCAGTTTAGGAAGAAGGAAAAATTTTAGAAGTGGATGGTAAGGATGGTTGCAGAACAATGGGATGTAACTAATACTACTATAAAATTACTATTAAAAATTGCTAAAATGACCAATTTTGTCATGTGTTCCTTACAAACAACAAACGAACAAACAAAAACCCCTTTGTCCACCAACACAGCTACTTTAATAGGATACTGGAGAAATTATCAACTGTAGCTATAGGAAGAACTTTCTGCTATCACATTTGACTTGAACCTTTATTAGGAACACAAAGGAAAAAGGAATACACAATATTCGAAGAAACTTAGTTTGGTCTGATACAGCTTTTTGAAAATAGAGAGGACTGGCCTGGGCAGAAAGACAAGCAGAATCAGCTCTACAGAGCACTTCCCATGACAGGTTAGTAAAAGCCCAAATTGAAGGTCTAGAGGCAGTATGCAACAGTTTGAAGTATCTTGGCCTCTACAATATTTTGAAAAATTCCATTAAGGCAATAGACAGCTGGCTGTGGCTGAGCAGAGAGCAGTGAGATTAAAGAATTAGGGGAAAATGAACTAGTAAAACAGCTAAGTACCAAGTGGTTTTACAAGTAAAGCCATCTTGTAAGTGACAGGATATTGGACAATGCCAGATGGGAGTTCAGAAAAAAAAATGTTTTGGTGTTAAAGAGTTAAAAACAACAGAGTGAATGGTAAGTGAAGAAAAATTACCTTTCTCCTTATGCTTAGAAACTGGCAGCATTTGGAACATGCCAAGCAATAAGCAAACAAAAAACCCCAAGGGATTAAAAAGAGGGGCTAAAGATGGTAAGGGGGTACAACAGAAGAATCCTGATCAAGCAATAAACCTGTTGATGTAAGTCTGCAAATGCACAAAAGATAACTCTCACAGAACTGAGAGTAGTGGGAGGATTTCTTGTTTACCAAAAGTGCTTCAATTCTTAGAATATGTGGTAGGACTTGAATGCTTCAGGAAGATTTGAGACAAGAGTAAACATGTATTGCAAGTACAGTATATAGAAAGAAATCACAATTCCAAAACAAAATGGAAGGCATGCTGGAATTCATGGCACTTAAAATGGAATCTGAATTAACAAAGTTGGTTTTAAGGATGAAAAGCAATGACTTGAGTTTCTAGCCCCCAAGAAAAACAGCTTATTAGTGGGGGAGAAGCATTAATTACTCCAATTAGAAAACCCTGTCATTTCCTTAAGGTTTTCTTAACAAGGCAGGACCTTCCCTTCAGGGGCACACCGACTGTGTAGAGGCACCTCTCCCTTCTTACAGCTGGGAGTGACAGAGGAAAGGAGATCTAAGGGAGAGAGATCATGGTTGCTGGTAAGTATCTCATAAAATCGGAACACAGAGAAACGACTCATAATTATCTACTTCACAATGTTTATATTGCTAAACTCCAGAAACCTTTTTCCCCCTGAGACAGGGTTTCTCTCGGTAGTCCTTACTGTCCTGGAACTCCCTCTGTATAGAAGACTGGACTCGAATTCACAGAGATCAACCTGCCTCTGCCTTCCAAGTGCGCGTGCACCACCATGACTGGAAGGTTGAGAAAAAACTTTTTTAAGATTATGACCACGGAATTTTAGTTGGGTTGCCAGACTGCTAAAAGTCACAATTCCTATCCAAAAATACACACAGAGGAAAAAAGGATATATTAATACTTTTCATCAATTTTCATATGGCCCTAATAAGTTTAAAAATTACACGATAACTCATTTTAAAAGTCACAGATATAAACTTAACTACTGGATTCTAATGAAGCCACACGTATAAACCTAACTACTCAATTCTGTTTAGCCAGGAAAAAAAAATTTGAAATTCAAAACATTAGTTTTAGTGTTTAAGGTTCTCCAAAAAATGGACGGTGAAAGTATTTAGAGGCCCTTAATATTTCCTTCCAAACGTGCTTATCAAGAATTCCATAAAAATTTTAATTCATTTTTTAAATCTTATTCTTGACAGGGCTAGGCACAGAACAAATGTTACCAACGATTGTTGGAAGTAGAGAAGGATTTGCCATACTTTTACCAGTTTCTTCTTGAGATGTCACAAATAATGTTTTAAAGTCACTACCCACTTTTGAGCCTAAGAGGTTCTTGTTCCCAGAAGAACAATTCCTTCTATTCTTTCAGAGGACAAACGACGAAAACTGTCTTTCACATAGACAATATACCCGACGGATCAGTGGTCTACGAACTAGCCCTTTTCAAAAATGGAGGAAAAACTAGGACTAGAACGTGTGCGACCAGAAGGCAGTATTCGTACCCCCCGAAATATTTGCTCAAGAACATGAGAAACTGCCGTTTTATAGAACACAACCGACACTTCAAGCCTCTATGGTAAGGAGTATGGAAACCTTGTGTCCCAAATTCCTAATGCTAACGTCGAGTTATGGATAAGGGCACGGGGAAGTCTTTGCACAAAGCTGGGCGGTCGGGGAAGCCCTTTTCTTTTCCCTTTTCCTTTTTGGGTCCCAGCTCTGACGAGGGAAAGGGTGAGGGGCGCCCAGCCCCGTCCACCACGCAGACGACACTCTTTGAGGGGTCCCAGCGGGCCTGGCTCTGCCTCGGAATCCAGGCCCCAGGTGTTTGACGCCGAGCTTCTCTCCCTTTGGCTGCCCCCTCGTCACGCAGCTTGAGGAGAGGGGCATCCACACACCCAGAGGCTGCAAACGCCCCAAGTCTCCGAGGGACCGGGCATCTCCGCCAGTCTGAACTTGGACCCGAGGGGGCTACCCCCCAAAGCGTCCCCACCCTAAACAACTGCCCCCTCCCCCGCCCCCAGGCTTTCCGTCCTCTCAACCCAGTCGGATCAGCCGCCCTCCCCGGCCGACACTTACCCAACACCAGCCTGGCTACATCCGAGGGTAACAGCATGATCCGAACTGCACAGGGGGCCGCCTGAAGGTACGAGACTCAACTCAAAGCAAACACCGCGACAGCCCCGGCGCCGCCGCATCTCCCGGTTCCAGTGGCGGTACTGAACCCGCGGCAATTTGTCCCGCCTCTTTCGTTACACACCGACCAATCACTTCCGCAGGAGACAGAAAGGCGCCGAAATGAAACCCGCCTCCGTTCTCCTCCGACCTGTCGTCACTTCCGTCCGCGGAGGGGTGGGGCTAGAGAGGACCCCGCGGCCCGGTGTGGGAGTCTCAGCCCCTGGGGCGGAGTCGCCCGCGCGAGGTCGCCAGTCATTGGCGCGCCGCGCGCAGGCGCGTCTCCTCAGCCTGGGGGAATGTTTTGAGGGGAGCGAATGTTTTGAGTTGCAGAGCGCGTGATCGCCGTGCGTGCGCGCACGCCGTAGGGCGACGCAGACTTCTTCCTTCGGGGGAGCCCACGCTGTGCCAACTTGCAGCTCTTGAGCCGGAAGAGGGAAGGCTTGCGTCCACAGGCTGGTGCGTGATCCGCGCACGCGGGAAAAGGAGAAGCGACCTCAGTTTGCATTGGCAGACAAAATGCAACGGTAGGAGCGCGGAACGAACGCCGGGGCTTCTGTGAAGGAAAATTCTCGTCAGACCCCATCTTTTCTCGGCTCCGGAATGGCCCTGGACGCCTCTTACCTCATCTTTCCCGGGCGCCTGTGGTCCTCGCCCTCTCGCTGAGGAGTGGAGTGATCCTGAACCTTCCCTTCTACTCGTCCCTTCCTGTCTGTCTCCCTAAGGGTTCTGATTTATCTAGGCTACTCATTTTTTAAAATCTCATTTTAGCCACAGACCATTTATTTACATTAAACTACAGGCTCGTAAAAACAAAAGTACAGGTTCGTGGTTAAGAGCGTGGACTCGGAAATCAGCTTCAGAGTTGGAATTCCTACTGTTAGTTGTGTGGCATGTGCTGTCTTCTTTAGCAGCCGCGAAGAGTTAACTGCTGCTTCCCCGACTCCGTCCCCACCTGTCACAGATAATTAGCCAGTTTTCAAAGCGATGATGTGATAGAAGAGCACTGTGTTAGCCGAGGAGGCGCTAGTTCTGTGGAAATTGAGCCTGATTTGCTGCTACACTTCGCCGGCTGCAAATTGTTCTGCAAGATGGTAGCGGACCGTTCTGTCAGAAGGAAATGCATGGAAAGGCACAAAGCATGGGAGGTTTCTGAAGCTCCAGAGAGAGTTCTGTTATTGAGTGGTACAGATTCTGAAAGTTTTCAGTGTATTGAAACGGAGGAGAAAAAGAGACCATCCAAATAGATTCGTGAAGTGCTCCTAAGGGAAACTAATAGAATGGCCCTTACTCTGAACATTCGCTCTGTGTGTGTGTGTGTGTGTGTGTGTGTGAGAGAGAGAGAGAGAGAGAGAGGGAGGGAGGGAGGGAGGGAGGGAGGGAGGGAGGGAGGGAGGGAGGGAGGGAGGGAGAGAGAGAGAGAGAGAGAGAGAGAGAGAGAGAGAGAGAGAGAGAGAGAGAGAGAGAGAGAGAGACTCAGTCGAGAAAACAGGTTTGAGGCGTTAACCAATACGCTCCAGGTTGGATAACTGTTAATTGAGTGGTCTTGAGCTGCAAGAGTACAACCTAATTGTAGAGCCCACTCTCTTGCTAGCCATGAATTCACAATCCCACAGTCCTGCCAATGCCTCCCCCAGGCCTGGGAATACAGATGTGTGCTGTCATTCCTGGCTGAGCCCTATAATCGTACTCTACCACTAGCCGAGAATGGCTTGCCAGAGGTGGGGTTATTTCTGGGAAGATGACATATAATTATCATTGTCAATTTTGTAAATACACTGACTTGTTTAAAAGTAAGATTGGATTTATCAATTCAGGGGCTTTTGCTTTTTTTCAGTTGAATGTTGGGATTGAAGCTATGTTATCTTCTTTAGTATCTTAATAGTGTGTTTACTTTATTGCTCTCTTTAGTTGGATAACTTTACCTTTGCCAGTCACCACTATTTCTTTAAAACATGGAACATTTCGTAAATTTGTGCATCATCTCTACACGATTGTTCCTTTACTGTGTGTGTTGTGGAAGCTAGCACAATTCTGACTGTCTTTCAGTTCCTTTAACATGTACTCTTTTTCTATTTTAGGGCCTTTTGGCTTCTCTAGTCTTGTTCCCTAAAATGTTCATTCTTTAGTTCTTCCTGTAATTGACACCACTTGATTCAGCTCTTGACATTATTAACCCTCCTTTGATACATGTTCATGACAGCTTATCTAAAATGATAAACTTGTAATTTTTATTTTGAAACATGAGCTTCTATATAGCAATCTGACATTGATTTCGCATTCAGGGTGACCTTAAACTCTTGATCCTCCTGCCTCTACCGCCTCACTGGTGGGATTACATGCATTCTCCGCAGATGTCTCCAAGAGGGGGTGGCTTGTGTCAGTGTAGTTCATTTATTTTCTTGCTGACCCTAACATATTCTTTTTTTTTTTTTTTTGGTTTTTCGAGACAGAGTTTCTCTGTAGCTTTGGAGGCTGTCCTGGAACTCACTTTGTAGACCAGGCTGACCTCGAGCTCACAGAGATCCGCCTGCCTCTGCCTCCCGAGTGCTGGGATTAAAGGCGTGTGCCACTAACGCCCGGCTGACCCTAACATATTCTTAACCTGAAACACTGTATATGTGAAACAAATATTGTTTGCATTTATCAATGAATGTTTTTCTTCCAGAGATAATATTGAACTATTTCATTTTCTTCAAAATATACTTTATCCTGCTATGCGAAGTACACATTTCAAAATTAAAGCATAATTTTGATAAATTGTAAGATAATGTCTCATAGAAATGTTTAGAAAAATTGTGTCTTTGATCACAGTGTGCCTCTGGATGTACTGTTAGGTTTAAATATAGAGTAACTGTACTCTAAAAGAATTACACATAGGTTTATAGTATAGCCAGTCCTCAGCACCAGAATACCCCAAATAAGTGAAATTAATTGCATATATTTATTTTTATTTACAGGTGAGAATGTATGTTCTGAAATCTTAAACCATGAGTCTGGCACTTAACGATCTGCTCATTTGCTGCCGGCAATTAGAACATGACAGAGCTACAGAAAGAAGGGTACTAAATTATTTGAAGTTGGTTTTTTTTAATTATTTATTTATTATGCATACAGTTTTTATTTATTGCGCATACAGCCTTTTGTCTGCAGGCCAGCAGAGGGCACCAGATATCATTCAAGGTGGTTGTAAGCCACCATGTGGGTGCCGGGTATTGAACTCAGGACCTCTGGAAGAACAGTCAGTGCTCTTAACCGCTGAGCCATCTCTCCAGCCCTGAAGTTGTTTTCTTTTTTTTTTTTTTTTTTTTTGGTTTTTACGAGACAGGGTTTCTCTGTATTGTTTCGGAGGCTATCGGTCCAGCCTGGCCTCGAACGCACAGAGATCCGCCTGCCTCTGCCTCCCGAGTGCTGGGATTAAAGGTGTGCGCCACCACTGCCCGGCCTGAAGTTGTTTTCTTGAAGCAGATGTGTGATAGGTGATGTAGTATGTAATTATTATTATGTTCTTTTTTTTTTTTTCTTCAGAAAGAAGTGGAGAGATTTAAGCGTCTGATTCAGGACCCTGAAACAGTTCAACATCTAGATAGGCATTCAGATTCAAAACAACAAAAATATTTGAATTGGGATGCTGTTTTCAGGTATTCCTCTTTGAATTTGTTTTACTTTCTTTTCCCATTTTGTGATACTGTTTTATTGTTTGATTTTTTTTTTTGTTCACTGTATATCATTGTATATTATATCTAAAAGATAGTTTAAAAACTAATACAGGATACTGGAAGTTTTAAGTCATTTCTTCAACAAAATGCTTTAGACATATGTCATTTAAGATCAAGAAAGAAGCTGGCTGTCATGGAATTCTTGTAATACTGTATTCTTGAGGCTGAGGCAGGACATTCATAAGATCCAGTCTTATCTGGTCTACAAAACAAAACAACAGCTTAAGAATCCTGTTCATTTTGACAAGTTTATAAGGATTTGTTTCAAATTAGAGTTGTAAGTAAGTTATAATAGTCGAGTGGTAGTGTTTCATGCCATTAATCCCAGAACTTGGGAGGCAGAGCCAGACAAATCTCTGAGTTTGAGGTCATCCTGGTCTATCTATAGAGTAAGTTCTAGGACAGCCAGGGATATACAGAGAGACCCTGTCTCAAAACACAAAACAAAAAAAAGTAAGTTATAGTATTTGTCATATCATGTTAATTGTTGCTGATTATGAATAACTGGCATGTGTTAAATTATACTAAAACAAATAAAATAAATATTGGAACTTTCAGATTAAAGCAGTTTAAAAAACTTGTTTGTGGAACAGTTTATTCATCTTTATATTGAAACTTCATTTTCAACCATAAGTTTATTTATAACTAGCAACAGATATTGTGAAACATTTAGGGGGGTTCGAAAATATTACTGTTTATGTCTGTGTGTCTTTGTCAAGCGTGTTCAGGCTCCTGGATGTCCAAAAGTGGACATTGAATATCCTTGAGCTGGAGTTGGAGGAGGTTGTAAGCTGTCTGACATGGGTTCTGGGATTTGAATTCTGGCTTTTTGGAAGAACAGTGAGCACTCTTAACCACTGAGCCATCTTTTCAGCCCCCCAAATGTATTTAAATTTATGTAGAATACTGGAAGTATTGCATCTGAAGCTAGTATGTTGGTATAACACCTGTAATATTGACTCCTTGGGAATTTGATAGAGGAAGATAATGAGTTCAGTTCATTATAAATAAATAATTGCAGTAAAGAAGGTGTTCACATTTCTTCATACAATATTAAATTGTCTTAGAATACTTCTAACAGATAAACTTTTATTTGTTTGGTTTTTTTGTTTGTTTGTTTTTGTTTTTTTGAGGCAGGGTTTCTCTGTATTGTTTTGGAGTCTGTCCTGGAACTTATTCTGTAGGCCAGGCTGGCCTCGAACTCACAGAGATCCGTCTATCTCTGCCTCCTGAGTGCTGGGATTAAAGGTGTGCACCACCATTCCCCGGTTTATTTGTTTATTCTTTTTTGTTATCCTAGAACTCGCCCTGTAGACCAGGCTGGCCTCAAACTTGAGATATGTCTGCCTGTACATCCTGAGTGCTGGGTTTATAGGTGTATACCATTACCTCCCAGTTGATACACTTACTTTTTATCTCTTGTTTGATACTAAATGTTAAAGTTCTAAATGCATATGACATGGAAAATATACATGCTTTCTTGTTGAGCATTTAGCTAATTTACAATATTATAAATACAGTTATTGCTGGGCAGTGGTGGCACATGCCTTTAATCCCAGCACTTGGAGGCAGAGGCCAGCGGATCTCTGTGAGTTTGAGGCCAGCCTGGTCTCCAGAGTGAGTTCCAGGATAGGCTCTAAAGCTACAGAGAAACCCTATCTTGAAAAACCAATCCCCCCAACCCAAAACAAAACAAATGCAGATAACCTGTTTTTAAAGCTGATTAAATTAGCCAGATAATCCTGAACAGTCTTCAGCTGTCATTGAAGACTAGAAGTATTACTACACGCTTATAGTGTAATGAGAGTTGAAGTCCTCAGTAGCATTCTGAGCAAGCAGATTACAGATTAAGAGCTTTTCAGGCTAGGCCTTATATTGACTTTGCATCTTGTTAGGCTTTGGAAAAGAGATAGTTTTCGTATAGATGATACAACACTGTGGTTTAAATAGTATTTTGGAGGAAGGCATACCAGAGCTTTTGGAATGATAAAAAGTATTAATGAGTATATGAATTTTTTTCTTACAGGTTTCTGCAGAATTACATTAAAAAAGAAACAGAATGTATGAGAACAGCAAAATCAAATGTATCAGCCTCCACACAAACCTCCAGACAGAAGAAGATGCAAGAGATAAGCAGTTTGGTCAGATACTTCATCAAATGTGCAAATAAGAGTAAGCAATATTATGTATTACACACAGATACTTCAGTAGTTACCATGGCATAAATTTGATTTTAATACAGTAGTATAAAAATAAATTACTGACTGAAATTCCTAGCACATATATTGACTTTTAAATCTATTGGTCCAAAATTTTTGGGCGTTTAGCATAAAATCTTTAATCTCAAAAATGGAAAGATTAAAAATTTGCTTCAATTCTCCCATGTCTCTAGACATTGGCAAAGTATAGTCTTAAGGTTTCAAAAAACATTTTGAGGCTCAACAATTTTAAAGGTATAAAAGCCTGTTAGGCCAGTTAGATGGCTTGGCAGGTAAAGGCACTTTGACCTGAGTTTGAGCACCAAAACCTATGTGATGGAGAAAACCAACTCCTTTAAGTTGTTCTCTGACCTCCATACATGTATGTGATACGGGTGTTTTATTACACTTGTGAGCATGTGCATGCTCACAAAGTAAATAAATGAAAAAGTAAAAAAATAGTTTTAAAATTGTCTCCATTTATTATTACTTCTACTTTATTTTCTAAGATTTATCTATTTATGTGTATGAGTATTTTGTCTGCATGTATGTAAGTGTACCATATGATTTGCTCCTTGTACTTGCAGAGATAGAGATCGAAGAATCATCTGGAACTAGAGTCTGGATGGTTATAAACCACCACATGAATGCTGAGATCCAAACCCATGTCCTCTATAAGAGCATTAAATATTGTGTTGTTAAACTTTCAACCTTTTATATATGTATACCATTCGTATGCTGTTAGATGCCATGGAAATAATCTTGTTTTTTAGAGGAAATAGGCTATTTCTAATTATAACTTAAGATTATTTTTAATAATTTATTCATAAAGATGCTCAGATTTAGAATCCTTTTAAGTCTAATGCCAGGAATTGTGAATTGTTTTGTATTAAAGTTAATTTTTATTTCTGCTGTATCTTTAGAGGTTGACAATGTTAATCTTTTGGTATGTGTGTGGGGGTGAGACAGGGTTTCTCTGTATAGCTCTGGCTGTCCTGGAACTCACCTGTAGACCAGGCTGGCCTTGAACTCACCGAGATCCACCTGCATCTGCCTCCTGAGTGCACCACCACAGCCTCAATCTTTAATGAGGCAATATAGCAAATTTTTTTTTTTAACTTTCTGGGGCATATATTGTAGCTACTCATTTCACATAATTGCATTCCAGTAAAAGATCATTAACAAAATAACCAACAAGTTGAATTTTACTCAGGGGTTAGGAGATACACTAATTCTTGTTATAGGAGAAAATCAATTGAGAGTTATTTCATGAATGGAATGATTTAAAGAAATTGGCATTCCAAGGATTTTTTATTTTTAACATCTATATGTTCTTTTTCATTTTATTTTTAAATAGGAGCACCCAGGCTAAAATGTCAAGACCTCTTGAATTATGTCATGGATACAGTGAAAGACTCATCTAATGGTGTAACTTATGGAGCTGATTGTAGCAACATACTACTCAAAGATATTCTTTCTGTGAGAAAATACTGGTGTGAAATATCTCAACAACAGTGGCTAGGTATGTTTTGAAGGGTTTTCTTTTATAAAATGAGATTTCAACAGTGAAAGCAGTCTACATCACGCAGATGACACAAATGTAACATTACATTGATGAAATTATGTTATTACAGAATCAGATCCTTAATTTCTTTCTTTTTCAAGATAATATCTTGCTATGTATCCTGTTCTGGCCTTCAGCTTGCAGTCCTCCTACCTTGGTCTTGTTAGAGTTCAGTTCTTAATTTTTATTTATTATATACTTTTAATTTATTAAGTCACATATACTTCATAGTAGGTGCTTACTAGAACTGTAATTATAGATTTCAAAGATTACTGTCTGTTTTTAACTATTCAGAAATCCAGTGACTGAAAAAAGTTCCAATTAACTACAAATTACCATGCCATTTGTTATAATACACATGCTTGTATGCAATGTATGCACACAATGGAGACATGTCAACTGGTCCATAAATAAAGGAGAAAGGTATAACCAAAAGAGAGAGATGTCACAGAAGTTGAAAGCAAGAGTTCTGAGTTCAAGGGGATGTGCTGGACACCTTAAACATTACAGAAAGGCACTTGGGAGGCAGAGGCAGCCGGATCTCTGTGAGTTCCAGGCCAGCCTGGTCTACAAGAGCTAGTTCCAGGACAGCCTCCAAAGCTACAGAGAAACCCTGTCTCGAAAAACCAAAAACAACAACAACAACAACAAAAAAAACATTACAGAAAGGATAAAGTGCACAAGTACTCATTGGGTTAGGCAGAGATGTTAGATTGAAAATAAATGCATTGGAATATCTTGCGCATTGACTTACTAGACATGCAAAGTGCTATTTCTATTTCCAAATTTTTAGTGCTGTGATACAAAATTGATTTTTATTTCTGGTATCTTTGTGTTAGCATTTGAGAGAGTTGTTATTGAACCCTGATCCCAAATCACTGATCACATAAGTTCTGCTACCATTGTGATGCTATCTTACTTGAGATCTCACCAGACTCAAGGCCATTTGTACAGCATTTCAGCAGTGTATCATAATCTGGACTGTGAAACATAAATGGATAACAGATCTGAGAGGTCTATATCATTTAGTTTCACTTGCAGGTGCCAGGATTGCTCATATTTAATGTCTCAAGAAATTTCCATCTGATAATATTTGAGTTTTTACTTTTTCGATTTATTTCTCAGATGCAATTTTACTATCTATCTTATGTCTATGGAGAATTATGTCATATTTAAGTTGAATTGTGATGTTGAACATATTTGCATTTTACAATAATTAGCTAATACTCTCCCCTCTCCAATTTTTAGAATTGTTCTCTGTGTACTTCAGGCTGTATCTCAAACCACCACAAGACATCAATAGAGTTTTAGTGGCTAGAATAATTCATGCTGTTACTGGAGGATGCTGTTCACAGACTGATGGATTACCTTCAAAGTTTTTAGATTTTTTTTCCAAGGCTGTTCAGTATGCAAGGTAATTACTGTGTTTTCATATTCTACCAAACTGCATTAGATCTTGTCATGATCATGTTTTAGATTTAGTGACTAAAAAATACTGTTTTAAACAGTGGTTATTTCAGTTGTAATAGGTATACAGTATGTAATGATCAAGTCAGGATATTTCTGTTTTCTTGAATATTAAATTTATTAACATAATTATGTTCAAATGTTCCTCTGTGATATTTCATATTTTGTATGCAGTTTGACCTCTATTTCCCATCCTATATGGAAAAAAAAAAACCAACCAAACTTTAAATAGACCAAAGATTTGCAACTTAGAAACTTGAAGAAAGCAAACAGATGAAACACTTTAAGATACTTATAAAAGGAGCAAACGAAATGTTCATACTCACTAAGCCACCTCCTGACCCAAATAAAACAGCTCAGTGTAACTGGACAAGCTTTCAATCCCAGTACAGTGTTGGAGTTGAAGATAAAGATAGAGAATCTTTGCAGCCTGTTGACTACCAGCTCCAAAATGGCAAACTCCAGTCTGAATGAGAGACACTCTTTCAAGGGAATGATGTGGAGAACAGCTGGGACATTCAACATCCTCCTTTAGAGATCGTTATTGCAAAATATACATGTGTAAACACACACTAAATAATTTCTTAAAAGATAAAAGCAGTGTTCTTTTTGGGCTAAACCCCCAAAATATGAAACCAAAAAGAGATAAATGGAGCTATATGAACTGCATCTTTTTCACAGAAAGGAAATACTGAGCAGACTGAAGAGATAGCTTTCCAAATGGGAGAGGCTTTTGTACACTGTTTATTTTACTAAAGACTTAAAATCCAGATTATATAACAACTTTAGGAAACCTAGTAACAAAGTCATGTTGTCAGGGAGATAAGATGGGTTAATTTTATCAAGACACATTGATGAAATTCTCCAAAGAATAAGAATAGTTTATTAGTCTTTAAATACCTTTATTAAAAAAAAAAAACAGGCAAGGGGTTAGGTGTAGTGGTGTATTCTGTAATTCCAGTACTCTGGAGGTTCTGCACAGGGTGATTGTGAGTTTATGGCTAACTTGGCCTGTATCATGAGAAAATAATTGTGCAGCCAATGAATTTATAAAGAACACATTTAGCCAAACCACAATGAGATAAAATGGTACCGTAGAAATAAAGAAACAGCAAAGGCTCTCAACAGTTTGGAGAAAAGATAACTCAATGCATTGGTGGTAGTGTAAAATACTGTCTTTCAAAAGGACCATTGACTCAGAACCAGCAGTTTCTTAAAGGATCAGATACAAATTTCCTTAATATGTAAATACCAAATGACTCTCTTAAGCATGAGCCATTGGGTCTTTCTCATCTGATAACAAAGGAAGATGAGTATCACTTAAGTAATGTAATTCTGTCAATTTTAAGGATAGATATAGTATATTGGGAATAAAGTAATAACATCTTTTGGAAGCATTGGTATAAATCTGTATGGCATTATCTAGCTTATGTTAAACATATATGAATTGTAGGTATACAAATCAATTCTGTGTGTTTTTAGACAGTGGTTTAGTAGCAGGGAGATTAACAGGACAAGTTTGTTGACCCCAAGTGAGAATCACTGTTTTTGTTACTGGTTAGTGTAGCAGGCTTTCTTGAACCACCACCCTCCCAAATCAAGACATGAAGCCTTATTATCAATTATGAATGCTCAGCCTTAGCTTATGCTTGTCTCACTAACATTTTTTTGGGGGGGGGAGATTTTGAAACAGGGTATCTCTGTATTGCTTTGGAGGTTGTCCTAGAACTAGCTCTTGTAGATCAGGCTGGTCTCAAACTCACAGATCCACCTGCTTCTGCCTCCTGAGTGCTGGGATTAAAGGTGTGCACCACCACTGCCTGTCTCCCACCAGCTCTTAAAACTAATTTAACCTGTTTTTCTTTAACCACATTTTGCCTTGGGACTTCTTAACCTTTCTTTCATTCTGTTTCTCATACTTTACCTGCTTCCGCAGTGTCTGGTTGCCTGGCTGGCAATCCGGTGCCTTAGGCAGGCAAACAACAGATCTTTACATTGTTAAACAAACACAGCATAAACAAATGTAACACATCTTTATATAGTTAAAAAGTAATATTCCACAACAGGTTAGTGCTGTTGTGTTGGTTTTTGTTTTGTTTTCTGAAGAAATTTGAACCCATGATATGACAGTGTTTGAAAATTAGAACTTACTCTTTAGAATGTGCCAGTTATACTATGCTGACATTGTTTTCTGTTGCAGACAAGAAAAGAGCTCTCCTGGCTTAAGTCATATCTTAGCAGCCCTTATCATTTTCCTCAAGACTTTGGCTGTCAACTCCCGAAAACGGGTGTGTGAAGTAGGAGATGAAATTCTTCCTACCTTGCTGTGTATTTGGACTCAACACAGACTTAACGATTCTTTAAAAGAAGTAATCATTGAACTAATTCAACTGCAAATTTATATCCATCATCCACAAGGAGCTAAAACCCCTGAAAAAGGTATAAAGGGACCTTTTCCTGGTTTGAATATACTTCATTAAAATATAAGAGGCCCAAGTATGGTATTAGTATTCTGTAGATGAATGAAGTGTTTGGTTAATAGTGTAGTTAGTCATGAAACTAATTTTCATGTATTTTCTTGATTTTGAATCAGTGGCAATAAATTGCCTTTACATTGTTCAATAAAGTATTATGAAAACAAATATGAGATATTACCTGTTCCTCTAAAAGCTGCTTATCCTTCTTCACTGTTAATAGGCTATAGAGCAAAGGAATTTAGCGAAAGCAGGAACTTCTTTACATGTAGCTTCTTATTTCTAGTAGGAAATAGGTTAGCTAAACTGAAAACAGTCCATCCATTTATTGACTTATTCAGTTTCTAAGGAGGTTATGTGCTCAAGTCTTTGCAAAGACATGTGAAGTAGAATGAGACAATGGTTGCACCTTGTGCTTTTTAGTACACCGTGCTCATTTTCTGTGGGGAGGGGGGCAACAGGTGCAGCACCCCCCCACACACACACAACAGTAAAACACTGGTAATGAATCTTTTGATCTCCCTGATTGTTTTGCCTTTTTTTTTAAAAAACAAAAAAAACAGAGTATTGTTCTTCAGTCTTTCAGAATTGGATTGAATGACAACTGACTTAATAGAACTCTGTTGTGCTTTGTCTGATTGCCTTTGGGCTTGCACTATCCTTTAGACATCATGGCTAACTGTGATGATTTTGGTAAAATGCCTTGGACAGTAAATAACAACTGTTAGAATGGAGGTTAACTGTTGAAGCCACTTTTTATTTTATATGTATCATCTCTTCTAGATTTGTGTAACAGTGTCAAAAAGAACTGTGACTTCTCAGTTTTTCGTCTTTTCCCTTCTAGCCAGGATAAATATCAGGCTGGTTAAGAAGTGGTGTTACAGCCGGGCGATGGTGGCATATGTCTTTAATCCCAGCACTTGGGAGGCAGAGGCAGGCAGATCTCTGTGATTTCAAGACCAGCTTGGTCTGCAAGAGCGAGTTCCAGGGCAGCCTCCAAAACACAGAGAAACCCTGTCTTGAAAACCAAAAAAAACCAAAACAAAAAACAATAAAAAAGTGATGTCATGTGTTAGTTACCTGTGTATTTATGGTGAAAATTTGACAAAAGGATGAGACTTCCAAAAGAATTCACATATTTTTAGTCTCCAATAATTTATTTTTATGGTATCCTGTTTGTGAGAATTAATAGCTCTGTATTTTTTTCTTGAGGGTCAGACAGTTGGAGAAATATGTTAACTAGACTCTGCAGACTCCAGGTCAGCCTCTTAAGAAAGACATATGTTGACTGGAGTGTCATGTGAATGGTGAGCTAACCACCATAAATGGATAGCATCATACATGTATTAGTGGAAGAAGCTGGTAATAGTTTCCTCTTAATAATGTAAATTAAAGAAGCTGTTTCTCATATGGAAGGGGGCATATTATTTTTCTTAGGAAATGTAATGCATTAGAAAAGGGAAAATTTTAGGTGAGAATGTGAGGGTATTTATAATACCACAGTTAGCTAATTATGAAGTGAAACCATTAAGGAGTAGTGTTTTCAAGGATTTTGCCCAAAGATGTGTTAGTACTAAATAGAGATTGGACTAGATATCTAATGTTGATGTGAGAGCTGACAGTGCAGATGGGATTTGTATATAAATACCCTGTGTTTCTGGGTTACAGGTGCTTATGAATCAACAAAATGGAAAAGTATCTTGTACAACTTATATGACCTGCTGGTGAATGAGATTAGTCATATAGGAAGTAGAGGGAAATACTCTTCAGGATCTCGTAATATTGCTGTCAAGGAAAATTTGATTGACTTAATGGCAGATATCTGTCACCAGGTATAGTAGCTTTTGTCACATTTGAAATTTCCTGCTTATTTTTTTTCTGTTGGACACTTATTATACCTTGCATGATCACAAGAAGCCTATAAAATTATTGTGTACATTTAACAATTATTTTCAAATTATGTGTATTTGAAATTAACCCTTTTAATTGAAAAATAACTCTTGAACATGTGTCTAGAGCTAATGATGACAATCATACAGGGAAAATGAATATACTCTTAAAGTTAAATTAGAATTTATGTAGCATAAAAATCACTGATATTTACAATTATTGGTTTGTTCCAAAACGATCACCAAAATCTAATTCCAAAGCCTTTTTGTCATCTCAAAAGAAACTTCAGACCTACTAGCTTTTAGTTACATCTGTTTGTTTCTCTTAGCTACTAATGTACTTCTAATATCTGAATGGTTTGTCTGTTTTAGATATTTCATAGAAGTAGAATCACACGTATGTGGGCTTTTATGCCTGGCTTATTTCACATAGTGTAATATTTTCCACTTGGCACTGCAAATCAGTATTTTATTCCTTTTCATAATGGAATAATAATTACGTGGATGTAGTACATTTTGCTTACCTAGTCATCAGTTGATATCCTACTATGCCTTCAGTAAAACTCTTCTCCCCACAGATTTGGTTGGCATCCTGGTGGTAGTTTTGCTCTTAAATATTAATGGTGAATTTAAATTTTTTTTAAATTTATTTTTATTTTACTTGATTTGCATTGGTGTTTTGCCTGCATTTACTCTGTGTTAGGGTGTCAGATCTTGTAGTTACAGACAGTTGTTATCTCCCATGTGGGTGCTGAGAATTGATCCCAGGTCCTCTGGAAGTACAGTCAGTATTCTTAACTGCTGAGCCATCTCTCTAGCCCAGTAAATTTAAATTTTAATCCTGTTGGAATTAAACTATTTTCAGTTTTGGTAAATATCCTCTGGAAATAAAGCTAGTACCCTACATGCACATATTTGCTAAGAACGTGATTATTGCTATGTAAAATATTTCTGTTAATGTGTTTATATATTTGTATAACTTGTTAATCATTATGAGTTCCTGTATCTTCATTTGAGAAGGACTTTTTTTCCCAGTGATTATTAGGAAATTGTAGTAATAAAAGTGTGTTTTTTTATTTTGAAGCTTTTTAATGCAGATACCAGATCTGTGGAGATTTCTCAGTCTTTTACTACACAAAGAGAATCTACTGATTACAGTCTGCCTTGCAAAAAAAGGAAGATAGAAGTAGGCTGGGAAGTGATAAAAGATCATCTTCAGAAGTCACAGAATGATTTTGATCTTGTGCCATGGTAAAGTGTTTATTTTTCTCATTCAGTGTCATTTAATTGTATTTTTCCCCAGAAAGCCCTCACTGACCTGAGCTGTCATTTGTCTACTGCCAGACCAGCTAGTAGTAGCAAAGTGTGATTATTTATTTATTTATTTATTTATTTATATTATTATTATTTTTTTTTTATTTTTTTATTTTTTTTGGTTTTTTCGAGACAGGGTTTCTCTGTGGCTTTAGAAGCTGTCCTGGAACTCACTCTGTAGATCAGGCTGGCCTTGAACTCACAGAGATCCGCCTGTCTCTGCCTCTGGAGTGCTAGGATTAAAGGCGTGTGCCATCAACGCTGTAGCATATTGAGATAACCACTAAAGGCTCTTCTGCTGTACAAGCCAGACTACCTTTTTAGACATACAGACATAGGAAGGAAGGGGGACCTGGCTATGGTAGGCAGTCTTACTTTCTGCCTTTGAAATTCACTAAGCTGTAAACCTCATTAAGAAGGGATTTTTTTTTTTTTTTGCAGTGCAACATACCTTCATGTGTAGTTGGATTAGCAGTGAATTAAAGAGCATTCAGTAATCACAGGGTAATTTCTTTCAAGAGAGTAGAGTTTGATTTTTTCTTCTTCCTCTTTTTATTTTCATTCATGCATATTTAAATATGCACAATTTTAGAATCATAGATTATCTCTGATAAGGATTATTAGACTATATCTAGACAGGCCTGTTCACTTTTCTGAAAGGGACCAATTTAGAAATGTCAAGCAAAGTGCCTAAAGATACTGAGAATTTACAAATGGGGTGGATGTGTGTGTGTTTCACCATGTTGTGGGATATTTAGATGTAATTGAGTTGTGAAGAAAGATTTTGTTACTTAGTGCTTAAGCTTATATTTATTTTATATAATTGAGAATTTTACATCAGATTCTTTATCTTTTTAGTCAAGAATCACTTGCTCTGTGGTGGTGGCACACTCATTTAATCCCAGCACTTGGCAGGGCAGGTGGATCTCTAGAGTTTAAGGCCAGGGCTAGAGAGAGAAATTCTGCTTCGAAAAACAAACAAAAAAGAATTACTGAATGACATTTATGTGTCACACTTTAGACATGCAGCAATGAATAACACAGGATTCCTGTTTTTGAGTAGCACTCCTTCTACATCAGTGGTTCTCAACCTTCCTAATGCAGTGATCCTTTAATACAGTTCATGTTGTGGTGACCCCAACCATAAAATCATTTTGTTTGCTACTACTTCGTAACTGTAATTGTGCCACTGTTCTGAAGCATAATATGAATATCTGATATGCAGGATATCTGATATGTGACCCTTGTGAAAGGCTTGTTCAACTCCCAGGTTGTACACCACTATTCTAGAGAATTCACAATATATTGTATTGAATAATAAATTGGTATCAAAGAACAAATATTTAGGCTTTGTTTTTCCAACTTAGAATAATTTTGGTGGCAAAAGATCAGAAATGAGCCAGGGGTTGGTGGCTCACATCTTTAATCCCAGCACTTGGGAGGCAGAGGCAGGTGGATCTCTGAGTTTGAGGCCAGCCTGGTCTACAGATCGAGTTCCAGTACAGCCTCCAAAGAAATACAGAGAAACTCTGTCTCGAATGTGAATTTTTCATTTTTCTTCTTCTTTTTTCTTTTTTGAGGTTTTATGTAAAGGGCTAGGCAGAAGTTGAAAACACTATGGAAAAGAGTGAAGAATGATGCTTTAATTAGGATATGTAAATGTATATAATTTGTATATTTGTTTTCTTTTACGTTGTTAATGGGAGTGAAAAAAAATCATATTCTTTTGTTTTCCTTTCAGGCTACAGATTACAACCCAATTAATATCAAAGTATCCGTCCAGTTTACCTAACTGTGAGCTGTCTCCATTACTACTGATACTATACCAGCTTCTACCTCAGCAGCGGCGTGGAGAACGCACACCATATGTGTTACGATGCCTTATGGAAATTGCCTTATGTCAAGGCAAGAAATCAAACCTAGAAAGCTCTCAAAAGTCAGACTTACTGAAACTGTGGATTAAAATTTGGTCTATTGCCTTTCGTGGTATTAGTTCTGAACATACACAAACTGAAAACTTTGGTTTACTTGGGGCCATTATTCAAGGCAGTTTAATTGAATTTGACAGAGAATTCTGGAAGTTATTTACTGGCTCAGCCTGTAAACCTTCAAGGTAGGTTGCATTATACTTGATTTTACATATGCATACAAGTGTATGTCCCTGATCATTTTTGTGTTTGTTACTTCAATAAAAGATATATTAAATTTTGTTTTGGATACTTTTGTTATTTGGTCCAAAATGCGTAATATTACAGAGAGTTTTTGTTTTGTTTTCTCTTTTGTTTTTTGGAGATAGGGCCTTACTATGTGGCTCTTGCGGGCCTGCACCTCTATAATCAGCTGGCTTTGAACTTACAGAGGTCTGCCTTTCTCTGCTTCCCAAGTGCTGGGGTTGAAGATATGAGCTATCATGTCCTGCTTTTTTATTTTTTTCAGGCCTGTTTTCTTTAAAGGGTTATAAAGTGTAAATTTCTTTTACCTATAATTTACAATTATTCACTATTCGTAAATATTTTCATAGTTCCATATATTTTTATTGAACAAGAGTTTTCTCAAATGTAACCTTCCTTTTACTACTTTGTTAACAAAATGTAGTTTGTATTGCCCTGAGTATGGCAGGCTTAATGGTAAGCAGGATAGATAGGTAAGGCTTCTGCCCTCAGAGAGCTTGCTTCTAACAGTTGTCCTTTTTTCTTTATAGTTCTTCGGTATGCTGTTTGACTTTGGCACTTAACATCTGTGTAGTTCCAGATACAATGAAAATGGGAACAGAGCAAAGTATGTGTGAACTAAATAGAAGTTTCTCTATAAAGGAGTCAATAATAAGATGGCTCTTATTCTACCAGTTAGAGGATGACTTAGAAGTCAGCATAGAATCACCCCCGATTCTTCAGAGGTAATTGTAGTTTACTGTTTTGTATGTGCTTGTTTAATTGCTTTTTTTTTTTTTTTTTTTTGGTTTTACGAGACAGGGTTTCTCTGTATTGTTTTGGAGGCTGTCTGTCCAGCCTGGCCTCAAACTCACAGAGATCTGCCTGCCTCTGCCTCCTGAGTGCTAGGATTAAAGGTGTGCGCCATCACTGCCCGGCTACTTGCTTAATTTTATAAGACACCTATACATATTTAATATCAGATAGCTTTATTTTATGCTCATAATACAGAATTTCCTAGAGTTAGGTCTAAAATATTAAAGTTGTCTGTATTTTTGTGCTGGATCATTTCTAAAATAAAAGATCTCATTGTCGGATATGGGAAATGTTCACAAAGAATAGACACATTCATATTTTAAGATTTAGTATATTTATGAAGATTATTCATATTTGTGGTATACCATGTAATATTTTGATACATGCATGCATTGTAAAATCAAGCTAAACATATTTGCTTTTAAATAATTGTAATTTACTTATTAGAACACATTGAAAACCATGACTTATTTAAAAAATATATAGTAAATTATTATAATCACTCACTCTATTGTATAACATCAGAATGTCTTTCTCCCATCATAAATTGTGTCTGTTCTTTTGAGGGGAGGGCTGCTCTTTTTTTTTTTTTTTTTTTTTGAGACAGGGTCTAACTCTGTTCTGGCTTGGAACTCAGTATACAGACCAAGTTGGCCTCTTAAGGGGATTCTCTCTCCTGCCTCTGCCTCCTAAGTGCTAGGGTTAAGTGCTAGGGTTAAAGGCCCTAGCAATTAGGGCCTTTAAACAACTGGTCTTGGGTGTTTCTTTGTGACCTTCTGTGAACAAGTCCCTTGTCTCCTCCTTATTCCTTAACCATAATGGGTATCTTCTGAATGACATTTATTACATCAATAATAAGAAAAACAAAGTAGGATTTAGGCCCTAGGATGGACCAGGTTTACCTTTCCCCAAAAGGATAGAACATAATGCTTTACTTTAATTTATAATCTTTTATTTCAGAAATACTATTGGGGGAGTGGTGCTAGTAAGGTGACTCAAGCAATTAAAAGCACTTGGCTATTCTTCTAGAGGACCTCAGTTTGATTCTTAGCACCCACATGGAAGCTTACAACTGTGTGTAACTCCAGTCTCGGAATCTTATACTATCTTCTAGCCTTTGTGTGCATCAGGCACACACACAATGCACAGACATTGATGAAGGAAAAACAGTCACACATATAAAAATGTTAAATAATCTTAAAACGTAAATCCTACTTTTAAAATTATATATAACTTATTCTATGGAAACTATGGTAGTATTGTTTCAACCTCTTTACTAAATTCTTTCAAATACTAAGTGATTTAGAACGTATGGAAGCATTTTTAGTTTGGGATCTCAGTTTTAGCTATATACAGAGATGTTTAGAGTTTTTTTCTAATGGCATGTGTTCATTTAAGTAAAACTTTTCATTTTTCTTTTTTAGTAATTTTCCTCATCTTGTACTGGAGAAAATTCTTGTAAGTCTCACTATGAAAAACTCTAGAGCTGCAATGAAGTTTTTTCAAAGTGTGCCAGATTGGTATGTTATATAAGAAAATATATGACATTTTAATATATAGTATTAATTAGATAGATAATTTTAGCTGGGTGAAAGCTTATCTTATTGGTTATTATAATCCAAACTGGTCTAATTAAAGAAAAAATCACTACAGTTAAACAGGGAGAAGTTTCTTATCAGTGATTATAATTTATGTCTATAACTTTAGATGAAGATTACAGTTTCATTACTGTGTATTATAACATGTATAACAAATGCTAGTAGAAAAAACTGAACAGTTCTGATGGGAAATTGGGAACATAAAATGTATATAAAGTGAGTTTTTATTAGGGACCTCTTTTTTTGTATGTTGAATATGTTGAATAAAATTTATTAGGTTTAAAAATGGGCCAGTGGGACAGCTCAGGAGGTAAAGGCACCTTTCAAACCTAATAACCTGAGTTCAATCCTTGGGACTGACATGCTGGAAGTAAGAACCAAGTCCTGCAAGTTCATCATGTGGCGTCACTGTCTGTCTGTCTGTCTGTCTGTCTGTCTGTCTGTCTGTCTGTCTGTCTGTCCCCCTCCCCCCCTCTCTCTCACACACACACTCTTCTCTCTCTGTCTCTGTCTCTGTCTCTGTCTCTCTCTCTCTCTCTCTCTCTCTCTCTCTCTCTCTCTCTCACTCACTCACTCACTCAGCTAGCTAAACAGATGTCAGGAAAGCAACAAAACCTAGTGGGAGTTGGATATAATGATGTCCTTTGGTCCCAACACTGAAGCAGAGACAAGAGTATCTTGAAATCAGAAGTTTGAGATGATCCTGAGCAGTGTAACTAGAATCAGTCAAACCTAATTATATTTAAAGTGAAAAATATCTAAAACCTTCTTTTTAGTTGGTTGACAGACTTAAGTTTGTCTCTGTGACTGAATAACTCATTGACGTGAAGATACCCAGTCTCTCGATCAAATGCATTAAATGAAAGAAAAATCCTGCATTTTGGAAATAAGAGGTGAAAAGAAGGCAATGTTTTTGGTAGTTATCTAGTGTTAATGTTTGGTAGTTATCTAGTGTTAATGTCTAAATAGTTCTCTGAATTTGCCTTTTAAATTGTAGCTTTTATATTTATGTAAGATTTGCTACGGGATAATGACATTTTCCAGCCGGAATTCGGTTTGCTGTAAAAGTCCAAAGAAGACAAGCATTTGACATAATAATTCACAAATTGAACAGTTTTTGGTGTAAATGCTTTCTTGATGTTTTTATATGTAATATGTAGCAAATAAGTTGAGAAAGTATTCGATGGTGGTTATTAATCAGTAATCTTACTCTTGAAGTGAACAACACTGCCAAGATAAAGAAGAGCCTTCATTTTCAGAAGTAGAAGAACTATTTCTTCAGACAACTTTTGACAAGATGGATTTTTTAACCACCGTGAAAGAATGTGCCGTAGAAAAATTTCAATCTTCTGTTGGCTTTTCTGTCCATCAAAATCTCAAGGAATCATTGGATCATTACCTTCTGGAATTATCAGAACAGCTTCTAAATAATTATTCTTCTGAGGTGAGATTTCTTTTCTTTTTTCTGAGACAGAGTTTCTCTGTAGCTTTGGAGGCTGTCCTGGAACTCGTACTGTAGACCAGGGTGGCCTTGAACTCACACAGATCCACCTGCCTCTGTCTTGGAGTGCTGATATTAAAGGTGTTGTATCACCACCACCTGGCCAAGATTTCTTAAAAAAAAAAAAAAAAAAAAAAAAAGAATTGAGGTCTATTTTTGAACTTTCTTAGGTTGTTAGGAAGGAGAAATAGGGGAGTGAAAGGAATGAAAGATGAGAGAAGCCTGGTTTTAAGTAAAGTCTTGGCACATGCCCACAACTAAGGAAAGTTAGCATGGAGGAAGGAAAATAATTTTTAGATATTTTGTCCCAGGAATTCTGTAGGTGAAAGAATTCTTTGGGTAGGTTGGGGGAAAATAGTGCTGGTGTGAGTTTAAGAATTTCAGGACAGAATGAACATGCTGGAACAAAAGAAGGAAATTTTACTCACAAAAACTAGATTTGTTACATTTGAATCAAGGGGAATGATTTTAAAATGTATGGAATGGACTGACAAGTAGATACCCGGTTTTTAGACGTAACATGACATCATAAATTCATATATGCTGTTCTCTTTCTTGTAAAACATCATTTCTTTCTGTGCATGGTATATATCTATCCTGTTCATGTATTTTGATGGCCACGTGTTACAGTTGGTGTGGAAGCCACAGTAGTTTTTTCATCTGCTAATACAGCATTTGGGTGTAATGGAGCATACCGGGAGGCAGAGACATGTGAATATTTGAGTTCAAGGCAGTATTGTCTAAAAGCTAGTTCCAGGATAGCCACGTACACACGGATATGCATTCTCTGGAAAAAACAAATAACAGTTGGGTGTGGTGTCTCACGCCTTTAATCCCAGCATTTGGAAGGCAAAGGCAGGTGAGTCTCAAAGTTTCAGGCCAGCATTAGGATGTCAAGGACTACACAGAGAAACCCTGTCCTGAAGAAAAAAAAAAAGAAAAACAACAAAATAATTGTAGTATTTAGTATCACAAATTTTTTTTTAAAGATTTATTTATTTATTTATTTATGTATTTATGTATTTATACGGTGTTCTGCTCACATGTATGCCTGCATGCCAGAGAGGGCGCCAGATCTCATTATAGATGGTTGTGAACTACATGTGGTTGCTGGGAATTGAACTCAGGACCTCTGGAAGAGCAGCCAGGGCCCTTAACCTCTGAGCCATCTCTCCAACCCCACAAAATTTTTTTAAAGAACTAGCTTTACTTTTTTAAATTTATTTTTATCTTATGTGCATTGATGTTTTGCCTTGAGTGTCGGGTCTTGTGGAAGTGGAATTACAGACTGTTGAGCTGACATTTGGGTACTGGGAATTGAACCTCTGTCTTCTGGAAGAGCAGTCAGTGCTCCTAACCACTGAGCCATCTCTCCACCCTAGTATTATAATTTTAAGGGCACTTAATTAGCATTTTCTTTGTATCATGGGTATTTATCTGTCTATAAATCTCAACCTTTGCTATAATTTGCTAAAAAAAATAGTTTAACCTTTGTATCTTCCACAAAGTCTTGTGTTATAATTTTAAAAAGCTTGTAAGCCCCCCCCCCAAAGGAGTGAAATAAGTAGGCAGGGAAAATGACTTTAGAAATTTATAAGTATACCTCATTTATAAAACATATTTTACTTATCTAAATTTTCTAGCAGCTTGATGTTAACTTGTGTGGGAGTAAGCACAATTAGTACTCTATGGTTTCATGGTAGTGGGGGTTTTTTCCATAGAATTTTGTAGAGGCTGCCATTTTACATACATTTTCATCCTTCACCAAAGCCTGCATAAAATTTCCTAAAGGGAATGGCATAATATTGAGAATCATTAAAAATGAAAAAAAGGGTGCTGGATTATTGTGATACACAAAATTGAACCTTTGTCAAGTAGCAATGGTTGCCATGTTGTCAACTTTTCTATGAATCTAGTTTCTGATCATGTTCAAAGTCTTGTTTTTTTCCCTTTCAGTAATGTAATCAGACCTAGGACCTTGTGTTTGTTAGGCAAGCACTGTACCACCGATTGACATGGCCAGTTTTCTACTCATGTTTTGAGACAGTTGTTTGCTTGACAGACATTTCTTTCTTCCTTCTTGCGTGTTTCTCCCTTGGGAAGAGTAAAAGGACATATTGTTAGTACTCAGGCATGTGTACTGACCTGCCCTTGATTTTTCTGACAAGATATGCCTTCAGCTGTAGTCACTAAGAGCACCACCTGTGTGCTCTCACACCATTCCCTTTTAAAAGGGCCCTGCCCACCTCCCATCTTTCTCTCCCTCTGCTTCTCTTCCTGCCTCTCTGTCTCTCCCTCCCCCCTTTGTCTTTCTCTCTCTCTCTTGTCTTCTGCTGCTGTCCTCAGAGAGTGGTCTCCCTTCTCCCCCCTCTCCTCCCCTCGCCCCTTTCCCCGTTCACTTTCTCCCAGTAAAAAACCCCTCCACCCAAGCTCTGTCATATGATGTCTTTCTCTCTAGTGCCACTTTTTAAAATTGTAACATATACTCTTCCCTGTCTTTAGGAGTAACTACTTAGATAATTTGTTTTAGAATATTGGTTATCCTAAATTTACAGTCATCTTTAAGCTGGTTTTAAAGGTTACCCTAGAGCATTCCAGTTTTTTTTTTTTGTTTTTTTGTTTTTTGTTTTGGTTTTACGAGACAGGGTTTCTCTGTTCTGGAGGCTGTTGGTCAAGCCTGGCCTCGAACTCACAGAGATCCGCCTGTCTCTGCCTCCCGAGTGCTGGGATTAAAGGCGTGCGCCACCAACGCCCGGCGAGCATTCCAGTTTTAACGCTGCTGAATTTTTATTTCTTCATATGTGCATGAACTTGTTCATCCAAAGGCAATTCCAAAGAATGCAAAATTATTTATGCCTAATACTATATTTTTAAATTTATGATTTTTTTTTTAAGGTTACAAGTCCAGAAATACTTGTCCGGTGTTCAAGTCTTTTGGTGGGCGTTCTTGGCTGCTATTGTTTTGTGGGTATAATAATGGAAGAAGAAGCATATAAATCAGAATTGTTCCAGAAAGCCAAGGTAGGAATATTTATGCTGATAAAGTTTGATAGATTTAAATGAAATGAATTCCTGGAAGAATTAGGGAAAATACATTTTTGTATATGTTGAATGCCCCAAATATGAAAATAGGAAATCTGAAACATTTTAGAACTAGAAAATTTGAGTCCCAGCATAACCACTAAGATGAAAATTTCCACATCTGTCCTCAAATGACAGGTCATAGTCAAGATGTAGACACAGGTTAGCATCAGATGTGTGTAAGATGCTGTCTTTAGTTTTCTGTTGCTTTGATGAAGACCATGGTTAAAAGCAACCTGGGGAGGAAAGGTGTATTTGGATTATATATCAAGATCATGGTCCAGTATTGAGGGCAGTCAGGCTAGGAACCTCAAGATGGGAACTTGAGCAGATGCTATGGAGGAGTGTTGTATGTTGGCTTGCTCCCCCTGGCTGACTAACTTTGGTTTCTTATCCAGGACCTGCCCAGGGATGGCATTGTGCACAGTAGACTGTGCCCTTCTACAGCAATGATCAGTCAAGAAAATGCCCTGACAGACTTGCCTGTAGACCAAATTCTCAATTAAGGTCCCTTTTCTCATATAGTGTGCTGGTATCAAACTGACAAAAAACTAACCAACACAGGGTAGATGTCTTTCATGAGTTTTGTTTTTAGATTTGGCATTTTTCACAAAGATATCTTGTTAAGTATATATAAATATTCCAGATTCTGAAACATTTTATGTCTTGTATATTTTAGATAAGAGATGCTCAACATATATAAACTTTTTTCTTTCACATACAGTCTAAAAGAAATAGCGTGTCCTTCCTTAGGATGTGTAATTATTACAGGCCATTAATAAATATGGTAAATGATCTCTATGACAATGTAACCTCATTATAATACTGGTATTTTATTGTTATTATAATTTTGAGATAGGGTCCCTGATTGTCTTGGAACTCACAGATCTGCCTGCCTCTGCTTCCCAAGTTCTGGGATTAAAGGTGTGCCCCACTGTGACTGACTATACACATTGATTTTTTTATCTGTACTCTTAAAATGTTTCCTCAAGATAATCTGTAGTAAAGAGCTCTTGATTGGATATATTAATCAAATATGTTCTAAGGTTAAATTTTTCTCAATCTCTTGATACTAGTATGTCTTATTTGTGGTAGGATTTGCAAAGGGAACAGGGTATAAGATTAAGATGGGTTTTTGTTAGTATTTTGTTTGTTGAAACAGGGTTTCATTGTATAGTTCAACCTGCCTGGAACTAAAGATCTAGTACTCTCTGAGCACTGGGATTATAGGTGCATTGCCACTCATGGATTGGATTTGTCTTTTTCTTTTTGTGTGTTCCTCATTTGTAATCTTGTTGCACGACCATGTGCACGTAAACCCCCCCGCCCCCGTCTTGAGACAGGGTCTCAGCTTTTAGCCTAGGCTGGCCTCGTGATCCTTTTACCTCAGCCTTTCCCAAGTGATGGGGTCACAGGTGTCTGCCACCACTCTCAGTTTCATATTTAGTTTGCAAATATATTTACTTTTGGTTCTTAAATGAAATTTCAAAATAGCAATACTAAGTTGTTATTTTTAACTGGCATTTGTCTTTGTCTTTTTCTTCTGTTCTAAATAGTCTCTAATGCAATGTGCAGGAGAAAGTATCTCTCTATTTAAAAATAAGACAAATGAGGACTCTAGAATTGGTTCATTGAGAAATGTGATACATCTGTGTACAAGTTGCTTATGTAGACATATCAAGGTAAGATCATCTTCTTGGTAGTATAGTCTATTTGTGGGGCTATTATTTAGTGGAGTTGAGTTTTTAATCTATTTTAAAATTTTTATGCTGATCTGAAATGAAATTGAATAATAAATAAGAATATTCTGAGAGTATTGGTTTCTCATGAAACTTATTCTGTAACTTTATTTTCTTATTTTATATATATAGCTACATAGAGTCTTTGATTGCTAGCACATTTTCATTAATTTATTGCTTCATTATTAACAAGTCTGATTTTTCATAGCATTATACCACAGGTGATAAGTGCTACAAATATAAATAATGCTATCCTAGGATGAGCTCAGCCTGTAGAGTATCGACAAAGATAAATGTTACTTTTACCTTCATTTTTTTTCAAGACAGGGTTTCTCTGTGTAACAGTCTTAGTTGGAACTTGATTTGTAGACCAGGCTGGCCTTGAAATCACAGAGATTCACCTGCCTCTGCCTCCCGAATGCTGAGACTAATGGCATACACCACTACTGCCCAGATTACTTTTGCCCATATTATCTTAGGTAACATTTGATAGAAGAATGCTGCTGTGTGTAAACCTTGTTTTTGCAAAGGCCTGTTGGGGTAGCTAAATGATGCTATAATGTTGATAATAATTGGAACAGTCTTTAAAAGCCAGTGCATAAACAACTTAATATTCGTAACATATGGTTTTGGTTTTCTAATGTGCTATCCTGTATTTTTTATATATGTGGAAGGCATGAAATGAAAGAGTGAGTCTCACAGTCAATTGCTTATTATGTTTAGGATCAGTAGCTGATATTTTAATGATGCATCAAGACAAACATTTACTGTAGTTGCTATTCTGATTACTTTCTAGTTAACTACCCTCTTGAAATGGACTCAATAAGTCCTTGTTCTTAAAAAAAGAAAGATGGTAGTGTGCCTCAACTTGTAATTTGGCCTCAGTTCTGGAGTCTACATTTCATTCAAGATAGAGAAAATATTATCACCAAAAATCTGTATTTGTTTTATTTTTTTATTGCTTGAATCTTTGTTTATATTACAGCATAATCCACACAAGATGGTATCCAGTTTTTTCCTACGATTGTTAACATCAAAGCTTATGAATGACATTGCAGATATTTGTAGAAGTTTAGTAAGTATGGATCTTTTACTAATAGATTTTACTCATTCTGAGATGCAGTTAAAATTATATATACATAATGTGTGAGAGAGAAGGACGGAGGATGATCAAGCACAAGCAAGCCGGTACATGTGTATCACAGTGTATGTGGAAGTCAGAGGACTGTTCTTGGGAATGGAGTCTCGTCTGTCATTTTCTGGGATCTAGTGATTGAACTCAGGATTTCAGGCTTGCATGCAAAAGTGTCTACCACTGACCCATCTTGCTGGCCCTAAATTGCAAGTTTTTGTTGTAATAGTTAATGAATAGATAGTATATAGCATTATAGTATATAGTATCTTAGATTTTTATAAATAAATGTAGCCTTTAATAAGCTTATTGCATTAGGAGGACATGCATTTGATTTCTTTTTAATATCAGTATCTGGCAGAGTAGCTTAGTTGCCTTTTAATTTCCTACTAAATAACTGATAGATTCAATTTATTGTATAGGATATTTTCTCACTACGTAGCTTAGGTAGCCTAGAACTTGCCATGTAGATCAGGTTGACCTTGAACTCACAGGGGTCTGCCTCTGCCTCCCCAGTGCTGGGATTAAAGGTGTGTGCCACCATGCCTGGACAATTCATTAAAAAACAAGCAAAAAAACAAACAAACAAAGAATGACCAAAATGGAGGAAAAGAGCTTGTCTTCTAGGGAGCTTGTTCTTCCTGTGGTGTTCATACCTTATTTTTTATGACCTTGGACTTTTGTTATACATGCTCTCTTAAAATTCCTGAAGAAACCTTAATTGTTCAGAATGAAAAATTATTCTGTAGCTTCATTATTTGTATTTCATGACAAATTGTTTAACTTGCTAGTATACCAGGTACATACTGCTGTGCTTTATTTGGCAGTTATGGTATTCCACTGCTTAGGAATAGTGTGCGTCTGTCTCTATGGGAATAACACCCTTTTAAAAAATCCATCTGTTTTTACTTTTTTTCTTTTTCTCCTCCTCTTCTTTTTTTCTTTCTGTTTTGTTTTGTTTTAGAGCATATCTTGCTAAGGTATCCATGACTAGCCTGTTATTGATTACACACCCTAGTTTGGCCTTGAATTCTTTTTTAAAAAGATTTATTATGATTACAACGTTCTGCCTCCATGTACCCCTAATGCCAGAAGAGGGCACCAGATCATTATAGATTGCTGGGAATTGAACTCAGGACCTCTGGAAGAGCAGACAGTGCTTTTAACCTTGAGCCATCTCTCCAGCCCTGGCCTTGAATTTTGATAGTCATCCTGCTTAAGCCTTACATGCAGTCTGCTTTGGTACACATAGCCCCATGCCTGCCATACCCATTTGCTCTCATATAACATTTCAAGTCATTTTCCCTTCTAACCAAAAGTTCTGCTATAGAGACTCCAGCATTTCAATTTTTGTCTTCTTGTATTTGTACACTTGAGGGATGCAAGTAAGAATCTCTGTTGGTCAAGGAATGTGTGAGAATTTTAGGGAGGGAGGAGGAGAGAGGGGGAGAGAGAGAGAGAGAGAGAGAGAGAGAGAGAGAGAGAGAGAGAGAGAGAGAGGGAGGGAGGGAGGGAGGGAGAGAGGGAGGGAGAGAGGGAGGGAGGGAGAGAGGGAGGGAGAGAGGGAGGGAGAGAGAGAGAGAGAGGAGAGAGAGGGAGGGAGAGAGAGAGAGAGAGAGAGAGAGAATGAATAAGATCTTAATTTTGTTGCCCAGGCTCACCTTGAACTCTAGGTGCAAATGATCCTTTTGCTTCAGGTATCCAAAGAGGTGGGACTACAGGCACATACCTCCATGCCCTTTAATTTTAATTTTGATGGACATTGTTATTGTCCCATAAAATAGTCCTAACAATGATATTCTTTCTGTGCTTTCATCAATCTCTGGTGCTAAATTTTATAAGTTTATTAAATGTTGCAAAGTATAGTTCTGTGTGTTTGTGGGGGTACAGAGTACCGTTTGAATGTTTAAATACAGTATGGAATGACTGCTAGATTCTTTGGGGGTGGGGGCGGTTTCGAGACAGGGTGTTTCTTGTGGCTTTGGAGGCTATCCTGGAACTAGCTCTTGCAGACCAGGATGGTCTCGAACTCCACCTGCCTCTGCTTCCCAAGTGCTGGGACTAAAGGCAAGCGCCACCACTGCCCAGTGACTGCTATCACATATATTTGTTTTATGCCTGTGTGTGGACACCTGTGTCACAGTGCACATGTGGAAGTCAGAGAAAAGTTTCTGGAGTCTATTCTTTCCTAACATGTGGATCACAGGGATTCAACTCAGGTCATCAGGCATGGCAGCAAGTCCCTTTATTCCATGAGCCTTCTTGTTGGCCTATGATAGTTTTTAATATAAGAAGTTATTTTTAAAGTTTTGCTATTATCCTGTTACCTAAACAGACTCTAGTTTATATATTCACTTCCTACAATATGATGGGTTGGTGTTTCTGAAAGAGGTATAAAACAACATCTTTGTTTCTTCTCTCCAAAGACATCCTGTATGAAAAAGCCATTTGATTATGGAAAAGTCCACTCAGTCAACGATGATGCTGATGAAAATCTGATGGAGGCACAGGATTCATCATCTACAAGTCTGTTTAGTGATTACCCTGCTAGTTCTTTGAGTGATGCAAATGATTCTGGAGAGAACCAGAGTACTGTTGGTAAATAAGTGTTCACTGCTTGTGGTTCCTTTTACCACTTTATGTGAATTTGCCACTTAAAGGACCTCATTGAAAAAAACTGTAATGATAATTTCATTTCCCTTAGGTATAGTCTACTTAGATCCTTCTTTTTCTATGCATTTAAATTTCTTTTTTTTTTCTGGAGACAGAGTTTTACTATGTAGTCCTTCCTGTCTTGGAATTCATTATGTAGACCAGGCTAGCCTACAAACTCAAAAAGATTCACCTGCCTCTGCCTCCCAAGTTTTGAGATTAAAAGTGTGTGCCACCATCCCTGGGCATTTAAAATCTATATTGCTGTTTTTATTATTTCCTGTTTTCGTGTGTGTTAGTGTGGGCACACATGTGGAGGTTGGAGGACAGTGTTCCAGGAGTCAGTGGTCCCCTTCCACTGTGGATTATGCGTTCTGGGCTTCACACTCAGTTTTGTTGGCTACGTGCAAGCCAACGTGAGTCAACGTCACTGTCTCTCCTTACTACTCATTTTAAATCGTTCTCATTTTGGGGGGGGGGGGGGTTCAGGGTGGGATTTCTCTGTGGTTTTGGAGCCTGTCCCGGAACTAGCGCTTGTAGACCAGGCTGGTCTTGAACTCACAGAGATCCACCTGCCTCTGCCTCCTGAGTCCTGGGATTAAAGGTTTGGGCCACCACAGCCTGGCATCATTCTCATTTAAAAAAATCAAATTTATTACTTTCTTATTTTATTCTTCATGGAAAAATTTTAAATAGTTTAAAGAAATACTACACGGTAGATTATTTGGACTGTGGAAAGTTCCAGAAAGATGTTTGAAATTGTGTTCGTCTACTGTGCCCCTCTCTTTGTGTTAATAAGTACCTTTTGTTTTTAGGTGCCATGAATCCTTTAACTGCCGACCACTTGTCAAAGCAAGATCATCTTCTTTTAGACATGCTCAGGTTCTTGTGCCTATGTGTAACTGCATCTCAGAACAACACTGTGTCTTTTAGAGCAGCTGATATTAGAAGAAAGTTGTTAATGCTACTTGATTCTAGCACACTAGATCTTACTAAATCCCTCCACCTACATATGGTGAGTTAAGTGGAATGAAGACGCTTTTTGATTTTGTCATGTTGCCAAGAAAATATAATAGTTGATGTGTAAGAGGTGTACACTAAGCCAGGTGTTGGTGGCTCACGCCTTTAATCCCAGCACTTGGGACACAGAGGTGGGTGGATCTCTATGTGTTTGAGGCCAACCTGGTCTACAAATCTAGTTCCAGGACAGTCTCCAAAGCAATACAGAGAAACCATGTCTCTAAAAACCAAAAAAAAAAAAAAAAAAAAAAGGAAAAAGTGGTACAGTAACTTTAAAGGCTTTTTTTTTTATTGTTTTTGTTTTTGAAAGATAAATCTGAGACTGCTTATAAAATTTATTCGGTATGCGTTTGTGTGTGTTTCCCAGATTGGGCTGAAGCAGTCTTACTGAATAAATGGGGTAACAGTGCATGTTATGCCTAGATTTCTCATTTGTTCTTTTAACATGCTATTAAAAGAATTGAAGTTGAGGCTGAAACATTGAAACTTGGATGTGTTTTGAATATTATTCTCTGTAATTATTATGATTATTATAGACTGGAACAGGAAACATCTTTAAGATAGGTTCTCACTGTGTATCCCAGACTGGCCTACCAAGCAGTCTTCCTTACAAGTGTTGAGATTATGAGTGTAATCAGCAGTAGTCAAAACAGATATGTGAAAATAATTCATAACTTGGAATTTGAGGTCTGAGTGTTGGTTTGGAACTAATGCTGCTAATATACACCTTCAGTTTCAATTCATAACTTTATGATTTAATCCCCCACCCTCAACTTGTAGTTCCTGTGTTTTGTCTTCATAAAAAGAAAAAATGAAACTTTACCTTTCCACAAATAAGTAATGAATTTATTTACTCAGTAACCTTCTATGGAACTAATTTCTTATAATGTGGAACATGTCCTTATCTTTTTTTAGTTATGTCCTTATCTTATACCCAGTAAAAGTTGGAAGTAGCTCCTGGTCCATTGAGTATCTTCTAGGTGTGTTCAAGGTTATAGCCTTGCATACCTGGTGCATTCCTAATCATGTAGGGGAATTTCTTGTCATGGATGTCTTGAACATGCACAGGCATTCTTTAATCAAAATGAGTTTTATTATGTCTTCTCAGTAACATTACATATAACTCACATATTAGGTATTAAAGTGAATTTTAACAAATTATTTATTAGTATATGAGAAATACCTCTTGGGATTTTTTGTTGTAGCTACAAAATTGCTTAACACCTAGAAATTGATTGCTTATTTATAACTAAGATTATAAGTGTTTCTTGTAACAGAGATCTTTGGGTATATAGTATTTGTAATACATCGTCACAGAGTTGCTGTGGTAAATAGGTAGGTTAGGATTTTTTACTTATTGGGATCATCTTTGCCTCCTAGAATTCAGTAGTTTTTCACCATTGAACTTAGCATTATTCTGAGAGTATAGAGACATAGTAATTTTAGATTCTTTATCTTTTAACTGCAATGGTGGCAATAATGATCATTTATTGAATTCCAGCAATAGAAGTTATTGTTTATACTCCTATGTTACCTTGTTGTGCCCAAGTTGCAAAGTCCCCAGAGACCACCAGGAAGACAGACCCACCAAACTGCAAAAGCAAGGTTTAATGATTGTTCATCCAACAAAAACAGGGACCCCAATCTAGCAGCAGCCCCCAGAGGGAGTGAAGTTCCCTGTCTACTGCTAGGTTTTAAAGACAAGAGTGACAGGATTACATCAGTAGGTACGGGTTAGTTTCTGGCTGGTTGACATTTGGGAACAATCAGGAGTATTTTATAGAGTCATATTTTGACATGAAATACCTGTGTACCAATTATTTCCATTGGTCAGTGCTGAGAGGGAACATTCTGTGGTTTCTATGGCATTGTCTTGTTACTTGCAGGTGGCCTGTTGCACATAGATACCAATAGTTTTCAGAACTATATCCTGGAGACTACAGGGGGAGGTTTTGGTCCCCCCTGGAGTTTCTTTTGTGGCCAAACAGTTCCCAGGAACCAAGCATCTAGTAGGCTGGGGGTGGGGAGGATGTTGGAGTTTCTTTGTGTCTTTATTTCTAAATTATTAGAAGTGAAACCTTTTAGTTTAGTTTACTCCTTTCAACCTGACCAGATTATTGATATATCCTCATTTTTATAGGTGAGAGTATGTATAGACTCTATGGCATATGGTCAGGATTTTTAACCATTTAAGTTAAGGCTGTTGTGCTGAGCTTTGAATCTAATGTTTTACTTGAAAGATATTATATGCTGTGTTTAGAAATTTACAGCTCTGTTCATGTTTGAATTTGTCTATATATGTTTTTAAAAGTAAGTGATCTGCGAGTAAAGCTGGCTTTTTTTTTTTTTTTAACCACCTTAGTATTTAGTGCTTCTGAAAGATCTCCCTGGAAAAGAACATTTGTTGCCAATGGAAGATGTCGATGAACTTCTAAAACCATTATCGTAAGAAATGAAAGCCGTGTTATGTTCACTTTAAATTCTAAACTGGCTGGTTCTTGTAAGCTTATAACAAAAACCTTTTCTACCACAGCCTTGTATGTTCTCTGTATCGTCGTGATCAAGATGTTTGCAAAACAATTTTAAGCCATGTCCTTCATATAGTGACAAACCTAAGTCAGGGCAGTGTGGACACTGAGAGCACAAGGAATGCCCAAGGACAGTTCCTGACAGTGATTGGAGCATTTTGGTAAGTATAAGTCTCTTTCTCTGCCTCTGGATGCAGAAGTAAACTTTGCACGTTAGTGATTTTTTTTCCCCCTGATTATCTTGTATACCTTTCTGCATCTTTAACAATAGCATAACATTATCTGTCCGCCTTTTTTAAATGTGCATATTTGTGAATGTTTGCTTGCATGAGTGTGGGTACATGTGGGTCACTGCACTCCTGTGGTAGTCTAAAAGAACAGCTTTGGGTGTCAGTCCTCACTTTGTACGTGTTTGAAGCAGGTACTACTTTCATTCCTGCATATACCGGGCCACCAGGCCCACAAGTTCCTCTTTTTCTGCTTTCCATCTTACTGTAGGCATGCTGAGATTACATTCGGGTGCTAGTGCATCTTTACATGAGTCCTGGAGATTCAGACTCTGGTTTTCACACTTACATGGCATGTAACTTTGTCTATTGAGCCCTTCCCCTAGCTCTGTCTTCCAGTCCCTAATTGGAAAGCTACGTTGGTTTTTTTTTTATAAAGTTTTGTTTTCTAAAGTGTTTAGCATATGGCCCTATAAATTTTGAATCACATATAACTTGACATGGATGCTGCATAAAAAGTAACAATCCTAAACCAATTGAATTGTTGGTGATGAACCAATTGGCTTTGTTGCTGTTTATTTCACTCGTAGTCTCACAATAACATTTTTAAACATCTTAAACATTTTATTTATGTGTGAGGGAAGTTTGAGCACATGCCATGGTGCACATGTTCAGGTTAGAGAACAACTAGTAGGAGTTAGTTTTTCTTCTTCCACTATGTGGGTTCCAGGGATCGAACTCAGATCCAGCAGGTGCTATTACCCACTGAGGCATCTCTCTGACCCAACAATAACATGTTTGATACTTACAGGAAATACCATACATGTAACTTAGATGCCTCATTCTGTTAGATTAATAAGGACTTCTCTAAGTCAATATAGAACATAGATTTTTAAATCTATGTTATAATGAACAAAACTTAAAGGATATTCTGTTTATAATCAGTTTGCTATCGCATGGATACCTGAAGTGTGTCAGTTCCAAGATACAAAACAAATGTATATCAAAATGAGTTTCTTTTATTTAGCTTGAATTTTTGGGAAGATAAATATACTGGTATGTTTTCTTATAATGAAAATTAACTTAAACAAAATTTTTTAATTACCTGTGATAATGTTAATAGCCATTAATTTTTTTCTCTTTGCTTTTGTTTGAATAATTATTACATTGACAATTTTCCCTAACTTCAGGCATCTAACAAAGGAGAAGAAATGTATATTCTCTGTAAGAATGGCATTAGTGAAGTGTCTTCAAACTCTACTTGAGGTGAGTTACTCCATGTGTCTAGAAAGTTCTTCATTGGAATGGTCAGAGCCACCTTTTTTAAGCTAATGAGTGATTTTTCTCTTAATGTTTGGTGTTTAACTTTAATTGTTGTTTTACTATAGGCCGACCCATATTCCAAATGGGCGATTCTTAATGTAAAGGGCCAAGACTTTCCTGTAAATGAAGTGTTTCCACAGTTTCTTGCTGATGATCATCACCAAGTTCGGATGTTGGCTGCAGGGTCAATTAATAGGTAATGAGTTGGGTTTTCACAAAGCTCTTGTAATACTGCAACATTTTACTAGCTGTAATGGTAACAGTAACACACACGTAGTATATACATGTGCCTGGGAGTTGTGCATTTTCTTTAATCTGACAGTTCTATCACTTAAATAACATTATTTTCCCAGTTTACAAGTGGAAACTCTGGCTTAGACAGGCAACTTGCTTAGTGCTATGGAGCAAAGTAAGTCATTGATTTGATTGAGAAGTGTCTGCTGGCACCTTAGGAGGTGTAGAAGAATGTTTGGATATTACCGTGGCTTTAAGTGAGTCAATAAAGTTATAGTTTTTCCGGGCACTGGTGACACATGCCTTTAATCCCAGCACTCGGGAGGCAGAGGCAGGCGGATCTTTGAGTTCGAGGCCAGCCTGGTCGACAAAGCTACACAGAGAAACCCTGTATTGAAAAACCAAAAAGTAAATAAAGTGTAGTTTCTTCATTTTGTGTGATGCTGATATATCTGCTGTTTTTAGCCTAAAATAATACTTGGCCATGGTGGTTGTTCATTGACAATTGTTGAAATGAATGTATTTGGAAAAGAAATTTTGTGCTACTTTAAAAACATCAAAGCTGAAAATTTGCATATCATTCAGACCTAGATGACCAGTAAGAGAAGGGTGCCATAAAGAAACTATCCAAGCAGTCACATACTCTATCACAGTAGTTCTCAACTTGTGGGTTGTGTCCCTTTGGGGGTTGTTGGATGACCCCTTCACAGGGCTCGCCTAAGACCATTGAGTAACTCGGTTATTTATATTACTATTTATAACAGCATCAAAGTTACAGTTGTGAATTAGCAATGAAAATAATGTTGTGGTTGGGGTCACCACCACATGAGGGCTATAGCATTAGGAAGGTTCAGAACCACTGCTCTGTGAATCTGTGACAGTGATGTCGCCATGAACCAGTTATTCCTCATTCCTCACTTACTTTAGTAAGAAAATAGTGCATTGTCAAGCTTGCTAGTGGTTGTGTGGGAGTTCAAATTTTTACTGTACTGAAGTTAAAATTGTAGAGGATCATAAGTTGAGTATAGTGGTATCATGAGAAAAAAAATGGTAAGTTTCAAAAATTTCAAGATGGATTCACTGTTTTTTTTTTTTCTTTGATTTGTTAGATATTTAATGTTGGGCTATTTCAGGAGAGGCTAGCAAAATAAAGGAATCAGAAGTATCAAGTTTTTAAGAAATACCAAAGACAAAATACATTATAGAGTTTCCTTAAAATATGTAAGTGTTATGTAAGAGGCATTGATAACCTCCACATCAAATATGATGTCAACTGGACATCAAAGCATCAAGCTAATCATTTTGGGGTGATTAAACATTAGAACAGATTGATAAAGAAATTTGTGAATTCATATTTGGTAAGAGGACAATGAATCTTCCGGTAGCTTGAGTTTTTTTGAAATCTTTTCTGTGTGGAAAAACTGGCTTATAGATTAAGGACCTTAACACTTAGCAGATGGTCTGAACTGCTAAAGTAGTCTTTCAAAGGAAGAGCTGCTGTATTTACCTCATACAGTGGTGTACTTTTGTCCTAGAATATGCTTTCATATGTAGGGTTTGTAATAAATTGATTTTTGTTGTTGTTGTTGTTGTTTTTAAAGATTATTCCAGGATGTGAAACATGGAGATTCCTCCAGATGCTTGAAAGCACTACCTTTGAAGTTTCAGCAAACAGCTTTTAAAAATGCTTATATGAAAGCAGAGGCAGCAATAAGAGAAGTGGTAATTATAGTAACATGTATATACTCTGTGGTCTGTCTGTGTTACATTTCTTTAGCATGCTCCAGATGTAAGTTGTGTTTAGTAGTTTACACTATAAAGCTGGTTTAAGTCAAGTGTATGGACTGAATAAAATTTTTTGAATGAAATTTGTAGGTCAGAATGAGTTAAATAATAGCAATTACTTTTGCTTCAACTAATCTGTGGTGTTTTGTGAAGAAAATCCAAATTAGTGGGGGATTTCAACATATTAGAGAGATTAAAAAGGCTTTTTAGTTTAAGAAATCTATAAAACCAAAAAGAAAAATCTAAAACACACCAAAAAATGCTGTGTATGGTGGTATTCAAAGACTGAGTTAAACTTGAGGGCTCCCTGGATTGTAGAATGACTATAGCTAGTCAAAAATGCAAATAGGGCCGGGCGTTGGTGGCGCATGCCTTTAATCCCAGCACTCGGAGGCAGAGGCAGGCGGATCTCTGTGAGTTCGAGACCAGCCTGGACTACCAAGCGATTTCCAGGACAGCCTCCAAAGCCACAGAGAAACCCTGTCTCGAAAAAAAAAACAAAAAAACAAAAAAACAAAACAAAAAAAAATGCAAATAGGAGCTGAGAAGATGGCTCTCAGTTAAGAACATTGACTGCTGTCCCAGAGGACCTTAGTTTGATTCCCAGTACCCACATGGCATCTGTAACTCCAGTTGAAGGGTATTTGACACCTTATTCTGATCTCCGCAGGTACTGTACATAAACATACATGCAGGCAAAACACCCACACATAAAAAATAAAAATACAATTTAAAAATGCAGATGGGGATTTTAAAAAAGTAATTGATTATTAAGCTGAAAGCATGTCATTCTATTTGCAAGATTTTCTTGTTTCTTTTGCTAATATAGGTGGCAGTGATTTTTTTTAAAGAAGAAAACACTTTCAAAGATGTCTTAATAACAGTCTTAGGAGTAGCACTTTGTAGTGGAAGAACTTTTAGTACCTTTCATTCTCCTTTTGTTGTTCTTTAAATAAAGTGATACCTGGTGAAAATGTTTCTTCTTTGGTAATTGTTCCCCTTACATCTTAGGAAATGGCACCTTTTCTTAACTATAGAAAAGCTTATTTCTTAATCCTTTCCTCTTAATTCATTACTATAAGGTTTAAAACTTTTCAAGCTACTTAGAGATTAGAGAATACTTGAGCTTGCTTGCTTGATTTATTAATTTAATATATTTATGTCAGTATTCTTAAAATTTTTTTGAAGTCATGTGATACTCAGAACCCTGATCTTCTGGATGAGATTCATAATAGAAAATCTGTTTTACTGATGGTGATCGCTGTGATCTTGCACTGTAGCCCTGTCTGTGAAAAACAGGCTCTGTTTGCCTTATGCAAATCTGTGAAGGAAAATGGATTAGAACCTCATCTTGTAAAAAAGGTATGATGAATATGTTCACATTGCTTGTGTGTAGCATTTGATGCTTCGAAACAGTTTCTTTTTCAGACTGGGAATATTAGAAACAAGTTTGCCTGAGTATATGCATGTGCATTTTACCCTGCTGGGGCTTGGACCCAGAGCCTTGTACTTAAGCAAACACTCTACCACTAAACTATTGTCTTTTCCACAGCCAAACTTAATAATTCTTTAAGTGGTATACTTGTATTCAGTATTTCCTTGTAGTTTTATAAATCACTCATTTAGACCTAGCAAAAGTGAGTGGTCTGTCTCCACACAGACTAGATCCTCTAGAAACTGTTTGTTGGTGGAAACATTGGATATATTTGGTTACTTTTGCCTCGTAGCTTGTGGAGTGAGCAGCACTTTGGGATTCAACAAGGCCAGAAAGCAAAGTTGAGTACAATGTGGCTTTAGGTTACATTTAGAAAAGAAGCCTGGGCTCAGTCATTGCAACCAAGTCATCCCATTTTTGTAGAATATGGCAGCCCTCCTTGTTCTTCCACTCCAAGTTCATTATTTGGGAACCTCTATAAGTTCTTGTTGCAGTTTTTAATGTGGTGAATATGGACTGATAGACAGTTAACTTTGTACCAGCATGGGTTCTATGGAGTTTTATTGTAGGTCACTCTGTAGGGAACTGGTCTTAAATGAATTAGCCTTTTACTTACTGTTTTTAAAATGATTGGAATGTTTCTGGATTTTTAAAAATGTGGATGTGGGACAGAGAAGTACTTAATTTTATAAAAATATCCTTGTAGATATAGTCAGCTATATAAAATTATGCTATTATTTTTAAATGTTTATTATGGGTTTTCAATGTGCTGGATGCTATGCTAGCAAATGTGTAGTACAAACGTTTTCCATTTTCTCATTTATTACTACCTCTGTGTCACAGATGCAGAAGTCAGGTAAAAGTCAGGTGACTTCTACAAAGTCCTAATTTAAATACCTACAATCTGAATGATGGTTGTTCCCATTTTCTTAGGCATCACATTTTCCTTTTGTGCAGGTTTTAGAGAAAGTTTCTGAATCTTTTGGGTGTAGATGTTTAGAAGACTTCATGGCTTCTCATCTAGATTACCTGGTTTTGGAGTGGCTGAACCTTCAAGATACTGGATACAACTTTTCTTCCTTTCCCTTTATTTTATTAAACTACACAAGTGTTGAGGATTTCTATAGGTAGGTTTATATATGTTGTGTGCAGTAGTGTTTGGCAACCCTCTTCCCACCCCTCTTACATCGATAGCCACAGGTAGGAAGTTGCTTGGGGTTTTTTGTTTGTTTGTTTGTTTTTTTAAATAAAGACATACTGAGAACATATCAAAGGATGTATTTTGAACTATAATCAGTTATGTAAGCTGTGGTAATACCTTATGCATCTTGATTTACAAACAAATACCTACCTTCCTTTGGAAAATAATCAAAGATATATTACTAGTGGGTCATTGTTTCCTGGTTGACTTTGTTTCCTATTGCTTGACAGTGGATTATTTAATCATTATTTCTATGGGTTTTCAAAGCTTATCACAAAATACTGGGGTGTAGCTCAGTTGATACAGTGCATGGCTAGCATGCTCAAAGTCATAGATTCAGCACTGACTGTGCAAACCAGGCATAGTGGCACGTAGCTACAATCCCTGGACTCAGAAGGTAGGTAGGTGAGGGCTGCTTTGTAGTTCAAGGTTATTTTCATCTGCATAGGGAGTTCAATGCTAGCTTGTACTACAGAAGACCCTGTATCAAAAAAAAATTTTTTTCTGATAGCTGTTTATTTGATCGTCTTTATCATGAATTCTTTTTTGCAATAAGTTTTATATTTTATATATATATTTTTTTGTTTGTTTGTTTGTTTGTTTGTTTTTGTTTTTCGAGACAGGGTTTCTCTGTGGCTTTGGAGGCTGTCCTGGAACTCGCTTGGTAGTCCAGGCTAGTCTCGAACTCACAGAGATTCGCCTGCCTCTGCCTCCCGAGTGCTGGGATTAAAGGCGTGCACCACCAACGCCCGGCATATTTTATATTTTTTATGAATTGCTTTATTTATAATATTGCATTAAGTTGATTATGTGTAAAAAATTAAAGTTTCTTAGCTGGGTATGGTGCTGCATGCCTGTAGTTTCTGAACTTTAGAGGTAGAGACAGGAAGATTACCACAATTTAGAGGTCAGCGTGGTCTCTACAAGTGTAGTCCATATGGAGTGAGAGTATCTCATATAAAGAGGAGGGAGAATAAAGTTGAACTTTAAGTGTTACTATTTATGTTTTCCTTAGCTTTAATTTCTCCATTTATAAAATGAGAATAAGAGTACTTAAGGATCTAGGGGCTGGAGCTATGGCTCAGCAGTTAAGAGCAATGACTTCTCCTCTAGAGGACCCACATTTAATTCCTAGCACCCACATGGTAGCTTACAATGATCTCTAACTTCTTTTCCAAATGACCCAATGCCCTCTTTGTTCCAAGGGATCCAATGTTTTTTTCTAGCCTCTATAGGCATCAGGCATGCAAGCAGTCATACGCATATATGCAGGCAAAACATCTGCATATATAAAATTTTTAATACATAATTAAAAATGTATAAACAATAAAGATCGAAAATGTTGCTTTAAACACTGACTATTATTTTAAGGGAAAAATTTACTCTGAAAAATTTTATAACCTAAATTTTAAACTTACACATTTTCAGGTCTTGTTACAAGGTTTTGATTCCACATTTGGTGATTAGAAGTCAATTTGATGAGGTGAAGTCCATTGCTAATCAGATTCAAAAGTGTTGGAAAAGTCTGTTGATAGACTGCTTTCCAAAGATTCTTGTACATATTCTTCCTTACTTCGCCTATGAGGGCACAGAGGACAGCAGCATAACACAGAAGAGAGAGACTGCTACCATGGTCTATGATACACTTAAAGGTGAAGACTTACTAGGAAAACAGGTATGCCTTCAGTTTTTGTCTGCCGTTGTCCCCTTACTGGTAAAAGATGTAAGCTTTAAAATTTAAGGTTATCAGGCTTGGGAAGATTGCTTGGTGAAGTGTTTTCTGGGTAAATATGTCTACCTGAATTCATATCCCTAATGTCACATAAAAGCTGAACATGTAACCCCAGAGCCAGGTATCCTGGATGCTTGTTGTCAACCCTGGAGAATTTCTGCCCTTTTGAGGTTCCCTGTAGCAGAAGCAGAGGTGGGAAATCTACCTCTTAGACAGTCATGATTTTAGTGACTATTGATGAAAGGTGATGCTGGCTTCAGATTTTGGGATTACTACATGATACTATGAGAAGAGTACAGGGCATCTCAGGGACTTATTGCTAGTTACAAAGATTTCTTAATAGTTAAGATCATTGAAGAGTTAGCAAATGAATAAAAAATAAAATGCAAATCGAGGAACAGTGAAGTTTATGAAACTGGTAGCTGGAAAACTTCCAATTTGAAAATTTAATGATAAAGTCTGTTAAAATCATTCTGTAAGATAGAAATGTGGCTATGTAGAAGAAAATGTAGAGGTTTTCTTTGTGGAACTTGGGCTTGGTTACCTTTTTTACCTATTTTTTTATAGTTATGACACAATAAGGAATTAATACTTAACCCTTTGCTGTTGTAAATATCACAACTGTAAAAATGTTTAATATATTTTACTTTTGTATCCTTATAGATTGATCAAGTATTCATTAGTAATTTACCAGAGATTGTGGTGGAATTATTGATGACATTACATGAAACAGCTGATTCTGATGCCAGTCAAAGCACTGACCTTGGTGACTTCTCAGGGTATGCCCATTTCATAAAGAACTAGCATAGTAGAGTCCCTTTAATTACAGATCTCCTTTACTGCAACTTCCTACTGTACTTGCTCTTTCTAGCTGATTTTTGGGGGAATACAGTGGCCTGTTTCTTTTCACTCTTTCTTTGGTGTCAACATTGAGCTACCTAATGCCTTTTGAGACTGTTTTTCTTTATGTGTTTTATTACTGGTTCTCTTATCCCCGTCTTGCCTTTCTCTGCCTCCTTTCTTTGTGGTGCTCCTTAGCTTAGATGTGAAATCAGTTGGTTGTATATGAATATTAGAGTGATTTGGGGGGGCTTGATTTTAAGCTACTTGAAAATTCTCAATGTTTAAAAAAGACTTAAAAATATTTTAATTTTGCATGTATATCTATGCATCATGTGCATGCAGTGCCCATAGAGGCCACAAGAGGGTAGTAGAGCCCCTCCAACTCACACCCCTTGGAGTTGGAGTTGTTAGCCTCTATGTGTGTGCTGTGATTAAACCTTGGTTCTCTAGAAAAGCAGACAATGCTCTTAACTGCTGAGCCATTGCTTTAGTTCCCAAACTATTTTTGTTTTTATGATACAGGGTTTCACTATGCAGTAATGGCTGTCCCAAAACTCACTTTATACAACAGGCTGTCTTCAAGCTCAGAGATCTGCCTGCGTCTGTGTCCCTAGTGCTGGGATTAAAGGCATGTGCCATCATGCCCTGCTGAAAATACTCAGTTTTTAAAAATGCTGACTGTGCTAAGCATATTAATTAGTAGTGATGCTGAGAAAGTACTTAGAGTTTATAATTGTAGGTATAGTTTAATACTCCAATGCATCACCTGGCTTAAGATTCTGTTGATCTTGCAATATTCTAGTACAGAATTGTAAATCAGACCTGAAGGAAAGTTTTACTAAGTCCCAACTCTAGGGCCATCATTGACTTCATAAAAGGTTAAATAAACCAATTATTTTAAACAAATCCATCTAACATTATGGACATAATAGGGATAGATGCCTAATTCGTGTATGTGGACTATGTTGTATTATAATTATTATATATTGTATTATAATTATGTATTGTATTATAATTGCATTATATGTTGTTTATAATTTTGAGAATATAGGTTTTCAATAGAAAGCCACTTTGTAACTTGTAAGTTACTTTAAATCTCCATTTTGGAAGTCCATTCATCTAATTTTGTTTTAAAAATAATTGCCTTTTTTTTCTTCTTTAGGGATTTGGATCCTGCTCCTAATCCACCATACTTTCCATCACATGTTATTAAAGCAACATTTGCCTATATCAGTAACTGCCATAAAACCAAGTTCAAAAGCATTTTAGAAATTCTTTCTAAAATCCCTGTAAGTACATATTGCATTATTAGCATAATAATTGATAAGAAAAGCCTATTTCATCTAAAAATCTAAGTATATCTTGTGGGAATATGAAAATTTAGTTGACTAATTTAAAAGGAAACAGTTCAAGTTGTATCTTAGTATTTTAGTCATTGTTAACTAAATGTATTATATATCAAGTCAGGATTACATGACCCTGCCTTTATTAATTATCTCAGAGAACATGTTTTCTGTTTCATCATAATTTGTTGAGTTTCAGTTTATTTTCTAAAAACAGAATGTGGTGACTATTTAAAAAATGAAATAGACCTTTAAACAATTGCAGTATAATATTTTGCATGTGATATCAAGCCTACTTCCAAATGATCATTTAGTAAAGTATAAACTATATTGGTTATTACTGAATATATTTGATTTTAAAATACTTTTCTAAATATGTATCTATTTTGTAGGATTCCTATCAGAAAATTCTTCTGGCCATTTGTGAACAAGCAGCTGAGACAAATAATGTCTATAAAAAGCATAGAATTCTTAAAATATATCATCTGTTTGTCAGTTTATTACTGAAAGATATAAAAAGTAGCTTGGGAGGAGCTTGGGCCTTTGTCCTTCGAGATGTTATTTATACTTTGATACACTATATCAACAAAAGGTAAATGATATATTGGATTGATGCATTAGCAGTGTTTTGTGTGTGCTAGTCTTTTAATGTGGTTAAGCATGTTTTCATGATAATCTCATTCTACTTTGGCTACTATGTCGTTGTCATCAAAAGTAGTATTATACTCTTGCTTTGTTCTATTTACTCAGAATTGGTTTGGCTGTTTGAGTTTGTGTGTATATGTGTTATATTTGAATCTTGTAGTTTTTATTTATTTATTTTTAGTTCTCTAAGTAATCATCAGTGTCTTTAAGGATTATATTACATAGATGTTTTGTTTTGTAGAGATTGTTCCTGCTTTGATTAAAATATTTGTAGCTATTATAAATGAGATCCTCTCCCCTTTTCTATTTTGTTATTTTCAGTATGAAGAAATCCTGATTCTTTTTCTTTCTTTCTTTCTTTCTTTTTTGTTATTTGTTTTTTTAACACAGAGTTTCTTTGTGTAGCTTTGGAGACTGTCCTGGCACTTGCTTTGTAGACCAGATTGGTCTTGAAATCACAGAGATCTGACTGCCTTTGCCTCCTGAGTGTTGGGAAAGGCATGTAAACCACCCAGCTATCCTGATTCTTTTATGTTGATTTTCTTTCCTTTTTTTTTTTTTTGTTTTCTGAGACAGGGTTTCTCTGTATTGTTTTGGAGGCTGTCCTGGAACTCACTCTGTAGACCAGGCTGGCCTCGAACTCACAGTGATCCGCCTGTCTCTGCCTCCTGAGTGCTGATTAAAGGTGTGTGCCACCGCCGCCTGGCTATGTTGATTTTATAATCTGAACCTGTACTGAATATATTAGGGCTTTGTTTGTTTGTTTGTGGAGCTGTTAAGCTTACCTGCAAATAGTGGTGATTTGACTTTCTCTGTTTGTTTGGACACACTTAATTTATTTTTCTTTCCTGTGTGCTCCATTATTGTCTTGAAATAGAAGTGGTGAAAAAGTAGTTCTTGTTTTTTTCAAAATGTTAGAGAAACTCTAGCTTTTCTGTTTACTGCGTTAACTGTGAACTTCTTATGTGTAGCATTGATGTTGTTGAGGTATATTCCAAAAATAATCTGTTTTGTTCAAACCCTTACCCCCCAGAGATGTTAAATTTATTAAAATTCCTTTTTTGGAATTTTACCCTAAATTCTGTTGATGTATGGTTTAGCACTTTTATTGATTTGTATCTGTTGAACCATCCTCGCATCTCTGGGAAGAACCCCACCTGGTTATGTATAATCTTTGCAGCGATGTTACGTTTGATTTGCTAGAACTTTGTGGAGGACTTTTATATCTTTTCTTATCAGGAATATTGACCTGTAGTTTTTTTGTAGTAGTTATGTACTTGTCTGGTTTGGATATCAGGCTAATTCTGGTCTAATGGAATGTATTGGCAGAAATTCTCTCTGTAAATTTAAGAATAAACAGTATTAGTTTAATGAAGTCATGTGGTTCTGGACTTTGTTGTTGTTGGATGACTTGTTATTTAGTTTTGTTACTTGTTATTGGCTTGTTCAAGTTTGCTATTTAAGTTAGTTTTACTTTCCTTATTATTATTTGTTATTGTTTTAAAGTAGGGTCTAGCTGTGTTGCCTTGAAATACCCTGGTTCAGGAATTTCTCTTGCCTTAGCCTTCCAAATAACAAGAACATAGGCATATAGTCTTTAAGTAGTCTCTCATAAATTCATTTGACTGTCTTTTTTTTTTTTTTTTTTTTTTTTTTAGCTTCAGAGGTTTGTCATTTTTTTATGTCTTCAAAGAATGGAAATTTAAAATCATTCATCATTTTGTTATGGTGAAAGCACTCAAAATTCTTACAGTTTTTTGATCTATACAATCATTATCTTCCATTGTCCTCTTCTGTAGCACATCAGAATGTCTAGTTCCCCAACTGTAACTTAGTGCCCACAGATCTCTTTCCCATCCTTCCATATCCCCACTCTTTCTTCTTTGACTCATTCTCTTCTTAACTTCTAATTAGATTTTAAAATTATTTTGAATTCTTTTTTAAGAAACTCTAGTGTCTAAAGTTCTTCAGGAAATGTTTCTGTTTTCTTCCTCTGAACACTCCATGCTTTATTTATTTATATGTTTTACAGTTTTGTTGTTAAAACCTGACCTCTTCAGTACATAATGAGGTTAAGTGTTGAAATCAGATTTTCCCTAAGGTTTGACTTGGAATGCTTCTCCATGCATGTTGAGTATCTGGGTATGCACATGGAGACCAGAGTGAGACATACTCTGTCTTCCTCTATCTCCTTTCACCTATTTCCTTAAGACAGCATCTTTCACTAAGGAGAACCTGGCCATTTCACTGAGGCTGGCTGGCCAGCAAGCTCCTGACCCACCACCAGTCCTGTGGTGTGGGCATGAATAACCATGCCTGACTTTTTATATAGGTGCTCAGAATTAGAACTCAGGTCCTCGGCTTTCAGAGTAAGCACTCCAATGTTGTTTGACCTTTATTCATTTTCTTCTCCTTTCTTTCTTCCTTCCTTTCCCCCTCCCTCCCTTCTTGTCTTATTTTTATTTTTTTTACTCAACACCAGCTGTCATCAAGTAGCTGTGTTGTTAGTGATTTTCTTGCTGTGTGCAAGAAAGCCTGGCTTTCTTTGCCTTCTTTTGGATAATACCTTTCAGAGGTTATCCTTTCAGATAGGGAGAGCATGAGAGAAAGAATAAGACTTGTTTACAAAAATGACTGCTGGGACTGTCCTTCATGCTTGCTGGCTTGCAAAATGATTAGAATATTAATTCAAAGTAGTTTCTGAGGCCTTGTTATTTTCTCTATTAGGCCTTCTCATTTCACAGATGTATCATTGCGGAGCTTTTCCCTTTGTTGTGATTTGTTAAGTCGAGTGTGCCATACAGCTGTAACTCACTGTAAGGATGCTCTAGAAAACCATCTTCATGTTATTGTTGGCACACTTATACCACTTGTGGATTATCAGGAGGTTCAAGAACAGGTAATGTACCAGTTCAGATTTATTTGAGATAAATGAAACCTTTGGGAATTGGATGCCTTATCTGGTGTAATTAGTAGTTTTTATGGGGATGTTTTTAATAAGTGATGGGGAAAACGTTATTAGTGAATTAATCTTTGACATCAGTTACCTAGCTATTGGTAATTTTGATCTAATAAATCTGGTAGTTTTATCTACTACTGGTAGTCCAAAGTAGAGCTAGCAGTTCCCATTTATATGTGAAATCCCATATAAAGTGCTCCATTAACACTGTATTTGTTCTGTCCACTTTGTGTAGCACTGTACATGTTTTAGTTTTTGAAGCCATACACACGGATAGCTGGGTATCACACATGCCATTAGACCATTTCTGGGTTACCAGAGGTTTGTTTATCAGTTATAGTGGGATTTGGCTCTCTGCATATAAATAATTACCCTCTCCTTTGGTATTTATTTAGGTATTGGACCTGTTGAAGTACTTGGTGATAGAGAACAAGGACAATGAAAATCTCTTTGTCATGATTAAACTTTTGGATCCTTTTCCTGACCATGTTGCCTTTAAGAATTTGCGGCTTACTCAACAGAAAATCAAATATAGTGGAGGACCGTTTTCACTTTTAGAGGTATTAAAAGTTTTATTTATAATTTTGTATTACAGAATATAGGCAGTAGTATTTTTTTAAACCTTTAATGTACAACTAATAAAGACAGAATACTTTATTTTGTAATAAAAGTAATGCCTGAGATTTACCTTCTTAAATAAAATCCAAATCTTTTAAAATATACATATATATTCCAAATTTATGTGTTTGTGTATATAAGCTTTATATGTGCATGTGCTCAAGGAAGCCAAATGAAAGTTTCAGATTCCCCTGTAGCTGAAGTTATAGATAGTTCTGAGCCACCTGACATGGGTTCTTCTGGGAACTGAACACAGGTCTCCTGCAAGAACAGCCAGCTCTTTTAACCAACAGGCCTTCTCTTCAGCCCCTCAAAACAGATCTTTGTGCATCTTCATGCATTGCATTTAAAGCATAAATATCAAAACTTCCTGACAAAGATGAATTTGAATATTCAAAGAATAGTATAAAATGTTATTAATTTTTATACAAATAGGATCCTATGGTTTGTTAATATCTCAAAAATGCTATCTGTTTCTTTGAGGGTCAGTAATGTTTATATTAGTGATGATATTTATCATGTTAATCTTTTATAAACTTATTATACCTATAGTCTCATTTTAAATATTATAAATTTAAAAACATTCTATTGGGGGCTAGAGAGATGGCTCAGAGGTTAAGAGCACAGACTGCTCTTCCAGAGGTCCTGAGTTCAATTCCCAGCAACCACATGGTGGCTCACAACCATCCATAATGAGATCTGGTGCCCCCTTCTGGCGTGCAGACATAAATGGAGGCAGAATGTTATATATTCAAAATAAATAAATAAATAAATCTTTTAAAAAATTTAAAAAATAAAAACATTGTATTAGAATATCAGTCTGGAAAAATATAATCCATTAAGATATAAAATTCAAGTTGTACTATTAAATAAATAAAAAATTGAAATGTTTCCTTCCAATTCACCTTGCTGTTGTAGTCTTGAAGTCTATTGTATTGACATCTAATGTAGATAAGAGACTCTCTTAGAATTGAAACCCTTAAAACATTGTCAGAATTAAAGTGGAAGAAGGAACGTAGTTCTTCCATGTTTGTTTTATGTGTCAGCATCTATAGATACTACGTATTATTTTTTCTTGTTTTATTTTTCACAGTTAGCCAATACATACATACTCAACTAATACTAAGTTGATTTTGTCTTTTAGGAAATTAACCATTTTCTTTCAGTAAGTGCTTATAATCCACTTCCACTGACTAGGCTTGAAGGATTGAAGGATCTTCGAAGACAACTGGAACAACATAAAGATCAGATGCTAGAGCTTATGAGAGCATCTCAGGGTACATTTATCTTTATTTGAATGGGTGTTTTGCATGCATATGTATGTGCACCACATGACTGCAGTGCCTGTGGAGGCCAGAAGAAGGCGATAGATTCTCCTGGAACTTGAGTTAACAGATGGTTGTGAGCTGCTGTGTGGGTGCTGAGAACTGAACCCCCATTCTCTGAAAGAGTAGTAATTGCTTGTAACAGACAAGCCCTCTCTACAACTGCCTCTGAGTATTAATTTTGACATGAATTTTTTTTCTGTTTCTTTGTCAAATATTCTTTTGTATATTCTTCTTGGTCAAATTTCCACCATTGTCATTTATATTCCCATCATTGCAGAGACCCCACTGTATGGTGTATGTTTAAATTCTGAATACTGTGTGGTAACAGACTAAACAACGTCTCTTCTAGCTTTTAATGATTCTTATGTTTCTAGTCATTTGTGACTTTGACAAGGTATTAACTTTGCTGTTCAGCTTGTTGAAAACATGTCTCTATCTGCTTGGTAAATTTTGCTAATCATTACCATGTGGCCATATTTCAGAATTCTATGTATTTTTAAAATCCATTCATGATTTAAAACTCTTTAAAATGTCCTAGTTTGGGGAGGGAGGTGTTATGAAATAAATATGTTGTCCTTATGATAACTGAAGCACTTTTCTCTAAACTATTTCTAGATAACCCACAGGATGGCATTGTGGTGAAGCTGGTTGTCAGCTTATTGCAGTTATCCAAGATGGCAGTGAACCAGACTGGTGAAAGAGAAGTTTTAGGTAATGATTAGGTGAATGGTCTTTAGTATGATCAGAATAATGTAAGCTTGTCATTTGATATGGGAGAAATAAGGGTGGTTTGCTAAATTATGTTACTGTTTAATTCAGGTAACCCCAGATACCCGCTTTTCATATTCCTTAAATTTGCTTATAAAGTTAGCAATAATAATTAATAATGTATAGATGTTAATATTAAAATGCTTTATAAAGATGTAGGAGTATCATTAATCTCTGTATAGTTAAGTTGCAAATTAATTAACTTCTGAACTATTTTACAAGTATGGCTTTCTGGTATTTAGTGTTTGTTTTGTATATAACAAATAGGAACAAAGACTCTGAAGGATGGCTAAACTCAGATTTTTTGAAATAGCATTTAAATCTTTTGTTGAGTATAGGTATTTAGATTTGGTGGTCTTAGAACAGAAAGTCACATGATTAATGTTAGCTGCAAGTTGGCATGGCAGCGGTGCCTTACTGAAAATGGGGAGAGTAAGAACTGTTGGTGAATTTTCCAGTGTCCGTCTCAGTTCCCAGTGGAGCCTACCGTATAGCATACTTACCTTTAGTTTGGTTTTTATTGAAGTGTATTTTGCATATAGTCTTGAATACAGACCACATGTACCTTGTTTAAAGTATTTGTACACAATCACAGAATACCTGTGCATCTACCACCCAGATCCAGAAATTGAACCTTGCCAGAACCCTCAAATCTCCCAAGTCCTCAGAATTAACATCTTTGTTCATTGTGCAGCTTGTGGGCACAAAGCAGATTTGCTCCAAGAGCCCAAAGCAGCTTTCTTGTGTAACTCAGAATGATCCTGTTTTGTACCTGTAACACATGCCACACTTCATGCTAATAAACTGAAATCTTTCCATTAATATCAGGAATAAGAAAAGTCACTCCTCTTTACTGTTCATATTCAGCACTATGTTGAAGTTCTAGCCAGAGAATCAAGCAAGGAAAAGAATTGGTGTGCAAAGTGGAAAGGAAGCAAAGTTGCCTGTGTTTATAGATGACATGATGTGTTTAAAAATTTTCACCGAGTTATATGTTTAAGATTTATGAATGATGTATGTGTGACACCCTGGATTTTCTTTCTTTCCTTTTTTTTTTAAGGTTTTAAAGTTGATACTTTATACAGTACCAAACATGTGTACTTGTGCTTTTAATATTCTGTTACTATAACTGTTAACTTATTTTCTGGGGAAAAATATATTACAGCATTGATGTGTTTTTAGTTTTCTTTACTCACAGTGTTGGAAAACACTGAAATATTTGAAGCATGACAAAATGATACTGATACTTTTTAATTTGGAAATGTTTTATACTTTCCTACGTATGGCTGTACTAAAGTTAAGTTTCTATATGTAGAGGCTGTTGGAAGGTGTTTGGGAGAAATAGGTCCTCTGGATTTCTCTACTATAGCTGTACAGCATAATAAAGATACGTCTTACACCGAATCTCATGGGTTTCCCGAAGATAAAGAGCTTCAGTGGACCTTGATAATGCTGACCACCCTGAACAATACACTGGTAGAAGACAGGTGAGTACAGAAGACGCCTTTCATCCAAAATTACAGAAACCAAAACCAAATCTGGATTCCAGGAAAATTATGCTAATACTTCACTTAACACTTTGTCTTGCAAGTTCGTTCTTTTCCTTCCTTTTTAAGTTTTTATATTTCTTTTATGTGCATGAATGTTTGGCCTGCATGTATGTATGTATGTGCACCACATGCATGCCTGGTGTCCATGAAGCTCAGAAGAGGGTATTGGATACCCTGGAACTGGAGTTGGATGATAGTGAAGCACCATGTGGATGCTGGGAATCTAATCCCCTCCTCTGCAAGAGCAATGAGTGCTCTTAACCACTAAGACATTTCTTTACTCTCAACTTCCAAATTCTTAAGTTTAAAAAAATCGTGTATATTTTTGTGAAATTCCTTTATTAATTTGTGTGATCAAATACCCTTTGTTCCTGACACTTGATGGTGATGAAGAGTAAGGTTTGTTTTAAATTGTAGTGAGACTAAGTTAGACAAAGGATTTATAAGTAAACTGCCAGGTGCTTCCACACAGACAATTAAAATACAGGAATGTAGGCTGGTGGGATGGCTCAGCAGATAAAAGGCACCTGCCATCAAACTTGAAAACCCGAGTTTGATCCCGAGAATTCCTGGTAAAAGGAGAGAGTCTTCTCCTAAAAGTTTTCTTCAGACCTCTACAAGCATGCTATGTCATGCACCTTCACCCTTATGAACCTTAAATACAGGAATGTAAAGAATGATATTTTAAGTGATTTTTAAAACCAGAGTGCTATCTTTATTTTGATTCTTTTAGAATAATCCATGGAGCAAAAGCTTTATAACCTCAGAAGGTTTAAACTAATAGAATTTTCTATTACTATTTCTCTCCTTGTTCAAAACAAAAATTTGTTTTGCTTTTTTATTGCTTTAATTTTTTAAATTATTTTTTTATTTAGGTTAGAAACAATCTTTCACATGTCGATCCCAGCTCCTCACCCTCCCCTCCTCCCCCGCCCTCCCCACCAGGTCCCCCAGTCCCCCACCCAATCTCTGCTCTGATCCCAAGGAGGGTAAGGCACTCCATGGTGGATCTCCAGTAACTGTCATTTCATCCAGGGCAGGGCGTAGGCCCTCTCCCAAGAATCCCGACTGAGAGAGCCTCCCATATTGTGGCATGGGCACTCAAAGTCTATTTGTATGCCCAGGGATAAATACTACCTAAAGCCCCATAGATTACCTAGGCCTCCTCACTGACACCCACATTCAGGGGGTCTGGGTCAGTCCCATGCTTTCCACACAATCTGGAGTCCAAGAGCTCCCCCTTGTTCAGGTCAACTGTTTCTGTGGGTTAAACCAGCCCAGTCTTAACTCCTTTGCCCATCAGTTCTCTCTTTCTGACACTGGATTCCAGGATTTCAGTTCAGTGTTTGTCTGTGGGTATCTGCCTCTGCTTCCATCAGTCATTGGATGAAGGTGCTAGGATGGCATATGAGGTAGACATCAAGTTCATTATCAGGAATAGACATTTAAGGTAGTCTCTCCACTATTGCTTCGCTTGCCAGTTGATGTCATCCTTGTAGATTGCTAGAGGTCTCACTGGTGCCAGATCTCTCTTCAAACCTATGACTCTGTCTATTACGATATTTCTCATCCTGTTCTCCCCCTATTCTAACCCCCACTCAACCTTCCTGTTCCCCCATGACCTACTCTCTCCTCCTCTTCTCCCCTTCACTTCTTCCCAGCTCCCACTCCCTCCTCCACCCCCTGCCGTGTTCCCAATCTTCTCAGGAGATCTTGCCTCATTCTTCTTCTTTGGGGTACCATACATATCTCTCTTAGGTTCTTTCCTGTTTCCCAGACTCTCTATCAGTGAAATTGCAGACTGGCACTCTCCTGATTCATGTCTAAAATCCATATATGAGTGAGTACATACCATGTTTGTCTTTTTGTGACTGGGTTACCTCACTCAGGATGGTTTCTTCTAGGGCCATCCATTTGCCTGCAGATTTCAAGATTCCATTGTTTTTTTTCTGCTGAATAGTACTCCATTGTGTAAATATAACACATTTTCTCTATCCACTCTTCAGTTGAGGGGCATCTAGGTTGCTTCCAGGTTCTGGCTATTACAAATAATGCTGCTATGAACATAGTGGAACAGATGTCCTTGTTATATAAATTTGTATCTTTTGGATATATGCCTAAGAGTAGAATTGCTGGGTCTTGTGGTAGGTTTATTCCCATTTTTCTGAGGAACCTCCATACTGCTCTCCAAAGTGGCTGTACATCCTCTCCAACATAAACTGTCATTGGTGTTTTTGATTTTAGCCATTCTGACAGGTGTAAGATGGTTTTGATTTGCATTTCCCTGATGGCTAAGGATGTTGAGCACTTTCTTAAGTGTCTCTTAGTCATTTTAGACCCCACTATTGAGAATTCTCTATTTAGTTCTGTACCCCACTTTTTAATTGCATCCTTTGGTGTTTTGGAGACTTGCTTCTTCAGTTCTTTGTAAATTTTGGAGATTAGCCCTCTGTCAGATATGGGGTTAGTGAATATATTTTCCCATTCTGTAGACTGCTTTTTTGTCTTGTTGACTGTGTCCTTTGCCTTACAGAAGCTTCTTAGTTTCATGAGGTCCCATTTGTTAATTGTTGATCTCAGTGTTTGTGCTACAGGTTTTTTTGTTTTTGTTTTTTTTTTTGTTTTTGTTTTTTTGTTTTTTCGAGACAGGGTTTCTCTGTATTGTTTTGGAGACTGTCCTGGAACTAGCTCTGTAGACCAGGCTGGCCTCGAACTCACAGAGATCCGCCTGCCTCTGCCTCCCAAGTGCTGGGATTAAAGGCGTGCGCCACCAACGCCCAGCTCTGTGCTACAGGTTTTATGTTCAGGAAGCGGTCTCCTGTACCAATTCGTTGAAGAGTATCTCCCACTTTCTCTTCTAAGAGTTTCAGTTTAGTTGGATTTATGTTGAGGTCTTTGATCCATTTGGACTTAAGTTTTGTGCAAGGCGATAGATATGGATCTATCTGCAGACTTCTGCATGCCAATATCCAGTTATGCCAGCACCATTTGTTGAAGATGCTTTCTTTTTTCCATTGTATAATTTTAGCTTCTTTGTCAAAAATCAAGTGTTCATAGGTGTGTGGGTTAAACTCAGGGTTTTCAATTCGATTCCATTGGTCTACCTGTCTATTTTTATGCCAATACCAAGCTGATTTCAGGACTATAGCTCTGTAATAGAGCTTGAAGTCAGGGATGGTGATGCCTCCTGAAGTTCCTTTATTGTATAGGGTTGTTTTGGCTATCCTGGGTCTTTTGTTTTTCCTTAGAAAGTTGATTATTGTTCCTTCAAGGTCTGTGAAGAATTGTGCCAGAATTTTGATAGGGGTTGCATTGAATCTGTAGATTGCTTTTGGCAAGATTGCCATTTTTATTATGTTGATCCTACCTATCCAAGAGCATAGGAGATCTTTCCATTCTTTGGTATCCTCTTTGATTTCTTTCTTTAGAGACTCAAAGTTCTTGATATACAGGTCTTTCACTTCTTTGGTTAACGTTATCCCCAGATATTTGATGCTGTTTATGGCTACTGTAAAAGGAAATGAACATTTTCCTGCATAGATATCACTTGCCAAAACTAAATCAAGAACATATAAACAATCTAAACAGACCTATAACCCTTAATGAAATAGAAGCAGTCATCAAAAGTCTCCTAACCAGAAGAAGCCCAGGCCCAGATGGTTTCAGTGCAGAATTCTACCAGAAATTCTAAGAAGAGCTAATTCCAATACTCCTTCCTCAAAGTGTTCCATACAATAGAAGCAGGAGGCTCACTGCCAAACTCTTTTTACGAGGCTACCCAAGCCACACAAAGACACAATTAAGAAAGAGAATTGTAGATCAATTTCCCTCATGAACATCGATGCAAAAATAATCAATAAAATACTAGCAAATCAGATTAAAAAACACATCAGAAAAATCATCCACCATGATCAAGTAGGCTTCATCCCAGGAATGTAGACATGGTTTAACATTAGAAAATCTATCAATGTAACCCACCATATAAACAAACTGCAAAGGAAAAACCAGATGATCACCTCACTAGATGCTGAAAAAGCCTTTGACAAAATCCAACACCCCTTCATGATAAAGGTCTTAGAGAGATCAGGTATAACCAGAATACCTGGACATAATAAAAGCTATATATAGTAAACCAACACCTAACATCAAACTAAATGGAGAGAAACTCAACACAATTCCTCTAAAATCAGGAACAAGAAAAGGCTGTCCACTCTCTCCATATCTCTTCAATATTGTACTGGAAGTTCTAGCTAGAGCAATAAGACAACAAAAGGAGATCAAGGGGATACTAATTGGAAAGGAAGAGGTCAAACTTTAACTATTTGCAGATGATATGATAGTTTACATAAGTGACCCGAAAAACTCTGCAAGGGAACTCCTAGAGCTGATGAACACCTTCAGCAAAGTGGCAGGATACAAGGTTAACTCAAAAAAATCAGTAGCCCTGTTATATACAGATGATAAATGACTGAGAAAGAAATCAAAACAAAATTTTAAGGTACAGTGTTTTATATTGCTGGTTGTGAGATTACTTTCTTTTCATTATTAACTTATTTATTTTTGTTGTTGTTATCATCATCATTATTATTAAATTGTTTGCAATGCTGGGGACTAAATCCAGGACTGTAAGCATCCTTGGTATCACTGAGCTATATTCTCAGCTTCCTCTGTGTTTAGTCATTGATTTACTGGTTTATTTGTCCACCCCATCATTACCATTGTGGGAGACTCAATTCAAAGGTTTCCTTCCAACCAGGCATCTCTTAAAGATATATATATTGACTTTATTTTTCTGCCTCATCTCTTATAACCTACCATGTTTCCATTACTGATTTAATGGACCTATATTTTTTTGTTATTGTTTTTCTTGTATTAAGTTGCCTGGCATGGGTTCTTTCCTAACATTTTATTATGTAAATTTTCATTCATACAGTAAAGGTGAAAAAATTTTACAGTGAATATCTGTATACTTACTATGAAAATTCTTGCATTAACATTTTACTGTTTTTTTATCGTGTTCTCCTATCTTTCTACCATTATTAATCCATTTCTTTCTCTCTTGTCTTTTTTGAAACAGCTGGCCTTGAACTTGCTTATATAGTTGAGGGTGATCTTGAACTGATCCTCCTCCTCCTACCCTATACCTCCTAAGTGCCAGGATTGCAGTGTGTGCTACTGATTTAATCCATCCTGTGTTTTGAGACAGGGTTTCTCTATGTAACCCTAACTGTCCTGGTACTCACTCTATAGACCAGGGTGGCCTTGAACTAAGAGATTCTTCTGCCTCTGCCTCCTGAGTGCTGGGATTAAAAGCATGCATTATCACCTCCTGGCTCCATCTAGACATTTTTGAAGAGATTTTACACAGAAAATTTAATCATAAAATGATTTGATACACACTAATCTCAATTTTTTTAAAATGATGCACAGACCTATTAGTGTGACATAAGCATGAGAATAATAGGCAACAGATAAGAGTTGTCTTCTGTTTTACTGTTAAAGAGGGAAAAACATTAGGAGTTTAGGGGTTTCAGCATACAAAGGGGATTTGACTAAGGAATAAGGATAGAGTAAGATCATCTTATTTATATTTGTCTAATGTAGTTATAGGATGAATTTATATACAGCAAAGCCTTGAATTTTTATATATAGTGGTATTGTAGTATATCATACATGACTGGCTTTTTTATGACAGATTGATGACTATTCTAGTTTGCTTCCATTGCTGTGATAAATACCATGGCCAAAAGTAAATTCTTGAAGGAAAGTATTTATTTCATCTTATAGCTTACAGTCTCTTGTGGCAGGAAGTCAGGGTGGAAACTTAAGAAGGCAGGAACTAGAGCAAAGCCCACAGATGAATGCTACGTACTGAATTACTCTCTGGATCAGATCCTTTTTATTATATCTATTAGGATCACCTGTCCAGGGGTAATACTACCAACCCTCAGTGGCCTGGGTCTTCCCACATCAATCATTAATTCTCTACAGGCCAATCTTGTGGAGTCATCATCTTAGACAACTCTCGTTTGTGTTAAGTTGTTTAAAAAAAAAAAAAGGAAAAGAAAAGGAAAAAAAACAGTACATTGACTAAGGGCAAAAGTAGAAACAGGATTACTGCTATAGTACAGAGGAGAAAAATTATAATATGAATTAGGAGATCAATAATGAACATGAAAGGCATGAATGGAAACCAAGACATAGTTTTTACACAGTCAATAGGATTCACTGAGGAATTAAATGTGGGTAACTAGCAAAACGTACCTGGATAGAATTAAAACTTCCTTTGATACCTTGTCATTATTCCAGCTTCAGGCCTGGTAACATTTTTTTGTTAGTTGCCATATTTTCAGGACTGTTGTAGTCCTCCATTTCCTGGGGTGTTTTTGTTTTAAAAGAAGGAATTTTGCTTTTCAGTTAGAGGTTTTAAGTGCTAATGATTTTCAACTAACTGCTTTGTCAGAATAAATATGTGCCTTCAAAAATAGTTTTGAAATAATTTTATCATTTGGAGTAAGATATCATTGTACTTCACCTCAAATATAATTTGTAGCACTAGAAAAAGACTATCAATATGTTTCCTTAGGTGAATTAGGATTTTTGCCATTTTTCACTATTCACATTTTTTAGACTACATTATTTCCTAGTAGTTCCTCTTACGAATTCTTTAAATATATGGTCAGCATAATATAATCATTATTGCATAGAATGAAGAGAATTGCTGCTGACGTAATGAGTAACTCATGTTTAATGAGGGAATATTTTTAAAATCTTTGGCCTTTTTTCTTCAATGATTGTAGGCAGTGATTTTCTGTTCTGGGAACTGCTTCCAGATTAGCACATGGAGACTTACATTGTAAATGCTCAGTCAATAGCTCAGGCTTGTTACTAGATAACTCTTAGGTTTTAAGTTAACCCTTATTCCTTATCTATGCTTTACCACATGGCTCATGATTTTCTACACCTCCTGCTTCCTTGGTGTAAGCTGCCTGGTGTCTCTCTGACTCTGCCCTTTTTCATCCCAGCATTCTCTCTGTTTAGGCTGTCTTGCCCAATCTCTTTCTGCCCGGCTATCAGCCATTTAGCTTTTTATTAACATGAAAGCAGTATGTTTATTTACAGTATACAAAAGGATTATTTCACAGTAAATTTTACAGATAGGAAGTTTGTAATATTTTAAATTTTAGTTTCTAATATTTTAAATTTCCAATGGACTTTGCATAGCATTCCAGGTTGATAAATTGTGTCTGGTTTTCAGTGTCAAAGTTCGATCAGCTGCTGCTACCTGTTTGAAAAACATTTTGGCTACAAAAACTGGACACAGTTTCTGGGAGACTTATAAGATGTCCGAGGATCCTATGCTGACCTATCTACAGCCTTTTAGAACATCAAGGAAAAAGGTCTCTTAACCTAACAAATGTTTGTTGAATACCCATTATGTGTAAAATGGTTACATTTGTTTTGGACTACGAATATCAAATAGCTTAGAATTGTTATGTACTAATATACTGTTTGCTAGAAAAATTCATACTGCACATACTGAATTAAAGGGATTTGTTATTTTTCACTATGCAAGATAGAAAAGTTGAAATAGATAACCTAGAGAAGTGATGATTTATGGCTAAGGGAAGCTCTTTTCTAGTATAGCAGGCCCTTTGATCCCATGCACCATCAATCCTGGATAATTTTAGGTGTTATGATCAGCCAACAAGCACTTACTGCTTAGTACAATTTGGATAAAGTATAAAAGGACTGACTGTAAGTACCTTTCTTGCATGTTAATGTCCTGATTCCTCTGAAAACAGCCCGAAGTTTTGTTAAGAGCTTTTGTATCTCTTGTCTCAAGGATTCCTCTTTTCAGAAAGTGACAGCAATATGCAGTTGTTTTTACCTGTTTTAAAAGTTCAATAGAAATACCCATCATTAAAGTAGTAATTTTAATGTATCATAGTTTGGTTCTTAGTAAAATTAGTAGTAATAGAGACTGATAATGAAGTTACTATTATAACTAATGTAAAGTTTGCATTTCTACCATGTAAAAATTGCATTTTATTTTTGAAATCAATTTTTGTGGTAGATGTGATCCAGTTTTGTATATGTGCCAGATGAGGCAGAGGTTGTGACTCGTATTACGTGCTACAAGTGTGTAACAGTAGAACTCAGGTTTTTCATTTCCTATATCAGTAATATTTTTACAGCTTCACTCCCCAAGTTCAAATTTCCCCATCCCTTGGCCAGGCAGTGGTGGCACATGCCTTTAATCCCATCACTCAGGAAGCAGAGATAGGCAGATCTCTGTGAGTTCAAGGCCAGCCTGGTCTACAGAGTGAGTTTCTGGACAGCCAGGGCTACACAGAGAAATTCTGTCAACTATCCAGCTATAATTCTTTTAATCATTTTTCATTTGTGTGTTTTGTGTATAGACATGTGTTCTGGTCCTCATGTACAAGTGAGAGAACAACTTGCGGAGTCAGTTCTCTCCTTATACAGTGTAGGTTCTGGAGTCAGACTTAGGTCAGTGAGGGTTGATGGCAAGTACCTTTACTTTCTGACTATTATGGTGGGTCCCAGATGGAGTTTAAGTGTACTTAGTTTTATTGGAAACAGATTTAACTGCATGGATATTTATTTGACATAGGAAATGATTTCTGCTTCTAGTTTTTAGAAGTACCCCGATTTGTTAAAGAAGATGCTTTAGAAGGCCTAGATGATGTGAATCTGTGGGTTCCTCAAAGTGAAAGTCATGCCACTTGGATAAAGGCACTGACGTGTGCCTTTTTGGACAGTGGAGGCATAAAAAGTGAAGTTCTTCAGTTGTTAAAGCCAATGTGTGAGGTAAGAGGATTAATTAAACTGACAGAGCCTGTGTTTTTGTTCTTTTTTTTCCGATTCAGTTTAGCTTCTATGTATTTGATTGTGATTTGCATGTTTGAAAAGAATCCTAAGTGATGAGTATATCATCTGCCTGCTGTGTAATCCATTTTCAGCTGCTATAAATCCTTTAAATTGGGTGTCTTTGGTTAGCCAAAACTACATGACAGGCTTTAGTTTTGAGATGGTAATATACTAGTTAAGTTCTACAAAGTGCTAGATAATTAGTAATGACACTTACTGTCAGTTGGCATTCTTCAGCATACTTTTTGAGTGAAGAAAGATAGGCAGCAATAGTCAAGAGTTTTACATTGGAAGGTCTGGTACAGTCAATTTCAGCAAATAGTAAGGGAACCAACTCAAAGAGCTATTGTTTTCGGTCAAAGGTAGTGGTTCACTAGGAGAGCATGTTCCTGTAATGTGGTAGGAGCAGGAGTCAATCCTGGTGTTTTGTTGGTTGGTTGTTGTTTCATTTTGAGATAGGGTCCTAGTTTATAACCAATGATGACTTTAAATTACTGTTCCTGCTACCACCATCCCCCAAGATCTGAGATACCTTGTTTGATATTACTGTTTGTTTACTTATTTTTTATTCTAAACACTACTTGATACATAATTTTGGTGATGGTGGTTGTTATTTAGTACTGTATTGAATTCATGGGAGATCAATATAGTATTTTTAAATTTTCATATGTCAGTAACAGGGAATAAACATTTTAAGTGAATTGTGTTGCTCTAGTGTAAGCAGTTGAGTGGATGTGTCTGTGTTCTAGGTGAAACCTGACTTCTGTCAGACTGTGCTGCCGTACTTGATCCATGATGTCCTACTCCAAGATGCACACGAATCATGGAGAGCTCTGCTGTCCACACATGTCCGAGGATTTTTCACTAGCTGTTTTAAACACATTTCACAGGCAAGCCGATCAGCAACTCCTGCAAATTCAGATTCAGGTATTCCATTTAGTTGTTAATGTTTATAATGTTAACTTCTCAACTCTAGAGAAAGATGGTTCAGTAAATAGCAAGGAAGCTTACTGTACATTCTGCTTACAGTGTGGATGTGAGCAACAGAGCTCCCATTTTAGAAACTGGAAAAAAACACATAAACTTGTTCATGTTTGGCACCATGGCAGAAGTATGATAGAGTTTTCATATTTTTAGACCTCTGGCCAACAGCTTTTTCAGCACTTTCTATTTTTTTCTTTTTTGGTTTTCCAAGACAGGGTTTCCCTGTGTAATAGCCCTAGTTGTCCTAGAACTCATTTTGTAGAGTAGGTTGGCCTAGAACTTACAGAGGTCCACCTGCCTCTGCCTCCCAAACGCTGGGATTAAAGGCGTGAGCCACCCCTACCTGACTTTTTAAAATATTTTCTGTCACCAAATCATGCATAAGAGTTCTGCAAGTTTTTTAAAAAATAAATTACCCAAAAAGAAAAGAAGAAGAAATTACAATACGTGGGGTAGGAAAATGGCTTAGCTTGCAAGGACCAGAGTTTAGATCCCCAGCACCCATATAAAAGACAGGTGAATGTGATGTCGCACTGCTTGACTCAGTTTACCAGAGGTGGATATGAGGGATCCCTAGAGCAAGCTCGCTAGCTTAGCTAGCCAGCACCGTGAGCTCTGGCTTTGAGAGACCTTGCTATAACACACACACACACACACACACACACACACACACACACACGAATAATCAAGAAAGATACTCAGTATCACACTCTGACCTCCATATGTATGCCTCCACACACTTGCAAAGAAAGAGAAATTACGTTTGGGTTAACGTATACATAGTACATGTAGCACATATAAACACAATTGAGGGTTCATTATGGATCGTTTCTTCCAACTGAGATTTCAAAGGGGTAAATAAGGAAACAGTTCTATAGTGTTAATTTACTGTGCTTAATATACATAAGCATAAAACTAGGCACAAACTCACATATAGCATTTCAAGAAATACCATATTAATAACCCCACCTTAGTGTGCTTGTAGTCATTTCAGCATAATTGTAGTTATTCAGTTTTCCCTGTTTCTCTGTTTTTACTATGACAAAGGCTATGTTTGAAATGTCTGTGGTGTCCTTTAGACTTCATTTTGCTGTTTTTATGTATTTGAGTGATATGTTTCATATAAGTTTAGAGGCTGGGGAGAGTTGATGAAAGGCTACTAAGTTACAGTTATGTAGGAGTAAGATGATCTGATGTTCTGCAGCAAAGTGGGGTCACTGTTGATAATGACAATGTATTGTGTGTAAAACAAGCAGACAAACCTTTGGGGTGTTGGAAAATACATAACCTGAGTTTGGTTCTTAGAATGCATTGGGTGGCTCACCTGTAACTCCATTTCCGTAGGGACTTGACACCTCTCTCCCCCATGGACACTTGGATTCATGTGCACATACCTACACATACATGTTAAAAAATCTTTCTAAGAAATCTTGAATATATATATATGCGTATATATATACATATATATATTTAACCTATAAAGTGCATGCTTGAATTAAAAATTAAATGGCATCCCATTAATATGTATGATTTCAGTTAAAAGTTTTAAAAAGTAACTTATGTTCTATCTGAAAGAACATAAATACACATGGTTGCTTCTCCTGTTGGCCTTATTAGACTAGAAGAAGTTGTTTGTCAAGATGATCTGGAATATGCTTAAGAAATTTTGGGGAATTGCTGAATTAAAAATCCTAAAGTATTGTTTGATGTGATGGTTTTCATTTGTCACCAAAACGTGACAGATCTGAGTTTAGTCTTGAGAAACCCACACAGTAGGAGAAGAACCAGCCTGTACAAGCTGCACTCTGACCTCCATACTAGCTCCCTGCCTAAGTGCCCACATGCATAATAATTATTATAATTAAGTCTATTTTAAAAAATATTCAGTGTAATGTAAAAAATCCTAAAATAAAAATTCTTGCAGAGACTTTGCTGGCTATCTAAAATATATCACTTATGTTTAATTGAGGAAATACAAATATAAGTGATCGTAGGTGTAAGTAGCAATTTAAAGTTTAAATTTATTTTAAGTATTTAAACAATTTTACTACTTATGTTTATACACTGATCATTTAATAGTAAAATTATCTAGTTTTATCTCTAGAGAGTATCAACACTTTTTATTACCTTAAATGAAATTTTGGACTTCACATATATAAAATTATTATTGAAAATGACAATAAATGGAGATTCCTATAAATCTTAAATGCTGTATCTTTCTGGTGTCTGGAAGTCTCACACGTTTACTTGAATGTCTCACATGAATCTCAATCTCAGTTACGTGAATAAAAATAGATGGTACTTTGCTGCCCACGCTAAAACCTGAATACCAAGTCTTGCCCGTTCTGTTTCCTTGGTTGCCATTATCCTTTCTGCTTTCTAGCTTTGGTGCAGCCGTTTGAGAGTCTCTGACTACCTTCTGAATTCAGCTTCCTACTAACCACCTTAGATACACATTTTTTTGGTGTGTGTTTTGTTTTGTTTTTTGAGACAGTAACTCAAATTGTCCAGTGGAATACTGAACTAATTTTTCTGCTTTTGCTTCTTTAGTGCTGGCGTTAGAGACATGTGCCTTGACATCCAGTTTATACAGTGCTGGGGATTGAGCCCAGAGTTTCATGCAGGCCAGCCAAGTGCTTTTACCATTGGACTCTGCTGGCTTTCCCTGGTACCCTGTCCTTTCTCTTCCCCCACTGTCCAGTATTTTGACTTAAGATGTTACTTTCTTCTTCCAGCTTTTCTTAGTTCAGGTGAGGTCACTCTCACATAGCTTCTACAGCATTGGTAACCTTTCTCTCTCTCCACTTGGCTTACCATGTTAAGAGCCTCCAGGCTAGTCAATGAATTCTGTGTGCAGAAACAGTCTTAATTTTGTTCATGGTTGTAAATGTAAGCACTCAGCACATAAAACATCCCAGACATCTCAAAGCAGTAGGTACTGCTTCAGAAACAAATTATAATTGGCAACATAAATTCTTGTTTATATTATACATATATGCTTCTTTTGAAATAAAAGGAATGCCATTAAATTACATTGATTTGCATTTATTAAGAAGCATTTTTGTGTTGGGTATACCACCCATCAGAATCTTACAGTGTAGAAAGAGAAGGACACAAACAAGAAAGTACTTTTACATCAGTCTGAGACTAAGAAGAGCTATTTCTGTTTTTGTTAGAGCCAGAGCACTTCCTTCGATGCTGTTTGGATAAGAAATCACAAAGAACAATGCTTGCTGTTGTCGACTATATGAGAAGGCAGAAGAGGTAATGTGTGACAGTTTCTCAGGTTGGGAACCGAGCACTGTACTTTCCTTCTGGGTGCCTTTTAGCCTGATTATTTTATTTGCAACTGCTTCAAACTGCTAAAATCAATTGATATGATACTTCTATTTCTTTTTAATAATGTATATACAGGACAGCATTTAGGTTAAGGGTGGAGGAACCGTCTGTTCTTGTCCCAGCTGTCCCATCAGGCATACTGCTGTGGCTAAATCATGTGCCTGTGAAGGTGTGGGAAAGAAGTGTATCATTTTCCCAGATTGCTCTCAGTGTTGTTGCTGCTCGTTAAGTAGGTCTTCTAGTAGCTAGAGTTGGATGTCTTCTTTATCATCTTTTTTACAAGGAAAAGCTTTTGTTGCTGTGTGCCATACTTATCATGAAAATCTGTAGTATTTTTGTGATATGGCAGAATTGGTTTAGGTAAGTTACCTTACAGTATAGTATACTTGTATCTGTTGTTATTTTTTTAACTTTCTTTTTATTTATTCTTTGTGTCTTTGACATCAAGCATCTCAATCCTATTCATTTCCTCATCCCTTTATAGCTGCCCTCTACCCTTGCAAACCCCCCCCAATAAATAAATAAAATTTAAAAGGAAAACTCAATCTCATCATGAAAGTTGTAGTGTGGCACAGTGAGTCACACAGTAAACCCTTTTATTCATTATCTTTACTGCAAGTGTTCATTGTAAAGATTCATTGGTCTGTTTCAAGGCCTCTGGTTTCTGCTACACTATTGATACTGGGCCCTCGTGGTACTCCTTTTGGATATCCTGTCGTTGTCCTTTGTTCTGGAGATCCTGCAGCCTTGGGTCTACAGGATCAGCCTCTTCACATGCTCTGGCAGATCATACCTGGGATGGATGTTGGGGTCAGCCAACTCATAACCCTGCTTCTGGGCCTGGGTAGTTGCAGGATTGGTCAGCTCCCCAGCTCTCCCCTGTCTTTTCCACCAAGATAAGCTCTCCAGGATTGCTCTGACTAGTTCATCCCTTGTAGCAATGAGCAAGGGGCAGGATCAGTTCTGCTTTCACACTCAGGGTTGGCTCTCTCACACCAACACCATCAGGCTGAGCTCTACTGTGTTGCCCAGTGAAGTGTAGAACCCTCTCTTGAGTACTTTGCAGGTGAGAGGCAGGACCAGTTCTCCCCAATGTTGGAGCCAATAAGGGAGAGGTGGGGTCAACTCTACATAGCCCTATCCTCTAGGCCTTCCTGATAACAGGAGCCACAGACAGGGGCTGCATCAGGGCCAGGGACCCAGACATGGGCCCCAGCAGTAGCCTAGGCTTAGACCTCACCATGGCTCTGGTTGGCAGTCAGGCTACCACCTCAACTCTCTTACTACTTTCACTTCTTCAGATATGTAACGGGTCTTTCTCTTTCCCACCAGCCAGCTCCTAAATAATGACACAGAGACTAATTATTAATTATGAAAGCTTGGCTCTTAGGTTAAGTTTATTTTTAAATAGCTCTTATAACTTAAATTAACCCATATTTTTATTAATGTATGTTCTACCACGTGGCTTTTACCTCTATCCCATTCTGTGTATCCAACTCATTCTGAGTCTCCCTGGCATTTCTAGCACCTAGATTCATCTCCTACTTCCTCTCTCTACCTGAAAGCTCCACCTATGTACCTCCTACCTAGCTATTGGCCTTTCAGCTCTTTAGTAAGCCAGTCACAGCAATATATCTTCACATAGTATACAAATATCCCACAACCCCATAACACAGATATGTCTCTGTTCACAGGACATGAACCATTTTGTCTCTTTCTCCCATATCACACCATAAGTTTGTTCACCATGATAATGACCATTGGACTGGCCCATGCTTTCTCCTTGAAACCTGGGGTATCCCCCACCCACCCACCTTGGGTCACCTTGTCCCACTCAGTCAGTCATGGTGCTGGGCCTATTGTTAGTTTTTGAGACCAGGTCATATGTAGCCTAAGGTAGCCTTAAATTCACCATGTAGCTCATCGTAGCCTTGAATTCCTGATCTTCCTCAACTTTTAGTACTGGGTGTGTGCTGTTGCCCCAGGTTTTCAATGGATTTTTAACAAAGCACAGAAATATCACAATGGGCGGTACCACTGATGTGTACTGCTAGAGAGTTACCAGAACTTTGAAGAAAACAGTGCTATAGGTCTTGACTCAGAATGGTCTAGTTCACCTCATAATATTTCAGAGGAAGCTAGACTTTGAATCCTGGTCATGTTGACAGATGACAATGCAGAAAAAGAAAAAAATCTTTTAAGAATTACTCAAGAAGCCGGGCGGTAGTGGTGCACGCCTTTAATCCCAGCACTCGGGAGGCAGAGGCAGGCAGATCTCTGTGAGTTCGAGGCCGGGCTGGTCTGACAGCCTCCAAAACAATACAGAGAAACCCTGTCTTGTAAACCCCCTCCCCCCTTCCCCCAAAAAAAAGAATTACTCAAGAAGATGTGACTCAGGCAGGACCAAATTCAACTTAAGTAATTTGTTAAAAGCTGTGTATTCTGAGCTTCTGAGCGTGTTACCTGATGTCTTCTCATTCTTAAAAATCAGGATAACCTAGGAGGCTAGAGAGAGATGGCTCAGTGGTTAAGAGCACTGATTACTCTTCCAGAGGACCCAGGTTCAAAGACCAGCATCCACATAGCAGTTTAAAAATTGTAACTCTGGTTTCAGGGGATCTGACACCTTCATACCAGTGCACATAAAATAAAGTTAAATAAATTATTTTTTAAAATCAGGATAAGGGAAAAGGCATGTTGATCCAAACCTTTAGCCCCAGGCAGGGGCAGGAGTATCTCTATGAATTCCAGGACAGCTTGGTCTACATAGAGAGTTCCAGGACAGCCAATACTGCATAGTGAGCCCATCTCAAATAAATACTAATATAAGGTCTACTTTAAGGATAGGGGTGTATAGTAATCAAAATGACAATGTATACAATATACCTGACATTTAATAAATGTACAGTTCTTTTCTGTGGGCAACTCTTACTTCTCTGAATTTGTATTTCCTCAAAAGTAATTATTATGCTGAAGTGCTGATTATGTAGAAGATGTGGTATGTGCTGCTCTAGTATTTACAGATAGGACTAGAACTGACTAAATTAAGTTGCTACAGATATAGGTAGTCATAGGTGGAAAAGCTAGCTTTGTATTTAGCTGTATACTACTCCAGAGCCAGTACGCTTAACAGCTATGTTGTCTTATGTAAATGTTATCTTTGAAAAAGATATCTATAGTTTCCAGTTCTGAGCTGTCATTACCACAGTGGACTTTTTTTTTTATTAAGTAGTTTAATGTTAGATAATAGGAGCAAAATATTACAACAGAAAAGACGTTTCTCCTCACTGACAAAAAATAAGTAACAAAAGCAGCTTAAGGAAGGAAGGGGTTTTTTTTGACTTCTAGTTTGAGGTGTACATTTGATTGTGTTGGAGAAGGCATGGTGGCAATAACAGGAGGGAACTGATAGCTCTTTGTCTATTTTGGGGAAGCAGAGAACCATTGATACTGGTGCTCAACTTGCTGTATCCTTTCTATTCAGCGCAGGATCTAAGATCATGAAGTGATGCTACCCACATTTAGGGTACGTCTTCACACATCAGTTAACTTAGTCTTGGAATCTGTGAGTTTGTGTCCATGGTCTTTGTAAATTCCATCAAGTTGGCAATCAGAATTAACCCATCACATTTTTTTCCTGCCTGAGAAGAAACAATGCTTTTATATTAAAAGTGACTATGAAGCCATACTTTGCAGGTGATGGTGTAAAGTGTGGGTGTAGAGCCCAGATTAGTATGAAGTGATGATTAGTAGCTTTCTGCTGATTCTCTGAGAGGTTTATGAGCCAATACAATTAAGAGCTGGATTTGAGCCATGCTATATCAGAATGGTGTATAATCATACACTGGAGAATTGTGGTTTGCAGTTACATCCTGTACCATTGTGCTGCTTGTGTTAGAAGTAACATGGCATCGTGTTTAATTCCTCTTTAGGCCTTCTTCAGGAACAGCTTTTGATGATGCTTTCTGGCTGGATTTGAACTATTTGGAGGTTGCAAAGGTGGCTCAGTCTTGTGCTGCTCACTTCACAGCATTGCTCTATGTAGAGATCTATTCAGATAAGAAAAGTATGGATGAGCAAGAGAAAAGGTAATGGGTCTTGACATTTTGGTTTTTAAACTAGTGTTGATATTGCCTCAAAAAAGTATATAGTAAAGATTTTTTTTAAAAATATTTATTTATTGTGTATACAGTCTTCTGCCTGCAAGCCAGCAGAGGGCACCAAATCTCATTCAAGGTGGTTGTGAGCCACCATGTGGTTGCCAGGAATTGAACTCAGGACCTTTGGAAGAACAGTCAGTGCTCTTAACTGCTGAGCCATCTCTCCAGCCCATATAGTAAAGATTTAATTTTGCCCCATTTCTCCATTTAAAAGACACTTTAGGCATACATTTTCTGTATCAAAGCAAAATAATAATTTTTTAAAAGTTAATTCTTTGAAAAAATAGAAATTCCAGTTATATGATATTCTATTTTACATTATAAAGACTGGACAGATAGGAAGCTTCTAAATAGAGGCATTACTTGATTGTTTGTGTACTCCCTGTAACAGCTAGCGTTGGGAACATAAATGATCCATAAATGTTTTCATGATTAAGTGATTTCCTAATTTTGGTTACATTAGATTTACCTCTAAGTCCTTCAGCTTTCATTATTCTTTTTGACTATAATGTGACTAATTCCTGTCTGTGACTAAATAAGTTTCATTTATGTGTTTCCTGCTTATATTTCTATCTACTTCGATTTGATTTTTCTCTGATTGAGTTGAAATTTTTATAAAAAGCTAATAAATATGATCATAGATCATGATGAAAAATAGCCAAGAAAATAGGGTATTAATTTGCATTATACACTGTATTATATGAACCCCTTTTCAAATCCTTGTCCATCTTAAGTAGCTTATGTAAGTGTTTACTTATAGCCTCGCTTTCTTATCACTAATTCAGCCTTACTAAGAAATTGAAATCACAGATGTGAGCTATGGCAATACATACATTATTTTTGCTGCTAATAATTGTAGATGCAATTAAGTTGGAATATCATGTGCTGTTTAGATTGGAAGAGTGGAACCTGAATTACTATGGTCTGTGAGTAGCTAACTTACAGATTTGGACCAATTTCTTTCGTCCTGGTTTGATAATTTAAATCTGTTTTTTGGTTGGAAACAATTGCAAACCTTCATTGTGTGGACATTATATAACATGTAACCAGTGTGTTGATAATCGCTGTAAATTCATGAAGACAAGTATATGGTAGTAATTGCAGTTTGAATGAGTTTCCATAATTTGGAAATAAGTAGCATATATGTCATATCTTTACCTCAAGGTTACAAAGCAAAGTAGGATGTTTTTGGCAACATTCTGTTAGTTGTTGCTCTCTGTACCTGTCTCCTGAGCTCCCTCCAAGAGGTAAAGGTGATGAGTATGTTTACCATTCCACACGTTTAGTTATTTCTTTTGTCATATTAGTATGAACCTAGAAATACAGCTTAGTACTCCCTACTTTTTAGATTTATAAGGCATTTTACATGCCATCTTTTCACTCAGGTTTTTAATAAGACTGACTCATTTATGCTGCCTGTTGCTGCCACTCTTTAGTTTGTGACTGACTGCTCATGGTGCACTGAGAGGAGATGCCATAGTTTGTTGCTTGTTCTGTCAGTGACATATACTGTACTGGTAGAATTATTGGTGTATAAGATAGTGCCAGATTGTTTCTTAAAATGATTGTACCAGTTTGTGTAGTTACCAAAAAAAAAAAAAAAGGTGCCACATTGGAGGAAGGAAAGAAAAGTATATAACTTTTTCTAGTTTAAGGGAAAATAGTATAGAAAACACAAGGCATGTTTTAGAAATATATTAGAGGAGCTATCACTTATGGCAGTATTTATTTATATATTGGATTATTATAGACACTGTAACAGTCAAAATGTTAAAATTGAGTCACTTACCAAACTATTACATCCATATATTTAAATGCTTAATTTTAAAGGTAAGGCCTTAGAGTAGATAAATCTGAGTTCTAGTCCCATTATTTATTTTTATAATCTTATATTTCTGTGAATCCCACATACTTTCATCAGATTTCTTTTTTCAGTTTATTGGAGATTAAATTGTGTCTTGTGATCTTACTATGTAATCTGCAATTATCAAGTTGAACTTTAGATAAGACCACTGATAGAATATTTAGAATCAAATTGGGAAACTTCTGCTCTGTTTCTTTATAAATAAGCATGTTTGACATGTAACTTTGCCATTTATACAATATTGTTACTATTTATAATTCTCAAATTTCTTTTCCATGCCAGATCTAAATGATATTCTGTGTTAAAATATAAATGACTCACTGTTCTTTTTGCAACCATAATTAGTTTCTTTCTGTTGAAGTGTAGTATAAATATGTTCATAACCTTTTAGATAGTATATTTTCATTAAAAGAATTGTTCATAAACAGAAGTCCAACATTTGAAGAAGGAAGTCAAGGTACAACTATTTCTAGTTTGAGTGAAAAAAGTAAAGAAGAAACTGGAATAAGCTTACAGGTAAATATTAGATACTCTGTAGTGATTTTTATGTGATACATTGGATTTTTCTTATAGTGATGTAATTGATTTTAAAATTGAAGCTACTTACTGGACTGAGCATCATATAATGTGTGTAAATATATATGTGTGTGTGTGTCTGTGTGTGTGTGTGTCTTATTTCCATATTTCCAATCTTGACCTGCTTACATAATGTGCATAAATAACTGGCCCTTTCTGACTTTGAACCTCTTAAATGAAAGACTGAAGTGAAACCACAGGGTAAATTTATATCACATAGGTTTTGCCATTGTGTTTCCTTCCATTTTATTTACAGTATTTGTAAGTTACTAACTTTTGTATGTATGCATTTATATGTTTCTAAATACTGTCTCAATGTTCTTTGTAGCACTCCCAATGTAACTCCCAATCCTTCTCAAATTTTTCCAACTGGAGACCAAGTATTCAAACATGAGCCTATGGGGGACATTCTTATTCAAACCACCATATAGATAGGAATCCCACCAACATCCCACAGTCAGACTTAAACCTCCCCACATGTGCTCTTGTCATAACCATCTCTCTTATTATAATAGAAAAACACTTTCCCTTTATCTCAGGTAATTTATCTGTTCCTTCTCAGAAACTTTGATATGCTGTGCTTCTTCAGAATTGTATGGCAAACATTTCAGAACTTTACTGTTTAAAACATTGTTGTTCTTGGAGATGGAAGGAGCTTCTCTCTTCCTATGTTCTCTTTAGGTGTCTCTGTTTTCTTTCCTTTCACAGCTAGACTTTGTGATGATGTCTGTATTTGTTCTCTCTCCTTCATTCCATTAAAATGGTAATTGCCCAGTGTTTTCTATGAACTAGAAATTACTAAGTCTGCTAGTAACCTTTCATTTCTTTCTCCTTAACATTTCACTGCAGATTGGCCTCTGTGTGTGTGTGTGAGAGTGAGAGTGAGAGAGAGAGAGAGAGAGAGAGAGAGAGAGAGAGAGAGAGAGAGAGAGAGAGAGAGAGAGAGAGAGAAGTTGAAATCAGATGTCTTTACTCACATCTTATATTTTGAAACAAGCTGTCTTCTTAAACCTATAGATCACTGATTGTGCTAGGCTGGCTAATCAAGAACTCTAGGGATCTACTTGTCTGCCTCCCCAGAGGTACACAGATGCTTGCAGATGCCCTGAGCTTTTTATGTGTGTGCTGGGATCTGGACTTAGGTCTTTATGCTTTCATGGTAAACACTTTAGTAACTGAGCATCTTCTGAGCTCTTCAGCCCTGTCTTGTGCTTATCATGTGATCCACTAGGTTAGTCTTTCTTTTTCTCTTAATACTGTTTAGTTTCACCTTTCTGTGCTATTTTTTATGAGTATCTTCTTACAGCAAGCACTGTTAGGTACTAAGTGTCTCAACCCTTAAGGTTTTCATGTCTATGAATAGAATATTTGAATAAGAATTACATGTAGAATTGTAATGATATCAATGGATTTGTATTTAGGAAATACTTCCCATAGCAAAAATATCAAGGCAAGTAAGTTGCTTGCTCATTTTTCTGTGAAATTAGCTTCTGGTTTTTTGTTGTTTGTTTTATTTCATTGAAGTTAAGCAGCACTAGTATTTCCTATGTAAATTTCACAAATGTGTTTAAGTAATTAAAATGCTGCTTTATGTACAGAACATTAAAAAAACTATTATCCATTTTAAAGAAAATTTATGACCTTTGTTTTTACCAGTTTCAGTAGTTAGGCTTTGCAGATTTTTATTTTCCCATTTACAGTTTTTAATCTGTGGACTAAATTGTTTTGTTTTGTCATAATTGCTGAGTGTGATTTAAAAAACAAAAGCCTAATATGTTCGTATACATGTTTTATCTAATCCATAAAATTGTGATTGTCAGTTCTTTTTTAGATTTATTACTTTATGTATATGAGTATTTTATTTGCATTGTATATAAGTACACCATGTGCGTGCCTGGTGCCTGTTGAGGCTAGAAGAGTGCATCAGACCTCATAGTACTGGAATTGCAGATGATTGTGAGCCACCATGTGGGTGCTGGGGATCAGACCTGGGTCCTCTTCGAGAGCAGTAAATGCTCTTGACTACTGAGCCATCTTTCCAGTCTGTGAGCATTACTTCTAAAGTAGACTATAATCATTTTGTTGTCTGGTACCAATCCACTGTGCTATTGACTCAAATATTTTGTATGTTTTTAAATATCACTATATTTTACTTTTACAACATGTTTATAAGTTGTGAGTTATGAATTGATACTGATAAAATTGAAAGTGTATGAATTCATGAACTTTTTTTTTGTATTTTTCTATTCTCTGTCTTTGTTATTTCTGTTTTCAGGATCTTCTCTTAGAGATCTACAGAAGCATAGGAGAGCCAGACAGCTTGTATGGCTGTGGTGGAGGGAAAATGTTACAACCTCTTACTAGGTAAATTGCACTTTATAGATAATATTCAGCTTTTAGAAGGAGCTACAGGCATACAAAAACAAAAGATGTTTTTACCATCCTTTCCTATAGAATACGGACTTACGAACATGAAGCAATGTGGGGGAAAGCCTTAGTAACATATGACCTGGAGACCACAATCTCCTCCTCAACCCGCCAGTCGGGAATAATTCAGGTACATTTTTTTCTGTATCTTCTCTGTAAAGCCATCATCAGGGCAACTGCTGGCATTATTTCAGCATATCAGTGAAGTGTAAACTCTGGAGAGAGAGCTGGAATTACTGCTTTTAGACAATAGAATAAAGTCTCAGGGATACACAGGAAAGCTGGATGGGTCAGTATAGTTTTGTTGATTAATATTTTTATTAGACAAGAGCAGAAGACTTTTCTTGAATGTGTACAATATGCCAGGAGATACTCTTAGTGCTTCACATGGCGTCTGTAGTTTGCATTAGAGTTGGTCCCAGAAACTATTATTTCTATCACTGGTTAATATGTTTAGGCGTTTTTCCATCAAATATTAGCATTTTCTGAGGAAATATAAAAAGCAATATTTTAGAATTTTAGGTGATATTGTTGATTAAAACTTTTTAAGTTGATATTTGTTTGTTCTATTCCCCTACCACTAGTTCAGTGATTCTCAACTTGTAGGTCACAGACAACCCTTTCACAGGGGTCATATATAAGATATCCTGCATATCAAATATTTATGTTAGGATCCATAACAATAGTAAAATAACAAAAAAATTATGGTTGGGGTCATCACAACATGAGAAACTGTATTAAAGGATTATAGCATTAGGAAGGCTGAAAACCTCAGCTTTAGTTTATGTTGAGATATTTGATTATTTTGTGATAACTTCCTTTTAGGCCTTGCAGAATTTGGGGCTCTCCCATATTCTTTCCATCTATTTAAAAGGATTAGATCATGAAAATAGAGAGTGGTGTGCTGAACTGCAGGAACTTTATTATCAAGCAGCATGGAGGAATATGCAGTGGGACCTTTGCAGTTCTGCCAAGTAAGAAGAAAATTGACTTTCCAAAAAGTTAGCCTTTCCTTAGTTATGTTTTTGTCTGAGTCTAAAACTGTGACTTTTTAAAAAGATTGTTTTTATTTTATCTATGAATATTAAGGTGTTCTTTTTATATTTTACAGCTACTGTGGGATACAAATGTGCCTAAATCTAAATTCTTAAGGTAGCAACAAGCAGTTAACACAACAAAGCTTAAATTTCATTCTCTAGACCAGGCTGTGGTGGCACACGCCTTTGATCCCAGAACTTGGGAGACAGAGACAGGTGGATCTCGGCTACCCAGGGGTACACAGGGAGGCAGTGTCTTTTTTTTTTATTATATATACAGTGTTCTGTCTGCATGTATGCTTGCATGACAGAAGAGGACACCAGATCTCATTATAGATGATTGTGAGCCACCATGTGGTTGCTGGGAATTGAACTCAGGACCTCTGGAAGAATAGTCAGTGCTCTTAAACTCTGAGCCATCTCTCCAGCCCCGGGAGGCAGTGTCTTAAAACCAAATAGATAACCAAACAGAAAGAAGTACTAAACCAAGATGCCAAGAAGATGAAAGTTGTAACCTTTATATCAAATCACCATTTAAGTGAAAACCAAAATACCTAGACTAGTGATGAATTGATAGTTTTATAAAAGTTTTTTTAAATAATAGAACACTAGCATTTAAGTCATTTTAGAGCCAGGTGTTGGTGTTGCATGTCTTTAATCCCAGCACTCAGGAGGCAGAGGCAGGTTGTGAGTTAGCAGGCAACCTAATCTACAAAGCTACATAGAGAAACCTTGTCTGGAGGAAAAAAAATTAAGTAATTTTAATGGAAAAATGTTTTCATTAACTTGATTGTTTTTCAGATTTCATATTGTAAGTGCTGTAGATTTATTCCTCCTTCAGAGTTCTCTGTGATGCCCTGGTGTCCTAGAACGCACAGTGTAGACCATGCTGTCTTGGGACTCACAGAGATTCACCTGTCTCTTACTCTTGAGTGCTAGGATTAAAGGTGTGCACTACCACTCAGCTGTTCTTATATTTTATAAGTATTTTATTGTTTAAACTGGTTTCTCCCTGATATTGTAATCCTACATTGACAGTTGTTCTCCTTGCTTGGTGTTTTAGCCACACAGGTCTGGTATAGTGTTACATATAGGTAGAAGCCTCTGTTTCCCTCAGTTTTCATGTTTGTCATGGATTCTTGTCATCCATTCTCTATTTTAATAATACCCTAGCAGGCAGTGGCAGCATACACCAGCATTCATGAGGCAGAGGCACTCGGATCTCTGTGAGTTTGAGGCCAGCCTTGTTTATAGAGTGAGTTCCAGGACAGGCTCTAAAGTTATACAGATAAGCCCTGTCTAGAAAAACCAATAAATACATGAACAAACAAACAAATAAAATAAAATAATGCCCTAACCTCAGAAGCCATTCTTGACCACCCTTATGTCAAATATTCTTTCCTGCTATTTGGTTAACCTACATTCATTCTCTGCATGACTCTTGTGATAATCTAGTATTTTTCATATTTATCATCCAAAGCAGAACATAAGCTTCACAAGAGAAGGGACTTTATCTGACTTGTCCATTAATGGATCTTTTACATTTAGAACTTGGTTCATAGTGCCTGGAATATAGTAAACATTGGCTGAATAAAGAAATGGAAATATAAGATTGAGAACCAAACAAAATTTCCTAGCTTTTTTTATGTAAAGAATTTAAATGACCTATTAAGTTCTTTGCTTTTTATTGCTTTTTTTTGTTTATTTATTTATTTATTTTGAGGCAGGATGTCACCATTTAGCTCTGGCAGGTCTGAAACTTGCCATTTGTAGACTAGACTGACCTTTAACTCAATTAAAGGCATGTACCATTGCACTCAGCTTTTTAAACATTTCTACAAATTTTTATAAGAAATCTTAACTTTAGTTTTTAATTTTGCTCTTTCAATTAGTTATTTATGTATGCATATGTTAGGATTTTCTGTTGTAAATTTGTTTTTTAATGTCACAGCCAAGAACTAGAAGGAGCCAGTTACCATGAATCATTGTATAATGCTCTGCAGTCTCTAAGAAACAATGAATTCTCCACGTTTTATGAGAGTCTCAGATATGCCAGGTATTATACAAAGAAAAGATTATTTTTCCATTTAATGCTGTGGCTGCTGTCCTCACAATGTGAGTAGTTTCAATGTGAGTATTTGCATCGATGAAGGGATGAAGATGTGGTAGCTGTGGTCAGGTGTTTCCTTGCTATTCTTTGCTCTCTCTTAGGAAAGACTTTTTTTCAGGACTTTATGTCAGTTCTTCACTTTGAGCTCTCAGGAAAATCAGGATAATGTTCTCTTCCCATACAAGTATCCTAAGAGTTTTCATTTTTTTTTCCTCTCTAGTTACATGACTTCACTATCTTACCATTATAGCTCTACTTTATAAAATGATGATCAACAGTACTTTTAGGTTGCTTTGAGGCATATATAAGAATACATGATATAGCGATTAGCTATAACAAGTTAAAATGATTTTTTAACACTGACTGACATCACAAATCCTATATATATGACAGAAATGATATGTTCTACCTTTAAAGTGATTGTATTAGGAATTCACAGAGTCTGAATCAACAACTAGGGAGTCTACATGGGACTGACCTAGGCCTTCTGAGTATATGGGACAGTTGTGTAGCTTGGTCCTCTTGTGGGACTTCTAACAGTGGAGCAGGGGCTGTCTCTGACTCTTTTACTGGCTTTTAGTACCCTACTCCTCATACTGGGTCACTTTACCCAGCCTTAACACAAGGGGAGGTGCTTGGTCTTACTGCAATTTGATATGCTATGTTTTATTGATACACATGGGAGACCTGCCCTTTTCTGAGCAGAAATGGAGGAAGAGTGGATTTGAGGATGGGGGAGAGGGAGAGGGAGTGAACTAGGAGGAGAGGAGGGAGGGGAAACTGGTCAGTATGTCAGATAAATAAAGTGTATGCTAGACACTTTGTCAGGCTCTTTCAATACATGTTCTTTAAAGTAACTTCAAAGGTGAAAAACAATAGCTGTGACAAAATTCAGTAGCAGATTCAATGATAGACAGACATGGCAGAACCGGGCTTTAAATTTAGAAAGGCTAGTGTTGGTCACACTGCTGTTTAATCATCACTATGGTTTGTGTGTATTAGTCTTGTTAGGGCAGCAGCAAGCATATGTTAAATATGATTTGAACTTCTCTTCTATTTCTAAAAACTTGCTAGTTTCACACTCTTATTTCTTTTACCCCTAGAGTGAAAGAAGTTGAGGAGTTGTGTAAGGGCAACCTTGAATCTGTATACTCTCTGTATCCCACACTTAGTAGATTACAGGCACTGGGAGAACTGGAAAACATGGGGGAGCTTTTCTCAAGGTATGTGGTTCATGGGTTTTGATAATCCTGAAGTGCATTGTCTTAACAGTAGTAACACGTGATGAGCTTGATTATTTGTTTTGTTAAGTGAGGAAAGGTTTATTTTGGTTCATGGTTTTCAAAGGTTTCAGATCATTATTAGCTGCTTCCATGTTGACCTAGATGAAACATTGTGTTAATGGCACACATGAGGAGGAAAGGGAGAGATTTATTATAAAATAAACTTGATAGATGTCATCTGTGAACCAGGAAGTGACCTCAGCACACTCACCATCTGATGCACTGTGATGTCATTTAAATTTATTAATGTATATTAATAAATACATTTTAGATTTTTTTCAGTTGAGAAATGTAATGCTAATAGTTATAACCTAAGAATTGAAATCAAATGCTCTTCAAAATCATCATTAATTTTAAGAGTATATAGAGGTCCCTATGTTTAAAATATTTTTGATCTGTTGCTCTGGGGTGATTTGTGGAGGAAGTAGTAGTTTGGCTTTCATGAACATGCATTATTGATTTCTTCTGTGTAAAGAAACTAAAATGATTCCTGACACTTTCTTAGTCTGTTTTCCTGTATGTTTTTTCTCTCTCAACACATCTTGAAAGGTAAGATAGTACTTCTTATTTTATGCATGTAAAAGGCAATGTATTCATATAAATGAACTGTATATTTTGCATTTTCTGTTGCTTTAATGTTGTTAGCAGGTAGAATCTTTTTAAATGCCAGCTGTTTCTTCAGTGAACTGATTTTTGTTTTTGACAGTTATGCATAGTACCATTTGTAGGTAATTAATGAAGTTAGTTCATTTCCTTGTAGATGTGTCTTCCTTTGCTGTAAGGAGGACTAGAGGTGTAGTCATGTCTTTATGATATATCTGATTATAGCGTCTCATTTCAGAACAAAATCTATTCAAAAAGGCTGCCTTTTGAAAAGGAAAATCTTTTCTAGTACCCATTTTCTGTAACCTTTCTATTGACCTCTATCTACATAGTATTTTTCATGTTCTAAATATTTAGGGCAAAAAAAAATATTTAGGGCTATTTGTAAGTTCTAATCTTGCTACTACGTGAGTTCCTTGTATAATATGCAATGTCTTAAGTTTCAGGAGATGAGAACCCTTGTCTTTTCATTTCTTTTGTTCATGTAAGTTATGTGACTTGACTTTCAGGTCAGTCACAGATAGAGATCGTTCTGAAGTGTACTTGAAGTGGCAAAAACACTCCCAGCTTTTGAAGGACAGTGACTTTAGTTTTCAGGAGCCACTCATGGCTCTACGCACAGTCATTCTGGAGATCCTGGTGCAAAAGGAAATGGAGAACTCCCAAGGAGGATTCTCTAAGGACATACTCACCAAACACCTTGTAGAATTCTCTACTCTAGCCCGAACCTTCAAGAACACCCAGGTAAAAAGCTTGCAAAATTATGTCATCTCACTTCTTGGGCTTTTTTATTATTCAGATACCAGAAGGTATAACACTGTGAAGAAGAAATCTAATTGAAAACTAGAAATCAGTACTGGATATAAAATTATTTAAGATTTCATGTTGAGATAGGCTTGTGTGTAGGCCTATTATAATCACAAGTTCAGAGACTGCCTGGGCAAGAGAATGAGTTCAAAGTCAACTTGAACAACCTAGTGGAACCTGTCTTAAATACATAAAAAGGTTCTGGGACTGTAGTTATGTGGTATCATGCTTGTTTGCGTAGCATGTGAAATCAAACTCCAGTATTGAGGGAAAGCCAAAACAAAACTTACATATTGGAATTAGACAAAAACTTGAATTTAAACTTTGGCAAGGCGGTTAGTTACCTTTTCTCACCCACAATTCCTGGTTATAAAATGAGAAGATACGAAATTTATTACAAGGTAAAGATAACAAAAGGCTTTCACATACTTATAAATGTATGAGCTGTGCTTCGGGGAGGCTTTTTTTTTTTTTTTTTTTTTTTTTTTGGTCTGCAGGTTTGTAAGCAAGCAGGGAGCTAATTAAGATAGTCCTTGACAAATGTGAAGTTCTTGATGAATAGTAATTGCTGCTTTGGTTTTTAATCTTAGTGATAATAGTGTCTGTTTCCCTATGCCGGTTTCATTACAGCTCCCTGAGAAAGCAATATTTAAAATTAAACAATATAATCCAGCTATTTGTGGAGTCTCTGAGTGGCATTTGGAAGAAGCACAAGTGTTCTGGGCGAAAAAGGAACAGAGTCTTGCCCTGAATATTCTCAAGCAAATGATCAAGAAGTTGGACTCCAGCTTTAAAGAGGTGTGCGCTTGGCTTAGTTTGCTGGTTTAGGGTTTTAATGTTATTGAAAAGCATTTCTGTGATCCAGAATATGATTAAGGCCTTGAAATTACCAACCCATGAACAAGATATTATGAAAAGAAATTTTGAAAATTAATGTCAGATATGAAACTTGGAAACTTTTTCTTATTTAAAACAAATCTATCCATCTTTCTTGTGGTATATTCATTTATTTGATCTTAGTGCTAAGTCATTCAATTTTCTATAGAAGTTAATAACAATATTTAGAAAATAAGTTGAAATACATATTATAACTTTGAAGTAGAAAGAACAAAAATAGAATTAGAAATGTCTGAGAGAAGAAAGAACAATTTGTCACTCTAAGTGCTCTGAAAATATCACAGTCAGTGAACAGTGCAGGGACATTATAGAGTCATGAATTATTTATTATAACAAAGCACTGGGTGCCAGTATAACTTGCTTACACATTCCAAAGTAGTACAAGCCCTAAATTATGGGCTGTTTTTATATCTCAGTTTTTGCATTGACAAGTAGATAATAATAATAATATTATACCTAGTTCATAGGATTCCTGTGAAAATTATGCGTTAATATACATAAAGCTTTTGGAAGGTTCCTGGCTTATTTAAATACTCTGTAAATGCGAGTTGTTCCAATGATGATGATGGTGGTGATGATGATGATGTTAGATCAGGGTGGTTATTTCATGAACTTGTATACTTATAGTTATATGGTAAAAACATTTCTGATTGCTTTTTACCTACATGGAGGACATTTTTGTAATCTTGAAAAGGAATTACATTTTAAGAATTTGCTTCTTAATACAGAATGATGCAGGTCAAAATGTCATGTATGCAGAGTGTCTGAGGGTGTGTGGCAACTGGCTGGCGGAAACTTGCTTAGAAAATCCTGCAGTCATCATGCAGACTTACCTAGAAAAGGTAGGTTGTTGGTACAGCTCTGAATGTTGTTTTTTAGCATAATACACTTGATCCTTTTATGAAGACCACATGTATCTCAAAAGCAAATGAAAGTATGGCTTCATTCCTTCAGCTCCTGCTGGACTTTGTAATCATTAGAGTAGAGTGAAGCAAATGCTACAAAAGAAGGAACAACTTTAAATACATGTATATCTTCCATCTACTCTTTAAACCCACCTCAGCTACTCTTCAAGAAGTTATTTCTGGTTATTCCAGAAAATATCCCATTACAGAACATACAAGCCATCATTGCTATTTATGTGTACCCAACTACCCACAGTAAGGGTTAGGATTTCACTTCTCTAGTCCCCCTTGACCTTACTATTTCTCCCTTTTTGTCTTTCCTTATCACTAATTTGGGAAATAGTTATTTCACTCAGTAAGTTTATTATGAAAAGTAAAATGTGATGTTTTATCAAAGTTTCATTTTTTCATTATATAGCTATTTATCCTATTTGTTAAGTATTACCATATTTTATGATTTCATAGTTTTTATATATGGAGTTGTTTCCTTGGGAAAAAAGTAAGATGTGATTTTCATTGGTACTAACAAGCTTTTCACTTCTGCACAGTTCATTGCATCTGTTAGCTGATAAAGGTTCCGTGCTATCAAGTTTCACACTTACATATACATGAGGGAATTATGTTTGACATTTGTAAATATTATCTAACTGGATTGTATGTTGTTGAAGGCAGTGAAAGTTGCTGGAACTTACGATGACAAAAGCAGTGAGCTCAGAAATGGACAGATGAAGGCATTTCTCTCATTAGCGCGGTTCTCCGATACTCAGTACCAGAGAATTGAAAACTACATGAAGTCATCAGAATTTGAAAACAAGCAAGCTCTCTTAAAGAGAGCCAAAGAAGAAGTGGGCCTTCTAAGAGAACATAAAATTCAGACTAACAGGTAACTTTATGTCTACAAGTGGTGGTTTTATGTTCAGCTAAAGGAGAGTTTGCATGTGGGACTTGAACTTGTCATCTGAATTACAGTTTTGAGCACTTAAATTGGCTTTTTTTAAAATAGGCTTTCTCAGTGGCTAATCACAACTTCAGTCAGTCTTCAGTACACTGTCAGGTGTTCTCTGAAGAACTGATGTCTTTAGCTCTTGGCAGAGTACATGAGTGTTAGTTGTTTGGTTTTACTAGGTATTGAAATTAAGTACAGAGAACTTGCTTGCTTTGGTATTGTCAAGTTCCTTTAAGTCTGCATTAAGTTTTTGTATGTTTGCAGTAAGCAGAGAATTAATATAGAGTCCACTCTGCCCTTAGGTATATGGAAGACCTATTAGTTGCAGTTGTGAGAACATTTAGTTCCTTTTATTATCCTTAGAATTTTTTTCTTGGGGTAAACGCCTTATTTTTCATTTATGCTGTATATTATATGTGATTTTACAGTTATGTAAACTTTTGTGACTTTTATGTGTGAATTTATCAAATACAAGATACACGGTAAAGGTTCAGAGAGAACTGGAGCTAGATGAATGTGCTCTCCGGGCATTGAAAGAGGATCGTAAACGCTTCCTGTGTAAAGCAGTTGAGAACTACATCAGCTGCTTGCTAAGTGGAGAAGAGCACGATATGTGGGTATTCCGGCTTTGCTCCCTCTGGCTTGAAAATTCTGGAGTTCCTGAAGTTAATGGAATGATGAAGGCAAGTCTTACCCAACCCAGCCTTTGGGCATCTGCTTTAAAACTGAGGCATAAGCCCCTTCTGTGTCCGGTTTTGTAAATTCCTGTGTTTTCCTAGCTATGGGTTTGGTACTAAATGATGCAGGTTTGTGTGGAGGTAAGAGAATTTATGTTGGTGTTTTATCTTTGCAGATACTATATGGGAGTGCCTAGAAAAAAACAATTAAAGATAATGTGATCCTAAGCTAGAATTTTTCTTTTCTTTTTTTTTTTTTTCCTTTTTTTATTCTTTTGAGGGATTTTTTTTCCGAGTACTTTTACAAATAAAAAAATTTCCTAACATACAGGAGTACTTTCTAAGTTTTTATTGAAAAAAAATTGTAAGCTATGGTCATAAAATAAATATATATTACCATTCAGTTTGAAAGTAAAATGTTTCTCTGGAATTGAAAAGAATGATAAGGCTCAGGGTTAGCAGAACCAGTCTTTTCTTTTGTGTGTATTAACTTCATTATTTCCAGCATGTAGGGAAAATAACTTGCATTTTGTTATTTATTGAATTCTTGGAAATGGAGACCATAGTAGGACTCGGGTTCACATTTGGCCTCCTCGGAGTCACTAGAATGTATGCAGTGATAATCATTACAGCTCTGGTTGCAACTTAATTTAGGGCTAAGTTTTTATTCTCACTAGATCGAGGCTTCCTAGACTTCCCATTAGAAGGCCAAGAGAAAAGGGAAATTGTGTAGTGGAGTTTTTGACAGTCACTATGCTGTGCTAGTGGAAGAACATTATTTTAGTATCATAATTTTGGTTTAGATGTGAGGTTATGTTACACATTTCTTAATTTTGTATTTTTTTAATATCAGAGAGATGGAATGAAGATTTCATCATATAAATTTTTGCCTCTCATGTATCAATTGGCTGCTAGAATGGGGACCAAAATGATGGGAGGCCTAGGATTTCATGAAGTCCTGAATAATGTAAGTAGACCAAAAGTCAAAATGTAATAATTGCTTTTCTTTTATATTACTGAACACCATATAAAGGAAAATGAGAAATTAGAACATAAAATTGTTTTCTTTTATTACAAATAAATTTGTTTCTTTTTTCTGATGTTCATCTTTAGTTCTCTCTCACACAGACATATACATATACTACTTACTGCAAAATGACATAACTTGAGTTTAGATGTGGAGCAAAATGAAAAAAGTTTATTTAGTTTCTTTCTATTATGTAAAACTAATAGTTATTAATTTTCTGATAGCTGATCTCTAGGATTTCAATGGATCACCCCCATCATACTCTGTTCATTATATTGGCCTTAGCAAATGCGAACAAAGATGAACTTTTGAGCAAACCAGAGGCAGCAAGAAGGAGTAGAATTACCAAAAATGCACCCAAAGAAAGCTCCCAGCTTGATGAGGTATTTGGATTAAATACAAGTTTCTTTATGTTGTCATGGTCATTCTTTCTCAGAATATTCCTTTCTTAATTCTCAGAGATTTTAGGGATGTATGTTGCTGGTGGTATTTAGATTCTCCTTTATTATGATGATGCCACCCAAAACTCCTGAACATTTCCCAGAGCATAAATACTGGCTTGGTTTTGTCTTCTTGTAGTAATGGACAAAGAAAAGACAGATTTTAAAATAGATTTATTTTTAATATGTGTGAGTGTATGTGTGTGTGTATCTGGTGCCCACAGAGGCCAGAGGAGGTTTTTGGATTCTCTAGACCTAGAATTGCCATGTAGGTGCTGGGAACTGAACCTAGGTCCTCTGAAAGAGCAGTAAGCTCTCTTAACCATCAAACCATCTCTCTAGCTCAGAAAAACAGATTTTTGAAAAGTACCCCAGTCATTAACCTTGAATTTTTATGTGTGTATTCATGTATTCATGCTTTGTTTGTATCTGAGGAATTATAGTCCTTCCATTGTCTGGATATAAATTCTCTTTGTATTATTCCAAGAAGCTTAAATGTTGAGTGGTTCTTGTTCTGTCTTTCTTTGTTCCTTGTTGTTGATGATAGGATCGAACAGAAGCTGCAACCAAAATAATCCATACCATCAGAAGGGAGAGATGTAAGATGGTGAAGGACATGGAGGCTCTCTGTGATGCCTACATTATATTGGCAAACTTGGATGCCTCTCAGTGGAGGAATCAGAGAAGTATGTTTGAAAGTGTTGTTGCTGCTGTTGTTACAGCTTGATCTTCAGTGATATTCCTCAGTTTACTGTTGTCACTAAAATCTCTTTCTTTATAAATATAGAAGGCATCAGTATTCCAGCAAATCAACCAATCACTAAACTGAAGAATTTAGAAAATGTTGTTGTTCCCACTATGGAAATTAAGGTAATTTATCAGTAATTCTTGATTTTTAATAAAGCTAAATTCTACATTAGGAGGTTGAATTATTTGTAAGCCTTTTTATGTTGTCCAAATGACTAATTATTGCAATTTCATGTTTCCAACTAGAGATTGTATTAGATTTCCTTTTCCCAAGCCTTAGAATAGTCACAAGCTTCTGAGAATTCCCATTGTTTCACTGTTATTTTAGCACTAGGGACTGAACCTAATAGATGCTGGGCAAGCCTTTTTATACCTTTAATTTTGAAACAGGGTCTCTCAGTGAGTTTATCTTGAGTCTGCTCATTAATTTAAGCAAACCTAGAACTTGACAATCCTCCTGTCTCAGTTTCCTTAGTTCCTGGGACGTTAGACCTGTGGCCCATTTGTTTTGTTTCACTTTGTTTTATTATTCAGTATGTGCATACATGCATGTGTATGAGGGTATGGTGCCCATGGTAGCCAAGAACTTTACTGCTGAACTATACTTGAGTCTCTTGGGGTTTGCAGGTATATAGCACCATTCCCCCCAATTTGTTGTGGTTATTTTTGTTTTTTTAATAATTCAGTGTACAGTAAAAGTATTGGTTGTGATGTATTATATTATTTAATAAAACAACAGAGAGTACGGTTTTTAAGTTGCTGTGTGTGCATACTAAATTCAGCTGTTCACAGTGATCTTTTATTACTAGAAGTACAATGTGGGCAGGATGTATGTACCAGTTAAGGTTACCATTTTAGAAACTGATGTGTTAAGTAGATGGTACATCTTTCATTCCAGTTTGTACATTAAAATTAGTATCTTTTGTTAGTGAGTTATCCTGTTATTACACATGGGTTAACAGATTTAGGCTATTTTGTTTAACTTTTCAGAATTAACCTGATATTCTTGTGAATTAAGTAATTTCTTAGATGATTTGATACATGTAAATGACAACTAAGTTCTAATTTTTCAGTAATTTTTCAACAGCATTATTCTAATTGGGTGGAAATGCTGAAGTTTTATTAAAAGATGTTTAAGAAAGTAAACTAAATTATATGTAACTTTAAAAATCAGGGTTGGTGGGCTGGAGAGATGGCTCAGAGGTTGAGTTCTGGCTACTCTTCCAGAGGTCATGAGTTCAATTCCCAGCATCCATATGGTTGCTCACAGCCATCCATAATGAGATATGGTGCCCTCTTCTGGCATGCAGGCATACATGCAGACAGAATAGTGTATACATAATTAATAAATAAATCTTAAAAAAAAGTCTGGGTTGGCAAGATGGCTTACCATGTAAAGACACTCGTTGCCAAGCCTGTAAACCAAAGCTCAATCCTGGGACCAACATGGTGGCACACATATGTGCTCTCATATACAAAGTAAATAAGCAAATGAAATAAAAATCTATCAATGCATTCATTCTAACTTTAAACAAAGTAAATTAGAAATACAGTTGTTAAAAAGCAGTATATTCTCATTTATTTTTCTGCTTACCATTTATAATTTGTTTTCCTTCAGTGCTTGTTGTTTATCTGTACTATAATAATTACTTGTCATCATTAGGTTGATCCCACAGGAGAGTATGAAAATCTCGTGACTATAAAATCATTTAAAACAGAATTTCGCTTAGCAGGAGGTTTAAATTTACCAAAAATACTAGATTGTGTGGGTTCTGACGGCAAGGAAAGGAGACAGCTCGTCAAGGTAAGACTTCCTGTTTCTGGTATTGTCCTTGGAGGGTTAATGATATCAAAGTCAAGAAGAAATTGTTTTCTTTTTCCCTCATTTGGCTGTCTGAATCTAACTTTATCCTGAATAATAACAGGCAGGAAACGTTTGTGAAGTAGACATACAATGTGCTAGAGCCAAATTGCTTTTTTATTGTCTTTGAAAGACTGTCAGAGAAAGTCTCTTTCCTACTATTGTGGATTAAAACCAAGGTCAAGGTCTTGCTCATGCTCAGCAATTCTCTACTTGTGAATTTCATCTCAGCTCTCTTTTAGGTTTTATTTGAGATGGGTCTTGCTAAGCTGACTGGGCAGGGCTTGAATTTGGGACCCTCTTACCTGAGCTTCTGAAGAAGTTGGAATTGTAGGTCTGTACTACTGGGCTTGTCAGGCTCTTGATGTACAGTTGATTTAAGGGAAAGAATATTACCAAGGTGTACACACACCATGAGCTCTCTCTGAAAAAAGTTTTTGGTGGTATTTAGATCTAAGGCCCTTGCTTAACATACTAGGCCTGATACTATAACACCTACTCTTGTACTGGAAAGTAACAACATTCCTTGCTTTGTTCTGCTTGTGTAAGTGCTTTTGGAGTCTTACTGAAGATAGACGGGAGATAAAGTATTACTTTATCTGGGTGTTTTGTATTGTGCCTTCATGGTTCGGTTAGGAGAAACTTAGTCTTTTGTATTAGTCTGCTTCCCAGTTTCACAGTTTTTTTCTAAAGGCAAGAATGACAGTAGGTATTAAGAGACTCTGAAGGGGAGCATAGCTCAGATTGATTCTGAGTTTCTTGTGCTGCCTGTTCTTAGACGACTGTATGCTTATAGTAAAGTAAATTATACCTGTTTATGTCTGGTTCTTCTGAAGGGCCGTGATGACCTGAGGCAAGATGCTGTCATGCAGCAGGTTTTCCAGATGTGCAATACACTCCTGCAGAGAAACACTGAGACTAGAAAGAGGAAACTGACTATCTGCACATACAAGGTAACTAACTTACTGACTTCCATTCTGGTGCTTCACCAAGAAAAGTATACTGTTTGGACCAAGGATGAACAAATAGTGAATATTTTAGACTTTGAGAGCCACTTAGGTCTCTTGCATTTTAAATCTGTAAATGCTTTCTTTGCTTCCATGCTGTATAGAAATAAACTGATGTGCCATAGATTTCCACTCTCTGGTTGGACAACATATCGTTTAAGGTTATTTGCCATTAAATATTTCCTATAGTCAACTGAAATAGTCTCCCTTTATTGTATTAAGTAATGTACTATAGGGATTATTCTGTCATTTGTATGTACATGGTTTATTTTATAGGTCCTTACTTAAGACTATTTAGGTTGTTTCTGGGCTTGTGCTACTACAAACAGTGATGCTCTGCATTGAACAAATTATGTGAACATGCATGTTTCATTCGTGCTCAGGTCAGTGTATTGGAAAGATTTCCAAAATTTGTATTAATAGGTGAAGGACACATGCAAAATTATAATTTGGTCGATTTTTGCTAGAGGACAGTCAATGGAGTTAGACCCATTTCCATTTCCTCCACAATTTACTTAAGAAATCTTCAAATCGTGTTATTCTGTTAGTTGATCTCTGGCTCTTTAATTAACTCTTAATTAGTTAATATAAGAGCCAGTGATTTTAATTATTTATATGTTAATTATTTTATCTTTCTTCTAAGAGATATAATTCCATGTTTGTCCTTTTTTGGCTTTGTTCCCATGTCCTGCTGTAACAGGACTTACTGTTGCCGTGCTTTCATTTTCCCAGGAAGATATGAACAAACTAAAAAGCATTGAATTCACCTTCTAGTCGAGAACCAGTTCTTTCCAGTCAGTCTCACTATCTGTTTCTTTTACTTTCAGAAGTGTATGTGCTATAAGTATTTTATCTAGAAATTTAAATATTTTATCAGGAGTTAACCTAAACATTAATACATGTTTAAAAATACAGTGGAAAAATGTTCCCTCACAACAGTTAAAGAAAAGAGTGTGTAACATTGTACTCACTTTAGCAGCACGTATACAAACATTGGAACAATACAGAGAAAATTAACATGGTCCCTGTGTAAGAAGGAATAAAAAGAGTATGTAACATGAATAAACTGCCTAGGAGTGGTGTTAACAAGATAAATATAGGAGTGGACAAAAATTAGCAAAACACAAAATGTAAAGGAAAACTGAGATATATCTTAATTGGGAGCTCATTGAAAAAATCATCTTAAAAATATCAGATTATTTCAAAATAATTTTTGATAGTAAAATTTCAATAAAATTTTGTAAATAGTATTGAGTGCTTGCCTAGCACGTATATGGCCCAGGTTCAATCTCCAGCATCGAGGTGGGGTGTGAGTGGGGGTGGAGGAAATCAATAAAACTGCATAACTTAAAACATTTTCAGGTATATATTTCTTTTTCTTTTTTTTTCTTCTTTTTTTTTTTCTTCTTTTTTTTTTTTTTTTGTTTTTGTTTTTGTTTTTTTTTGGTTTTTCAAGACAGGGTTTCTCTGTAGCTTTGGAGGCTGTCCTGGAACTTGATCAATAGACCGGGCTGACCTGGAACTCACAGAGATCCAACTGTCTCTGCCTGAGTGCTGGGACTAAAGGTGTGTGCCACCACCCAGCCAGGTATACATTTCTAAAAACCCAGTATGTATGTTACTGAGTTACATTACCTTCCCAAACAGAAGTTTTAAAAACTAATTCTCAGTTAATGCTAAACAAAAGTTAAGGGTCTATGAAACCTGGGGTTTTTTTTGTTGTTGTTGTTGTTGTTAAGATTTACTTTGTGTATATGAGTGTTTTCCTCACATATGTCCGTGTATCACATTGTGCGTGGTGCCCTCAGAGGTCAGATTACCTGAAACTGGAATTACAGGTGTGAACTGCCAGAAAGGCACTGGAAACTGACCCAGGTCCTCTGCAAGAACAACAAGCGTTCTTCACTGCTGAACATCTATCCAGCCCCAAAGCTATTTTTTTTTAATGTGGTTCAGATTATTAGTGCTCAAGCTTTAGTAACCATCACCACTTACAAGATTTGTGCTCCCTTCTTCCCTTTCTCTCTCCACCCCCACCCCATTATTGTATATGTTTGAGACTAGGTTTCCTATAACTCAGACTCAATATGTAGCTGAGCATGACCTTGAAGTCCTGATCTTTGAACTCCTTATCTTTCTGTCTCACTTCCCTAGCTTTTGAGGGTTTGTTAAACCAGATGCTTAGGATTTCTGTCAGTTGACCTGGAGTGGAACCCAAGACTGCATTTTATCTGGATTCTGAGCAATGCTGTGGACCTTACTTTGAGACCCACCAATCTGATTCTTATGCTTGATGACATAGTTTTAGAACAGGGTAGAAAAACTATTAGCTGTTTTCTGCTTAGAGATTAGGTTATCATGGGAATAAAAGGAAGTTTCTATGTTCTAAGTCTCAGGCTCTCAAGGAGTGTGCAGTTGACAACTGAAGGGTTAGCTTTGTGTTTAGAGCTGATGTCCTTAGTGTTACTGAGGATCACAGCAACATGGGCTTTCGAAACCATTCAAGTTGCTAGAAAAATTTACTTGTGGATTCTGGCTCAGTAACCCTGGTCTCTATGCTGTTTGGAAATCTAACCTGCTTTTAACGACTCCCTGCTCATCCTTCATTTGGATAGTCGAAAAATAGACCAGTCATCTAACATATAACCATTTGGAAGGACCATTTCCTGTAAGGTTATTTGCATAGAAGACTAAGGTTTCTCAGACTCAGTAAGGTTTCTTGGTTCATCACCTCCACTTTCAAAACAGCCCTTTCTCTGTGCCTCAGCTAAAGGTGCTGCTCTCAGACAGAGTAAAGCTCAGACACCTTATTTTATTTTATGGAATTTATATGGGACTGGGGAGATATCTCAGTGGGTAAAGTGCTTGCCTACAAGCATGAGGACCTGAGTTTGAACAGGGACTTTAAAGATTGTCAGTAGAAAAAATTAGGGAAGAACAGAATTCATAAGAAGTGAGTGGCCAGTAAACCTGTCATATGGTATTCTGTTAGTCATCAGAAAAATACAGACTAAAACTACAGTGTGCTACAGTTAGCATGAAAGTGACAAAATGTAAAAGTCAGACAAATGTGTTGGAAAAATTCAGTAACAGCTTTTCTGGTAAGTCTATAAATTGCAACAGTCACTTTGGATAGTTACTTCATTAAGTTAAAGATAGTACATTTCCTATGACCCTGTTATATATTTACCAGTGGACAATCACTGCAGCAGTATTTCAGAGAAAATTGTGGGGGGGTCTTCACAAGCACTATGGTCAGCAGAGTCAGTCTGCAAGAGGCAAGAAGTCTGGTTCAACACTACTCAGTAGCCAGTGTTGGTCAAATTTCAAGAGTCTGACACTCAGTAGTTTATTTTAGGCATTCTTTAAGCATAGCGTAATTTGGCAAAAGTTTCCCAGTGATAATTAACTTAAACCCATGTGCACAATAAAGCTTAAGACATGACTACATCGAAACTCTTATAAAGTACAAGTGACATAAAGTAGGTTCTATATATATATATATATATATTAACTGAGAAAGCAGACTTGAGGTAAACAATGCTCATGATAAGGGTCTGGGGATGATAATTCTGTAGATTAACTGAGATAAACAAGGTCAAGATAAGGGTCTGGAGGAGCTGGTTTTCCTGGCCATACAGATAGCACAGAGTTCACAGAGTTTTCCTGGTTCTTATCTGTGAGCACAAGGACCTACAGGCCTCCTTCAGGAAATAAGAAAACAATACCAACCAATACAAATGTTGAAATGCAAACTGGATAAAATGGACAATTTTACACACACACACACACACACATACACACACACACACATATATATAAAATCATAAAGGTATGAAATTAATGATAGTTAAGTATATTAACAAAGCCAAACTTGAGATTGTCAAGTGAGAAAAAGCAAATTGTAGAAGCTGACACACATCTTTTATTTAAAGTTTGCAGCTATCTTGTCCTCTGACTTTCACTTGTGTGCTTGACACTTGTGCCCCAGTAATAATTAATTTGTAAAATAAAATTTGCAGCTATTTATACATAGATGAATGTGGAGAAGCAGTAGCAAGCAAGCATTATGATTGTGGGAGGAGGCGTGAACACAACAAGAGGCACAAAATAAGCTTCACCTCTTTCCCTGAAAATTTGACAAACTCTTAGATTTGGTAAATCTGTCTAATGTATAGAATAGTATTTGTTTCTTATCATTTTTACATTTGTATGTTTATAAAATAAGATTTTAAAAACAACTTTCTCAGTAAAGGTTCTCAGTTTTGTTTAGAAGTATTTTTTCTCTTCTTGAAATTAATACTATAAACAAAAACACAGTTAAATAATGAAAGGATATTAAAATTGAGACCACAGTAATTATTTTTCTAAGTCTCATGGGTAACAAAAGTGTAAGGAAAGTAGCAGGTGCAGTGGTGCACACCCCAGAGACTGAGGCAGGAGCATCACAAGTTCAAGGATCCTAGGCTACAAAGCATAATGAAAGCATTCTGCACTGAATGAACAAATTAATTATGAATCAATCACAGATAACATCTATAATACAGATATTGTGATACATCTGAGTATCATTAACACTAATGATCTCTCAGAGAATAGTGGGTACTGAGAGGTCTTAAGTCTAAGCAGAAGCTAGAAAGATCTTAATTTCTGAGCCTAGTTATTTCCTACTTTCCTCCCAGGAGCTTTGTCTCTTGTAGGCAGATATTAGTAAATCCAGGAAATGCTTTGTACTGCTGAAGATGAATGAATGGTCATACATGGTTCTTTAGTATCTTTCTATAATCAAAGGTATTTGATTTCACCTCAGGTGGTTCCCCTCTCTCAGAGAAGCGGTGTTCTTGAATGGTGCACAGGAACCATCCCTATTGGTGAATATCTCATCAACAACGAAGAAGGTGCCCATAAAAGATACAGGCCAAATGATTTCAGTGCCATTCAGTGCCAAAAGAAAATGATGGTGAGTTGAAAGGTTGTTTAGTAGCGTATAAAGCTACCAAATATTATAAAATACAAAATGTATAACTTGATGAGATAACTATTGAAGATGGTTTACAAGATGTAAACTTACCAAGATGAATGTATGATAAGGCGATTCTTAGTAAAACAAACAAAATACCAATTAAAATAGAGAAACAAATTAAGCCATTTTTATATAAAACATAACTTTCTGAAATAATTTCCGTGCTATTGGCTGTCTGTTTTAACATTTACTTACTGTTTTAGAAGTTTTTTTTGTTTTTGGGGTTTTTTTTTGTTTGTTTGTTTGTTTTTCGAGGCAGGGTTTCTCTGTATTGTTTTGGAGGCTGTCCTGGAACTAGCTCTTGTAGACCAGGCTGGCCTCGAACTCACAGAGATCTGCCTGCCTCTGCCTCTGCCTCCCAAGTGCTGGGATTAAAGGCATGCGCCACCAATGCCCGGCTGTTTTTAGAAGCATCTATTTAATGCCTTCTGTCAATCAGGCACTAAGTTGAGACTTCAAAAATTTAAATGATGACTGTCAAATTTTTGACACGTGAATAAGTGTTCTTCTTCACTAGCTATTGGAGAAAAGCAAATCAAAGCCACATTGAAATGCTCTTCTACTCAAGTCAGATTGATAGTCATTAGGGACAAGGAGCCTGGAGAGATGGCTCAGCAGATAAAAAGGTTCCTACTGCTAAGCCTGACTACCTGAGTTCAGATCCCAGGACCCACATGATGGAAGGAGAGCACTGACCCCGCAGACTGTGCTCTAACTGACACAACTGAATTGGGGTACCTGCATCCCCACACCAACCACCACATACATGCACACAGTAAATGAAAATGTAATAAGATGGAGCTGTTGATACTATCTCAGAGGACCTGGGTTCAAGTCTCAACACACATGTAAATGTAATAAGATGTAACAGTTGATACTATCTCAGAGGACCTGGGTTCAAGTCTCAACACACACATGGTAGTTTACAACTATCCTCAGCCCCATTCCAGGGTATCCAACAGGCACCCATATGGTGCACATATATGTGTACAGGTAAAACATGCATACATATAAAGTAAAATAAAAAAAATAAAGATAAATTTAGGTAATAAAACAATAATAAATGCTGGACATACCGCTGGTAATGTAAACTAGTGCAGACATTATGGAAGTTAATGAGGTTTCTCAAAAACCTAAAAATATATCTACCCTATGACCCAACTATACTGTATTTGAAAGACTTCCAGGTATTCACAGTATCTAAATTCTAGATCCACTCTAGGTGTCCAGCAACAGAAATGGATAAAGAAAATGGAAAATTTTAAGGCTTAAAGGAGAATGAAATTATGTTGTTTGCAGGAAAATGGATGCAACTGGAGATAATAATGCTAAGTTAATTAAGCCAGGCTCAGACAGATGTATGATTTTTCAAATCTGTGGTTCCTAAATTTTAAAAGGATCATATATGTATATGTAAAATGAAGGAAAACAGAAATGAAATTGTTTAGGGATACAAAGGACTCAAAGGGGTGGGTATTGGGTGAGAAAAGAGGGTGAAAGGGGGCAGGGTGGGGGAATATACTCAATACACAATATATACCTAGATGAAATTTTATTACAAAGTAAACAAGAAGTGTACAGAAAGGTGTGCTCATCACAGTTTCCTGGATAGTGAGGTGAGCAGTGTGTTTAGGTTTGGAAGGATTCAGGTGAGGATGTTATGTGGGAAATGGAGTGGCGTATCACTCAAGTTAACTAGAAGTGTCCAGGCCAAGGTAGGATGTCATCGTCAAATGGATGGACACTGAACCCACTAAAGTTGATAAACTTTGCTTTGGAAGCATATTCCACAGAGAGATTTCAAGACAGAAGCCCGATGTCTCCGTTCTGTCACAAAACATGCTGTGACAACATCTAATATTACTGGGAGCTGCCTCTGGCATCTCTGTGTGTCACTCCATCTATTTAACAAGACCCTTCACAAATTAGAATGTAGTTAAAAAAGCAGTCGAGGGATAGGCTCCTAATAGGATCATCACTTGAATTAAAGGCTTTCCTGACCAAATTGCTAACCTTTTGTGGGTAGAATGTCTTGTTTCTCTTTTTATTTCCCCTATAATCTATATTAGCTATTTTATCTAGAAGCATTGTATTAGTTGAATGACATAAGCATAATACTAAGAAAATGTTATAAATGTTCTGTTTAAAGGAAGTGCAAAAGAAGTCTTTTGAAGAGAAATATGATACCTTCATGACTATTTGCCAAAACTTTGAACCAGTTTTTCGTTACTTCTGCATGGAAAAATTCTTGGACCCAGCTGTTTGGTTTGAGAAACGATTGGCATATACACGTAGTGTAGCCACATCTTCTATTGGTAATCCTGTGTATCTTACATATTGAACACATAGCTACATTCTGGCTTACAAGAGGATGGTAGTGGTAATAGTAGTTGTTGCTCAAACTTTCCTCATGAAGATCCTTGTGTTTGTTCATGCTGATTGTTAGCTCGAAACTGTCTTTATAAAAGAGAATTCTATTCTGAGGTAGAAAAATAAAACCAGTTTTGCTTTGTTTTTTAATATAGTAGATGTGGTTTATTTTCTCTCCCTTTAATATAGGTTCTTTGAGATTTTCTTTGGAAAAGAAAAACTTTGATATTTCCCTTTGGCTTTCTTTCATTATTGTTTTTCTGTACAGAACCTCTGTAATATATTTTCACTCAATGGTTCGTTTTTTAATAGAATCACAAAGCAGAAATTGTTATACGTATTTAAATACTTGCTATACAACATATGTTTTTATGAGAGTAAAATAAAGTTAGATAAATCAGTTAACAAAATCCTAGAGTATGAGAATTAATAGAAGTGTAGAAACTGTCTCATGTTAGTTTGTAACCAAAGAGAGTTTCTTCTGCAGGTTTTGTACTGTACTTATGGTGACAGGACAGTATATGCTTAAGCAAGATCCCCAGTTCTTGTGGGAACCTCTTCAGCCTTGAAAATCCCTAATTGGATTAAAGTGGTTTGGTTTATAAATAAAGCAGGCTCAATTAACAGTTGGGCCATTCAGGGAAAACATCCTTATTCCCTACCCAGTGTTTTTTTTTTTTTTTTAACACTGCATGGTGTCTCTAATCAGGTTAAAGGTGTTTTAAGAACTGTCATTACCAGTCTTAAAAATAGAAGTGCAGTTATGCCTGCACAAGCATCTGATGAGATAAAGTAATGATCAGTTTCTAGTCAGCATAGTTCATCAGGCAGCGGAAAGTTTCACTGTTGAATGTTGAAGTTAACAATCACTGTATCTCTCGTTTTGTAAGAAGACTTAATTAAAAATTTGAGTGTACCGCACTGGCCCAGGTAAATCGGGGTCTCTGTCTTTAACCACACTAATTTAAGAGAAAACCTATACTTTTTAATAAAGAGAAAGTATTTCTTAGCAGCACATCTATTTTTTAAAATGTATTATACATTAAAGTATCTGGCTAGCTTTGACTTAAACTCTATATACTACTTACTATGTGTTGTTTCTTTAAATAGCTTTAAAATATGGACTACTTAAAATTTCATAGAGTCAATGGAACTATTCAAGGTTATGATTGAATATGTGTTAGAGATTTCACATGGTGTTTTTGGTTGTTTTTCCCTAGTTGGTTACATCCTTGGACTGGGTGATAGGCATGTACAGAATATCTTGATAAACGAGCAGTCAGCAGAACTGGTACACATAGACTTGGGTGAGTAGTAAAAGATATGTATCTTTATTATTTAGTCATCAAGGACTATTTGCATATCAACATATTATAAATATGAGGAAGTCAGACACATCAACAGAAATATGTAACATAAGTTTTTTCTTAAGCATAAGCACTTGTGGTGAGAGAAGTGGCCATCTCCACCTACAATGAGTAAAACCCACTGTAAGAGGTGGCATCTCAAGGAAAGAAGGAAGAGTGATTGAGAAGGTGGAAATCGAAAAATAGAGGGTGGGGTAGTAATTGAGAGCTGTCTTAAATATTGCTAGAGGGAACTTTGCCTGTAATTAAGTAGCTTGAGAGAAAGTGATAGTAGATTAAAAAGACAGATAGGCTAAATAGTTTTGACTTTTAATCTTTTAAATGGTGGGAAGTGAAAAAAATATTTAACCAAGAGACAGTCATGTTTGAATTTTAGGTAACTTTCTAAGCAATATGGACCAGGAAGTTAAGAGAGAAAATAATAGTGTAGACATGAAATGATAAAGGTTTGGACTAGAGTTGTAGTGACCAGGAAATTGAAGCTGAAGATGATTGTATTCTAGGTTGTACCATTGAAGTTAGTTGTGCAGTCTGGGGGGGGGGGGTTCCAGACATCCAAAGCATCTAACAAGGGAATACAGCAGGTTTCATTGAAAGAAAGAAAGAAAGAAAGAAAGAAAGAAAGAAAGAAAGAAAGAAAGAAAGAAAGAAAGAAAGAAAACATTGAGCTTTGCCCATTATTTCAAAAATATTAGTGAGGTTTCTGGAAAGCAGTGAAAGCTCAACATAAAAGTTTGGATGTAATGGTAGGTCAGACTCTCAGCAATAGAGATGGCTAAAGTTGCTGGGATGAAGGAGACTCTGATCTCACACTGCCAGTGGAAGCTTTGGCAGTGCTAGTATTGAAAATCTAAACCAGAGTGTACTTGGTAGCTCATGGCTATAATCCTAGTACTTAAAACACTGAGGCAGGGGGATTGCTATGAGTTCAAAGACAGCTTAGGCTATATAGAGTGTTTCATACCAGTCTGAGTTATGAAATGAGACCCCATCTCAAAACAAAAAAATTAAAAAGAGGTCTCAGAAACCATGAGGAAGAGGTATCTTAGCTGCCAAGCCATCTCTTCAGCTCTAGAAAGAGACAGCTTCTCGGTCACAGAAGGAAAATCTTCCATGAATGCCATAATAAAACCCAGTATTAACCACAACAGAGAGGTGGAGTCAATTCAAGTGTGTGCCTAGTGAGGAAACCTCATCCCAGAAAGCTACGTACTGCGTGACTTTGTTTATATAATCCATTTGATGTGACAAAATTACAAAAACAAGCAAATTAATGGTTGTTAGATGAATGGTGATAGGTGTAGGGATTGACAAGCCATGTGAGAAAAGTGTGTAGCTATAAAAGGGCTGGTGATAGAATGTTATATGTCTTGGCTGTACTAGTGTCCATATCCTGGCTGGTAGAAGGTATGTGATCCTTGTGCATTATTTCTCAGAATTGCATGTGAATTTGTAATTACCTCAAAATAAGCATGTGTTTGTATCTCAAACAATGCCTTTTTATTTAAAATATCTTAAAACATTTACAGCACAAGTCTTCTACATTTTAAACATACCAGTTATCTAGTTTTTAAAATCCTATTAAGGGCCTCACCCTCCCTGGGGATGGGAGTATAGATTCGGTGGGGGACTGGGGGACCTGGTGGGGAGGGAGAGGGAGCTAGGATTGACATGTGAAACAAGCTTGTTTCTAACTTAAATTTAAAAAAGAAAAAGCAAATAAATTATCCTTTTAATGTCATTACTTTGTCAAGAAGCTGTTCTGCATTTGAAGCAGTTCTCATAGATGATGGAGGTGAGTCAGGGGAAGCAAAAACAGAGTAATTGTCTACTACTAATAGAGTGTGAGTGATAGATTATTTGCTGCCTGTACAAAGTTAGCATGTACTTATGGAGACAGTTATCAGCCCATCACACTTTCTTGCTTCATGTCTCTTTGATTTTTAGGAGTGGCTTTTGAGCAGGGTAAAATCCTTCCCACTCCAGAAACAGTTCCTTTTAGACTCAGCAGAGATATCGTGGATGGCATGGGCATCACTGGTGTAGAAGGTGTCTTCAGAAGGTAAGGGAGGGAAGGCATACAATTTTGCTATCAAAATTATTAAGGTCGGGGGGTAGGATAAGGGGAAGAGGGAATCATAGGTTAGAAGACAGATCAGGCACCATTGTGACCTCTAGTGATCTAAACGGATGACACCAATTGGCAAGCTAAGCAATAGTGTAGAGGCCACCTGGAATGCCTATTCCTGATAGTGAACTTGATGTCTATAACCATCCTGGAGCCTTCATCCAGTGACTGATGGAAGCAGAGGCAAACACCCACAGTTAAATACTGAACAGAACCCAAGAAACCCAGTGACAGGGAGAGAGGATCGAAGAGCAAATTGGCAAAGAATGGGCTGGCAAAACCGGCAGAGACAGCTGATCCGAACAGGGGAGAGCTCTTGGACCCCAGACCATCAGCTGGGAGGCCAGCATGGGACCAATCCATACCCCCTGAATGTGAGAGTCAATGAGGAGGCCGGGGCTACCTATGGGGTCCTGAGTAGTGGATCAGTGTTTATCCCTCGAATACTAACAGACATCGTGTGTCCATAACACCAAGAGGGTTGCTCTCTCTGCCTGGACTCTTAGGGAAGTGCCTGGACCCTACCCTGAATGAAATGATAGACTCTAGATATCCCCTATGCGGAAGGAATTGGCAATAGGGTGGGAGGATGGGGGGAATGGTGGGGGGGTGCGGGAGAAGGGGAGGGAGAGGGGACTGGGATTGACACGTAAAACAAGCTATTTTAAATTAAAACAAAAAAATTAAGGTAATAAATTTATATAGATGATGGGATTCGATGGTAGAACCGTGTCCCAATACTTTACAGTACCAAGGAAAAGACCTTTGGTACAGGTAATAATAGTTTTTTCCAGCCACCTGGGACTTAATTCAGCATAACATGTGTTGTCATCACTAACTTCTTCTGGAAGAGGCCCACTTGTACTATTCCTCAGCCTTAGCTAATATGCTCTGTTTTCACTGTTGTTTTGCTAGTGCTCATTGTTGGGGGATTAAAGAGAGATAGTTTTTTGTTTTTTTATTCCTATACAGTACATCCTGACTTCAGTTTCCCCTCCCTCTACTCCTCCCAGATGTCCCCCACCTTCTCTCTCCACCTCCAGATCTATTCTCCCTTCATTTCCCTTCAGAAAAGAGCAGACCTCCCAGGGATGCCAGCCAAACATGGCATAACAAGATGCAATAAGAATGGGCACAAACGCCGGGCGTTGGTGGCGCACGCCTTTAATCCCAGCACTTGGGAGGCTGAGGCAGGTGAATCTCTGTGAGTTCGTGGCCAGCCTGGTCTACATGAGCGAGTTCCAGGACAGCCTCCAAAATGATACAGAGAAACCCTGTCTCGAAAAAAAACAAAAAAAAACAAAAAATGAGCACAAACCCTCATATCAGGGCTGAACAAAGGAATCCAGTAGGAGCAGAAGGAGGGAAAGTCTTCCAAGAGCAGGCAAAAGAAAGACACCCCACAACCAATGTCAGGGGTCTCACAAAAACACCAAGCTAACAGCTATAACATGTATGTAGAAGACCCATCACAGACACATGCGGGCTCCTTGTTTGCCATGTCAGTCTCTGTGAGCCCCCATGAGTCCCGTGTAGTTGATTCTGTTGGCCATGTTCTCCCAGTGTTCTCGTTCCTCTGGCTCCTACAATTCTTCCTCTCGGTCTTCAGTGAGGTTCCCTGAGCTCCAAGGGGAGGGACCTGATAGGGATCTCCAATTTTGGCTCAAGAGATGATAGTTCTATTAGAAAGAACTATGTCCCAGTATAACCCCCAAGCCAAACATTTTGCTATTTCTTGTAGATTTCCCAGTAAAGGTCCATAATCTCAGCTTGTAAAAGTAAATTCATGCATGCCTCAGTAATCAATCAAGACAAAGTATTTCATAGTAGTAGTGTCTTTTTTTAATGAGTGCTGGGCTTATGAAGTACATACACATATATTTGTGTATATTAATTTCTGGAACATATCTTAAATGCTGCCTTTGCCAACTGGTCTGCTATTTGATAGCAATTCCCAAAATTTTATTTCAAGTATCATCTAAGTATGTATGCATGAATGCATATAGACAAAGATGGGTTGAGATATTGGTGTGGTACAAATTCATGTTTGTAATGTATTTCACTTTACAGATGCTGTGAGAAAACCATGGAAGTTATGCGCAGTTCTCAGGAAACTCTGCTAACCATTGTAGAGGTAAAGTATGCATAAGGTCATCTGGATTCCCTTGCCAGTCGGCCTGCCTTGTTAGGAAGGCACTCATTTGAGGAACATTGCTGCATTTCATGCAGATTGGTGCTGGACAGCAACAGAAAGGGGCACAGTGGGCTCTTTTTTACTTCACAAAGTTTGGGGTTAGAAATGGTTCTAGTCCACTCACATTTCTTGAGATAGTATAGCATTGTTCAATAATCTCCAATTTTTAATAAATAAATGAGCACTTTGACATCTTAGACATCCCACTTCAACCTGAGGAGATAACTCAGTTGGTAAAGTGCTTGCCACACAAGCATGAGGACCTGAGTTTGGAGCCCAGAACCTATATAAATACATAGCATTGTGGTACATGCTTGTAATCCCAGCACTGGGTAGGCAGGAATAGGAGGATCTCTGGGACTCACTGGCCAGCCAGTATAACCAAATTTGTGAGTTTCTGATTTATTGATAGACACTGTCTCAAAAAATTAGTAGAAAAATGATTTTAGAAAACACCTGACATCACCTCTGGTCTCCAGTCATACCTACACACATATGTGTGCATACACATACCAGTACATTTGTATGTATCCCATATGGGATTATGAGATTGGTTTCCTTGATGAGAAATCAATAATAATTTCAGAGCTAATTTAGATGCAAATCAGAGTGTCAGCATTGTTAGTGATGAGCATAACTGAAGAGTGAGGTTTGCTGTTGAGGATTCTGTAGTGCCTGTTTGCTGTTTATCTTTGAGACAGCTCATCTGAATGGAGCTGTGACCTGTAGAACATACGTGTTTAAATCAGGTTGATCATTTCATGTATACCCAGGACAGAGAGGGAAAGAAAGTCATACTTCCAGTGCTCATGACATTAATTCTACCCAAATGAGAATTGTGTATCTCTGCCAGTCATTACAAACCTGGTAAGGATGTATGAGACAAGAACTCAGTTGTTTCCTGCACAGGGAAATATAGGAAGTGGAGTACAGGCCTGGCTGCACACAGGTATCATCTTGTCTGCTTCTAAAGAGAAGATGTTAACTGAGTTTAAACCAAATTTCTAGGGATGAAGAAGTAGGAGCATGTGTGTTTTGTAAATCACTCCTCCTGTTCAGATAGGATTTAGAGTCATTTGTATTTCACTGGCACTCTTAAGACTGTAATAATAAGGGTGGAACTATGTCCTTTAGAAGATTCAGTCAACAGTTTATACAATACCTGTATCATTTTGGAACATACCTATCCCTCACAGACACACAAAGTTCTGTGTTACCCCTGGTAAATCAGTCTGAATTCCTGAGACTCATTTGTTGTACTTTTGCTAATATTGAAGAACAGTTTCCCATGCTCTATTGCTGTTTCCTGCTCTAGGGCAGTGCTTCCCAATAGTGTCTTGGGACCTTCCAATTCTTAGGTCACTCCTTTCAAAGCCGGTCCCTCAATGGTTTATTCATGGCCCTGGAGGACCTCAAAGCAGCATTACAAAATGAAAAGCTTTTTAATACTGTTGATCTAGTACATATCCTACAGTTAAAATATGCTAAAGACATTTTATAGTCCCAACATGTGGATGCTGCAGAAACCCAGTGAAGGTGACAATCAGAAAGGATTCTGGTCTTGTGATGCTGGCCTGGTCTGCTGAATCATTTGCCTCTATAACCAAGTATTCCACTTAATACTAAGACTATGTAGGCATGACTGAAAAACAAGAATAAAAGCAAGAAAGGTCTGTGTTTACGCATAGCAGGGCAGTTGACTGTTAAATAAATTGTACCTTTTTTATTAAATTCACCCAGCTTGGGATCTAATTAACAGAAAAAGAGCCACTGGAGTGTGTAGTAGGTTGGTAGTCAAAATGTTAGGTTTGATGGTGCTAAAACTCCATTGGGGAACATGACTTAAGAGTAAGGTGAAATAGACCTGGGGAGAGAAGGGGAGTAAAAGCCACAGTGACAACCTCCTCCAACTAGGTCAGTGTCATCTAACCTGACACCCAACCCTGGGGGAAGAGTGACCTAGGGTGGGATGAGAACCTTGGAGCTTATCCTTAAAATAGCTTCCTCTGCACAAATACATAACTTGTCTCCCGCCACCAGCTGCTTGTGACTAGTGTTGTTTTATATGTGGCAGCTATTTGTTTTTAACTACGTAATCAAAGAGCACATCGTTTGTTTTTTCTTTCTAGGTCCTTTTGTACGATCCACTCTTTGACTGGACTATGAATCCTTTAAAAGCTTTGTATTTGCAGCAGAGGCCAGAAGATGAGACTGACCTCCATTCTACCCCCAATGCAGAAGATCAGGAATGCAAACGAAGTCTTAGGTGGGAGATTTTAGGAGGCACCTATTGTCAGTTACTTAGATTTTGTCATTCCCAAGCCCTTAGCTGTTGTACCTCATTGTAATCTTCATGTTTTTTATCCTTAGTGATATTGACCAGAGTTTCAACAAAGTAGCTGAACGTGTCTTGATGCGGTTGCAAGAGAAACTGAAAGGCGTGGAAGAAGGCACTGTGCTCAGTGTGGGTGGACAGGTGAACTTGCTTATCCAGCAGGCCATGGATCCCAAAAATCTCAGCCGACTTTTCCCAGGATGGAAAGCTTGGGTGTGACCTTCAGCACAGGAATTACCCTTAAACTCAGACTTCAAAAATTACATCTCAGCCACCATGTTTGGATAGGAATTATTTAAGTTAATAACTGCGTTTGAACCTGTTTTCTACTTGATTCATCACCACCCCAAAATTGGTATTTCTGCTCTGATATGTTAGAAGTAATAGTTACTCAAGATCTTCTCCTAGGATAAATGTTGACCCTTAAGATCATGCTTGTACTGTTTTCAGTAGGTCACCAAGGTACACAGTGCACTGCAAACAGCAGGAGCAGCAGGGTGAGCTTTTCTTTTGGTGTGCATTAGGACAAGTTCATAACTTCTGCTGAAGTCTTTAGTTAAAACATGTTCCCAAGGGCTGGGTGTTGGTGGTGCACACCTTTAGCCCCAGCACTCAGGAGGCAGAGGCAGGCAGATGTCTGTGAGTTTGAGACCAGCCTGGTCTATACTGTGAGTTTCAGGACAGACTGCAAAGCAATACAGAGCAACCCTGTCTCAGGAAAAAAAAAAATGTTCCCAGACAGTCATTGTGTGTGTGCATACATGTATGTGCGCGTTCACAACAAAGTATTTAATGATATTGTGAAAAGGGTGGACATTAAAATTATAATTGTCAATATATCATGGGGAACTCACATTAAAATCAATGTTGGGTTGGAATGTAGCTCAGTGTAGAAAAATGTGCCCAGCCTGTCTGAGGCTCCAAGTTCAAAACTAGAATTGCAAATTAAAGTGGGGGAAGCATGTTGAAAGCAAAGTAGTATAGGCTGAACATCCTTAATTCCCAAGCCCAAAACATGGGAATGTTCTGGTGCCCGAAACTTTCTGACATATTGGGTACATTTCAGAGGTTCAGATTAAGTGCGTAGCTAGTCTTAGCTTGTAGTCTGCACAAATGCTTCACAATCTGAAAATGTCTAAAGTCAGAAGCAGCTCTCATCCTCAGCATTTTTAGGAGGGGACACTGACTAATTTCAAGCCAGTCCTGGTGGCACACTCCTTTTATACTAGCACTCAGGAGGCAGAGGCAGTCCATCTCTGAAGTAGAGGCCAGCCTGATCTACAGAGCAAGTTCCAGGAAAGCCAGGGCTACACAGAAACCCAAGTGAAGAACTTCAGTTGCAGGGTCACTCAGCAGTCCCAAGTGATGGTGTGTAGAGAGGAAGAGTGTGGCTGGTGTAGCTAGTGGTGTTTAAGTGAGCTCTGTGCTCTTTCTTTCAGGCCCTTTGGTATTCACCATTGCGTATTTTTCTCTTATGTTTCTCCTAGTTCATGAATTCTCCTGTTAACCTGTTCATTGGATTCTTTCAAAAATTAGCTTTCAGGCTTGACAAAATGGCTCAGTGGGTAAAAGTGCTTGCTGTGCAAGGCTGATGACCTGAGTTCCATCCCCAGAACCCATGTAAAGGTGGAAGGGCAGAGTCAACAAAGCTGTTCTCTGCCTCCACATGCTTGCCATGGCACATGCATGTCCACACACACATACAACAGTAAAGTTTAATCTTTTTAGATTTCATTTTCATCTGTGTGCCCTGGAGCTAACAGATCTACCTATTTCTGACTCCCAAGTGTTGGGATTAAAGGTGTACACCAACACATTCAGCTTAATTAACTTTTCAAGTCCTTTCCTGTCACCATCTTAAACATTTCATTCTGTGATCCTTCTGATAGTTTTATTAAGTCAAGTGCTGGGTGTTTGTATTATTGATTTTTGGGTTTAGTGGCCCAATTTTGTCATTTTGAAAGGTGAACTCATTTTTAGCCCCCTTCTCACACACACACTATGTGTGTGAGAATTCTGGGTAGCCTACGTGAAGAATGATTCTTTAAGATAGCTTGCTTATTTTTCTCATCCCCAGGGACATCACAGACATTTTCTGGCTCCAGGGCTTTAGATCTCAGGAGTAGTGTAGATTTCTGAGATCAGAAGTGTCTCTTAGGCCACGGTTACCTGCTTTCTGTCATCTCTGTGCTTACAGGCAGAGTGTTTTACTGGTGCCCTTCTCAGTGAAGGCTAAGCCTGCATGTGTCTCACCATGGTGGCAGGGTGAAGGGAGGTGCACTTAATGCCTCTCCCTTGCTGTTTGCAAGCCTAAGATTCTTTAGTCTACATGTATACATGCACACACACACACACACACACACACACATATATATACATGTATACTCTCATACATACATACATGGATATACATATATACATGGATACACATATGGGTGTTTATATATATATACATACATGCAAACTCTTAGGAAAATTATTTTGCATTTTAACTTTCCTTCTTAGTGTCTTTTGTCAGAGTTGCTTATGGATATTTGGTATCTACTGATGTAGTAAATCAAGAGAATGTATTGAACTTAGAATGTCTTTAAGAAAGTGTTGACCTCTTCATAGATAGAGGATGATATTAGCTGATAATGGCTAGCTAAATGAATTTGGAATATGCTTCTGTAGTTAAATCACTGAAGAAGTTGTAATTATATAATTGATCCATTCTTCACCTTGAATTATATGCCACAAACATATGCAATTCAGATTTTACCAATGGCTTTGAAAAGTCTGTATTTGAAAAGTTAGGTTTTTCAGTTTAACCTAGAAGCAGCTAATTGAAATGTGAAAAAGATTAAGTTAGAAAATATTTTTGACATGCTTGAGTAAGATGGGCAGTTACCAAGAGCCAATGAGGTTAGATTTACAGGTATTAAAAATCAGGTACCTGATGTGTCTATCAGCGACACCACTGATTCTTATAACAAAACCTGGTGCCAGGCAGTGGTGGCACTCACCTTTAATCCCAGCACTTGGGAGGCAGAGGCAGGTAGATCTCTGAGTTAGAGGCCTGCTTGTTCTAAAAAGTAAGTTTCAGGATAGCTAGAGTTGTTACACAGAAAAACCCTGTCTTGAAAAAACAAAAAACAAAACAAACTTGTAATATTGGTGATGGAAAAGTGAAGGTTGAAGAAAGGTTATTTGTCTAAGGCCAGAAGACATTCCACACAAGTATCATATAAACAATCTCTTCAGTTGAAGATCTTTTAGTAAAAGAATGTGGCATGTAAGTCAGTGAAAAGCAAATAGAGAAGCTGCTAGAAAAGGAAGTTAGACAGCTAATGTGTCTAGAGTAAGAGAGGCAATAGCCCTTTTTCCAACCCTGTGCTCTTATACCACCTCAAAATGCTTCCAAATCAGCCCCAAATCTAAGGTCATCATAGTTTTCACTTAAAACGGGAAAAGATTGTGCACCTAGAAATCTATCACAAATTTAAATATGTTGTAAAAGGAACAAAAGCAAAAAGGCAGAACTTTGCACACCTTAATGTTTATAATAACCATCTTTTTAAGAAGGCCAGTATGAAATAGAGAAAAGTGCCATTTCAAGTGTTTTAGTTGCACCTTAAAGCAATCACTTATTTTATATAGATTTGTTTAGCACTACTAAATGTAATTCTGTTACATTGTTACCTGAATGTTATAATTTTTTAAATAAAAAACTATACAAGTTTATATTAACTAAACAAGTGTATGTCCATTTTATGAAACATTTGAGTGTTGTATGTACCAGGCACAGGACTAGTTCCTAGGGAGATAACAGTAAACAGGAAAATCAGCACTTAGTTCATGTAAGAGGGGTCCAATCTGTGTCTTTACAGGAAGGCAATTTACCAGTGTTCTAGGCTTTGACTTAGAAAGTGATCTAAATATTCTAAATGTGATGTTTCATTTTATCATATTGTTTTAAAATGAATTCATACTCTTGAGAGTTTCATGTTCCTCTGTGTAGCTTCTGGCAAAATGAATTTTGTATAGAGTGTAGTAAAAGTGTTCAGGAAGATTGGGTCCAGAATTGGTAAAGATCTCATATAATAGAGTTATTCCTTGGAATAAAAGTCCCATACTTTGCTCTAACAGGATGCGTGGTTTTATATACAGCAGGAATAAGAGTGTACACTTAGTAGTATATTGTTCAAAAGCAGAAGTTCTAAACCAAGGAGCTTTTACCTTATATTTTCAAACTAAAAAGTAGTTTATCCTGTTAGATACAAAATGGCATTGTCTGCATTTGTTAACAGCTGAAGACACAAAGCTTTTCATGTTTGGCATGGTTCCTCTCTGCTGAATAGCAGAGCAGGCATATTCTTGCTCCTGTCTTGGCTGCACGACATCTTTGCTAACCTCTTTCCCCTCTTTGCTTATCATTCATTGTCATCACTGGTTTCGCTGATGGTTACATCTTTCCTATAAGGACTTTCATTGCTAGACCTTCATTAATGTTACTCAGTTCTTAGTTTTTGTTATGGATATATACTTCTCTTTCATTTCTTGCTAGGCACTTTCATGATTTTCATAGGGTACCTCTTAAGTCTCTTACTATTATTGGGATTTAAGTTACTTACTCTCCACCAAAATTTTATCCAGTGACTAAGGTAAAAAGTCTTACTCTTTCTAGAAACATATATTGGTTCTTTTAGTCCAGTGGTTCTCAACCTTCCTAATACAGTTCTCCTGTAGTTGTGGTCACCAACCATAAAATTATTTTCATTGCTACTTCACAACTGTTAATTTTCCTAGTTATGAATTGTATTTTCCAGTGACTCCTGTGAAAGGCTCATTCAATCCCCACCAAAGGGGTCACAACCCACAGGTTGAGAACCACTGTTTTAAGTGCTCACATCCGCTCTGAGTAATTATTTTTTATTCCCAGATCTAATAGTTTTGTTACTTTATTTTCCTTTACTTTTTTTAGCTGCAGCTTCTGCTTGGTGCAGTAATAACAGAAGACAGAAGCAGTCATGTTTGAACAGTCCTATGGCTCATGGCTAATGCTCAAATGTGAGAGTTTTCTCGTTTTCTGTTTCCTGCAGGGTTTTTAATGAGGCATCTGTGTCACTTTTCTTGTTAAAGAAATTCCCTTTCATCCCTGGGCTGCTCTGAAGTTTTGAGGTGAGTTAACAGTTACTGCAATTACTGAAAATGACCATTTTTCTGAGTGTGTTACTGTGATACTCACACTGTTAGATTTTCTATGATTAAGTCATCCATACACTTTCAACACTTGAGAGGTGGTGGAACCTTTAGGAGGTAAGCCAGTGAGTGCAAGGATTTAAGGGAGGGGTGGGCTATGATCTTTGAGCTCAAAATGGAATCCTGGGGTCTTGAATATGATCAGCTTTGCAAGACATCTTGCTCCCTGACATGATACTGTTTCACTACAGAGCCTAAAATAAAGGAGTCCTATAAGTTGTTTACCTTAGGAATTTTGCCCCAGCAATAGGATGCTATCATAATGCCCATGCATATGTAGACATCTTTTCAGGACTCTGTTCTTAGTTCTTTTAGGCATAAAACCAGAAATGGAGTTGCTGGATAGTGTGGTCCTTTTTTTTTCTTACCTTTTAATTCCCACAATGTATGATGTCTTGAGATTGACAATATATGCCATCAATCCCAGTAATGCAAAAAAGAAACATAATTTAAGCACATGAAATGAGTTCTTGTATGCTTTGTGAGAGTTTTTTTTTTAATCTGAAAGCCTAAAAATGTACTCATATTAATGTATTGATCCGTGTATGTGGTGTATGTGGTATAATGTTCAAATCAGGTTAAGTATTTCTCCTTAAGAGGATTTTTGTTGTTTTATGTATGTGGGTGTTTTACCTACATTATGTCTGTATACGTCTTGCATGCCAGAATATAGGAGTAGATTCCCTACAACTGAAGTTACATAGTTGTGAGCCACCGTTTCGATGCTGGGAATCAAGCCTTGGTCTTCTGGGAAAGCAGTCAGTGTTTTCAACCACTAAGCCATTTCTCCAGCCCCAGGCGTATAGTTTCTTTATGATAAAAGTCTTCACAGCCCATTCCCCCAGGCTTTTAGAAATATACACATGTATTTACTGATCGTGTCTGTTCTTCATTCTCTCGAGAAAGCTTCCCTCTCCCTGCAAATCCCCCCCCCACACACACACACTTTTTTCCGCTAACACACAGTTGTTTTTCTGCTTTGAGGTCTTTTGTTTCCATGTGACAGAAGAATGCATTATTGGTTTTGCTATGCCTGGCTTTTATTTTGCTTAACATGATGCTATCCAGATCCATTTTGCCACAGATGATAGGTAACATGATTTTATTTTTTTATGACTTAAATAGTACTCAGCTGTATATGTAAACCACATTTCTTTTTTCAGAAGAGGATGATCTATTGGTGAAAGGTATTCAAGTCACAATTAACTGTATTTGGACATGTTTGCCCCTTTATGTTAAGTATAGTTTACTTTGCTGAGGATAGAGAGCATAGGAATGCCTTGCTTTGTTCTTAGGCTTCTCGTTTTGAGTTCCACTAGTTTGCAGTGGGATCAGGGGTGTCATTTTCTTTCTTAGGTCCAGATAAGTCAAGCCAAAAATCACTACGTGCAGGCCTAGTTCCATCCTGCTATTAACAAACCTGTTGTAAAGGAAACTGAAAGCAAATCTGTTCACAGTAATTATAAAATAAAAATTTTGGAATAAATTCAACTGAGACTCTGATGATAGACCATTGTATACTATGTAAGTTATAAAATACTGATGAAAGTCATTGGAGAAGTCCCAAGATGTAAAGACTTCCCATGTTTATGGTTGGAAGAACTAATATTAAATGTCCATATCAGATAAAGAAATCAATAGAAGCCAGGAGGTGGTGCCACATGTCTTTAATCCCAGCACTCAGAAGTTAGAGGCAGGCTGATCTCTGAGTTAGAGGCCAGCCCGGTCTACAGAGTGAATTCCAGGATAGCCAGGAGAAACCCTGTCTCAAAAAACCTGAAAAAAAATTTTTTTGAAAATACCAGGAACATTCTATAGAGAACTAGAAAGTAAAAAAAAAAAAATTCATATAGACCTACATACTTGGAAGGATTGCAGGACACTGGGTGCCGATAAGGAAAATTTGACGACCCCAGAAAAGACACATACCTCACAGAAAAGACACATACCTCACCAGGATGATTCTACACAGATGTTTCAAAAACATACATTGACCTAAGGACAGTCTCCTGATTTCCATTGATGCTAGGAAACTGTATTTTAGTGCAGAAGATTGAAATTTGACTCTCTGTCACACCCTCCACCAAAGTCAACTCAGAAATGTGTCAATACCTAAATGTAAGATACAGAACTATTACAGGAAATGGGAAACAGAAAATGGTAATGTAAGTAATGATTTTCTTGATAGCATCTTTAATGCACAGAAAACATAAAAATTGACAGATGGGACAACACACCAACTAAAGTGTTCATGTGGAGAAACAAAATTGTAAGAATAAAGAGATAGCTTACAGATTTTGGATAAAAATACTTGCCAACTATTCATCTGTAAATCATTAATATCAAGAATACGTAAGAGCCAGGCTGTAGTGGAGACAACTTTAATCCCAGCACTAGGCAGCCAGAGGCAGGTGGACCTCTGAGTTTGAGACCAGCCTGGAGACAGAAATCCTGTCTCAAAATAATAATAATAATATGTAAGAAGCTTTTACAAATGTTGAGTTGTCAAAACCACAAAATGTCAAAAACCAAAGATTAGTGTCAATAATATGGAGAAAGAAACCCCTTATATATTGATGGAGGGAAAGTAAATTAGGATAGCCATTATGGAGAGGAGTTGAGGTCACTCCAAAAAATTCAAAGCAAAACTATGGGAACCAGCAATGTTACTTCTAAAGAAAACCAGTGTACAAGAGAAATCCATGTACTCCTACATTCACTTCAGCACCCTTCAATCCAAAGGCACCAAACTAAAGGAGATGGGAAACATAGTTACCCTGATTTGGATGTTTCACATGTTGTGAAATACAATGTTCCCCCAGAAATGTGTAAATTGTTACCTGTGCATAATTTAGGAAATACTTCAGTGGGCAGTTCAGGGAAAAAAAATAAGCAAGGGCCATTTGGACATGGAGTGTACAGTGAATGAGTTCTGCCCTGAGCAACTGTATGAAAAGCAAATTGTATTTGGAGTCTTTAATACCTAAATATACTTTAAACTTAAATATACTTTAAAGTGTGTTTGTCAGACAACTACATACCAGGAAGAACTATACACTCTCCAGTGTAGTATTTCTGTAATTTTCCTTAATTAGGATTAAATATGCACACAAGTCATTGTAGTCAGAATACACAGTCTCTTGGCTTTAACTGAAAAAATTGGCTTGAAAGGGCCATTGCTTAAAAAAAGAAGTCCTTTAGAGTTTCATTCAATATGGGGAAGTGGGTGTTAAGGGAGTGAACTGACGTCTTATGTAAGTATTTTCATAGTAATCATCCTCATATGGTCCTTGCGTTGGAGGCTCTGACCCATCTCCATAGTTGACATATAGGCTTTTCTGTATTTGTTCAAGCCTGACATCTAAAGAGAAATGACAGGTGGTTAGAACAGTGCCCTGCTCTGTAGTCCTTTCCTTCACACTTTGAGGACATGTCCTTATTGCTGTTTAACAGAAGCTGTCAATGCTCCAGTCTCTGAATTCGTTTTTATTTTAACCATTGTCCATCTCTACATAGGTGTCTGTATGGCCCAGGTTCTAAGTGTGACCTACTAAAAACTACCTGCATAGTTTAGAGCAGTCTATTTATGTTCTGTAAGCCCAAGTCTTCATCTGTAAAATTTAAGATTGTGGTAGCACCTGCCTCATCATGTGTGTATACCCTCATAAAGGCCAGAGTATGTTGTGAGGTGACCTTCTCTATCATACTGCTTTATTCTTGAGTCAGGATCCTCTCACTGAACATGGAGCACCTGTTACTGGATATGGAGTGGGACATTTGTCCACTCCCTAATGCTGAGGTTACAGGCACCCACAAGCTATGTCTGGCCTTTCTTTTGCTAAGATCATTAAGTGTGCACAGTAAGTGGTCTTACCGACTAAGCCATTCCCCGGGCCCTACCTGGATTTGTGAGAATTAAATGAAATACTCTAATAGTATTTGGAATTGGGTACTTTGTAATTAACTATAGCCATTTCTTTATTCCCAACTGAACCATCAAATCTGCTCTGGATTCCCACCCAACCTGCTTGCACACACATGCACACCCTATCTCTTTGGGTTTGTTTGTTTGTTTGTTTTTTGAGACAGGGCTGTTCTGGTAACTTAATATATTGATCGGTCTGGCCTTGAACGCAGAGATATGCCTGCCTCCCTCAAGTGCCTGCCTTTTTCTAGCTTCTTGAAGGGTAGCACACATTTTTCCAGTGCCAACATCTTTTTTCAGTATTTAAGATAGTTTTTATTTGCCCTTATCATACGATAGTTGGAAGAATCTATCTTTTTACCATAACCTTTCAGAATTTAGTAATTTATATTGTTTCCTTTTTTGCATCTGCCATTTATGTTCTTTTAAAAATCTATTTTACATATTAATCCCAGTTCCCTCTCCCATCCTTCTGCTGATCTCCTTCTCCTCACCGCCCCCCCATCCATTCCTCAGAGAGAGTGAGGCCTCCCATGGGGAATCAACAAATTCTGTCACATTGAGGCAGGGCCAAGGCTCTCCCCCTGTATCTAGGCTGAGCAAAGTATCCCTCCATATGGAATGGGCTCCAGAAAGTTAGTTCATGTACTAAGGATAAATACCAGTTCTGCTGTTAGTGGCCCCACAAACTGCTCAAGCCACTCAACTGTCACCCACATTTAGAGGGCCTTGTTTGGTCTTATGCAGGTTCCCCAGCTGTGAGTCTAGAGTCAGTGAGCTGGATGGCCCCTTTTAGTGGCAGCTAAAATAAAAGAAGGTGGAAAGGAAATGCTTGTGTTGCCTGCTTGCCTTCACTTTAATGGCAAGTTCAGTTGTGCTGTTGCTGTGTTCTTTCACTGATAGCACAATCAGCTTCTTCAGGTTTCCTACATGTCCTGAAGACCAGCAACTCTCCAGGCTCTCCAGGGACCCTCCCAGCTTTCAGTGCTGATGATGGACCCAGCCCCCATGGAATGAGCAGTCACAGGATTCTCAGGCTGTTCTGAGGTAGCCATTGTTGACCTATTCAGATCACACCATATAAGTAAATCTAACAGATCAGCATTAGCTCCATGCAAAACTGCTTGGTGTGTTTAAGGAACAGGCATGGGGTCCAAAAAATGAAGACTATGAGTGACAACTGAACATGTTCATGTAGGTACAGCCAGAGGCCATAGCCAACTGAGTTTATATGTCGAAAGCTGTGTATCTGAGGAATAGACTGTATGATAGGGTTTCTGCTGTGAATTCTTAACCTGCTTCAGTTCAGATCCTAACACAGACTGACCTTGAGCAAGTCATAGCGTCTCTCCTCAGAAAATGCAGATAATGGAACATGTTTCATATATTTGTTTGAAAAAATCAAGTTGTTCATTATTCATTGTAGTTGTAGCAAGTTCACATTATCTGTTGTAGTTGTAGCAAGTTCACATTATCTGTTGTATGTAGAAGGGACTTGGGGAATATCAGCATGGAAACCACGTGTTGGATTTGAGTGGTAGCAGAGAGCTGGGAGTAGGTCAACGGCTAATGAAAAAGATAGCTCATATTAGTTTTGGGGTAATATGTGTTGGACAGCATCCTAAGCTCTGTTACGTGTCAAGCACTAGTCTAAGCTTTCTGTATGGTCACAACAATCCATGAGCTAGGTTCTATTGTTATTATTAAGCAGCAGTACCAGAACTCAAACCCAGACTCTAACCTCTATCTGAATGCTTCTCATATAAGGTAGCAGAGTTACACTCTGATCACAGGTAATCAGTCTTTGGCTATTATGCTGGTTGACAGGCAGAAAGACTGCTAATTGAGAAATACCTCCGTAAGACTGGCCTCTAAACAAGCCTGAACTATTGCTTTGACCAGTGATGGATGATGGAGGGCCCACCTATTGTGGGCATTGCCACCCCTGGGCAGGTGGTCCTGCGTGGTATAAGAAAGCAAGCTGAGAAGCCGTGGAGAGCAAGCACCCTTTCATGGCCTCTGCATCAGTCCTGCCCTGACTTCTTGGATGATTGACTATAATGCAGGAGTTTAAATGGAGTAGAAATCAGCCTTTCCTCCCCAGGTTATTTTTGGTCCTGTTGTTTTATCACAGCATAGAAACCCTAAGATGTGCCAGGCGATGGTGGCGCACACCTTTAATCCCAGCACTTGGGAGGCAGAGGCAGGCGGATCTCTGTGAGTTCGAGGCCGGGCTGGACCGACAGCCTCCAAAACAATACAGAGAAACCCTGTCTCATAAAAACCAAAAAAAAAAAACAAAAAACCTAAGATGTTAGACACATTAGTATTTCTGTGGTGTAATGATAGTCTACAGTGTGCTATTACTGGAAGGACAATAGTGGCATAGAACTTAAAAAAACATTTCCAACATTTGGAGGCATTCATTTTGCCAATCAGGTTTGGTCACTGGAGATCATTACTGAAAAAACATGAGCTATACAACTTTAAAAATGTTTTATCCAGCCTTAAATAAATCAGAAAACTTATTTTCAAATGACAGCCCTACATATAAAGATAGAAATGACCTGACAGAGTCCTTTATATCCACATGTACACACACACTTTCTTCAGGATAATGAAAGGTTGCCCCTTGGACATACATACAGATGTGAAGAACGTCATTTGGACCTGTACAGATTTCCCATAAAGTATTGCTAAAAACCACCTACTTTGGACTGGAGAGATGGCTTAGTGGTTAAGAGTACTGGCTGTTCTTCCAGAGGACCATGTTCACTTCCCAGTAGCCATATGCTACCACAGAACTGTCTGTAACTCCAGTTCCAGGGGATATTATGTCCTCTTCTAGCCTCCATAGGCACTTCATGTATGTGGTACAGTTACATGGAAGCAAAATACACACACACACCCCTACCTTTTAAATTAGCTGAAGAGTTGCTTGTAGCAGTTTCTTTCCAGTTAGCAATGTACCTGCAACATATCATATGGGCATTAAAATGACTTACTAAATAATAAGTTACTTAATTAACATATGCTTAATGGTGACATCTTCACTAGTCGTAATGTCTGATTTTCATGACTTTATCACCTCCTAGTGTGTCACACATGCTTATAAGGCAATCTCCAGGACAAGGAGTTACAAGAGGTTAAAATGTAACCTGCTGGCCGTGATTGCGCACATCTTTAATTCCAGCACTCTGGAGACAGGTAAGGTAGGGCAGGTGACATAGTAAGACCTTGTCTCAAAATAGAATAATGGGGCCTTTTAAAAACAAATCCATCTGTAAGTGTAATTATCCAGATTTTTAGAGGTCTTTTCAAGAAACTACTGACTTGCCAATTTTCCTGTAGGGAGAAATGCCACATTCTAAACTTTTCTAGCAGGATGTGTCATTAAACCATTTATAAACAAAGATTATGGTAATGGACATTGGACACCATAAAAGCCAGGGGAAGTAGCTGCTTATCCCTGTTTAGGGCCAAGCTGCTGCAAAGCCTGATTCTGCAGCAGATAATTTGTGTCTGTGGTAGAAGTACTACTAGTGTACTCCCAGTAACCACTCACCTGGCCTTAAGTTCTTGTCAGGGTTCAGTGAAAGCACTTTGCTTTTTACATACTTAACTGGAATGAACTGAAAAAAGTACATTATTTGGAAACATTTAAGCAAAATATGTGGCTCTTCTGTTACTTTCACCATTTCAAACCACGGTATGTTCATCCCACACTACACATAGAATCTGAGAAAAATAACTGGCAGCACAGGCGCTTGTCTATGCCAGTATCTCCTCAGATATTGATGACAAAGACATCTCTGAAGTTTCCCTATTGTCATCTGCTGCTTCCTCTGGTCTCTTTTCTCATATTCTGTCAATAACTGACACCTTGATTTTTCCTGTCCCCTTTATCTCCCTCTAATATCTTCCTTTTCCTTGTCACTCTTACAATTTTTCTCTTTGCCCATGCAGTATTCACTTTTCTTATAGCTGAATGTATATTGAACATTTTAACAGCTTTGCTGAGGTGTAATTTGTTGGGTCTACAATTCACTCATGTAAAGTATATAGTTTGGAGGTGGTTAGTATATTCAGAGTTGTGCGTTCTTCACCACAATCAATTTTCAGATATTATCATTACATCCAGGAGACACTCAACATCTCTTAGCTATGACCTCTCTGTAATCCCAATTCCACAGCCTCAGGTGACCACTACTAATATACGTTGTCTCTAAATTTATTTATTCTGCATATATCATATACAGGAATCATTTGTAATTAAGCTGCCATCACTTGACAATTTCATTGACATCATGGCAAATACCAGAATTTTTCTGTTCAATTGCTGAGTAATACTATGTTGTGTGGCCATACTAAGTTTTACTTGCCTGCCTAATCATCAGCTGATGGACACTGAGGTTACTTCTAATTTTTTCCTCATTATAAAATGTCAGTGAATGTTTGGGCTGGTTTTCATGTGGTCATATATTTTCATTTTTCTTTGTATACACTTTGGAGTGGAATTGCTGGATTATATAGCAATACTTGAGAAATTACCAGGCATTTCACAGAGTGGCAGAACTACTGCACATTCCTTCCAACCGTGTATAAAGGGTCCATTCTCAGCACTCTTGCCATCACTTGTTACTAGCCATGCTGGTCATTTGAAGTACCCACACAAAATTTTAAAAATACCTTTGAATAGCCATTTGCTACTGATGCCGTTTCTTAATATCTAAAAAAAGTGGACCATATAGGTTGAGCCTATTGCTTTACATAATATAAGTAAATTGCTTTAATATTTTTAGCATCCAGACAAATCTTGGCCCTGCCTCTTGGGGCACATGGCAATCAGTACCCTGTCTTTATGTAGGCACAAAGGGTCCCTTTAAGAGACAAGCTCCCTCCAGGGAGCACCTCTTCCAGACCCCTGTCCCTGAAAAATTCCTTTCCTAGACCTGAGTGTTCACTCACTGTCCAGACATTAGGTGGGAAGAGTTAATGCCATTTCCAGCTACAATGGGGACTCAGGCTTCTTGAAGTTTCAGGGAGAACACCCAAGACCTGGCTCTGGTCAGTATCACCCAGAGTTAAACATTTGAGGTGTTAATGTATCATGTCTGCAGCATGACCATGCAGAATCCAGAATCTCCCTGGATGTGGGGGCGGGAATTGAATCAGTGTTCTGTTAGATTGAACCAACTCCCAGGGTCAATCTTTAATCCTAATGTTTAATGTCATTTTTTATCCTAATTTTCAGTTGGCAATTTTGGTTTGCACTTTGAACATCAATAAAGTCTTGTTCTCGCAGGGGGGGGGGGTTGGAGAGACAAGCTCCATCTACTCCCACTCTTGCTGTTCCTCTGAAGAGGCAGACAGGTTCTGTGTGTGTGTGTGTGTGTGTGTGTGTGTGTGTGTGTGTGTGTGTGTGTGTGTGTGTTTCTCTCTCCCTTCACTTCCCTTACTCTTTCCCTTCCCCCAGCAAAACTTCCCGTGTAACTTTTGTCTTCATGGCATGCTTGTTGCATGTCCTTCACCTGCCAAGGTCTAGTCTCGTGCCCTATCACAACATATATGAATATTTAAATAAAATAAAGTTAATTCTTTGCATAATTAATCATGGTCTTAGCCTTGTTTCTGAATCCCAAAGTAAAAGAGTTAGACATAGCGGCTGTAATGTATTCTTCTGCCTTACTGTAATTTTCTCAAAACCAGTTTTGCCTTTTCTGTTTAGACAAATAATACTGTTTTTGAAGGTTATGTTCATAACCCCAAGGCTCAACATGGGAATGGAAAATTTTAGAAAGAAAAACGTAAGACTTTGTCTCCCTGTGAATGCCTCTGTACTTACTCATCAAAGTTGAGTGTATTTGTCCAGTTCAGCACTTCATCTACTTCCCATTCCATCACAGAATCTACCCCTCCATCTTCAATGCACCTTATTAGTCCTTTTGTTGCTCTGTGAATTAGGCCTAGAGTTTCGTGATGTGTCGCCTTGGCCTCCAGGTTTCCTAGGTAGTACCTAAATAAATGAAAAAAGTGACACACATCCTTTGTAATAAGTGATTAAAGAGGGGCTGGAAAGATGGCTCAGAGGTTAAGAGCACTGACTGCTCTTCTAGAGGTCCTGAGTTCAATTCCCAGCAACCACATGGTGGCTCACAACCATCTACAATTCAATCTGGTGCCCTCTTCTGGTATGTAATAAATAAATAAATCTTTTTTTAAAAAAGTGATTAAAGATAAACACAATTGATAAATGTTTATATATTAAAATTTATAAATTAAATCAAGCTTTTGTTCTGTATACTTCTAAACAGGAGTAAAAATAAGGAGGTTTGCTTATCTACATCTGTGTGTTGGATACATTTTATCTTCCTTTTAAGACAGTCATTTATGGCAGTTATTTGTTGTCTTATATAAAGAATTGATAGCTGGGGATGTTAAGGAATTGTTCAGGATCATGAAAGTAGTAAAAATGGGGACAGCCTGCATTCAAATTTGACTCTAAGCACATCCTCCTTTTGTCTGATACTATTTTAAGTACTACTTTAAGGTCAGTGTTCCACCAAACATGAAGAGGGAGACATTAGTAGTTATTACCAAGAACATGGAACACACATTGAGAAGACAAGTGGATCATCCGCAGACTTTGTCATCATTACTAGACCCGAGCTACAAGAAATACCTAAAGAAGGCCTGCACCAGTAGTGAAAAGACATAAATGATGCTTTCCTCAGAGTACCTGAAGAAATAGTAATCCCACTATGCCCTCATTCCTGGCACCCACAGAAGTCAGTATGGTGGTAACCTAATGTGTAAACATCATCATGGTGGCTCCATACTGTCACCCAACATGGCATTCAGAGGAAGATGGATTCCTCAAACCTGCTGCTACATTCAGGGTATCCAGAAGCCACTGACTATAGCAGGGGAAGTAGTTTATTTCCATGGCCAGCTGAAACAAAGCCAGTGTCCTTTGCCTGGCAATATTCAAACAGACATGTTAGGAGACTTTTTTACTCCAAAAGTCCATTTATAGTTAGCCCAACTTATCCAGCAGGTGTAGATACAGAAGTATGGAGAAAACAAAGTAACATGAAGCTTCCAAGGGAACGGAACTTTAGTACAGACTTCAAAAGAAAAGCATATTAACTAAATGCAATTAAGCATCTTAACAAATGTAAGGAAACTCAGTGTGATACAGAATTACATCCAGAAAATTCAACAAAATGGGAAATTTATGAATGAAACTTAGCAGATAAAGATAATGAAATTAATCCTTACAAGTGAGGAATTCACTAATTCAAATTAATCATTCAGTTGATAGCTTCACCATTACATTATGTCAGGAGAAAAATAAGAACACAAAGATAGATCTTTTGTAATATCTTAGATGGAAAAAAAGGTAAAGAAAAAACGCTAAGATACAATGTTACTGTTAAAAAAAATTCTGAATTAGCCAGGTGGTGGTGGCACCCACCTTTAATCCCAGCACTTGAGACAGAGGCAGGAGGATCTATGTGAATTCTAGGCCAGCCTGGTCTACAGAGTGAGTGCCAGGATAGGCTTCAAAAGGTACACTGAGAAACCCTGTCATGAAAAAACAAAACAAAACAAAAAGCAACAACAAAAAATCTGAATCAATACAAAATGGCAAAAAGTGGAGACAGAACCTCATCAATGAAATGTCTCAAACCTGGGGAAACATTTGGATGTGCCAGGCACAGAGGACCAAGGGCCTGAAAGAATTTGATACACATAGAACCCTGTGTGGTAGTTCATGCCTGCAGTCTAAGCACTTGTGGATACCATGAGTTGGACCATTTGAACAAAGCTCATTAAGACTTTCTGAGACAAGAGCTGAGGGAACTCACCCCTTCATCACTAGATCTGACCTGTAAGAATTGCTCAAAGAAGGCCTGCATCTCAAGTGAAAGCAGTATCTTTTCTAAATGCAATTCCTTTTGCAAATGGCCTATGGATATGTCTGTGGGGTGTTGTCTTGATTGTTAATTGATGGAGGAAGACCCAGCTTGCCGGTCATCTCCATTCCTGGGCAGGTGGTGCTGGGCTGTATAAGAAAGCTAGTGAAGGATAAGCCAACATGCAGCATTATTCCATGGTTTCTGCTTCAAGTGGTGCATAACCTCCTGCCCTGACTTCCCTCAGTGAAACTTGTAAGCTGAAATAAACCCTTCCCTTAAGTTGTTGTGATCAGATCATCTTACAACAGCAGAGAATAAACAATGTCCTTTGCTTTTAAAAAACCAACTATGTATGTGTGGGTCTGTTTCTCAGTCCTGTGGTCTGGCCCAATCATCTCTGTGTGCCTTCATGCTGGGCACAAATGTCTTAATTGCAGTTGCTTTGTAATCCTTGAAATTAAAAATTAAATAGGACAAGTTCAACTTCTCAATACTACCTATTTATTTAATAAGACCAAGTCATCTACTTACATTTGCCTCATCCATTCTATCTTTTTAATTTTTCTTTTCTTTTCCATATCTTGCTTTCTCTTCAGTTTAGAGAAATGAAATTCACTTTCCTTTGTGCTTTCCAACACTTCATTTTCAGTTGGTATCCAAAACTATGGCAGAGTAAAGATGAATATATACAGAATTAAAATACTGATTGAAGAACTCTCTGTAGACAAGAACTTTATGTTGGTGGGAACATACAAGAGAGGATAAGAAGAGAAGTCAGGCCTTTTCAACATAGTTCTCATTAAGTTATGGGCAACACAGTTTCAGAAGCACCTGTTACAACAACATTGACAAGCTTCTTGTGTACTAAGCCATTCCTTCAGTACCTAGTGAAATGAATGAACAGTAAACCTATTCTAATCATGTCTGTCTCATCTCATCCAATCATACCTAACCCCTCCTAGTACTGCTGTCTTATGACTAATCCTTGAGGACTATATCCACTCAGAAAAGAAGTACTTGTATGTCCCAAACTATGTTGTCTTTGAATGACATGTCCTAGCTGGCTGGCTCTTTTCTCAATTCCTGTTTATCTTCTCTTCCCACAATACAACTCTAGAAAATGTTTACTGTGTCTCCCAACAGTTTGCCCTGTTTAACCTCTTAACCATATCGCACTAAAACATCCTGCCTGCTTGACTGATCTCTAGGCACAGGCATCTTCTGTAAGAGAAGGAATTGTGTCTTCTTACCACTGTGTTCTTAGAATCCGGAACTATGCCTAGCACATGACAGACATGTAATAACATACTGAATGACAAAGAGAAAATAAAAATGGCCTAGTTTCAAATCTGATTACTAAAAATTAATGTAAGAGGAGTCTGCCCACCACCTCATTATAAACGTGTATGTGGTGGATAGAGCGGGGAGAGAGGTAAAGCAGTTCATGCTCTGTGGAGAGGTGGAACTGGAGACATGACAGCAATGAGCACCAGTTGATGTTAGTGACCTGTGCTTCCATTTGGCTCCAGAGTGATGTCTACCCCATGCTGCTGCCAAGGGCCATATTTGTACCCACAGTCCTGATGTGGATAGGATCTGTGGTGATGTCCCATGGGGACTGCCAAAGGCCATGCAGATGTCTATAGCTGAGGCTGCCACCTAAAACCATGTTGATGTCCAAGGGCCATTCTGAGTTGGCACCTCCCCTAGCCAGCCACAAGGTGCAGGAGAGCTGGCCCTGCAGAGGTCCAGGCTGACCAACTCTGCTACTACCCAGGCACAGACCCAGGGCTTTGAGTTGGCTTGCCTCAACATCTACCCCATCTCTGAGCTGCTGGAACATGTGAAGGGACTAGTTCTATGGAACTACAGCCACAGGATCTCCATGACTGGAGCAACAGCAAGATATCCAAGAGGAGTCTTGGTGAGGGTCCAGTATTGATAGTATGGCAGAAACCAGAGGCCTTGAACCAGACCAACGACTACAGGGAACATTGACAAATAAAGCTGTTTAGGCAAAAGGTTATACTGCATGACACACTGCAGTTCCCAATGCTACTATAACAGGTGAATATGTGATAGAGAGGCAGGATAGAGGAGTGCAGTGGTACATCCAAGGCAGAACTGGAGATGAGGCAGCTGTGGTGGGTGTGAGAGAAGGCTGTTTTAATAGAGAGGCAGGTTGTTGCACAGAGGGGTTGGCAAGATGTTGGTTTTGTTTTTTAATTTTTATTCTTGTTTTCTTTGAGAGGGTTATAAGGGTGGAGGGCATATATGGAAGGATTGGGATTAGGGTACATGATGTGAAATTTCCAGAGAAACAAAAAAATTACTATGTTGAAAAAAATAAACATAAGAGAGCCAACAAGATGGCTCTCTGTACAAAAACACCAATCAAATAAAACAATCAAACCTGATGCCCTGAGTATGAAGGAGAGAGGGAGAGAACCAACTCTACAAGTTGTCTACACACATACTGGAGCACATAGTCATCCATGCTTGCCCGCTCATCACTTGTACCCACGCAATAATAATTCAAATAATTCTAATGATAACAATTTATCTTATTTAACAACAACCCCAGAATACCTAAGTTAAGCAATTTTTTCAATTAAATTACAATTATTTTTTAAAATTCAAGATTAATTTTCAAAACCGATTCATTTCTAAATATATAAAATAAAAATTACTACTATTTCCATTTTCTTACTCTATGGGAAACAGGCCTCCAGCCATTGTTTTCTATACGGCGGTACCAGCCACTGTTATCCTCAACCTGAGGTGGATCATCTTTATTATGAGATGTGTATCTTGCTGGAAGCTTTGTGTAATCTCTAGGGCTGTTAGCACACAGATCTTCAATATGTCTGTGAGTAAAAATTTTATAGTATATCTCAGGTGGAAATTTAACCTGTAGAAGGGAAAGTTCAAAGCATCATTGTAATACAATAACAGAAATGGGTTACATTTTTAAAAAATTTTTAAACTTCATGTAAGTGTGCTTTAAAACTACCAAAGGACTCTAACTAGGGAATCAGGTAGGTTAGCTGCAGCTCTTCACTTCTCCCTCTGCTCTTCCAAATCCAATCCTCCAGACTCACCCCTAGCTTTACAGCAGACCGCCTACTGGGGCCTTCTCCCCCTCCCACTGCTCCACTTCCAATGAATCTCACATATCTTTCCCTCTGCCAACTCATTGCTTTATCCCAGCCTAATCCCAGCAGGCACTCCTTGGGAGCACACAGGCAACTGCAGATCTTAACCTCTCCCTCTATTCCTCCAAATCCAATATCCCAGTCTCATCCCCAACTCTGTAGCAGACCTTCTGCTGTGGCCTCTCCTCACTCTCTGCCCCCATTCTCAGGGAATTCTTTAAAGAAGAATGAATAAATCTCTTAATCTATGAAAACACAAACAGTGGAAGGAAATGAATAAAATAGTTTAAGACCTGAAAGTAGAAATAGAATAAAAGAAAATCCAAATAGAAGGAAATCTAGAAATGAAAAAATCTAGAAACCTCAGAGATAAACCTCACCAAGAGAATACAAGAGATAGAAGAGAGAATCTCAGGCATCTAAAGACATGATCATAGACATGGGTAAGTCAATCAGAAAATACTGAATCTAAAAGAAAGCATGGCACACAACATCCAGGAAATCTAGAACACTATGAAAAGACCAAATCTAAGAATAATAGGAATAGAGAAAGAAAAAGAGACTTTGTGGTCAAAGGCACAAGAAATACTTTCAACAACCCCGTAGAAAATTTCTATAACCTAAAGAAGGAGATGCCCACACCAAGGTATAAGAAGCATACAGAACATCAAATAAACTGGACCAGAAAAGAAAGCCATCCCCAACCCCCAGTACATAATGATCAAAATACTAAACATACAGAACAAATAATATAAACATAAAAAGAAAAAGATTAAGCAACATACAAAGGCAGACCTATTTAGAATAACTCCAGATTTCTCAATGGAAACTCTAAAAACCAGAATGGTCTGGACAGATGTTTTATAGACTCAAAGAGACCACAGATGGCAGCCCAGACAACATTCCCATCACAATAGATGGAAAAAATATAGTACTCCATGACAAAACCAAGTTTAAGCAGCATCTATCTACAAATCTTTCCTTACCGTGCTGGGAGGAAAATTCCAACCTAAAAGGGTTAAGCACACCCAAGATAGCAAAGGGAATAACCCCAGACCAGTAAATCAAACCATGACACATACACACAAACCATACACACATACACCACCACCACAACAACTAAATAACAGGTATCAACAAACACTGCTCATTGATAGCTCTCAACATCAATGGTCTCAATTCCTAAACAAAAAGACATAGACTAACAGAATGGATGCAAAACAGAACCATCTTTCTGCTGTATCCAAGAAATGCACCTGAACATCAAGAATAGACATCATTCAGGCTAAAGGGTTAGAAAAAGATATTCCATTTAAATGAGTCTAAGAAGCAAGCTGGGGTAGCCGTTTTAATATCTGACAAAATAGACTTCAAACTAAAACTAATTAGAGGGAGGGAAGGACACTACATAGTCATCAAAGGAAAAATCCACCAAAAAGGACACTGCAATTCTTAATATCTATACACCAAACACAAGGGCACCCAAGTTCATAAAAGAAACACCACTACAGCTTAAATTGAATATTAAACTACACACACAGATAATGGGAGACTTCAATACCCCACTCACCAATAGGTCATCCAGACAAAAGCTAAACAAAGAGATGCTGGAGCTAACTGGCATTATAAACCAAATGGACCTAACATTTATACATCATTTCACCCAAACACAGAAGAATATACCTACTCAGCACCTCATAGAACTTTTTCCAAAATTGATTACATAATTGGACACAAAGCAAGTCTCAACAGATATTTAAAAATTGATATAACTCCCTGCATCCTAATTGATCACCACAGATTAAACCTGAGTATCAGAAATAACAAAGCTTGCAAACTCACAGAAACCAAACAACTTGCAATTGAATGAAAAAAAATCAAGGCAGAAATTAAGAAACATTAAAGACTTCCTAGAATTGAATGAAAATGGACACACAATATACCCAAACTTAGGGGACATAATAAAAAAGTTCTAAAAAGCAAGTCCATAGAACTAAGTGCTTACGTTAAAAAAAAAATTGGAGACATCTCATTCTAGTAACTTAACAGCACACCTGAAAACTCTAGAATAAAAGGAAGGAAATCATACCAAAGAAGAGAAGACAGTAAGAAATAATGAAACTCGGGGATATAAAATCAATAAAATAGAAAAAAAGGTATAAAAAGTCAGTGAAACAAAGAGTTGGTTCTTTGTGAAAGTCATTAAGCTTGACAAACCCTTATTCAAATTAACTGAAAAGTGGAGAGATAATATTCAAATTAACAAAATTAGAAATAAAAAGGAAGACATAACAGACCCTTAGGACGATCCAGATGATCATGAAGACATACTTTATGGAAATTGGAAAATCAAAAAGAAATGGATAATTTTCTTGGTACATACCACTTACTGAAGTTGAATCCTCAAATTATTCCATGTCAGGGACCTCCAGCCATCAGTCAGCTAGGCTGTATCACATACTCATAGAGAAGATGTGACACTAAGACCACCCTGCCACCCCTTCTGACATAAAGCAAATTCCAAGTAACAAGCCTGAGGTTTACCTGTCAGTTAAAGATTAGCTTAATTGGAAAACTACAAGGTCGTCAGGAGATAGGCCTGAGCAGTAGTAAATTGTAATAGATAGGATCGGACCCTACTGTCAGGTTACCAAGCAACATAGGAGTTCCTACCCCTGACCTCTTGCCCTGTAGATTAGGTTGCCAGGCAACTCAGCAGACCACCTCTCCCACTGACCTCTTGCCCCTGCAGCTACAAGTACACCTTCCCCCTTTCCCTCCTCAGTTCTCCTATATAAATCTTTGTGATGAAATAAAATTGTCGCCTTGATCAGAATCCTGTCTTGGCGTCCGTTCCTGTATCCCCTGTCCTCCATCTTTCTCCTAGGTGTCTACCAGACCCACATTGAATGTCCTGCAGGTCAGGACAATTCCACAAAACAGAAACAGAATGAACATTGTCCAATTCGTTTTACAAGGCCACAGTTACCATGATACTCAAACTACATAAAGACCCAACAGAGAAAGAAAACTAGACCAATTTTCCTTATGAACATAGATGCAAAAATTCTCAATAAAATACCTGGAAACCAAATCCAAAAACATGTTTAAAAAAAAAAGACCATCCACCATGATCAAGAAGGCTTCATCCCAGAGATGCACAGATTCTTCAACATATGTAAACTGATAAATATAATCCATCATATAAACAAACTTAAAGACCAAAACACATGCCTGGGTGGTACTGGCACATGTCTTTAATCTCAGCACTCAGGAGGCAGAGGTAGGTGGACCTCTGTGAATTAGAGCCCAACCTGGTCTACAGAGTGAGTTCAGGACAGACTCCAAAAGCTACACAGAAACCCTGTCTCAAAAAAAAAAGAGAGAGACCAAAACACATAATCATCTCATTAGATGCAGAAAAGGCCTTTGACAAAATCCAACATCCCTTCATGATGAAAGACCTAGAGAAATTAGAGATACCGGGTATATTTAAACATAATAAAGACAATTTAGAGTAAGCCTATAGCCAACATCAAATTAAATGGAGAGAAATTCAAAGCAATTCCATTACAATCAGGAACAAGATAAGCTTGTCTATTCTCTCCATACCTATTCAATATAGTACTTGAAGTCTTGGCTAGAGCAATATGAAGCCAGAGGAGGTCAAGGAAATACAAATTAGAAAGGAAGAAGTATCTTTATTTGCAGATGATATGATAGTATACATAATTGACCCTAGAAATTCCACTGGGAAACACTTTCAGCAAAGTTGCTAGGTACAGCATTAACTGACAAAAATCAGGAGCCCACCTGTATACAAATAACAAAGAAATCAAGGAGGCACCTTTCACAGTAGCCTCAAATAATGCAAAATGTCTTGGGACACTCTTAGAAATTTATAACCAAGTATGAAAAAAACTTAAAGGCACTAAAGAAAGAAATTGAAGAAGTTGTCAGAAGATGGAAAGATCTCCCATGCTCATGGATCAGTAGGATTAATATAATAAAAATGACAACCTACCAAAAGCAATCTATAGATTCAAAATTCCAGTACAGTTCTCCACAGATATCGAAAGGACAATTTTCAGCTTCATATAGACAAACTGCAGAAGGTATTACTATCCTTGATTTCAATTGTACTACTGAGCTATAGTAATTAAAACAGCATGGTATTTGCACACAGACATGTTGATCAGTGGAATCAAATTGAATACTCGTACATCCATATGCCTATGAACACTTGATTTTTTAAAAGATTTATTTATTTTATGTATACAAGTGCTCTATCTGCATGTACACCTGCACACCAGAAGAGTGCATCTGACCTCATTACTGATGGTTGTGAGCCACCATGTGGTTGCTGGGAATTGAACTCATAACCCCTCAAAGAACAGCCAGTGTGCTTAATTACTGAGCCATTTCTCCAGCCCCCTGATTTTTTTTAAAGCTAGAAATACACACTGGAAACAAAGACAGCATCTTCAACAAGTAGTACTGGTCAAACTGGATGTCAGCATATAGAAAAAATGCAAATTGATCCATTCTTATCACCCTGCACAAAATTCAACCCAAATGGGATCAGAGATCTCAACATGAAACCAGATACACTGAACCTGGTAAAAGAGAAAGTGGGAAATATCCTTAAACTACTTGGTAGGGTCTGGAGAGATGGCTCATCAGTTAAGAACACTGACTGTTCTTCCAGAGGACCCAGGATCAATTCTCAGCACTCACATGGCAGCTCACAACTGTCTATAATCCCAAACATGCATGCAGGCAAAATATCAGTGCACATAAAATAAAAATAAATAAATTTATATATCATTGGCACCAGAAAATACTTTCTGAACATAGCACCAATAGCTCAGGTACTAATATCAACAATTAATAAACAGCACTTCATGAAACTGAAAAGCAAGGACACCATCAATAGGAGAGACAAAGCAAGCAGCCTACAGAACAGTAAAAGATATTTGCCAATTATACATTTGATAGAGGTCTAACACCCAAAATAAATAAAAAACTAAAAAAACTAGATAACAACACGTAAACCAATTAAAAAATGGGTACAGACAAACAAATTTCTCAAAAGAAGAAACTCAATGGCTGAGAAACAAATGTTCAACATCCTTCGCCACCAAGGAAATGCAAGTCAAACTAATTTGAGATTTCACCTTACATCTGTTAGAAAGGTTCAGATTATTAAGACAAGGGACAGCTCATGCTGGTAAGGATGTAGAGTAAGGGAAACACTTATCCATTGCTAGTGAAACTGCAAACTTGTATAGCCACTATAGAAATCAGTGTGGTGGTTTCTCAGGAAGGTGGAAATTGATCTATCCCAATATCCAGCTATACCATTTGTGGGCATATATCCAAGGGATGCTTCATCCTGTTCACTTGCTCAACCATGATTACTTATGCTCTATTCATAGTATCCAGAAGCTGGAAATAACCTATATACCCCTCAGCAGAAGAATGGATAAATAAAATGTGGTACATTTCTTTATCCATGGATTATTATTCAGCCATTAAAAAGATAATAAAACCATGAAATTCACAGGTAAATGGATGGAACCAGAAAAAAAATCACCCTGAGTAAGATATTCCAAACCCAGAAATACAGTATATATTTGTTTATATGTGGATATTAGCTGTTAAGTCAACCACAACCAAGGTAATCTTAGAACCACAGAGGTTAGGTATAGAGTAAGGAACAAGGGATGACAGATAGACCTTGTTAGGAAAAAGAAATAGAATAGATAGATATGGATGGGGTAGGCTAGAATGGGAGGATCAAGTGGGGAGAGAGATAAAAAGGGGGGATGAGAGAATACAGTAGAGGCAAATTGAGTAATTGGTCAAAGGGGTCCTATGGAATCCCCAAATGCAAGATGTTGCCAAAACTATAGGTTCCTCTCCACAAGTTGACAGAAAGCCCCCACTGCTAAAGACAACACCTACACAACTGATTGGATATGAAGAAATCAAGCTGGTGCCTACATAGAGCCTTCATCCCCAAGTTGAGCATCTATGGTACAGGAAAATATTCTGCACACTACCCAAAGAGAAATGTAAACACCAAATGCAGCTACCAACACTCTGATCTACAATGCTGCCCCACCTACAAGATATGCTAGGGCAATGGTGGCGCAAAGCTTGTGGAAGTAACCAACCAATATCTTATTTGACTTAGGGTCCATGCTATGAGATGGAACCCATACCTGACACTGCTTGGGTAACCAAGAACTCAAGACTAGATAGTCCAGGGACAATGGTAAAACCAAATACTGCCCCCCAATAAAATGTCTCCTAATGACATTCCACTATACTCATAAATCAGTGTTTTGTTCTACCATCATTAGAGAAGCTTCCTCCTGCAGCAAAAGTGAACAAATACAAATACAGAGACCCACAGCCAGAAATTATTCACTTGGCCCTAAATGAGATGTCTGTATCAAATCTCTCCCCTTATGGCTCAGAGAACTCTGTTGAAGAGGAAGTGGAGTTTAAGAGTCAGAGAAGAAGGAAGACATCAAGAAAACAAAGCCCTCTAAATCAACATGAGCAAAGTTCATATGAACTCACAGAGACTGAAGCAGCATGTGCAGAGCCTGAATGGGTCTGTACCAGGTCCTCTGCATATATATTATGGCTTTCAGTTCAGTGTTTTAATGGGATTACTGTGTTAATAAGTGGGTCTGTGACTCTTGTGACTTCTCTTGGGCTCTTTTCCTTGCTTATTTTTTTTGTACAACTCTGGTGTGTTAGTTTTTATATTATCATATCATTAATGTCATTATCCCTTAGAAGTCTGTTTTCTAATGAGACACAAAGGGCTGGATCTGGATGAGAGGGGAGGTGAGGAGGAACTGGGAAGAGCAGAGGGAGGAGAAACTGTAATCAGGATATATTATGTGAGAAGAAAATCCATTTCAGTAAAAGGGGAAAACAAACCTGCCAAATAAGAACTCCTGCATACTCACCCCACCCAGCCTGAATCGGACTTGAATACCAGCAGCAGCATCGAGGAGCTCTGCCTATAAGAAAGCAGATGTCCCTTCAACATTCATGAGCAGCACCTTGCTACTTCTCATTCTGTCCATTAAAAGCAGTTGCTGGTATTTACTATTTATAAAATGGGTCAGGCCAATAGGCTTCAAATAATTAGATTTAAATCATAAAATATTTTTTATTTATGATTATGTGAGGGGTACACATAAGAGCAGGTGTCTATGGAAGCCAGAGGCATTGGATCCCGCTGAAACTGGAGTTACATGTGGTTATGAGCTTCCCTGGGTCCTCGGGCTGAGCAGTGTGAGCTTTAACTGCTGAGCTATTTCTCCAGCCCTGAAATCATAAAATACCTTGACAGCTAAGGACTTATGGACAGCTCTTAGGATAACTGGAAAAATACTGTCAAACTCTCCTTTCTATGCAATATAAATACAAATCTTCAAATGAGTATAGTGGCACATACTTTTGATCCCAGCACTTGGGAGGCAGAGGCAGGTGGCATTCTGTGAGTTTCAGGTCAGCCAAGACTATATAGAGAGATCCTTTCTCAAAAAAAAATCCTAGATGACCTATTATTTATAACAGAAATAGTAAGTCCTCAAATATATGACTTACATATAAAATATTACAGCTTGTAAATAAATTCAGAAAAAATAACTAGTCCCCTCAAGCTCAATACTAGACATACCTTCCCTAACTAGCTTTTGTTAACTCAGAAAAGATTCAAATTTTATGTGTAGTAAATCTTGTAAATGTAGTACCTTAAGGCCCGTGATGGCACATGCCTTTAATCCCAGAACTTAGTATGCAGAGGCAAGTGGATCTCTGTGAGTTGAAGGCCAGCCTGGTCTACAAAGCTACACAGAAAAACCCTGTCTCAACCCCCCCCCACAAAAAAAAATAGTGCCCTGCACCAAAAAGAAAATGTGAAAGGGATGATGGGGAGGGAGGAACAGACATGACATGGGAACAACTTGATCCCTTATCTGAAGACAGTTCACATCTATCTCCTTGATTAGATTAGATTAGATGAGAAAATAGGTATTTTAGTTGGAAAATCTATTAATTTTTCACAATAATTTTCTCCTGGCTAAAAACCTTTGTGAATTAAATACAAAGTATAAAATTCTGCATAAAAATTTTCATGTTTGGATGATGACATTATACATACATACATTTTCACTAGAATTTGAACAAATTTTAAATGTGTAGCTCTATAGATTTTTACACATTTGTATATTCCATGGCATCTTTAAGTCATATAAAACACTTGCATTCAGCATTGTGGTCCTGTGACCTCTCCCAGTTGGATATCCTCAAAAAACTTTTTTATCTTCATGGATTAATGTCAGCTTTTGAATTTCATGCAAGACATTCGCCACGAGCGCCCAGCTCCAATAAAAAGTTTTTAAGAAAGCAAACATGAGAGCACTGAGCTGATAAGAAGATGTGGTATCAGTAAGAACAGTCTTACCTCTTTAGGGTTAATGAACTTCACTATCTGACGTGGCTCCCCTTGTTTTCTTAAATCAATGAGACTTTTAAAGTGTTGGAATACAGCGACATTCTAAGGTTCAGAACACAGAATTTTACAGTTAAACTAGGCTCTCTACTTTTTGTTGTTGTTTTGAGACAGGGCTCCTCTGTGTAGCCCTAGCTGCCCTGGAACTTGCTCTGTATATCAGGCTGACCTTGAACTCACAGAGATCGGCCTCCCTTGTTTCCCGAGCACTGGGATTAAAGGTGTGTGCTGCCTGGCTGGTTCTCTACCTTTTAAAAGTGTTTGAAAAGTATATATATTTGGGACAGGGTGCTACAGTACACATTTGGAAATCAGAGGACAGCTTCTGGGAACTGGTTTCTCCTTTCCACCTGGGGGGCATCCCAGGGATAGAACTTACATCATTAGGCCTGATAGCACTTGCCTTTACCTGCTGGGCTATCTCACTGGCCCTGAATTTTCTATTTCTTATTACCTGTTCGTTTACCTGCACAGAAACGCAGATCTGAATAGTCCTGCAGGAGTAGAGAAATGAGGCTTTGAACTGAAACCCATTTAGAGAGAGCAAAAGCTCCTCACCTATGTAGCTCTTCCCAGCTCCCTTTTATGAGGCTGGTGCTATCCTGACATGAAGTTTTTTTTTTTCTTTTTTCCTTTTCTCTTTTGTTTTTGAGACGGGGTCTCTCTGTGGCTTTGGAGGCTGTCCTGGAACTAGCTCTTGTAGACCAGGGTACTGGGATTAAAGGCATGTGCCTCCACTGCCTAGCTGACACCAAGCCTTCTTGAGGACACTATAAAAGAGAGGGTGGGAGAAGACAAGGATGGAGGGATGCTAGATATAGACCAGCACCCACTTCTTACTCCAAAAAGAATCAAGTTAGCAGACATAGCTGTATTATGAGGTACAGCACAGAAAGAAAAACATTTCCACAGTTGCCACCCCAGCTCCACACCTCTAGAAGGAAGCCCCACCCCACCCCACACTGACTGCAGGAGAATGTGAACAGGAGAGTCCCTGTAGACTCCTGTCAGCTTGGCTGCCCACAGTCTTTGCTAGTAAAAAGCTTCATAGCTCTCCCAGGTTGGCTGTTTGCTCAGGTAAGCAACCATAACTCTGTGGCTATCCTTTGGACAAGGACTTCTGTGTCTCCAGGTGAACACACAGGCTGCTATAGCTAATGGCATCTCAAGACATGTTCTGTTGTGTAAATTTGGAGAGTTCTAGGAGTCAAATTCCTGCATAGATATCCATGTCACTGGTTTGGAGGAGAGCTACATTGCAAACCCAACCTGACCTTGCAGAGTCACTGTGACCTGTGCTAGTCAGATGCTCTGCGTCAGAAAGGATGGACTTTTGACATGAACAGAAACGGGGCACAGACCTTAAGAACCAGTAGATCTCGCACTTGGAGCACTTGCATTTTGAGGTCCAGAGTGTGGCAGCTGCTTGTGAACTCGTACTAGTGTCAAAACTGAAGCAGAGACCCTTGAAGTTCACTAGAACTTTAAGGAAATGCTGTGGTCCCTGCTTCTGGCCCATGCACATGTGCTTGCTAAAGGGGCTCCAGCCCCTGCTCTGTCTCTGGGTCTACGTTACCACTGGGATGGCAGAGCAAAATACCTTAGCTCCAGCTACCCTATCCCTGTATGCACTGCACTGAGGAATTGGAGGGCCAGTCATGGTGTTTCGGGCTTCTCAGCATGGCTGGAACTCCCACAGCAAGTCGGTTTTTCCAGAAGCAGTGTGTGGAGAAAAACCATCTGATAGAGACTGCTGTTCCCACTGTGGTGTAGCCACATCCTGAGCTCCTATTCCTATGTCACAGCTCCCTGAACCACTACAGTCTCCAATCCTGTTGGCCCCCAGAGACCATGAGTCTCTTTAGCAGTATCTAGCAGGCTCTTCCTGGTATGCACTGTGCTCAAAGTCATCTTGTATAGTTAAAGAAGCTATAAGGAGGATGCTATAGTGCTCAGTGGAAACAAAGCCAATGTCGTGCAGAAAACTGAGGCTGCTAGGCACATCTTCAGGAATAGACTACTTGCTAAGAAGGCTACTCCATAAATGAATGGGGACACCTGGCCTACCAGGGGTGCAAATCTCAGTGTGGGAGCACAAGAGATGTCCTGCAAAAGACACAGCAACCCATGGGCTCCAGAGACCTGCAGGGTCAATTTGCAAAACAGTTGACAAGCATAAAATAATGATCATGGAGAAACAGACTAATAGTTAAGTTTAATCTGTTTAAGAGAGTCCTCAAAGGTGAACAAAAAACAGCTAGTATCATGAGAGCACATGGAAGCATAAACCTGCCTAGAGCCAGCAAACAAAAGGAAAACGAAGAATAATTAATCTTCAGCAAGTAACAGTAAACCATCAATAAAATAAAATTACAAGGAATATTCAAGACAATTACAAAAAACCCGGAATCTTTACATATCATTAATAACCGTAGAAATAAACAGACTAAATTATTCAATTAAATGATACATAGTTAGTCAACAGAATTAAAAAACAAGACCAAACAATATTCTGCTTGTAACTTGTAAGAACTTCAGTCAAGACACAAAGGGATGGGGGATGGGCTTGGAAAAGAGTGGATGTGAAATTTAAAGTAAATGCTGAGAATCAGTCGTTATGTACCAGCACGGGTTTTATTTGCAAGATTTATTAATCTGATGGTGGTCTTGTGGACTGGAAGCAACTGTCTAACTTGACACAAAACACCAGGCATAGTGACTGAAGGGACCTGAGGACTGTGGGGTGCCCCCCCCCTCTGGACCCTGGATTAGGCAAGACCCCACCCAAACAGCAGTTTCCGAGCACAAACTAAACACAAGGCAAAGAGACAAGGTGGATAAATCTGAATTGGGCAGAAATAGCAGCAAATGGCTTTGCAAGTGTTAATTTTTTTATTTTTATTTATTTATTTATTTTGGTTTTTCGAGGCAGGGTTTCTCTGTATTGTTTTGGAGGCTGTCCTGGAACTCACTATGTAGACCAGGCTGGCCTCGAACTCACAGAGATCTGCCTGCCTCTGCGTCCCAAGTGCTGGGATTAAACGTGTGCACTACCAACGCCTGGCCGCAAGTGTTAATTTTAAAAAGGAGAAAGGAGCCCTGGGCAGTGGTGGTGCATGCCTTTAATCCCAGCACTTGGGAGGCAGAGGCAGGCGGATCTCCGTGAGTTCGAGGCCAGGCTGGACCGACAGCCTCCAAAACAATACAGAGAAACCCTGTCTCATAAAACCAAAAAAAAAAAAAAAAAAAAAAAGGAGAGGTTTGTTAGAATGAGCTAGGACCAGTTGGCAAGTTTTGACTGGGTATTTTAATTAGGTCAGTCAAATTTTGATTGTTGGACCTTTATGTTTTGATAATTGGACCTTGGTGATCAGTCTCAGGAATGAATCAGGCATAAAAAGCAGCCAAATAAGGGAATAGACCTTGGTGGGCTAGCTTTAGGAATGTAATCTAGCAAGACAGAGAGAAGGGGAAAGGGTCAGACCTGCCTGAGCCATATTTTGCCATGCTCAGGGCTGCTAGAGCCCTTCAGTGACAGAATTACTAGGATTATAAAAGGATTGAAGTTATCTTACCTCTTGGCTGTCACCCAACCAGGTAAGCAAACATGGAAAATTACTTCTGAGGTCATTCTACACATGTTAAGAGCAATACATTAGCGAGCAATACATTAAGTGAGCAATACATTAGCTCAGATAAAATAGGTCATTAAACCATAAGATCCTCCACAGTACTTAATAAATATTGGAGGAGCAAATATACCCTCAACATTTCCTCCCGATCGTGACACATTTCAAAGTCAAATGAACCTATTAGTGATACATTTATGGGTGTTAGCTATTATCAAAGAGTCTGACCCCATTCAGAAACTTAATGGGGGTCAGAGGGATGGCTCCATAATAAAGTGCTTGCTGTGTAAACATGAGGACCTGGGTTTGATCTCCAGTGCCCATGTAAAAATGCTGAATGTAGTGGGGGCACTCATAACCCTGGCACCAGGAAGCCAGAGCTGGGTGGGTAACTGAGGCTTGCTGGATAACTCCTGTAATCCAGTTGGCAAGTTACAGGCTAGTGAAGATTCCCATCTCAAAAACTAGACATCTCCTGAGGAACAATGTCTGAGGTTGATTTTTGGCTTCCACACGCATGCACGCACAGATATGTCCACACATATCTATATATATGCACACAAAAGTCATTTAAACTAACAAGAATGTCAATGTTTGTAAACCTAATAAAATAATTTTAACTTTTTTTAAATTTTGGTTTTTCAAGACAAGGTTTCTGTGTAACAGTTCTGGGACTTTGTAGCCTTGAACTCACAGAGTTCACCTGTCTTTGCCTCCCAGGTTCTGGGATTAAAGGTGTGTGCTGCCGCTGCTGCCACCATCACCCAGAAAATTGCAACTTTTGAAACTGAAGTGAACTTCTAAGTTGAAGGGTAGTGCAAACTTGTATAAATACACAAAAGAACTACTGAACTGCACACACTTTACATATGTGAATTTTGTGCAATATAAAAGTTATTTCTCAAGGGATCAGCTAAACAAACTCACAAGGAAATTTTTCCAGGCTCTCTGAATGATCCTTGCAGCTATTTCCTGCTTTGAAAGTTCTCGGAACGATTTCCCAGGCATCTGGAAGTTCTAAAAGAAAAATAAGCAAAACGGCAACCTTGACATAACTGTAAATGCTCCACTATGAAGCTGTCTCTGGTATCCAATGGAAATTAAATAAAGTTGTCTAAAGGAAACAATGAAGTTTTTTTTTGTTTTTGTTTTTACAAGACAGGGTTTCTCTGTATTGTTTTGAAGGCTATCGGTCCAGCCCAGCCTCGAACTCACAGAGATCCGCCTGCCTCTGCCTCCCAAGTGCTGGGATTAAAGGCGTGTGCCACCACCGCCCGGGAAACAATGAAGTATTTAAATTATATTCTTAATATATTACTTTTTTTTCTAGCAAGTACCTTGCATAAAAGTTTTTGTAAAGATCTATATTTGTGTGTGTGTGTGTGTGTGTGTGTGTGTGTGTTACAAGTGTTCACAGATGCCTGAAAGGGACATCATAACTCTTGGCACCAGTGTTGGTGATGGGATCTGAACTCTGGTCCTCTGATAAAGCAGTAAACACTCTTAGCCACCAAGCCACCTCTCCATTCCCTGCAGAGGTTTTAATATGTCTGTGCTGGACTAAACTTCAAGATTTATGGTCAAATAGTAAAAAACTAGCCAGGGTTGAGCTCAGTCTGTGTCTTTAAAGCCTGTGACCTTTACATACTTTGTTGTAGGACTTGAAGCTAACCAATGTGCATAGAGAAACAGCTGTAGCCATGAGGTTACCCAAACCCTAACCTAGAACTGGGGATTGATTATAGACTTTCTTAACCATACTGACTACTAGATGCATCATTTATCACATCTCTAAAAATGAAGTTTAAACTATTAAGGAGCAAGACAAAAATCACTACCTGTACTTCACAATTTTAACTGGGACTGGCAAGGGTAATAGAGAAATCAGACAGACATTTTAGCTCCCTATCCCTTCCAAAGCTTCCGAAAACTGCGTAGGGAGATACATGGATGCCAATTGCACTGCTCTGAGGGTGTTCTGTGGACTCATGCCTGACTCAATTCCTGTGATAGCATATGAGATTCAAAAAATTGAAGGATTGGGTAGAGGGTTCAGTGGGTAACTTCTTGCTCTGCAAGCAAGAATATCTAAGTTTAGATGCCTAACATCCATATAAAAAGCAGGAAGCTCTGGCCATCTGTAGCCCCAGCCCTTAGGAGCAGAGTGGGGCAGAAGCTAGAGGATCCCAAGGGGCTCACAGGCAAGCCAGTCTAGACAAAACAGTGAGCTCCAGGTTCACCAGGGCTGTTTCAGCAAATATGTAAGTAGGGACCTGAGAGATGACTCAGTGGCCAAGAGCATCTGCTGCTCTTTGAGAGTACCCAAGGTCAGTTTCCACCACCTACATAAGATGGTTCACAACTACCTGTAGCTCCACACCAGCAAATCTGATGCCTCTGTGGGCGCCTGTACTATGTCTATATGTTCTCTCTCTCTCTCTCTCTCTCTCTCTCTCTCTCTCTCTCTCTCTCTCTCTCTCTCTCTCTCTCTCTCTCTCTCACACACACACACACACACACAGAGTAGAGACTTTTGATAGTCATTTTACATTGCTTAGCATGGAAACATATAATCAATGGGCTTGTAAATATGTGTGTGTGTGTGTGTATACAGGATTCCCCCCCTTTCCTAACAATTTTAATGACTATTAAACATGATCTGAATTATGCATTTAAAGTATTGCTTTGAAAGGGTACAAAAGAAACATAAAAACCCTAAACTATCATTGTTGCTTAGCCATGCATAAGACAGTCATAACAAATGAGACTTATAAATCAGTACTCAGAACCTAGCACTCAGTTATGTTATACAGCTCCCCACTATTTACAGTATTTTGTATTTTTATTTCTGTATTTCTTAGCAGTGGCACACCTGCTTCTTCAGGCTGCATTATTTTCCTGTGAGTGGTGGCAGGAAGTGAACAGTACAATGCTTAGTAGAGTCTCCCTTCTCTGCCTGCCACATACAATAGCACACTGTGACAACCAATGCTGTCTCCAAAGGGCTAGTGAGATGGTTCACTTGCCACCAAGCCAATGACCCAAGTTTGAGCCCCAGAAAGTTTGATCCCCAGAAAGGTGGAAGGAGAGTTGTTCTCTGACCTCTACACTGGTGCTATGACATGTGTGTGCCTACACATATGCCCACAAGTGTAAAGCTAAAAATAAATGTCTCCAGCAATTGCTGTCCTTGAAGAGCTGTGATCTATTGAAACTTCATGGTATGAAGAGGACGGGCTGGGGCTGCAGGACAGTGGCAGAGTGCTTGCCTGGCATCCAGAGTTCAATCCCTGGCACTTCCAAAATAGTAACAACAACAATAGTAACAATACTGATAAAGGAGAAACTAGTGGTATAACACTGCCTAACTTATCTCAATTCCTGAGACTGTGAGATTGACCATAGGAGTATTTACATCATGAAAGTTGCCAAACACTTGAAATCAGTACTTAATATTTTTCTGGTTGATTTAAGATTTAAGGACAATATGGTGATATGTTAATAATGCAGATTAAAGGTGTAGTGTCCACTTTGCCATTCCATCATGAATAGCACAATGATGCAGAAACAATCCCAAGGGACAATGACACTTCAAGACAGGAAAACAAAACAAAAAAACTACACACTTAATTGTCCTAAATGTTACTAATGTACTAAATGGCATTCAGGGAAGTGAGCTTGAGTATTGTCAGTAGTCACTTTTGTTAGGAGGGAGGGAGGGAGAGAGGGAGAGAGGGAGAGAGGGAGAGAGAGAGAGAGAGAGAGAGAGAGAGAGAGAGAGAGAGAGAGAGAGAGAGAGAGAGAGAGAGAGAGCCAGAATTTCACCATGTAGCCCAAGATGCCCCTAAACAGCCTCAGTCTCCTGAATGCCGAGTTTACAGACAGTGGGGCCGCAGAAGGGAAAGAGAGGGGTGGGCTGAGGAATGGGAAAACTCGGTAAAGACTCTGGAGTGCTATGTAGAAGCAGGGACACAGTGGCTGGAAGATGGTCTGTATTCAATAGGGCTTTTCTTTCTTAAATATGAGACACTAAAACGTGAAAATATTGTTAGAGAAGGAGAAATTAAAGGCACAAGAGAGAGCAAAGGAAACATAAAATTCCTTGAGTAAGGGGATGAAGGCTTCAAACTAATCATGTGAAAATACCACTTCTGAGACACAAGGAGTACGTGGAAACAATTGCTCAAGTCATGACTTAACTATACCCAGGTGTGCACTGCTGATTCCCAGGTAAGGCCAACAAGCCAATCCCAAATCAATGCCCTTGTTATGTGATTCAGAGGTAGGTCTGCAAAGCTCTACCATAAGGAGCCTTGCTGTGTGTAGCTTCGACGCAGAAGCCTTATTCCCATCCTCTTAGCTCAATTTTATTTTCTCAAGAAATGTGTCAAGATTTTGCTTTTTTCTCTTTACCTATAGACCTTTATACTGAACATAAGACAGAGCCAACAGAAGCCCCATTCACGTACTCCTTGGGACGCTCCTCCCTCCGTCTCTAAATATTTTCGGAAGAAAACCTAAAGCCACACACTGCCTTTAATAGTGTGGAGAGGAATTCAGAGTGGAGGAGTGGGTTAGCAACATCCTCCAGGCTGCAGCCCCGGGATTAGGGAGGGGCTGGAGAAGGGATTGGTGAGCTAAAGGGAAGCTTTTCCATCAGACCAGAGCAACGGTGGACAGAGCCTCTTATACAGGGGAGGATGGGAACGCTCTAAGGGCGTTTAGGGTCCTGCAACAAGCCAAGCTCAGACCAGATACCAGAGCTGAAAGGAGCTGGGGAGGGGACACATCCCCTGACTTGCCAATCTCCGTGGCGTCGCTCTCCGCTTGTTTCCTTGGTAACGACGCAGTGGGAAATGACTTAATAGCTCCTTCAATCTCAACCTCCTTAGGCCCCGCCCCCAACCTTCTGGTTTGTTCTGATAGAAGCCCTCACTTCCTCTTCTGTTCTCGGTGCCATTGAGGAAAGAAATACAGAGGGGTCGCCTATATGTGACATGAGGCCGCAGTCTGATGCTGTTTCCAAATTTAAGTTCTTTAGCATGATACGGGTTTTAAGTAAAAATAGAAGACTTTCCAGCACCTGAAATCATACTGCATATTTAATTCGAGCTTTATTTGTTTGAATGCTGAATATCCCACATGTGGACATTACCTCAGTGTCAGAGGAGAACAATGTAAAATGAGGAGTATTACGACCTACCTAATTCTTCTATGCCCCTTCAATGCTCTTTCATGGAACATATTTGTGAGGAAAATGAACTTTTTTTTTTTTTTGGTTTTTACGAGACAGGGTTTCTCTGTATTGTTTTGAAGACTGTCAGTCCAGCCTGGCCTCAAACTCACAGAGATCCTCCTGCCTCTGCCTCCCGAGTGCTGGGATTAAAGGCGTGCGCCGCCGCCGCCGCCACCACCACCACCCGGTGAGGAAGATGAACTTCTAGGGAAATATTTTCCTTATATGCTAAACACATTTGTACAGGGGAAAAAATTCCTGTGGAGTATTTATCCCGAGTATACACATGGACTTTGGACTCCCATCCAACAATGTGAGATGCACTCTCACCCTGAACTCTTGGGGAGGGTCTAGGCCCTGCCCTGGATGAAATGACAGACTATGGACAACCCCATGGAGGGCCTCACCCTCCCTGGGGAAATGAGGGGATAATAGGGGGGGGCTGGGAGGGCACAGGAGGAGGGGAGGGAAAACAGAGAGGGACCTGGAACTGACTTGTGAAGCAACCTTGTTTCTAATCTAAATTTAAGCTTAAAAATAAATAATAAAAAAAGAAAAAATTCCTGTAGATAATTCAGTGACAAAGTGAGCTTCAAAGTACTTCAAAATCATTATGTTATTAATACACAATATAGCTGTTACTATGTATTAACATACAGACATGAGTAAATTTTAATTTGTGCCTTTTAATATAGTACAAACTGGGTTCAAAATTTCATATTAAATAAAATTAAGCTAAAAATTTAAAATCAAACTGGGTGTTGGTGGCACACCTTTAGTCCCAGCTCTTGGGAGGCAGAGGCAGGCGGTCTCTTTGAGTTCGAGGCCAGCCTGGTCTACAAAGCCACACAGAGAAACCCTGTCTCAAAAAAACAAAACAAAACAAAAAAAGAAATGTTTTTAAATCAAGGCAAAGGCCCATGTCAGATCTGCAAATTAGAATCTTTCTAGTCCCCATCTTAATAGACCAGTAACACCTGTTTCTCTTTTGTGGGACAATTTAATTTTGTTAACTGAAGAATTGTAAGATATTGACACATGCATCCTTGCAAGCTGCTCTCCAAAACAAGACCAAAGACAACAAGCAAAGTTTACAGCTCCTGCAGTTTCAAAGAAACAATGTGATGTCTCAGAAAGTCTGCTGGAGAGTGTTCTGAGCATCTCTGACCCTGAACTCTGTTCTTAGGGAGGTTCTTTCCCAGCTTGCTGTTTCTTAGCCGCTGTGCTTGGTCTGCTTGCAAAGCATGGGTTGGGGAGAAATTCTGGAAACTCCACTCCAGAATACATGGTTTCTGCATATCAAGTTGAAGGTGCTTGAAAAACAGCCAAATGGCCCCATTTACTCTGAGAGCTTCCAAAAAGACTCAACTGCTGTCAGGCCTTTCAAGATTAACTCACCCATACAAGCCTTGTTCCAGACCATCTATTCTTTCTCAAAACCCATCCCTTAGGCACATAATCCCTGTACTGAGTGAGGTCTTTTTGAGAGCTCTAGTCTCTTTCTCCAGACCCAGTTCAGCTCTGCCTGGCCAGGTCACTCCCTGCAGGACCCAGCCTTATTTCTATCAGCAAACACAGTCCAGTGTTTCCCCTCTCTGTTTAAACATGTTTAAAATGGGATTGATCACAACTGCATTGGAACATCACAACAATGGGGAGAAGGCGAGCACAGCTACTGCCAACCCTGTTGGCTGAGGTTGTAGCCTAGCAAGAGCTTTCGCTCTGTGGTGCCAGGGGCCCCCAGACCCCAAGGCCAAAGGCTGCCTTGCCTTCCCCCCCCCCATCAGTGATGTGACATCTATGAGACCCAACGTGTGCACTCTTCCTCTTCTTCCAGTCTGGCTCAGGAACAGACTGAGGGCAAAGGTAGGTGGGGAGACAAGGGGGTGGGGGTGGCCCAGTTGGTTGTGAGGGAACTTGGGACCCTGGGAGGGCTTACTAACTCCTTGCAGGAGAAAAGGCACCTCTAAATAGGGAACATAAGTTTGTGCCCCTCTCCCCACCCACCCATGGGAGAGGTGAGATGGGCTGAAACAAGCACCTGAAAATTCCAATTCCGGTTCCCAAACCAAACCCCCTCCTCTTGCATGAAAATTAAGGAACCCTAGAGCAGAACCCTGTGTCTGAAACCTGTCTAAGGGAGCCTCATCCCTTCCACCCTGCTCCCCCACAAGCCCAGATCAATCTCCCTCCCACTGGCCAGCTCTAGGCCCTGTGCAGGAGGGAATGGACTTTAGAGGGACCTCACGCCATCTTGGTGCCCAAGTCCTCCTCCTAGTGGCACAGAGCTCCTTGTGTGGTTTACCACCAAACCCTCATTGTAGTTGTCTTTGCTCTTTTCAGATGCGGGCGGTGGTGGCACACTCAGGAGGCAGGAGGATCTCTGTGAGCATGAGGCCAGCCTGGTCTACAGAGATAGTTCCAGAACAGCTAGGACTGTTCCGGAGAGAAACCCTGTCTCAAAAAAGGAAGGAAGGAAGGAAGGAAGGAAGGAAGGAAGGAAGGAAGGAAGGAAGGAAGGAAGGAAGAGAAAGGTGTAAAATTCACCATGCAGTGCATCATAGCTGGCTAGGCTGGGTTTGGTGCTACGGTGCTTGCACCAGAAGCAAGAGTGATGGAAAATGAGCTTGTCTGCCACCAGCGGCCCCTCGGGGTACAGGGTCCTCTAACAGGCTGCACAGGTCTCCTTCACCTGAGCCCACCAGCTGAAGGACTTGGAGAGTTGCACTTGCTGGGGCCTCTGCTGGGGTCGGCTTCCCGAGCAGGATGGCCTAAGTGACTCCAGCAGCCAGCCAGGAACATGGTTTTTCAACGGTGCTTGGCAGCCTGGGTGGAGACACAGCTCGAGGGTTCTGGAAGGGAAATGAGTAAGTGGAGCCCCATGAGCCCTCCCCACCCTGCACATTGGGGTGTTTTTAGGCAGAGGGTTGGGTGGCTGCGGTTGGCACTTCCCTTAGGTCACTCACGTCCAGATTTTAAAAATCATGTCTCAAAGTCTGGGATTATCATACCTCAGTTGTAGGGCGCTTGTCTAGAAAGCCATGAACCCTCAAGCTCTCCTACTGGAAAAAAAACAGTCAAACTCAGATATTCAAAACACAAATCTAAGAAACTAGAATCCGAAGTTTCTCACTATGCCCAGGCTCAGTTAGGGGATAGTGGGCACCATAGGCCCCGAGAACTTACCTAACGCCCCTAGGGGCCAGTGTATGGCCTCTTCAGACCTTCATGATTAGGCCAAAATTGCTTAACTTTTCTAGAACAATAAAGTCAGCAGGCTTTACTCAATCCAAGCAGAAAAACCCAACAAAACCGTTCAGGAGTCAGGAATTGTTCAGGGCTGAAGGGTGTTCAGTGCTCTGCCCATTAGCATTTATAAGAAACAGAAATGGGGCCTCAGAAATAATTATCTACAGCCTGGTAAGCCAGACAGTTGTTACAGCTCATTTGCCTGCTAATTGGCTGCAGGGAGCTTTGCACAAACTCAGGCACTAACCACCACCAATCTCTATGCTCAACTGGCTGGCTGGGCCCAGGGCAGGCATCCAAATCCACAGGCTCCCATTAGTAACAGAAATTCCACGGTGCCAGTAAACACAGAATATTTATAATACTACTCCTTTTGTAAGGCCCCATGCTACTCCAAACTAGTTCAAACAGTGGACTCCTTGGTGAATTGCCCCCAAGTGCTAAAGTTCTGGCACAGTGGACAACAGCTGTCCATGGAAGGTTGTTTTAGTTTCCACTGCAGGGTCACCTGTCTGAAGGCAATGATGCAAGCAGTGGCAGGGGGTTGATGACATGAGGTTGGTGGGGAAACAGCTTTCATGTTTCTCTAGGGAGTTCCTTTCCTCCGAAGCTTGGCCCTTCTTGCCACCTAGTAATGTGTTTGCAATAAAGGTGAGTCCTTGGAAACCGTGTGTACTTTTCTGTTGCTGTGCTAGGACGCCAGAACAGCAAGCAACTGAGGAAAGAGAGTTAGTTCTGGCCTATGGTTCCAGAGGTCATTGTGGAAAGGAAGCGATGGCTTGTTGGCAGGGGCATGCGGCTGCCTGAGCACAATGTTTAACTCTACCCAGACAGTGCAACTGGAGCAGGAAGCTGGGCAGGCTATATAACCCTTCAAAGCCCGCTCCCAGTGATGTTTTTCCTCTATCAAGGCTGCCGCTCCCAATCAGTGGTTCTCAACCTGTGGTTCTTGACCTCTTTGGGGGTTGGAGTGTGCTTAAGATCATCCTGCACATCAGATATTTATATTACAATTCAAAAAGTAGCAAAATTGCCGGGCGGTGGTGGCGCATGCCTTTAATCGCAGCACTCGGGAGGCAGAGGCAGGTGGATCTCTGTGAGTTTGAGGCCAGGCTGGACCGACAGCCTCCAAAACAATACAGAGAAACCCTGTCTCGTAAAACCAAAAAAAAAAAAAATTGCAAAATTAGTTATGAAGTAGCAACAAAAGTAACTTTATGGTTAGGAGGTCACCACAACATAGAGAACGGTACTAAAGGGTCATAGAGTTAGGAAGGTTGAGAACCAGTGTCCTGAAGGTTCCATAAGCTCCACAGACAGAACCATCAACCAGGAGTGAGCGTTCAGACACTTCAGCCTGTGTGGGACCATGCTGCTTAGCTGTTTGTCAACAAGCTAGTGTAATCTGGGAAGGGGGACCTCAACTGGGAAAGGCCTCCTTCAGATTAGCCTGTGGGCAAGTCTATGGGACATTTTCTTGACTAATGACTGGTGTGGTAGGGACAGGAAATCACAGGGGAGGAAGCAGAAAGGGGCAGGATTAGAACACAGTGTAATGACACATTTGTAGGACAATACTATAATGGAAACGGTTACTTTGTATGTTGGCTTTAAGAATTCGTTTTTTAAAAAAGTGGTGTGAAGCCTTTTTTTTCTATGTCTGCCGACTAGAATTCAGACAGAATGGCCACGATAGCGGTTTTAGTTAAGTTACTCATGAGAACATAACAGAGGTGACAGTTAAAGCAGAGATGGCTCAGGGGTTAGGAGCACTGGCTGCTCTTGAAGACCTGGGTTCAATCCCCAGCACCTACATGGCAGCTCATAAGCTCCTGTAACTCCAGTTCTGGGGGATCCTACTCTCTTTTTTGGCCTGTGTGGGCACCAGGCATGCATGTGGGGTACTAACATACAGACAAGCAAAAACTCATACACAGAAAATACTTTAAAAAATCATTATAAATATCATGTTAGATTAACTCATAGACATACCAGGGAGCAGGAAGTGATTGATAATCGTTATTAAAACAAATACATGGTTTCCAATTTTTATTAAGAAAATCTGTTTTATTTAAAAAAGAGTATATAATAAAATCACATGGTAAAATTTCAGACATAGGTTTTCAATATTGGCATCATGGAAAACATCAGTATCATTTTCTTTTCCTTCTTATGTCCTCTGTGCATTTATTCTTTTACCATGTTGACATCTTTAGTTTCCAACTTGATTTATATCCATAGTTAAAAAACAATTTAAATACTATAAAAAGGTATAAAACAAAAAATTCCCTTCTCTCCATACCGTCCCCAGTACTGGCAACTTGTCCTTCAAACTCATCCATTTCCTTTTGTCTTTGGCAAACTGTTTTCACATTCTAGGTCCTGTACCTTTGGTCTTTACCGAACACACTGTGGAAAGTTCTCATTACAGCATAGTTAACACTGCCTTCCCCTGGTCAGTGGTGTATTTGCTTCCCCAACTGCCAGTGTCTGTTTGGGCAGTGTCTGTTTGGGCAATGCATTTACTATCGATGGGTGACAGCCACTTAGAGTGATTGAAGCCACAAGCATTGGTGACAGTTTATTCAAATGAGCACAACTATATCTTTTTAAAGATTTTATTTAACTTATTTATTTTATGTGCATTGATGTGAAGGTGTCAGGTCCCCTGGAACTGGAGTTACAGATAGTTGTGAGCTGTCATGTGGGTGCCGGAAGTTGAACCTGGGTCCTCTGGAAGAGCAGTTAGTGCTCTTAACCACTGAGCCATCTCTCCACACAACTATATCTTTACATCCTTGTATCCCTCTCCTTTCAACAAAAGTCAGATTTTAAATATTTTTGTTGAAATTAAAATTTCATTTTATCATTGTTCTGGTCCTCCCTCTAGCCTCCCCCAGGTGGTCCCCTTTTCTCTCTCTCAATTCATGGCCTCTGAAGATATATTCAAGCCAATAACACAAAAGCCATGTAAAACTCATTTCAAAGGCTGTGGTCAAGCTGGAGAAATGGGGGACTGTCTAGATTTCTTAAAAGACTTGTTTCAGTTTGGATGGGAAATGTCCCCTGCAGGTTCATGTCAAAGACCCTGTCTCTGGTGGAATGCTCCAAAATGAGGATCGTGGGGGCCCTGGCAAGTCAATAGAAACGGCTAATTTGTCTCAACGTCCTTTAACTGTTAGGATGTTCATCGCCAGACAACATCAACCTAAAAGACTTAACGTGTCTATAACAAACTACCCTTTGCTTTCTGGGCCTGGGGTTACAGAGGTAGAAACGAGGGAGACAGCCTTTCTTTCCATAACCCATTTCCATAATGCCCTCCTCTCTGTGCACAACAGATACAGACTCACGTGCACCAGGGTGTGGCCTCAGGACAGCTTGTCCTACTATAGTTCATACTACACAGGCAGGTTTTAAATAGGTGATGGGATATTTGGCTTGATGATTCATTTCTATGGTCTGGTTAAAAATACACATTCCTGTGTTGTTATTATTCCCCGGGAGAACAGATATGACTAAATGATTGCCCCAGTCCATGGAGCACTTTGACTCTGGGGGCTCTAAGAGCATTCGGTCATGATCTGCATCTCGACTCGATGGTGCTCTGAGGAATTAGACTCGAATTTATGGTATGAGACTTAGATCTCGACCCTGCCCTAAGAGGCAGAGGCAAGTACCAAAGCCTTTATCTTAACGGTGCAAGCCACTGAGAGGACTGTGAATCCAGGGATGGCCCTGCCTCTGCCCTGGGCTTACTAGTGAATCCCAGGATGCTGAGGCTTCCTGAGGCCGGTGGAGCAGTTTTTGAGGACATTGTTTTGGAGGGACAAAAATAATTAAGATCTCACACTGACAACTGTTATTTCTTATATTCCTAGTATATAGATGATAAAGACACCCACAGGATGCCACCATATACACTAATAGCTATGCTGTCTTTAATAGGTACACAACCCGAACAGGTTGTGACTTACCAGTGTAAGATACAATTTCCCCCAATTCTGGCAAAAACTTAGCTGAGAAGATTTAAACGATACAGTGTGTTCCTCCACCATCTCCACGCTAGTTTTGATAGCAGCAGCCCGTTCCTTAGTTAACCTCATCAGACCCTCCAGCAGGAGGCTGCCGTCACTGACCATCAAGAACAGCTGGCAAGAGGAGAAACTACACAGGGAGGGAAAATAAAAACTCCCCCAAATACTTTCCCTTCATAATTGAATGTAAAAGTAAGTGAACAAAAGATAGAAACAAACCAGTGAATGTGATATCCACAAATTCCCAGGTGATTTATATGTTTTTTTATCTACTATGATGCTCAAATGAGCAGTTTTCACCCCAAATAAAATGAATATCCAAAGGTATTTGGTAATACTGAAACTCATGATCTTTCTGCCTCATGAGAGCATCTTAGCATCTCTGTGCATTTCTTTTTTGCTTTGGCTTTTTTTTGAGACAGGGTTTCTCTGTGTAGCTTTGGCTATTCTGGAACTTACTCTATAGACCACGCTGGCCTCAAACTCACAGAGATCTACCTGCCTCTGCTTCCCAAGTCCCGGAACTAACGGTGTGTGCCACCACTGCCTGGCTGATTTGGCTTCTTGATAAAATCCAACTGGGTAGTCTGGGCTGGCCAGGAAATCACCATGTATCTGAGGCAGGCTTTGCACTACAGAAATCCTCTTGCTTCGCCTCTAGAGAGCCTGGCTCGTCTGTTTCTCCACAGCTTGCCATCTTCACAAGTCTTAAAGATGCAGCAGCATACAAAGGAGTGTGAAGCTGGGCCTCCTTAAAGGTCTTCCCTCTCTGGCCTCTTCCTGTGGCACTGGCAAACAGATGTGCCATCATCCGGCTGGGGGACAATTTCCATTCCATCACGTATCATGGGCTTGCTGGCCTGGCGCTCGGCGTATTTCTGAAATGTTTCGAAGCAATGGAAGGTTTAGTTCATGCTTCATTCTAGTCCCACCTCCCACACATTCCTACCTCAGTCACGGTGTTTCTGACCCAAACCAAAGGTCTGGCCTCTTCTAATCCCACAGTTACATTTTAACTTTACTTACTACAAATGCTGGTGAAACTCCCATAGGCTGGCATGGAACCCTAATCTACACTTCCGTGTAAATGGGACACCTCTAGAAAAGAGATGCCAAGCAAAATGCCCCTGGGTGGAACAAATGGAGGTAGCACTTATCCTGCATTCTAATGAACAATTATCTTGTTGTATTTTCATGACAGCAAGCCCAGGTGGCGAGCATCTCCAGATAGAGTGCATAGATGGCCACTTCCATCTATCCTGGAGCGCTGGAGTTATAACCACACCAAGAGGCCCGTGCAAAACATTCATTTGAAGAGTCTTTCACTCCCTTCAAGCTTCCACTTGGTTATGTATTCCTAGTATTGGGCTAATGCCAACAAAATAGAAATATAACTAAGGGAGACTAACTAACACGTTAGAGGTAGAAGCTCCTACCATTAAAATTAAAGCCAGGGCTGGTAAGATGGCTTAGTGGGTAAAGCTGCCTGCCGCCGGTCCTTAACACCCTGTTTCAAGCCCTGGGACCTACATGGTGGAAGGAGAGACCAACTCCAGTAAACTGTCCTCTGACCTCCACAGGTACTAACTCCAAGCTCACAAAATAAATCACTAAAGTGTAACTGAAATAAAAAATATTAAAACTAGATTAGTACACAGGATGGAACCCATGTAAGGATGGCAAGCCAGGCATGTGTTGGGGGGGGCGAGGGGAGTGGGATAAGACTTGCCTTTATTCCACCCACAAAGGAAGGACCATCTTTACGAATCAACCACCAGGGGGCGCACACTGACAAGATGTGAGGCGCCCGTAATTAATTTACTTCCATGGCCTCCAAGAAGAGACATTAAAAGTGTGGAGGATCCAAAGTCCTTTTCCCCCTCAGGCTGGAGTCTCAGCGGAACCCACCTTCTTTCCACAGCTGCCCCGATCCCCTCAGGAAGCATGGTACAAAGTGTCCAAGCCACGCACGTGGTCTAAGGACTCCCACCCATCAGGTTGAACCCTGAACTGACCTGTAGTACTTTGTAATAATAACAGAAGAGTCTGGGTGGCTGGAGCAGGTCCCTAGCAGTTAACTGTCCTTCTTTTGCGATCTTCTTTGCTTCTTCATCATTTTCCTAGAAGGAAAGAATGAAAATGGCTGCCGTAGCCCACAGAGAAAGCTAGATCCCAGTGCGAGGGAGGTAGGCGAGGTGAACGCCGGCAGCACGGAGAAGTAGACTGCAATGGGCCATAACTTACGGAGGAGGCCAGGGGACAGTTCACTAATATCTGTTAAAGGGACAAGATCATAGGACCGGACTCCACGGGCCTCACTGGCCTCTTCTGGAGCTTCCCTACCTACCCAGGGAAAAGGCCTGCGTCCATCATCTGCCTCCCCAGCGGTGCCCTCTGTCTAAGAACAGAATGGACCAATTACCATGTTAAAACGTCTTTTAAAAGCTTCCGCGCAGCTTTAAAGGCAGCACGCCTTTAATCCCAGCACTCGGGAGGCAGAGGCAGGCGGATCTCTGTGAGTTCCAGGCCAGCCTGGTATATACAGAGCGAGTTCCAGGACAGCCTCCAAAACAATACAGGAAAAAAAAAAGGGGAGGGGGGAGATGGCCCAGCAGTGGATCTGAGTCCCGCTCCCAGCACCCACCTTTGTGGTTCTCAGCTCTAGCTCCAGGGGGTTTGAGGCCTCTGGCCTTTGAGGGCATCTTCATTCAAGTGCACAGACCTCTACACCGACACATTAAAATTAAAACTAATAAAAATGTGATTCTCATAAAGCTTCATTCAAATATGCAGAGACAATGTTCTGTTACAAAGCAGTAGCCACAAAAGACTAACGCTGTTGTAATTAAAAAAACTCACTCACTAGTACTCACCGGCTGTAGTGCCAGGAATAACCAATGCTCCTAATTGTAGTCATGGGGAACACTTGATTTCCTGCAAACTACTCATAGGAAAAACTATTTGCTGGCAATCGTGGATCTTAGGAAAAGCCAGAGCAATGATTCTGATCCATCATTCCCATAATGAAATATTATTTCTCAAAACTTAAAAAAATGGAAAAATGTTATAATAGAAGAATAAATTTTTAATTTCATAATAAACCACAATAGTTTTTAATACTGTTCCTTAAAGAAAAGGAACCCCTGTTTTATGGGAATTTGCTCTTGGGGTGCTGTGTAGCATGTGTTGGGTAAGGACTTGTGGGGTTTTTTTTCTTCCTATATGTGGGAAAGAGGAATACCAGATTTGCCTGGAATGTTCTCTTAATATATAATATGAAAGCAGTCTTTCAACCCTGGCCTTTTCCATCTGTAATTTGCATTCTGTGTTTTTGTTTTGCATATATAAATGCAAACAGTGAATCATTTAGAAAAATCTATATTGCATATGACCCTAGACTTCAAATCTAACCTTCAGCAATGTTGACAGAGGGCATACAAAATGATTCTGCTGTCCTTTCTTTCTCTTTTCTATGTGTACATGTGTGTATCTACACGTGGGTTTGTGTGCATTGAGTGCAGTGACCACAGAAGCCAGAAGAGGTCATCTGATTCCCTGGAGCTGGAGCTACAGACCCCTATGAGTGCTGGGAACCAAGGGCCTTTGGAAGAGCAACAAGTGCTCTTAACCATGCAGCCATCTCTCCAACCTCTGATGTCTGTTCATTAGCTATTTAAAAGGAACAATGTGTCTGGTTTTTTTAGTTTGTTTGTTCTTTTATTTTTAGAAAATCATACTTCCTTTGATTTTTATTTCACTACGATACATTAAGTCCTGATGGAACACAGGTCTCCCGTATTAATAACTTGGATATTGACCAAGAAAAGGAAAATTGCATTGAACATACCTTGGCCCATTTCACTTTCTCCAGAAGGTCACTGAGGTTTCTTTTAATGGGAACGTAGTGCTTCCAAGGCCTTAGTGCCACATAGAAATGTTCATAATATGGGGAGTCCTGCTTCAGAACCAGGCTGTCTCCCAGCATGAGATACGGATACCTGTATGCGGCCACTGTTCCATCCACATTCACCTGGTACTTGTACTAGAAGGTTAAAAGCAAAAAAGCCTCATAAAGCCATTTGCTTTGCTTCTGTTTCTCATCAGTATTTCACAATTAAACAGAGGGATGATCTCCACTTTCCCACATCTGTGTTCGCATTTCACTTGTCTTCCGTTGTCTCTTTGTATAAAAATGGTAACCAGCCTGTAACAGCTCCCTTGCAGAAGGTTTTAGAACTAGAAACAAAGGCTTGTTTCAATTACATCTGTGAAGCAGACAGTCTAGACTTCTGTAATCAAGGCAGGTTCTAAAACTATTGTCAAAGTTCTAAATTTTAATATTCTGAAAGAAATATTAATTATCAATTTTCGTGTATATGTAATTTCATTTATTCTTTACACTAAACCCACCAAATGAAAAGGCATTGTCCCTATTTTAAAGTTTACAGGCTGATAAACTGGAGTTTATGTAAAATAGAGTTTACGTCTTACCAGCCTGTAAGCTGTAGGTAAGATGACTCAGTGGGTAGAGGAGCTTGCTGCCAAATCAGATGATTCAAGTTCAATACCCAGGACCCACATGGTAGAGGAAGAGAAGTAACCTTGGTAAGCTGTCTTCTGACCCCCCCCACACACACATACACACACACTGATAAATAAGTGTAATAAAAACTAGTTGACAGAACCTGGAGAAGCCGTTACTTCATTGGCATATATTGGGATAATAAGTTCTGATTTCCATTTCAAAAGCATTTATCAAAGGCATGAAATCCAATTTAGTTATAATATAAAGCACGTTTTTTTGGGGGGGTGTTTTTTACAAGTGAGAAAACTGGTATACATAGAAATTTATAAACATTCTGAATGCAAATTCACTGTTTTCTTCATCATAGAAGCCCTGAGATGAAGATGATCCATTCCCAGCTATGGCAACTCCTTTTCTTCCTTGATTCCATTCCCCCTCTTTCTTTTCCAGTGCTGGAGACCAAACCTATGCCTCTCACATGTAATGGAAGATTATGCACTGGGCTATACCCTAACCTCTTAATAATTTATTTAAAACATGATTTATTAAATAGTAAGTACGATGTGTTTCCTAGCCAGTTAGGTGTGGGTTTCATGATAACACTCTAAAGGAGGGGCACAGACATGTATGTGCATGCATACCACACACACACACACACACACACACACACACACACACACACACACGCATGCACGCACGCACACAAACATCAAGGGCAGGCATCACAGGTTATCAGGGCCACTAAGAGATGAGGGGTCACAGGCAGGACCCGAAGTCCAGCTCTACCGCCTATTTTGCATATATAAAAATGAATACTCCTTTTATCAAAGATCACTTGAGATCACTTCATGTAAAAGACACTTATCTTTGCAGCTTATTAAGTCAAAGGGAAAAGTCACAATAAATACATATACACTTCATGTTAGCTCTTACATTAAGCATTAAATATATTCTAGGTTATTTGGTAAACAAAATTAGCAGAGACAAAACTGTCAGAGTTGAGTGATCCCCTCGACAGGAAAGTGTGAAAGTGACATTAGCTACAAACCGAGGCAACCTGCTTGAACCACCTATTTGTAGACTTTGGACACAGTTCATTATTTCATAGCCATAGGAAGACTCATACCTTAAAGAAATCAAAGAAACCCATCAACTTGGCTTTTCCAAGCTCTTTTTCTTTCTCTTGGAAAAAGAAATATCCTGTAATTCCTGCATCTAGCAGCTGTGGATTTTCTTTGGACAGCTGTACCAACTGCAGCCTCTCCTCCCGGCTATCTCTACCTCGGAAGAAAGCTTTCTCTGTTTTATTGATCCAGGAAGGCCCTAGAAGTTTGAGGCCATAAAAAATTATGATTAAGAATCTGAAATCAAAAGACAGTACAATGCCCTTTAATCTACCATTCTCATTTAAAATATTGATACTCGTCACAAACTCACTTTGTAACATAGATGCTGTTTCCAAAATATCTAGGACTGAGTTGTAGTCTGCCAGAGGTGCTTTCAGAGGCTGTCTGTCTGTTTGCTCCAGCCCCTCCCATTTACCTACCAACAACAGCTCACGTGGGCACTGCTGTCCACCATGTTAAACACTATTATCAGGCCAAGCTCAAAGCAAGCAGAGGTTCTGCAATTTTTCTACTCCCAGGCCATAGCTGCTTCAATCCTTCATGTTTCATAGTCACACATGAGCTAGGCTTTTGTTTTTATATGAGGTCAGCAGACTAAGCAACCCCAACAGATTTTTAGTTCATATTCCTCTCTTTACTTTTATTTTATGTGCATATGCATTTCGTGTATGTCTGTGCACTATGTGCATGAAGTGCCCACAGAGGCCACAGGAGGGAACCAGATCTCCTGGGATTGGAGTTACAGATTGTTGTACATCAAGTGGGTGCAAGGAATTAAACCTGGGTCCTCTAGAAGAGCAGTAAGTGCTCTTACCGACTTGGCCATCTCTCTAATTCAACGACTCATACTTTTGAATAGAGGGAAATACTTTTCTTTGATGCTATTAAGTGTAGTTATATAGCCCACTATATTCACATAGGTATATGGGGAGTTTGAGATCGGATCTTACTATATATTGCTGGCTGGTCTGCTACTGCTATATAACCCAGCCAGATCTCTAACTAACTACTCTCTTCCTGTCTCAGGCTTCCAAGTGCTAGAATTACAGGCATGAGCCACCATGCCCAGCTCTCTATTTATATCTTCTCTTTTTAAGAAGGGAAATAATTTAGAAGAATTAATTTCAATCTCTAAGAAGACCTCTTATATCCTAAAGAAAGATGTTGGCTAAATGCCTATCACAGCCTCAGGGACATCACAAGACGCAGAAATCAGAGGGGTTCAACCTTCTCAGCATACTCAGAAAGTCACTTATCAGATTGAAAGTAGGCCAACTTTAATTTCATATGGTCTTCTTCTCATTTTCATTTACCTTTTCTCTTCATGATATCATTAGATACTTTGCACAAATCTCTGATCTTGTCCCCCAAATAACAACAAATCGAAGTAGAGACTGGAAAGGACAAAGCCAAGTTTTTTGCAGCCCAGTGAGTTTCCAAAAAATGGGCACTGTGTCATAAATGGAAGGCATCATAAAAAGAGAGAAAGGATTCCAATTTGAAAGACTCACGAAGCACATAAAAACAAAATGAGAGACTTTCTGACGAAGTACTGGAGGATGGGTTCACAATGCCCCAATTACACCATGATCACGACCCTCTTAAGAGTTTTCACAATTTGCTCTCATTTCATCCAGTAATAACAAGCAACGGAGTCAGAATTAAGTGACAAGTTTACCAAATATACATATTACTTAAATACATTTAATGTTTTGGTTTAGCTTTTCATATAAGTATAATTAAATGCAGACTTGGTTTACAAATGACTAAACTCAAAGAAGAGACCGTGAATATAGGCTTGGGTGTTATTTCCCTAAACTTCGTGCTTTTCATTTTCAAAATAGAATCCTAGACATTCTCTTTTGGCCTTAGGGTGTTTCCCCCCCCCACACACACTTTGCTATGCTGGGAATGGAGCTTGAGCCCTCGCACACAGAAAGTAAGGAGGGTTAAGCGTGTACATCTATTCTTTCTGATTAAACATTCCCTTCACCTTTTTACCCTTAATGTTTTCCCCCAGAGAATTAATTAGCCTTGGCTTACCTGTATTTCCCTGAACAGAGAGGAGATCATTTGTGACACCCCTCATTGCTTCAAGTGTGGAATGGGTGACATCATATGTTGGAAGGATAATGTCTCTTGAATCCAAGGAGCCGCACCAGGAAATGATAGGTATAGGTCCAGGAGTATCATTGACTTTTCGATGCTCCAAGGGCCAATCTCCCAGGTTAATATAAAATTCTAAATCTGGGAGGGTGACCTACAAAAACAAAAGCACAAACATTAGTGCTGGGAGGTACCAAATGCCCAGTCTCTTGGCTATGCTTGTAGATGTGTGGAGGTCAGGGGTCAATCTTTGGTGTTTCTCCTCAAGAGCTAGCTACCTAATTTGCTTGTTTGCTTTTTGGTTTTGAGACATGGTCTCTCACTGGCCTGGATCTTTCTGCGGTGGTTAAGCTGGCTGGCCTCTGAGCCTTGGGGATCCACCTCTGTCTGCTTCCTCAGCACTGGGATTACAAGCACATGCTGTCACCACTGGTCACACGGGTTCTGAGGGTTAGACTCAGGTCCTAATGTCCCTTAGTACTGACAGAGAAGACCACGGAGACAGTGAGACAAAGGAGAAGAAAGTCTCCGGCTGAGGGTAGTGCAGAGCAAACTCATTTAACGGGGAGTCGGCCACCTTTCTCCAGAGGTGGCATTAAAATGCAATGTCACAGAAGTGGGCATATAGAGAAGTGTGAACATGTGGCTTTGTGACCACGCTCCAGCTGCCTATGCAACGGTCTTCAGTCGGACCTAAGCCTTTCCCCACCCTCGCCATGCCCTCTTCCACCTTTGCCTTTAGAACCCTCCACCCCGTTTCCATGCCCACGACTGATCCTCCAGGGAGGTCCTCTTGCTTGGAATGCTGCATCAATTTCCTTCCTAAGAGTTCTGACTCCCACCTCCCTCAACTTGAACACAGTCTATACAACTGCCCAAATCTCTACACCCGGCACGAATGTCACCATTCACCTTACCAGAATCTGTAGACTAGGAACAAGAGCTATGTTCTGGCCTGGCATTCAGAGCCTCACTCTCCCACTCTAGTTCATACTCAAGTCCCACAGGCCTCAGTTCAGGATTACAGGCACTCTCACTGGTCTTTATAGTTCTAAGTATGTAACTGTAGCAACAAAATTTTTAAATGATACTATTTTTGGAATCCATTCATTAATTTTCATACCTTTCTTGCCAGTGACAGCAAAATTTCATCAGAGAACATTTTGAAGTCTGTGTATTTCCCCAAAGATCTCCGGTGGATGCGGTTGTTGACAATTGTGTAATGAACAACAGCCCCCCGCTCGTCCCCGAATCTTTTGGGGACTTCCTTCAGCATCTGCTGGAGATCGATGCTGGGGAAGGAAGTAAAATCTTGCTCGATCTGTGGTTCCGTGGCTGGACAGGACAGAGTTTTCTGCCAGGCCTGAGGATCCTCTTCTGGGCAGTCGCAGTACTCATGGTACACGGGTCCTAGGGAGGCGAGACACACACACACACACACACACACACACACACACACACACACAACACCACCCTGAGTTAACAAGGAGGTGTGAGCAAATCTGAAAACTACTGACAGAGCCAAAACTATCTGAGACAAATGATGTCAGAGTCGCACTCTGTCCCCTCAGGAGGCACCTTAGACAGACTGTGCAGTGTGCGCTTCCTCCCAAAGGAACACACTCCAGTCACATTCGATTCTAGTGAGGTATAAGTAATTAATATATAACGACTTCATTTTAGCATGCAAAAGGAGAGCTTCCTGACTTTCAGACATTCCAACGTAGAAACAGTGAGTTTTTGAGAAAATGGAGGACCTTTCCCTCAAAGCCTCTAATGCTGCCTCAGTCGGCATATCTCAGAGAAAGATGTATTTAGAAAACAACGTATGCAAACCTGATATGTGATCTCAGGACACATTCACATTTAATATAAAATTAAATTTTCTTGGGGATTTATTTATGATCTTTGGAAACAGTCTCATGTAGTCTGGGTTGGCCTTAACTCCTGCTCCTCCTGCCTCTACCTCCTTGAAGTGCTGGAATTACATGTCAAATTCAGCCTGATGTTTTTTTTTCAAAGATTTCTACTTCAGGCCAAGACCAATAAGAGGCACTGACTTACTCTTTCACCTGAAACTGGTGAACAAAGCCTGGCATAGCTGATGCACTCAGTTTTCAGACTGCGGACATGAGGCAAAGAGGGCAGGGGTGAGTCTGGGGGGTGGACACCAGCAAGGTCACTGGACTTGCTGCTTAACTGGAGCACCGGAAGAGGGACGAGGGCGTGGCTGAACGAGCAGTCTCACCGGGTAGAGGAAAGCGGAGAGTGCAGAGAAAACAGGGAAAATGACCTGGGAAGACAGCGTATGTGAAGGGTGGGAACTCAACATGGAAAAGCCTGGAAACGTGCAGGACTCTGTTCATGAGTAAACATCCCGCCCTGTGATCTGGGCATCTGTGAGATGAAACCACCCAACACAGGAGGAACCATCCAGAACACTGCGGGTGGGGCGGGTACCCCACTCCACAGGGCAGGGAAAGTGCCTGGATCAGCCAGGCTGCAAAGTCTCTTCATTCTTGGGACTTGGGGAGCCCATGTTCTCAGTCCTTGAGAGTAACTAGCCTTAGATTAAACATGGCGCAATTCCATCTAGCAAACGGTAAAAACTTAAAGGATCAAGTTATGTTCAGTTAACTGTCACATCCCAGGAATAAAGCTTAGGGAAATTAAAAATGGCATCAAGAGATTAAAAAAATACACTGTAGGGAATTAGTGGTAACTTGGCATTGCAGGAAAAAAGATGAACAACAAAAAATTAGCAATAGGAATCATACAAGATGAAACAAAAATATTTTTTAAAGATTTATTCTAGGTGTGTGAGTGTTTTGCCCACATGTATGTATGTGCATTACATGCATGTCTGGTACCTGCAGAGGTCAGAAGAGGACATTGGGTTCTCTGGAAGTGGAGTTACATTTGACTGTGAGCTCCCGTGTGAGTTCGGGTCCTCTGCAAGAGCAACCAGTGCTCTCCAAACCCAGGAAGTGACGATTTTTCAAAATGCCAAAAATGATTTTAAAGAAGTTTGAGCTTGACTGCAGGGTCATCACAAGCCATTCTGAAAAGCATGCATCCCACACAAGTCTAGGTTCAGACGACGAACAACCCTTACCTCTCAGAATGTAGGGAGACTGAGCCACGTGCTCACTACCATAGAGCACCTCTATCCTGAGGCCTGCGTGCGCAGTCTCGTGCATCCTGTATCTCACCAAAAATGTTCCATCATTCCTGTCCAAAGGTTTAGGAACGTAAATTCGGACTGACTCTTTAGGTGAGAGGGACTTTACCACTACTTTGAATTGAGTTTGACCTGGAAGCAAAAGAAATACAAATAACATGACCATTTCCTGATTACTATGTCTCAAAGATGAGACAGGGATCTTAGTACAGAAGCTTCTTTGCCCTTCAGTGTTCATGGTAAATCATGTTCAGTTCAGGCTGGAAGGTCCTTGAGGCCAGCAACTATGTCTGACCCATCCTGAAGCCGAGGATCTGACTTAACATGGGAGTCATTAACTATTCATTAACGACAGTGAATGAAAACCTTAACTCACTGAAGAAAGTAACTTTCTGCCTACTTGGTCTTTTCTCCTCTGACTACCATTCAAGCAGTTAACAGTCCACACTCTAAAGGTGATGGCCCTATGGCAATTCAACTTTCTCCCTGTAAAACACACACGTTATTTAATGTCATTTAAGTGTCTAGCAGCCCTCATTTCTGAGAAAGTGTCCCGTTTTGTTAAATTTGTTCTTTGACAATGTCTCATGGTATAATGCATACTGACCACTCTCACCCTCAGCCCTCGCCAGTCCCCTCCCACCCTTGTTTACCCCTCCCCTTTTCTACACATCTCTTTCTGATTTTCATAGCTACTCATTTTGTTTTGTGGCCCACTGTGTCTAACCAGGGCTGTCTGTGTGGCAACGGAGTTGGAGCTATCTATTGGAGCCTGGTGGGCTCAGCATCAGGTATGCAGCAGGTGCGCAGCTGAAGATGGGGCTGGGCGGTGGTGGCGCACGCCTTTAATTCCGGCACTGGGGAAGCAGAGGCAGACGGATCTCTGTGAGTTCGAGGCCAACCTAGTCTTCAAAGAGAGTTCCAGGACAGTCTCCAAACCTACAGAGAAACCCTGTCTTGAAAAACAAACCAAACAAAAAACCACAACTGAAGGGTCCCTCTCCCAGAACCTAATAGTAGTTTGGAAGTGAGGGACAGGGCTCCATAAACCCTGTCCCCTCATTCTGTGACTGATGGTTGGTAGGACCAGTCGTATGTGGGCCTAGTGCAGTAGCCACAGTTTTGAGTTCATGATTGCAAAGGTTGAGTCTAGAGCAGTGGTTTTCAACCTGTGAGTTGTGACCCCTTTGGGGGCATCTTTCACAGGGGTCACCTAAGGTCATCTGCATATCAAATATTATATTATGGTTCACAGCAATAGCAAAATTACACTTACGAAGTAGCAATGAAAATAACTTTATGGTTGGGGGGGCACCGCAGCATGAGAACTGTATTAAAGGGTCACAGCGTTAGGAAGGGTGACAACCATTGGACTAGAGGATGGCATTTCAAAGCCCATCACTTTGTCTTCTGGCTCTTATATACTTCCTACTTCCTCTTCTACAAAGTTCCCTGAGCTCAAGAGAGTCTGAAAATTTCTTTTTAAATTGAAATTGAATTTGTAAATTCTTTGTGTTTTTTCTAGCCTGCCATCAGAAAGGCAAACCGAGGGGCAGGAGAGATGGCTCAGCAGTTAGAAACACTAACTTCTATTCCAGAGGACCCAGGTTCGAGTTCCAGCACCCACGTGGTGGCTCACAACTGGCTGTAACTCCAGTTCTAGGGGATGTGATATCTCTTCTGGCCCAAGACTAGCAGACATGCACATGGTGGACATATACATTCAGGCAAAATACCCATACACATAAAATAAAAACTTTTTTAAAAAGAAAGATAATGTGTGATACAGCAGACTGAAAAGCTGGGTGGCACATACCTTTAATCCAACACTCTGGAGGAAGAGACAGGTGGCTCTCTGTTAGCTGAAGGCCAGCCTGGTCTACATAGTAGACTCTAACTCAATAAATAAAAAAATGAGAAAAAGAAAAGTATAAAACTATTAGAAACCGGTACTTTAAGTGCTTCAGGAAGTGTATTAGCAATGGGGACCTTGTCTGCCAGGACTGTTTAGAAAGTTTATTAAAGCTCCCTGTAGTTAGAGGGAAAGGGACCTTACATTAGCAACTAGAGTGTCCCAGAAGACCAAAATGTTATGCCCTAGGACTACATAATCCTCCAAATATGTCTGACTTCCTGCCATGGACATACTCCAAGATCCATTCATGCACTGCAATCATATTAAGAATTTTTTTCTCTCTCACTATAAAAACATTATGATCTATTTGAGCTAGAGAGATGACTCAGTGGTTAAGAGTGCTTCCTACTCTTCCAGAGGACACATGTTCAGTTCCCAGCAACTCTATTAGGCAGCTCACAAGTGCCTCAAACTCCAGCTACAGCAGATCCAGTGCCCTCTTCTGGTCTCTACACGCACCTGCACACAAGTCACACACACACACACACACACACACATCCATATACATAAGATATAATCTTTGCAGAAAATTTTATTTGGGAAAAAGAATCCAAAAAGGAACTAGGGGGTAAAATCCATACTCTCTTGCTGTAACCACAGAAGTGTATGTTTGTGTTCATTTATTTATTACAAACTCGGAGTGATACTATCTCATGGTTTGAATCCAAAACATGCCCCACAGGCTCCTGTTGAACACTTTCTCTGCTCTTGCACATCTGCATGCCTGTCCAGAAAACCCTCAGCCTCCAAACTCCTACTCTCCAAGGCTTCCCAGACTTCCCTGGGCCTACCTGTGGTTCTTCAATATTTGCACCATGCTGCACACACCCCATTGCAGTAACCTGATAGGTCAGTTGCTTATCTATGTTCTCAGTAGAGTCTAAGTTTTCTGATAGACAGACATTACTCCAGGGTTACCAAACACACAGTGACCTCCAAGAACATTAAGTTCCCATTGCGCTGTGGAGGAGGTAGGCCCTGGACCATTTTATCTCTGCTGGCAAAACAGGGACCCTGTTAGGAGCAGCCTTAAATTTAGACACAAATTGGCAAATCCTGACAGGCAACAACTTGAAACGCCAGATGTGGGAGCAGGACCCTGCAGAGATTCAGGACAAGACTACTTAGTTTCACAGATTCCTGTGGTGATTCAGGACAAGACCCTCCCTAGCCCCGTTTTTACTTAGTTTCACAGATCCCTGTGGTCTGCATTTAATAAATCAAAAGCAAAAGGAAAGCCTGCGTACAAGAAGGCCCTGCACTGCCGGCCTGGGAGCGCACAAGTCAGGGAGGAAGGCACTCCCTGCAGGCCAGGGAGGACCGTCTGCACCACGTGATTGCACCATCGCTCCCCATAGGACAGCACGGGCGCCCTTTACGCCGTTTACCCCAACGTCAGTCATTGCGCGGGACGTGTGGCCTGGCCCTTGGAGTTAGTCACCCCCACGGACCTAGGTGGCGTCTCCCGCCCTCGTGGGTTTCAGGGAGGAGGGAAGGGAGCATCTGGGAGGGGAGAGAGGGCGACACCCACAGTGCGGATGTGGCTGTGTCTGAGGACAGGGACGCAAGGGGACGGGACCGCGACCGGCACTGACCTGGCGGCGAGCTAGTGAGGTTCCGGCCGTCCGAGTCCACCGCCTGCAGGAAGAAGTAGCGCACCGGCAGGACCGCGGTGGCCTGCAGGCCGGGGCCCCACGCCAGGCTCCGCGGTGCGCTCACTCGCGCCCCGGCCCCCGCGGCCCCCAGCAGGGCGAGCTGCAGCCACAGCAGCGGGGCCGGTGGGACGCCGTGCATGGTCGCCGGCTCTCAGCTCCGCTGGCCGGGGAGGGGCAGGAGCGCCAGGCTCGAGGGGACACTCGGGGGGCGGGCCTCTGCCTAGAGCCGCCCCGCGCGGGCCCTGCGCGCACCCCGGCACCGACAGGGTGTTGGCGTGCCTCTGGCTCGCCAGCCCTCTACTAGTTGCTTGAGTTTGTCAGGAGTTTCGAGAAAGGCCGTTTTGTTGTTGTAGTTGTTACCGTTTTCACTTATTTTCATATTTTACTTTGATTTTCCTTTTGAGAAGGAAGTCACCCTCTGTAGCCCAGGCTACTTTTGAACTGATGGCAATCCTTCCTCCCCAGCTTTTCTCCAGTAAGGTGTGTAAGCCACCTTGCCCTGTAGAGAAACCGACTTTTAATTAATTAATTGATTGGTTGCTTGATTGAGGCGGGGTCTCACTATGTAGCTCCTGCTGGCCTGGAACTCTATATATAGATCGCCTGGCCTTTTACTCACTGCTGTCCATCTGCCTCTGACTCCCAACTGTGGGGGTTGAAGGTGGGCACTACCACGCCCATCCTGAAAAGTAGAAAACAACAAAAAACGGTTTTAAATGTTACAGACTCAGGTTTGGGGTGTGGCTTAGTGGTCTGTGAGTGCTTGGCAGGTTCAAGGCCCAGCGTTGGTTCCTTCCACAACTGAACTAGAGGAACGACTTCCCTGTGAAGAAGTTCATTGGTTTTGGTTCACACGGAGGCTGGCCGGTTTCATGTATTTTGTGTTTGGCCGTCTCTCTCAGTGGAGTCCCAGGAGTGTGGTTCCCTCTTTCAGACGGTGTTTTCAGAGTGTCCGTTGATTTGGGATGAACAAGGCCCTTGGGCAGCAGAAGGCAAGGTCTGGACCTTGCCTTGAGCTGTGTTGTGTGGGCAAGCTCCTCTCCCTGTGTGGGCACCTTCTCTCCCTGTCCCTTTGGAAAGGTACAATGGGTAGCCTGGGTGGCCCCCACTCCTCAGTCTCAAGGCCTAAAAGGACGTTTTCCCCTACCCCCCATCCCGCCACCGTCCACTCCCAGATTGCTCATTTTAGCCTATTATTTTTCCTCATTTGCATTAAACTCCTAGGAAATATTGTCCCCAAACTGAGAAATCTGGAGGGACTCATCCTACAGAATGGACACAGGGCTTTTGACCCCTCCGGGTAGCTCTCCACCCAGAGCGTGCCAGAACCAAGACCTGAACAGCCCTGGGCCAGTCCCAGGCTTTGATTGGGCGCCTGAGCATATTGAACTTGGGGTCAGGTCGCTGACCCAATTACCAACCACAGGTTAGGGCAGAGAGGCTGGTGTGAAGAAAGCGCCCGGATGCCTGTGTGCACTCCACAGTGCCCAGGAGTTGGGCTAGCCTGGCGTTCACCACTGGAGGTTACAGACAGCACGCTGTAGTTTAGAAGCATCAACAGGAACTGGTAATAAGTCACAAGTAACTGTAGGGCTACAGTGTAGTGTAACTTAATGTGACTTCCACTGATCGTTTTTTTCCCTGGAGTTGTTTGAATGCTTTGATGGAATGCCTGCTCTGTTCCAGTTAGCATTTAAACACACACAGACACACAGACACACACACACACACACACACACACACACACACACACACGGTCCCCCCTACACATACAAAACAAACCCAAGAGCCTATGTAGAACACATTTTTTCACACTCTGTCAAAATTGGACTTCAATTTTTCTTTCCCAGAGAAGTGAGCTGGGGAGTTATCTGGGTGATGGGGAATCACAGCCTAAGAAATTATATAACACTTGAGGTAACACCTGTTTAAGGGAACCATCAAGCAATTGATTCCTGTTACTGCAACCAGTCAACCTATCAACACTAATGAAGTTTCATTGAATCAAGTAAAATTGCCATTTAAAAAAAAAGAAGCAATATTAAATATTCTTCTGGACAGCAAATATTTTGATTCATTTACTTAGCAGAAATTAAAAATGAATGTCAGGGCCAGAGAGATAGCTCAGTGGTTAAGATCACTTGTTCTTGCCCGAGACATGGATTTGATTCCCAGCATCCACATGGCGGCTCACAACCATCTGAAACTATAGTTCCAAGGGATCTACCTCCCTCTTCTGACCTTGGTGGGCACTAGACATGCATATGGTGCATAAACATATGTCTAGGCAAACACACACATAAAATGAATAAATCTAACAAAAAATTAAACCAGCTGGCTGGCTACTTTAGGTGTCTATGAAAGACAGAAGCAAGTCACCCTTTTTGTTTTGATTTTTTTGTTTTGTTTTGTTTTTCGAGATGGGGTTTCTCTGTATTGTTTTGGAGGCTATCCTGGAACTTGCTCTGTAGACCAGGCTGGTCTCTAACTCACAGAGCTCTGCCTGCCCCTGCCTCCCGAGTGCTGGGATTAAAGGCTTGCGCCACCAATGACCAGCTCAGTTTGATTTTTAAGTAATCTGTTTGTCATATCTTTCCCAAATAGCTGCCAGAAGATTAGGTGCATCTTCCCTGGCATCTTAGTATTTTTCTTGGAAAATTTCACATTTTAAAAAATTCATCGTTTGAGGGACTGGAGAGATGGCTCAGCAGTTAAGAGCACTGGCTGCTCTCCCAAAGGACCCAAGGTTGGTTCCCAGCATTCACATGGCAACTCACAGCCATCTGTAACTCCAGTTCTAGGGGATCTGATGCCCTCTTCTGGCCTCTGTGGGCACCAGGCATGTATGTGGGGTACAGACAAACAGGCAGGCAAAACACTCATACATATTAATTTTTTTTTTTAAATCTGAGGGTAGGTGACAAAACCAAGACTAACAGTAAATATGTGGTTGGATCTGTGGCTTAGTGGTGGAGTGCTTGCCTAGTGTGTAGGTTTCATCTCCAGAAGTGCACGTGCAAAACAGAACAAAACAACAAACAAGCATAATGTGTCTGTTCAGGTTGTTTATTTCAGCACAAGCATTATTTTAAGATTTCACTTTATAGCATATTCCATACTTTGGGAACAGATCTGAGGAAAAACATAAGAGGATTATCTGACAGTTTTGACAAAAGTGCTTATGGTGGCTTATTGTTTCAGAATAGAGTATCAGTCACAAAGAACCATCAAAGTAACATATTTACATATTTATACTGTACATTTAGATAGGATATTCTACAGCTCTTGTATAGACAGTAAACTCTAAGCAATAAGGCCTGTTTGAACATACCAGCATTCAATAGAGGAACTTGTTTTTACAGAGGTGTGAGTTTCCATTTGATTCTCATCTTTTCCATGACCTAAGTAGGCTTCTTTTAGCACCCTTGTGACTCATCTTTATTTCCTATACAAAATAGTTTACTCTTTTCAAGTTTATCCTTAACCAAACTCATGTGAGTAGCAATTAGAGTTTTATTAAGATCAATGTATTTATGATGTTTCAATAAACTATTCACTAGGTAGTTTCTGAAAAGCAAAACTATCTTATTAAAACCCATTTTAAACAAATTTAACATAATATTTATAACTGTGTTAGCCTAACATTTAAGCAAGCTGATAATTTCTTAGGCACTTATTAGTATCGATTCATTAGTATTTTACTTCATTTACAAGAAAGTTTAATAATGATTATATATTTTAGAAAAACAATATAAAATGACTATTACTTAAGTTACCACAGCTATGCCAAAATGAGCATTAAAACCCAACAGTTTATATATTACAACACAAAGAGATCTGCTGTGCTTCTTTAACGAAGCACTGAATAAAACTGTGAAACAGTAAAAGTGTTGTTCTGTATTGGGGGAATTACTGTTTCCCTGATCCCTCATCCTGACAAGCACATAACCTCACACACAGTGCAGAGAAGCAGTGGCCGTCAGATTCAATGTGGAAAGTAGATTACATGGAGGAGAGTAATTCCCAAAGCATTTGTCCATTCTTACCCTGGTGTCCCTCCCTCACTCAGAGCCTCACCTTGGTGCAAATCAAGCTGATGTCCTGTCACCTTCTGTAGCAAACATGTAGACTCAAAATATTTTTTGAAACAGCATCTCATGGTGATCATTAAAAAAAAACAACCAACATAGGTCTTAATGTTATAATATCTCAGAATACCTTAAAATTACACACAAAAAGTCATAATATATGAGAGTCTTATTTAAATAGGTAAATAGCAAAAGAGGAAAGGCATATGCACAGACATACAGCCTTAAATAAGAAACTGGATATTACTCCTCGTGCCATTCAGGTTTGAATCGGTTCAGAACAAGTGATTTGCAGTTCGTTTGCAGTTTGAGTGGACAGGTTTAAGGAAAGGCTTTCGTACCGGTGACCACACCTTCACTGGCTTTGGATTTTACGGGACTGTCATAATTAATACAGATCTTCCTTGACCTTGTGTCAGTGTGAGATCTCTATACACTTTGCTAACACTGGTCCTTAGCTTCAGTTTATCTGGATGAACAGTGGAAAACAAAAGCATGTCACGAAACAGCTATGAAACAAGACAAAATCCACTCTGTATTGAGATCCAGGATCCCATGCTGCCTGCAGGTCTAGGTCACCCTCAGCCTCATCTGTAGGCCTTTGCCTTGAGTTACAAGGAGAGAAAGCTCCAGATGTCTATGTGTCAACTAAAGAGGTAGGAAGCCAATTTAGCAATGGGCATCACAAGATATTGACAATAAATTAGGAGTTCTGAGTTAGATGTTCCTGAGGGTTTGTTTGATAGACGGTTCAGCAGAGAAGCCAAGCAGTCCCTAGGCATCACATCTGGCCTAGCATTTTAAGGACTCATTCAAGGTTCCCACTAAATGCTCCATCAGAAGTGTCCTAGCCCAAAGCTTAGGTAACCATGGGCTCTCACTCTATTATGGAGTTGTCCAACTAAATGTGGGGTTGAAAAAAATGGCAGCAGTAAAAGGTTTCTGAATGTGCACTGAACAAGAATTAATTCAAAATTAAACATAAGTGAATCCTGGCAGTGCTCACCCGGGGTGATGGTGGGACTTCACTGCAGCCTTAATCCAAACACACGGCATGCACACCTTGTACTGGGATGGAGAGAAGAGTGCAGGGAGAGAGGCAGAGGAAGGGAAGGGGGCGGGGAACCTGATGCTATTCTGTTACGAACTACACTGCTTTTACCACACGCGCAGATTTCTGCTCATACAGAGATGCAATTATAGACAGCAAAGACTTGTTACTACTTTATTCCCCAGCTCCTGGGTAACATTAGAACGTGCTTGGACTGTACTGTGTTAGATGAGCAGAGATATATATCTCGTTAGTATATGTTTGCGTTTATCTTAAACAAATGATAAATTTGCGTGTAAGCCAGAAAACTGTTTTAAAATAAATTTCAGTTGTCAGTGAATGCTTGATTTGTACACCTATCTTATGTATGTATATACCTGATGGCATGGAGAAATTCCCAATGCTATAAATTAAGTGAGAAAAAGTTTAATAAGACCCAGTCCGGGCTATAAATAAGGAAATGAGAAATAGACGGGTTTGGAGAGATGAAAAAAAAAATCAGCCGTGGAATGAGTGACGACAAAGCTGGTCCAAAAAAGCACCATGGGCTCAACTCCACCTGCTAGCTATGTGTCTATGGCCAAGCCACAGTACCTGCATCATTCGGGTTTCACCAGTGTTAAGCCTGATGAAAACTTAACCCTCGAATATTCAGCCAATCACCACAGTTTCAGAGAAATTCCTGAAGGTACTAATGGGACTAACCCTTCATTTTAACCTCAACATGCACTCTAAACGCATGTTGAGACTCCACTACTGAAGTGCAAGGATGTTCTCATAATAATCTCTTTATCTTGTGGCTAGAGAGAGAGAGCTCGGGGGCTAAGAGCACTTGCAGCTCTTGCCGAGGGACCAGGTTTGGTTCCCAGCACCCGCACGACCCCTAACAGTCATCTGTTACTCCCATTCCAGGGGCTCCAATGTCCTCAAGTGCCTCTACGGGCACTCATGAACACAGCGCACATGCAATGACAGTATTTTATCCAACTGTTGTTTTCCCTACATTGTATTTAATGTCTTGAATTCAGGCTGTGAACAGAGAGAGGCAATATAGTTTTGCAACTGTGCTGGGGAATTAGCATATTTTAACAGGTGCCCGAACTATTAAGTGTTAAGAGATGTCAAAAAGCGATGAGGAAAATAGAGCCAACATTGGAAAGTGACTTAGAGATAGGCTTGGGAGAAAAGATAGGAAGGCCACATCCCAACGCATCAGGAGAAAATATCGGGAAAAACAAACAAAACCCCTCAAAACCAGCAATCTTAGAATCCAGAAGAAAAAAATACATATATATGGAAAAGAATGGGTGTAGACACTGCCCAATCCAGATCTTCTTTCACCTGTCTGTAAATTTAGATTCATTTCGACAATAAGTTTTTGGTTAAAAAGCAAACTGTAGAGTATTATACAGCTTCTTGCAGTCTCATAGTTCTGACTCTTTATCATTTTCATCCAGGTAGTACTCGTCATCGGTGGTTGTATCTGTGTCCCGGTCTGAGTCCACTGGGTCCTCCTCATAGATATTAAGTGGTTCACTTGGAACTAAGCCATCTTCTGGCGACCGACCACCAGAATTCAACAGCTCTGACTTCGACAGCTTGGAAGCATTGAGTACATCATCCTTGAGGAAGCCAGGGTTCTTGAGAAAACTTGGCTTCCATAATCTTCCTTGTGTGAGTGACCGCTTGACATTCTCCAAGAAAGCCAACTGCTGCTCTTTCCCAAAAATCCCGTAGTCAATAGGCCTGGAAATGGATGAAGTGGACTTGGGACCCGACCTAGTCCTGTTATACAACGCCCAACTTTCACTTTCATCAGCGGCAGGAAGCTCAGAAAAAGATTTGAATCTTCGACTGTAAGCGCTGTTGTGGGAGGAGTCATCATCAAGGGACAGCTGACTGAGAGCAGTGTTGATGGACGTGTTCTCAGAAAAATGGCGCCCCCTGGCTTTGGGAGGATGGCTTGCGCACAGCCGGTCTCCCTGCACATTGAAGTTTTTTAAACTCTTTGATCTATAGAGGTGAGGCTCAGGTTCTGACTCTGGAGATGGGGCACTCAGGTGGCGCAGCTGACAATGGGACAGGTTTGTTGTAGATTTCTGCGCAGATTCCAGGGGAAAAGGGAGACTCAATCTCGGCTGGTGGCTAGCGCTTTTTTCTGTGGGGCTGGTCAGTGTGAGCCGGGCTCCTGATTCTCCCGGGATCTGGGCTCTAGAATCCCTACTCTTTGAGGGTGGTTCTAAGACACTGTTCGGCTCATTCTGATGTGGTTGTGAAATGTTAGCAGACCTCTGATTAAAGGACTGGCAAGGAGGCTCCGGGTTGGATATTGCAGTTGCTTGGAGAGGGGTCTCAGACTTGTCCACGTTCACCAGGCTGCTTTCATCTGTGGGCTCTGTGGATTTTACCACAGGTTCAGGGGACAGTGCGCTGTCCTCTGATCTGCAAAGAGATAACCCCCTAAAGTCAGACTGGCTTTCACTTTGGGAGAATACAGTGGCTACGTGTCTTCTGGGACTTACATCCTTAGCCGGGATTTTTCTGCTTGCTTTAGACATGGCTGTCAGTCTGTGTTTAACTGAGTATCTGTTTTCTTTTGTTTCTGGGTACGCCGCGTTAGTTTTATTTTCATTATTTCCTCCAGGAAGTAGAGTTTGATCCCATGCCAACTTTTGTGCTTCATCTTTAACCTTCCTGGTCTCCACTGTATTTGTCTCCTGACTTCCTGCCCGTCTGGGTTCTGGCTGCAGATCCGCTGCCCCTGACTGAGCCTCTTCAGCAAGCTGCAGCTTATGCAATGCTGGGGCTAGAGCAAAGGCTTGCCTTTCTGAGTCACAGAGCATCTTATCTGTCAGGGTTTGGCCGTCTGACCCAGTTGTCACACTGGCTTCCCTAGGCTGTGACCCACTAGAACTGTTGTCTGTAACTACAGCCATGTGATCTCTCCAAGGATACCTTTCGTGTCCTGGTGATACAGTAGCTGTGACATCTACACACGCTCCAGAATTTCTTCTGGCTTGAAATTTTTCAGCATTACCTTCTGAGTGGGCTGGGAGGCTAGGGGGCCCACCATCTCCTCCTTTAGAAGGCTGCTGATGACTTTTAGTGTTTTCTTCTCCAGAACTTTTCTCCTGAGGCAGTAACGGACTCTGTAGGATTTGTCTTGGAAACATCCCCCCTCTCTTTTTCCTGTCTAGTGAATCATCTACTGCTGTTTTAGCTAAGCTACCTGGGGAAATCTCTTTGATCTTGGGTTCTCCTTTTTGAAGAGAACCATCTGGCCTCACAGAAGCCATTTCCTCCAAGGTAGATGCAGAAGCCTCCCTATTTGGCAACTGGGAGACAGTCTTTCCTGTGCTGTGAGAAAGACAGGATGGAGCAGAGCCAACCTGCGTCTTCAGGTCTGGCGGTGGAGGTATTCCTGACTGCACTCCTGCGGGACCATTTAGCTCATCACTTTCCAAAGCATTGGGGAATGCTTCAGTCTCTCCCTGAAAAGCGTCTCGAAGTGAGTCTGTACCTTGTGTATACTGCTGAAGGAGGCTGCAGAATTTTTTGCTGGGTTTTCTTGGTAGAGTATAATATATTGAAACCACCTCAAGACATTTCATATTCTCTTCATCACCGGAAACAGAGAACATGCTGGTTGTCTTAAACTTATGTAACGCTTTCCCACTCTCTTTTCCTGATGCGTCCGCTTGCAGAGGCTTGGGGGTTTTGTTTGGAAGGGTGAATGAACTCATTCCAGGAGCAGGTGCCTCATCATCCTTCCTGGTGTTTTCTTGAACAAGTTCCTTTTGGTTGTGTCCTTCAGAGAAAGTACTCTCTCTAAATGATGAGTCACCTTCCAGAGAACTGAAGATTCTTCTCCAAGGCCTGGGCATTACAGCTGAAGCATCCACATCCAGGACTGGTGACTTTTCTCTTTCACCACTTTCAGCCAAGGTACCTGGCTCCCCTGAAGGACACGAAACCGCCCTCTTGATAAGGAAAGGGAGTGGCCCTTTCCTAACAGAAGCCGATCTAATGGCTTTCATATCTGTCATCTTCTTGGTGGCTTCGGGCACCCCCATGACCGAATTTGAAGCATCACTCATTGACTTGGGAGAACTGGGTTTGTCAGATGTGCTCTTCCTAGTTGGAACATGCACTTTATTTTTTATTTGGAATGGAAGTGGCCCATTCCTAATTGAAGCAGGCAGTATCTTACTTTCCTGCTGTCTGCTGTGTAAGAGAAAGCTGGCTGGTTTTCTTGGCAAGGTGCAATAGACTGTGCTGAGCTCAGGGGCTTTGATACTACTTTGGTCCTCAGTGAGGCTACTGCCTTCGCTTGTGGGTGCTGCTCTATTCTCTGTCTTGGTTAGCTTCTCAATACAGGACACATGGCGTCTTACTCTTCCTTTCCCCCTCCCATTTCTGAAGGGAAAGTAAGGATGGCAGTGGACAGCATCATGCAGATGTGCAGGACTGTCATGACTCTCTTGGTTTTCTATAGAATTCACAGCCAACTGATTATTTTGGTTCTTTGTAGCCTTGTCTTTTTCTTCTCTTTCTTCTTGGGATGGACCTTGGTCTGAAAGCCTCCTGGAGAACATTGTAGCAGAAGGTGTCAAAAGAACATCAGGGAAGGAATTACTCAATGGTGAGGAGTCTTGGAGTACATCTAAAGAATCTTGTGGGACACTGTGCTTGGAGGCCAGCTTGCTGCCATTGGTAGAATGAATGGAGAGACACTGTTGTTGCTCAAGATCCAAACTAGCAGGCTCCTCTAGGGACTCTGCTTTTTGGGTATCAGTGGATTCAAAGCACCAGTGGTTGTTTTTAATGATGCTTGAACTGTCTTCATTACTTCCTGTTTTCTGGTGACAACCTTGATCTGGACTGGGAGGAGATGGCAGCATCCCATGTTCTTGGATGAGCGTCAGGGAAGCTGCTGAGTCAAGTTTCCTGCTCCCAGGAAAGCCTTTGTCTTTGCTCAGTTCATTGGCTTTATCTCTTTGTGTTGTTTGCATTTGGGATGTACCTTTCCTGGAAAAGACTCTGGGTGACCTTCTGGAACTTACCATGGCAGAATCATTAGAGTCAAACCTTGAGTTTTGGGTTGAGTCTTGGGAGTGGGCATTTTGTAAATCAGGTAAATCATTATAGATCTCTGTCTGTGAAATAGGTTGGGGCAACCCACTTGCCTTGTTTTTCTGGCCCATCTTGTTTAGCTGTTCATCCTCTGAAAGAGATTCATTCACATCTTTCTCACTGTTCATTTCCATGACTAGGATGTTGTGCTGGGTATCAGTAAGAGTCAGCAATCCAGTTGAATGGCTACCAGTCACAGTAACTTTTGAGCAGTTTCTTATTGAAAGAGAGTCTGGCTTATCAGGGATTATTTTATCAGGAGCAACTGTGGAATTCTGGAAGCTGGGACTCTGAGAATCTATCCTGGCATCAGGAATCAGGGGGAAGGAGGCTCTGAAGGAGGGTACTAGAGTCGGAGCCTTGCCAAGCAAACAAGGCTTCTCATCTACAGCCATGTCTACAAGATGGTGGCCCTGCTGATAGTCCATCCCTGAAGACTGGATGTGGCAGCTAGAGCCAGTCATGGACAAACCATCTGGTGTGACAAAAGGGGGTAGAAATTGGTTCTCATTGACATGTGATGTGTCCATGCTCTCCAGTGGGGATGTTTGCAGATCAGATCGCCAGCAATGTGGATCCTCTTGACCTCTGAAAACGTATGTTCCATAGCCAGGAGAATGTGGCCTCCAGTGTCGACAAGGGACACCATGGCTATAAACAGATGGTGCCCTGTTTGTTTCAACAGAAATCATTTCAAAGTCCCTGTCAGAAGGGAATGGCTTCCTGTTCTGGTGTAAGCCTGACCAGAAAGAATGTTCTTCCTGTTGACTCCAAAAGGAATTCTGTCCAAATCTCTGTTCTCCACTCTGTCTGAAGGTACCGCTAAAGAAAGACCCTGCAAATGGGTTGTTCTGATGGTAGAATGGCATATTCTCTGAGTTCTCCAGTGTGTCAGGACTCATGGCACTATCCATGGGGGCATTTAGAGGGACGCCTTGGTAAGCACTCTGTGAATGGTACCACTCATACCTCCTACTCTCCTGAAAACACTTAGGAGCCACATACTGATCAGCAGGGTCAATGTCCATTGGTGATGGTGCCCACGGGGACTCTTCCCAATTCTGCCTATGTCTAGAAGAATCTGACCTATTCCATATGATGGATGATAGAGGAGTTCTTTTTGGGCTTTGCTGGTGCCTTACTGGTGTAAAACTATTCTTGTTTACAGTATCAGCTGGAAAATGTAAACTCCTTGCAGTAAAATGCCCCGTGGCTGGTGAGGCTGATCGTTGCCGGCTGTCGAAACACAATGATGTACTACCGAACGTATTCTTTTGCATAAAGTCCTCTTTTAAGATTCTGGGCTCCTTGGTCCTATACATATCATAAATTGTCTTTGTCCTAGGAGAAAAGGTTTTGAAACCTTCTCTAGGAGTTCCTGGTCTCAGGATGTCATAGATTGACATGTTGGAAGTTTCACTGTGGTAGTTCTGGTGCCTTCCTGTGGTGTGACCATGCCTGTTCCTACTTGAGGGAGAATGTTTGAACTGTGTTCTTGATCCGTAGTTGAATGGCTCTCTGGTATTCACTGAGCCTACAGATTGTTCCTGAGCCAGCTTGCTATCCAAATCATCTAAAACTAAAGGAAAATGCAAATTAATTTTATATATGATTTTATAGTTTATAACAATTAAAGTCATTGAAGCAGCCCTTCCGAGAATCGTATTTTGTTATTATAAATACAACATTAATCTTGTTTTTTTCCTTTTGGTTTCTCACAACAGGGTTTCTCTGTATAGCCCTGGATGTCCTGGAACTCACTCTATAGATCAGACTGGCCTTGAACTCAGATCTGCCTGCCTCTGCTTCTTGAGTGATGGGATTAAAGGTGTGTACTGCCACCACCACCTGGCTAACATAACGTTAATCTTGATTATGTTTTAATGATAATCTGACTTTTATAAAGAGTGCAATGCATTTTCTTTCTTTTTCTTTTCATATACCTCAAGAATATAAAGTTATATTTTGGGGCTGAGGGGATAACTCAGTCAGAAAAAATGCTTGCTGTACAAGTCTGAGGACCTGGATTCAGTCCCCAGGACCCATGTAAAGAAGACAGAATAGTGGCATGGATTTGTAATCCCAGTAGTAGGGAGGTGGAGGCAGAGACAGGTAGAGCCTTGAAGCTTGCTTGCCAGCCAGCCTAGCCTAATCAGCAAACTCCAGGTCCCAAGAAGACCTTATCTCAAACAAGATAGGGATTGGAGTGGTGGCTCAGTCAGTACAGTGGTTGCTACACAAGCGTGAAGGTTGAGTTTAGACCCTGGGTGCCCATGTAAAAGCCAGGCATGGTGACCTGCACCTGTAATCCCATTACTAGGGAGGCAGAGATGGGGGTTCCTGAAACTCACTAGACAACCAGTCTAGCCAAATCGGTGAGCTCCACGTTCAGTGAGAGACCTTGTCACAAAAAATAAGGTGGAAACTATGGTAGATCGCCCAGCAGTCACACAAGCCTAATGACCTCAGACCCTAGAACCTATATTTAAAAAGCTGGGTATGATGGCATACACCAATAGGTGTGGCCAGCAGTCCTACAGCAAGATGGGAAGTGGAGAGGAAAACAGGCCAAAAACCTTGTAGACCACCTACCGTGGAATATGCTGTGCAATGGCAGGTACAGCAAGAGAGACTGATGGGGGATGCTCTTCTATAAGCTTTGAGTATATGTTTCTCTTATTGGTCGATGAATAAAGCTGTTCCAGCCAGTGGACAGGCAGGATTTAGCCAGGCAAGAGATTAAAACAGGGAAATGTAGGAGGCAGAGTGAAGGGATACCATGTAGCTACCAGGAAGGATGGATGCCCAGGCATTCTCCAGTAAGCCAAGATCATGTAGAGATACATAGATTAATATGTTATTAATGGGTTGATAATTAAGAGATAGCTAGCCAATAAGAAGCCTGAGATATTGATCAAACAGTTTGTAATTAATATAAGCCTCTATGTGTTTATTTGGGACTAAACAGCTGCAGGACCTGGTGGACAGAAACTTCTTTCAACAAGAGACCCTACTTTAAAAAGGTGGAAGAAGAGAAATGACTCCTGAAAGTTGCCCTTTGACCTCTTCATGTACACAGTAGCACACTTGCTTCTGTACTCATGCATACACATACACACTATATACATAAGGTAATTGTATGAAAGGTAGAGCCGGACAGGTCGCTCAGTGGGTAAAGGGCTTGCCCAGTAAGCATGGAGACCTGAGTTTGTATCCCTAGTTGGCATGTCAAAAGTCGGGTGCAGCTGGCCTGCAATCCATCACTTGGGAGGCAGAGACAGGGCTGACCTGGTTGGCTAGACCAGCTGCAATCAGTGAATTCCATGTTCCATGAAATACACTACCTTAATAAACAAAGTGGAGAATGACCAAGGGAGATATCCAATGCCAAACTGGGCCTCTCCATACATGTGCACACAAATGTGCCAGCTCTCATGCTGCACTCACACACCACTCATACATTCACATGCTAATTAAAAAAGGTAGAAAGCAGCATAGGAAGTCAGTGCTGATAGTGTGTGTCCACCTACACATACATGAACACATACACACAAAACAAGGTGGACAGTGCCTAAGGAACCACACACAAAGTTGACCTCTGGCCTCCATGTGCAAATGTGCACACACACACACTTGCATACACACAAACCTTCATACACATGCCTGTCTGTGCACACATACGCACTAAGTTATATTTGTCCTAACGAATTTTAACCAGCTTCTCTCTGTGTATTTACCGTTTGTGCTACATGAGTTAGTAAACAGCAGAGAATAATGTAGGTTGCAATATGGGCTTGCCATTGCCTTATTAGGCAAGCTGGAGATTGTTAGTCATGTTTCTCTCTTTCTTTTACATCAGTAGGTTGCTGTAATAGTTCAGTCTTTAGTCATATCATGAGACGATAATAAAAATAAGCCTGTAAACAGTATTTGATTTCTTAGCTGTACTGTTAAAAAACAGCATTACAGGCAAAAATTCATTACTATATAATGTACAAATACTTGGATAAATTTGGACAATGTGTGGAATTTAAAGTCCTACACAATATTACTAAATGATACGTTAATTGCAGATTGCTTTTCCCGGAAACTGTTGTAACATAGCATTTCCCATGTGTCAGACACATAACATGGATTAATAAATACTTATAGAACCTTACAGGGTTTAAAAAACTATTTTTACTATTTTTTAAGTGAGAATGCTGAGGCAGAAAGAAATCATGTAAATGTCCAAGTCACTTAGTGCAACGATCTGGACCCAGACTCTGTCTCCTGAGTCTTAATTCACAAAGGATTGAGCCATGCCAAGGAGCTTTTCAAGGAAGCAAAGCTGCTGATGTCAAACAATGCTGACTTTTATCTCAGGACAAGGTCCCAGAAAGAGTGGTGTCCAAACCAGGTCCCAGTGATCTCTTTATAATGAAGGACAGAGGCCAAGTCCAGACCCAGGGTCCACGACTGAAGTACCTTAGTCTGCAACTTTAGACAAGCTAGCATGCATCATCCCGGTTACTGCTGGCATCGCTTGGCATTATATTTAATCATAATTAATTAAACTGTTAGAATTCATTAAACTGTTAGAATTTTAATATAACTGCACTCTCCTTAAGGTTTTTAGATTTTTATAAGATTTGCATTATAATAGATTTATTATCATATATATTTTGTGATGAATATAATAGATTATGCATTTATTTATGAAATAGTCATTAATAAAATCATATCTGACACAGAAATAAGTAAGAGTCATATGTACTGTGCACTTCTGGAAGCCGGGTCAGCACAGGTGAACTTTTAACGACTACTGCATTTCATCACATTGCACGTATGCCCTAATCAGGAACAATAAAAGACTCTTTAAGTTCAAGCTTTATAGGTGTATTTCTTTTTGACCTGAGGTAAAACATTAAACATTATTATCAGCCTATATGTTTGCCGTCTTTGATCTCAGAATATTTGCTTGGGTTATATTTAACTACAAGTTTCTTCAAGATTTGGGTTCATAGGACAGAATGGTATCCTCTTCAGACTCAGGAAGCAAGGGGCTTCAGAAACCAAGTTCAGGCCTCGATTTGTTTAGAGCATTTTAGTACAAACTATTGTTGGTGTTTGCCTCTGTGGGTCCTGGTGTTCCCAGGGAGATCTGGTGCATGGACTTACCTTGGAAAAGCTCACTCTCCAGCAGAGACGGATCCCAGGGTGGAGGCATACCACTCTCTTCCCGCATGGTGGCTGGCTTAGGAACAAACACACTGGCAACTGGGTGATTCCCCACCGGTGAATTGTATATTTTTGCCTGCCAATTTTAAAGTAAAAATATAAGAATTCACATCTCCTCTAGAAAAAATAGTTATGTTTCCCTAAAAATGTCAGTGGGTCTAGTCTAAGAGCTACTGATCAATTTTCTGAATATTTATGTCTCAATTTCGTGTTTTCTTGTTTTTGCCATTTACAATGAATCAGGAACTCCCCTACACATACCTTCATATAATGCTTTCATATATATATATATACACATTATCCTACATCTGCACTCATATGTACATTCCCTTACACACACTCATATGTATGCTCCCGTATATGTGTGTGTGTGTGTACATACATTTCTATATATGCATGTATATCCTCATATGCCCATCCCTCTATACATACCCTCCTAGGCATGGTCTCCCACACATATCCTCACATGCACACTCCCCTACATATACTCTCACATGCATGATCCGTTATATATACTCCTATATGCATATTCCCTATACACACTCATATGTACACTCCCCTATACATACCTTCACATATACACTATCCTACACACACATACATATATACACTTCACGTATATACATTCATATGAGCAATCTAAACATAATTCAGTGGATGTTAATTCTTTTAATAACAATGTTAAGGCAGACTCTTACAGAAGGTCTTATGGGAGGAGGGTGATTCCTTGCAATCAGGAAATTAACCTTTCTCAAGTTGGAAGAATTGTCTCCATGGTGATAATGGCTGGGACTTAGGATTTCCTAAGCCTGCATTTTCTGTTAAGAGCGTCTTAGCTGCTGTCTAGGTGGACCTCGAGTTTTGTGAACTCAAGGGACTTTAGAGAAGACAGTGTTTCTGCCCAGGGGTTATTCCGGATGACACAGCAGAGAGGAAACACAGAGAGTGACTGAGTACATGTGACAGGAGGGAGGAAAGGGGCCAGAGGGAAGAGGGCAGGGGAAGGAGGAAGGGAGTGAGCAGGGACAAGCATCAAGACAAGTGTGAAAATGCTGGGCCAGAAATCATCACACTCAGGTTAATTTTTAAAATGAATAAAATCATATTTTAAGAGGAAGAAAAAAGGAATGGGGACCCCTCTCTGTGTCCTGAGCAGATGTAGTAGTTCGGAAACAGGACACTTAAAGGTAAGATCTTACATATCTTCTTAAACTAGTGCTACTTTTAAAAGATTTAGGAGACAGATGCAAAGCTGAAGTTATATTTCTTAAAACAAATAAGCGATAAAAAACAATAAAAAGCCTAGCAAGTGTTCATGCTGATATCAGATTCAATTCCTGTCCTACTTAAAAGCTTGGTTTGTCTTTAAAACATTGGGACAGTTATCCTCGCCACACCTTCACTGTCCTGTGCGAGAAACCCACCTGCATTTCTTATGTCCAACTGGCTCTGTCAGTCCAGTCCCCTGCCTCAGCTCCTCCTGTCTGGTGGGATCCCTTGAGATCTACTCTCTAGTGTCCCCTCTCTACTCTACATCCCGTCTTATCTATAAAGCCTAACGTTGCCAAGGCCCTCATTTCTAAATTCCTTCACCACTGGCTGAAAGTTCAGGTCCTCTTAAACCCTCACACCTCCCTTGTGTTTCTAGAAGCCCACCAAGATCTAATTGATTTCTGTTTGTAGCTCTATGGGCATAAGTGAATACTCACAAAGGAGGCTTATTAATAAAGAAATAACACTCCCACAAATAATTTATTCATTATTGGATATAACCTATCACACAAATATAAAAAATCTAAAGTAAACAGATACAATAAAACTTTGACTATAGATAGCCATTAGAGATACAAGAACTGAAAGTTAATCACTTGAAAAAATTGGTTAAAGTTAGTTCTTTAATCCCTAGAGTATGAAGAGGCGTCTCTCTCTCTCTCTCTCTCTCTCTCTCTCTCTCTCTCTCTCTCTCTCTCTTTCTTTTTCTTTTTCTTTTTTTTTTTTTTTTTTTTTTTTGGTTTTCTGAGACAGGGTTTCTCTGTCCTGGAACTCACTCTGTAGACCAGGCTGGCCTCAAACTCACAGAGATCTGCCTGCCTCTGCCTCCCGAGTGTTGGAATTAAAAGAGTGTGCCACCAATGTCTGGCTGAAGAGGCTTCTCTTTAGTTCTCTTCCTAGACACTCACTAGGTAGCTCACCAGGCTGGCCTCAACTTTAGAGCAATTTTTATGCCCTAGTCTCTCAAATGATTAGAGGTGTACACCACAACCCTGGCTCAATTCTCCATTTAATAATAATTATTCTCAAATCAGTAGTTTTGATAGTTGGTATAGAATGGGTTTACTGGATAAAAGTCATCAGGCATCATTATCTCATAACCATTTAACATCCAAACAAACTTTAGATTTCCCCTATACAGACCAGAGTACATGCCTGTGGCCTTCCAGACCATGATTTTGCAGAGCAAGCATTTATAGTGAAATGGAAATTATGCGTACTGGGGTCTCAAGTGAGAGTTCAGTCTCTGTAGGCTGGAAGGCTCTGTATCTAGGGACCAGGTTCTTTTCATCAAGACCAACCCTACACACCCAACATATCCCTGCTACTTCTGGTAGAGAGACGTGAATTAAATGACCAAGAAAAAGATCAAGATTTTACTAACATGCAGCTTCAACTCTGAAGCTTATCAATGGCTGGTACCAGGCACCAAGAGGACCAAGTGTCATCTTTGCTCTACAGGTCCTTTTCATTTAAGCGATGCATGAGATATTATCTGTAATTGCTTTCTTACCAGAAGTGAGTGAATGTTGACTATCAAAGCCATTATTTAAGGACTTTGAGTGGGATGCTTTTCAATATTTTAACAATCCCATGAAGTTGGTACTACTATTATCCCCACTTTCAGGAAACTGAAGTTTCAAGAGACCACGTCATTTGTTTGTGTGCCTGGATGTGGGAGGGAGAGGATTTATTCCTAGGCTGTTGGCTTTTTAGAACTCTACTGAATTTTACTGCTCCTAGTAGAATCCTACAGTTCTTGGTCTATCAGAAATGCTATATCCAGGTAACAGGAATTTTCATCAACTAAACACAGGTCCCACAGTACCTTGGGAACAGCTGTAGTCTCTTGTGATCCAGTTCAGACATTGATCCTCAGTTGGGGATCAGTCTTGCCCTCCTCGCTGCAGGGTCACCATAAAATGGGAAGTTTATTTTCCCTTCTTGGTTAGGAGGATGAAGTTTGAAATCATGTCAAGAACTTTCCTGACTTTTGATGTAAGCCTTTCTTCCCTCTGTCCAGATTCCCTGTGCTCCAAGCTCTGACACACACAGTGTCCCAAATGTCACAGACTTCTAGAACTTTGTCCCTGTATCCTTGGTTTTTGCTCTTTCTCAACCTTTTCTCTTAGAAATGGCTACTCATCCTCCAAATCCCAAGAATTCACTCTCTGCAGCAACCCATTTTCAACTCTCCCAAGAAGAATTTATTCCCACCATAATTCTTACACCCTTCTGGTATTTCACATAATAGCATCATGTTCAAAGTTTGGTTTCTTTTCATTTTCACTTTGACACTAGCTTCCTCTCCTTCCTCCCTACTAAAAATCTCACTCTCCTAACCAAGGGCTCAAAGTCAATTAAGTCTGGTCCTGGAGGTGGCCAGCCTCCCAGGAGAGCAATAAAGCAGTTCACTCTCAACTGTACCACGGACACCAACATAACACACAGTCTGCAAGGGGTGACTACTGCCAAATTCAAGATGGCGCCCTGCCCCAGGAATAGTCTCTCCTTCTGAATTTGTCTAAAACATTTTTAAAAATTTGTGTGTGGAAGTGGAATTGTGGTGTGTGCATATATATGCACGTGTGTGTGCAGGTGCATGTATCCATGCGTGCACCTACCAAAGTCAGGAGGCTATCGTGTCTTCCTCTATCACATTCCACATTATTCTCTGGATAGGATCTCTCACTGGATCTGAAGCTCACCATTTTGGCTAGACTGTCTGGCTAATGAGCTCCTATGATCCATTTGTTTCTGCTTCGCAATGCTGGGATCACAGGCATATAATCTGGTTCTTAAGTGGGAACTGAGGATTTGAACTCAGGTCCTCAGACTTACACAGCAAGTGTTCTTCTCCACAGAGTTATCTCCCTAGCCCCTCTAATACATCTTTTTTATACTCATCTGCTACCAGCATCCTTATATTTTAACACAATAATTCACTCATTAAAAAAATAATTACAAGGGTAGAGGATAGAGGGATAACCCAGTAGCTAAGAGCACTGGTTATTCTTCCAGAGGACCTGGATTCAATTCTATATGGTTGCTATTAACTGTCTGGAACTCCGGTTCCAAGGCATCCAGTGTTTTCTTCTCACCTCTGTGGGCACTGCATGATGTGGTGTACAGACACACATGCAGGCAAAACACTCATACATGAAATAAAAATAAATAAATCTCTAACAATATCTATTTATTTGAGGGTGTGTGCACCAAGGCATGGCTGTGGAGGTCAGAGGAGAATTTGTAGGAATCAGATCTCTCATTCTACCGTGTGGGTCCCAGAGATGGAGGTTGTCAGGCTTGGTGGCAAGTGCCTTTTTTTTGCCCTCTGAGCCATGCTGCCAGTCCTCAGTTCCTTTTCAATACTACATTTCTCATATCCTTTCAACAAACGTGTAAGCTAGTTAAGGACCATCCCCATTTTGGGGATAAAACGACTGAATTTCAGCCGAGTGTCTTACTGACATCACATGAATGACTTATGGTAGTGGTGGCTGTTCACACTCATCTGACCTGATCCCAAACCCTGATCTGTCACTTTGCTAATGCTCATATCTACGTGACAATCCATCTGAAAGGAGGAACCTGACTTTAAACACTCCCTGGCCTCCCCGCGAGGAGTGACACTTTGCACGTAGTCATGACACGCCAAGATAGAAAACCACAGAGGGGAGGTTACTAGTAAAAGTTACAACATTGGTGAGCTATCGAAAAAATTTTCCACTCAGGAGGCAGAGGCAGGCTAATCTCTTGAGTTCAAGGTCAGCTGGTTTGCAGAGTGAATTTCAGGACAGGCAGGGCTACCACAGAGAAACCCTGTCTGTGGGGTTCTCTATTAGGACCCAGAAAAGCATCCCGGAGTAAGGACAGCATAGTGTCTCTGCCCAGAAATGTCTACGTCAGTGGTTCTCAACCCCTTTGGGAGTCAAATGGCCCTTTCACAGAGGGTACATACCAGATATCCTGCATATAAGATATTTACATTACAATTCATAACTAGCAAAAATACAGTTATGAAGTAGCCATGAAATAATTTTAAGGTTGGGTCACCACCGCATGAACTATACTAAAGGGTTACAGCATTAGAAAGGTTGAGAGCCACTGATCTACATGGCACTGGGCAAATTATTTAACCTTATTGTGCCTTAGTGAGTTTGTTGGTCAAATGAAACTAAAGACAATAGCAACGCAATGCTCCCTCTGCTAAGATGATGGACTGATTTAACAGCTGGCAGCCACTGAGAACAGGGCCAGGCCTTAGGCGAGTCCTCCACACCTACTGCTACCATTCCTGGGCTATGGAGAATTTTCTGGAAAACTCCTGAGAATGTGTTGAGCTCATAATCCAGGCAGGTTCCCCGCAGAACACTGTATGAGGCTGGCTTTCAGGAAACAGGGAACATAAAAGCCTCTGAGAGAGACAAGCCCTTTACACGACTCCAATGCCCTGTGCTGATACGTCTGCAGTGTTGACATAACTAAACAAGCAAAGCGCCTGTCAGAGCGTAACCTTCAAACATTTGAGAGCTTCCTAGGGCGGCCAAACCTGCAGAGCGGCTGTGGGAGCTGGAACCCACGCTGCCTGATATTATCAAACGCCTTGGTAAAGTCAACAATTTAAAATTTCAAGGTGCTCCTGGATTTGTTCTATGTCTGCTTTTCAGCAGAGATCACATCCAGCAACCTGTTCTGGGCTCTGTGGCTTAAAAATCACATACTCATTTCTGCTGTCAGATCCTGGACACACATGATCTCCCACACAGGGACACACGAGGAGAGGTGAGATACTGTCTATTTGGTAAATGTCACCTTGGAGCCCCTCCAGATACAATGCTGGTGGTAGTAAGCTAAGCTAGAATGTGTTCAGAAAAACTAAGAACAATTAGCTGGCCCAGGTCACATTTTTTTTTAAATATAGCTTGAGCTAACCTTTAACTTGCTATGTAGCAGAGGCTGCTGTGAACTTCTGACTCTCCTGCCTCCAACCAAGGGTTGGAATTACAGGCATTCATCACCACACAGTAGGTTTGTCTGATGTATGCGCATACAAGTGTGTGTGTGTGTGTGTGTGTGTGTGTGTGTGTGTGTGTGTGTGTATTGAGATACAATCTCACATAGCCCAGTCCCAGGATAGTCTTGAACTTGCTATGTACAGAGTAGGAGGACTGTTACACATCCTGCAGTACACTAGACAGCACTCTCACAGAGCACGGTTCAGCTGAAGATGCCCATTTTGCTGAATCTGAGAGGAACCTTGAGCTAGATGATCTCTAGGTTTCCATCTGCTGCCAAAAATCCAGTGTTTCTGAAATGCTTTGTTTCCTTTAACAATGTTTAAATAGCAACTGCTGTCTCTTTACAGAGGAGGGTCATTCAATTACATTGTAAACCTCACACAAAACACTAACATGCCCCTGTACCACTCCTGCCAGGATGCCAATCAAGTGGTGGGAAATTCATCTCCTCAGATCTTGACAAGAATTCCTGTGGCATCAACAGTCAACTTCCAGGATGCTACACACAGTTCTAGCTTCAGGCAGAACTTCTGTTCTTTTTCCTTTTTGTTGCTGGTGGTAGCTTCAATCACTCTCACTTGCTCACTGGCAAGTCCCTTACATGCTAAGGGCTCATTGACATAGTTCATTGAAAGTGGCAGCCAGGAGTCTCAAAGGAAAATATCTGCTGATCCTCCAGGTTTGAGTTTCAAATCCTAAGAATGCCCCATTAACTCTGCTAGAAGTTAACACAGGCACCCACATTGCTTTTTTTAAAACTCTGCATCTCCTTCATATTCCTAGACCCAAACATTGGAGGATGCTCAAATATTCCTCCAGGAAAACTGAGAGCACAGAAGCATCTAGGACCAATTCCTTGTCTTCTTAGAAATCAGAAGTAGAGGTAGAGTATATGCCACCCCAGTCCCCGGCTGAGTTAGGATGAAATGTCTGCAGGGAGCAGTTCACTGGTATCTATAGCAAAGAGCATGTCAGGGTGGGCCAGCCGCAGGCACGGCTGACTTTCAACTATGATGGTTCCAACACAGCTTTTCTAATTTGACTCCAGGATTTACCTTTGGTTCCCCGGATACTTACTGCAGTTGTCTCCTTCACAGACACTGGAGGTCCCACAGGGTCATCACACCTGAGAAAGAATTTGAAATCATTTCGTTGAAGAGGTTGACTTTCACCAGGAAGAAAAACACTAATAGCACATTTACCACTATATGCCAACATCAAGACAGCATAAGATGTCTCTCTAGGGAAGGTGAGGAGAGCAGGAGGAGGGGAGGGAGGAGGAACTGGGATTGGTATATAAACTAAAATAAAAAGATTGTTTAGACAAATAAAAAATAAATTTAAAAAAATCACTGTAATAAAGTAACCTAGGAAAACAAAAAGATGTATTTCTAATGCTCTGTAGAAGGGCACCTCTTGGTTAATGCATCATTTAGCAAAATTTCAGAAAAGGTCTCCTGCGGTTGCACCCAAGTAGATTTGCATTTGAGCCCAGCATGAAAATGTGTAACAAGCCAGGCAGTGGTGGTGCACGCCTTTGGAGGTAGAGGCAGGAGGATCTCTATGAGTTCGAGACCAGCCTGATCTACAAGAACTAGTCCAAGGACAGCCTCCAAAGCCACAGAGAAACCCTTTTTCAAAGAAAGAAAGAAAGAAAGAAAGAAAGAAAGAAAGAAAGAAAGAAAGAAAGAAAGAAAGAAAGAAAGAAAGAAAGAAAGAAAGAAAGAAAGAGAGAAAGAAAGAAAGAAAGAAAGAGAGAAAGAAAGAAAGAAAGAAAGAAAGGAGGAAGGAAAGAAACCATGTAACAAACCATCTACATCTGCCAATGTTCATTATGTGTCCCACACTGATTTCACTCAGACACCCCACATCTTCAAGGCAGAGGTTACACCTGTGTCCTGTTTCACTGATGATAAAGTGCAGGGAAGGCAGGAGACACAGCTCAGAAGGAGTTAGCGTCCAGGGTGGGAAGTGGGTACAGGCTCTCTAAATTTACAGTACACTGACTGACTTTTCTTGCAAACAGAAACATTTCTGTTTCTGGGCATTTATATTTTAAGGAGCAATTATGTCAGTGTCAGAGTTAATTCATAAGAACTATTTAAAAAACAAACCTTACAAAAATGCTTCCGGGTGATTTTGTCCATAAAGACGCCCAACTTCACATGACATTATTTTGGAGGTAAGCAAGTATATTTTTACTGATTCTCTCAATTCAACAATAAAATGAAAACTTATAGCTCCTGAGTCCAACATGGAGGTATGGGTTGGTAACATGGCTGAGCAGGCAAAGGCACTTGCCGCCGAACTTGCCTGCTAGAGCCAGATCCCTAGGACCCATACGGTGTAAGGAGAACCAGCTCCCACAAATAGTACTCTGACGCCCATATACATGCCGTGGTGTGCGCACACAAAATGAGTACATATACAAATGAAAACAGATAGATGTCAAGCTTGTCAGTCTCTAATCCTGTGCCAAGGTGTGTTCTTCCCCATCAGGATTCAGGGTTAGTAGACTGCCCTGACTCACAGCTCTCTGTGAAAGTAGGCCACCTCCTCCACTAAGGCAGCAACAAGGGAATCAAGAGTTACACAAGTCGGGACTGTGGGTCGGAACAGTCAAAAGTGATTAGTCACCAGCTGTCCACCATCTACTTCCCCACTTCATGGTTAGTGAAAGTTGACCATCAAAGCCGGGAGACCGACAGTTTTATATTTTAAAGACATCCACAGATGTTTTATAGTTGATCTCAGATTTTGAACAGAAATTAAATTAATGTTGTAGATTTTTATACTATCCTGAAATATTCTGATAATATCTGCATGTTAAAAAAAGGTCAGGATTCCTTACCCAATGTGCTTAGGACCAGAAATGGTTCCATTTTTCCTTCCTTCCCTTCCTTCTTTTCTTTCTTTCATTTTTTTTTTTAAGTACTGGGATCCACTGTAGGGTCTCACACATGCCAGACAAGTGCTTGACCACAGAGCTCTATCTCCAGCAATCCCTTTTTTCCCTTCCTCCCTCCCTTCCTCCCTCCCTCCCTCCCTTCCTGTCTCTTGTTTTGTTTGTGAAGCTACATCTCACTAAGTTGACATGGTTAGTCTTGAACCTGGACTCTGTTTGCCTCAGGTTTTAAGTAGCTGGAATTACAGGCCTGTACCACTAAGCCCAGCTCTTTTTACTTTTAAAATGTGAGTATTTGTGAGTAATTAATGAGATGGATTGGGGACTGGACCCAAGTATAAACACAAAATTCATTTATATTTCAGAAACATCTCACACACACTGCCTGAAGATGACATAATCTGACTGTAGCCTATCACATGGGGTCATGAGGTTGGATGTAGAATTTTCTATTTGTAGGATCGTCAACAGATTCAAATTTTGGGAGGTGGGCAGTGAGAGGGTTCATCCAGTAAAAGTATGAACCATCAAGACTGGTGGCCTGAGTTTAATTCCCAGAACCCACGGTGGAAGGAGAGAACCAGCTAAGGCAAGCTGTTCCTCTGACCACACACGTGCTACGGCACACACAGGCCCACATACACACTCACTGAGGAAAAAACAAATAAATGTAAGCAATACTAAAAATGTCAAATTTGAGGTTTTGGGATTGGGGTGGATGCATTGTTCATTTACTCACTTGCCTTGTGAGTCAAAGTCTTGCTATGCTTCTCTTGCTGGCCTGAACTCACTGTGTAAATCAGGTAGGCCTCGAACCGGTCTCAACTGCTTATATTCTCCCCCTGTCCACACCCATTGAATCTACATTCCTCCTACAAGCTGAGCACACAAACAGTCTTGCTTTGAAATCTTTGAAGGAAACCAATATGGCTGAGACAGGGACTCCGTGTTTTCAGGGTGCTTTTTGCCAAGGGCAGCATAAAGAGCTGTAATACCATTTTAACCTTGATACGGCGAATCAAGAGAGGGGAGTAAACGCGTGGACACTGTGGAGTGGACACACACTTCTATTGGGTGCACAGGGGAGAACCGCCATGGAGGTCAAAGGGCAGGATGGACAGAAGCTGGAAGCCTGGTGTGGTGTGCCGGCCTGCACTCCCAGCACTCAGGAGGCAGACAAGGACCGCACACACTTGAGGCCAGCCTGATTTACACAGCAAGTTCCAGGCTAGCCGGGAACTAGCTCTTCCAGAGGACCCAGGTTTGATTCTCAGCACTGACACGGTGGCTCACAACCATCTGTCAGGAGATCTCCATAGGCACCAGACACGCACCTGGCACATAGACGTATATGCAGACAGAACACCCACAGACATAGAATAAATAGAGTTTAAAAATAAGTAAATACAATTAAAATAAATAAATAGATAAATACCCCACCCCAAAAACAAAAGGCTTGGAGATAGGAATGTGACCGGTTTGGGTGGGAACTGGCAAGCGATTCGGTAAGCCTCAAGCCAAGAGTACAACCCAGACTGTGCCAGTTCTTTTTATAATCCTGGGGACGGCTGTCCTCGTTGCATCCTCACAGCCAGCCTCTCATTATCTCTCTAGGTCCCTTATCTGATTTGGAGTCAGTGCACCAGGGGCAGGCTGCAGAGAGTGGCAAATGGCCGGGGGTGGGGCTAAAGGGACAGGGACGTCCCTGTCGTAGACAGGACAGAGTGGCATGGGGTGCAGGTGCAACGAGCGGAAGGCTGTGCCTGCTCCTGAAGTGTGCCTTGCTGTGTGTGCTCCCACACACTCTGTAAGAGGGGAATGTCCGGCTGCCTGTGAGGCCCGCACGTCTGCATCTACTGCAGGCCCCCAGGCCTTCCACAGCGTGTCTGGTGTCAGGAAGGGTAGGCTGGAAAAGCCCTCTGGACTTGGTGAAACAGCTCACCATCTGCATTTATCCCCAAGTCCCTAATGATGTCACATCTCAGAAATCTCTCACAAATGCCCTCACCCCTTCCATTCCAAACATGCTGCCTGATACTAACCTTGTTTCTCTTCTGGAATCCTCTCCATCCTTCATGCCAATAACAGGGAGGGTTTGTAAAATTCAGACCCTATCTTTTCAATCCCCCCTGAAAATCGTGAAGGGAATTGTTCAAAATCTTACCACGACACAAGGCTTTTCTTTTAAACATTGTTTTTCTCATTATGTTCGTTTATTTACTTAGTGTGTGTCTAAGCATACATACACAAGTACATGTAGAGGTCAAAGGACTGTTGGCAGGAGTTGGTTCTCCTTTCATCCTGTGTGCCCCGAGGATACACTTGGGCCACCAGGCTTGGTGGCAAGTGTCTTTACCTGTTGAAGCATCTCACTAGCCCAGGGCTTTTCTTTTATCTGGTGAACCCTCTTAAGCAATCCCTCACCCACCTAACCTTATCTCCCAGCTCTCCCTCCTATACATCTCTGGGTCTATCAACTTAGTTCCACCTCAAATATTCTCCCCTTCCCACGCCTTTGCCAATGCCATTCAGAAATCCTCACATAATAGGGCAGGGCATGGCAGGGCAGGGCTCAGGAATATTCTTTTCTAACACTTTGATCACCTATAGGGTCATAGACAGTTTAGACCCCATGGTTAGGCATGGGCTTCCTTTCTTTCCATCCTCATTCCTTCCTGTCTGGTCAACAAACCCTACCGACTCAAACTCAGGATTCTCTCTCAAATCTATCCTTGTCTCTACATATACCTGCCACTACCCTGGTTATAGCATCCATCAGCTCTTGCCTTTGGTGCAGGAGCAGTCTCCAAGCTTGTCCCAGTCCATTGTCTGTACGTGAGCCACAGAGATCAGGACAAATTGAACCGTGCCACTTCCTGCAAACTTTTATTTGCTCCCCAGTGAAAGGTGAGGTTATTTTCTACATCCATGAAACCCTACTCAACCTAGTCTCTACATGCTTCCTAGTCTCGTGTCCCCTATGTCCACCTCCCTATGTTCCCTCAGTCAGAGGGGACTTAACAGACACCCGAGTTTCTGCACATACTCTGCTTGCACAATTATCTTACACTGGAAGGATGATATAGATGTCACTCTCTCCAGAAGACTGGCCCAGACTTACGCTAAAGTTCTGTCCCTCTGATGTGACCCACACCATATGTAGCCTTCCTCCTCGGCCTCTGATTCTGTCTCGTCCTCACAAGAACAGACCCAGTTGAAGG